CCTTCCGGTAATGTACGGAAACCGGCCGGCGTTTGAAAAACTTTAATTGAGTAACACTAGATCCACTTCGTAATTTAGAAGAGGCCAAAAAAGATTAATCGACTACATGCACTGTTTCATCGTTTGAGTTTATGGGCCTTGTTTGCCGAAAAAAGTTTTCTTCTCGGTTCGAGTAGTATCTTTAATACTCGTTGCAGCTGTAATTAATAAACAGAACAGCGACAAAATTGAATTGTTGTTTGTTTTAAGACTGAAAGTATGTTGTGTTTGATTTGCTAAAATCGAAAGTGAGGGAATTCACAGTTTACGCCGCAGCAAGAACAATTCTCTTCGCATTTTTTTTTCATCTGTTTTAAGCAGAATCACTACAAAACGATTTGAATTGTTACTCAGGGATAAGAGTAGTAGTCATGTTTTTTTTTTCTTGGTTTGTTTATTGCAGAAGCTCTTAAAAGTACATTTGCCTTGTCACATCGTTGTAGTGCATGAAACCCCGACGTAATTTACTGAGATTGTTTCAACTCGGTATGAAAAGCAAACAAGTCAAACTTCTCGAACATAAAGAGTGCCCATTCTTGGTTAGTATTTCGGTCTAACTGAAGCCACTTTAAAAATAAAAAGTGCTTCTTTTACTAATAAGCAGAAATAAGCTTTCAGTTTCAGCTGAAAAGGATATCACATAGAAACAAAAAATAGGAAAATCAGACAAGCCATCAAGACTTTGAATAAGCCAACTTATTTCAGAAAAATCGCCTATGGATGAAGCCCTATTGAAACAGATTACTGCATTTGAAAACAATTACGAATGATAGTAAAGGTGCTGATGTGAAGCTCATCTCTACCACAGACGACAGAGACACCGGCGTCATTAATAATTATGAGATACCAAGACTTTGTGGAATTAAAAAAAATGGAAATCAAGAGCTAGCAAAACCGCAGTTTACCTGAAACGGTAAGGCAATAAAACAGCAAAGTATCAAAATTACCTTTGAAAAAAATGCGGAAATGAAAGTTGCAGCCATTTGCTCTGTGACGTTAATAACATTAGTGGAAAGAGGACTTTGTCTTCTCTTAAATCAGAAAGTGGAAACAAACTAATTGTTTTAGGAATGTATGTAATAATTACAAAATAATTTTTCATTTTTTTAATGCAAATGACTTTTATCAGTTTTCGAGAAAGCGCTGAGTTGAACAAGTACCTCGTTGGAAAAAGCTCGGATTCTGGTTGAAATGTACTTAGCTTTTGTAATTACTGAAAGTTCTGAGGAAAAACCTTTCTCCTTATTAATTGAATAAGAAATTCCTAGAGTTTATCTCACAGTCTTAAATAAATTACTCAATAAAGAAAGCCACCGAACAGTGGCAGAGGAACCTAGGACCGTGATCGCCGCTAAAAACTGAGGATATACTGATTATCACTCGGCACTGTAGACGGACACCTCTCTTGTAAGCGGACACCCTCAGGAATTGGAAAAAGTTTTCGTTAGTAGAACTGTCCGTCTACGAAAAATTTGTTCTCATAAGCGGAAGAGTCCGCTTACGGGAGAGTGTTATGTCGGTCGCTTGTTGACGTCAAACGAACGGACAGCTCGCTTTCCTGCGTACAAATGGATATTTGACAAAACTGATCCCCAATGTTCTGTTGCTCTTTCAAAGATCATATTTTTGTTGATTTCCAAAAAGAGACAAATGCCGTTGCCAATAGTCAATCATTATGCTCTCTCTAGCGAGACAGCGTAACAGAGGGAAAAAAAATCCAATTTCCACTTTAAAAAAGTACCCGCGTCCGTTTACGACGGAGTGTCCGCTTTCGGGAATGAACAAGTACAGATTTGGAATGGGAAGCAAAAAAAGGTGTCCGTTAGCAGAACTGTCCGTCTACGAGGATGTTTGTTTGCGGAGAGTTGATTGTATTGAATGTGTTTGGCATATACACCATCACATCGATCTGTTTACAAATGTAAGTACAGTATCTAATACGAAACTAAGTGAAACAAGTGTACAAGTTATATTAACTACTTTGTCTATTTCCTGTTTTTTTGTTCTGTTTTTCTAGAGGTAATAGATCTCACTAGACTTGAGGTCAATAACGAAATTTTATTATTCACACTCACCTAAATGGAAACTGAAAGTTTGGATCGCGCCGACGGAAGACTATGACAGAACGGTTTTTGGCTTTACTGATGATACATATAGTCATGGAATGCGTTCTATGCATTCACAAGCTTTTGGATTTTCACACTTTCGGTGAAGTATACACTCCGAAATGATCTCCCACAGAATGACACGTTTTCCCTTCACGAATCGTGCTAAAGCGTTCTGTGACGTAGCCAACCTATCATGTTTTTTTTCTTGAAAAGAAAATGCTGTTTCGCTTGAACAGGAAATCCCATGAAGAAATATACTGGTTATTTGAACTGCACCGGAAACCACGATTGACGTCAGAACAGCTGCATACGGCGAGGCCGCAGGATGTGACTCGACCAGCGAATAAAAAGCGAAAAACCGCATACGAGGAAATATTAAATATCCAAGATGTTCCAGCGTTTCCTTAGAAAATTATTTTCGCGTAAATGAACGCAATTATACGTGTCTTGACCTTTTGAATTTTTCGATGCTCTGATGTGCAATTCAGTGTACATTGGAGTAGATGCATATATGCGACGCATGAAAAAAGACCGAACCAATTTTTGGGGGGAAAGAATCTACATTGATTACAACTTAAATACTCACCAAAATTCACTGAAGATCTCATCAAGAAGATTTTGCCGGGATGTTTTTTTTCGTTCATCCAAAGTTACCCGCATGTTTAAAATTCGGGTTCTCTATTTCGGGCCACACAACTGTATACTAACCTTATCGCATACCTTTTTTATCACACGATGACAGATTGAATTGAAGTTTCCGAGTTTTTTAGGAGCAAGGATGATGCCAAAAAATCTCTGCTGAAGCGTGTGCCCAGACAGCCATAACAGCTAAAATGAAGAGAATATTGTACAGATCTTGACAATAAAAGGTTGAAACTATTGATATTGAAGGTCTATCGAAGTTGACGCTTAATAAGGTATGAACCACACAAATCAGTGTACAAAATTATGTGGTAAATGGGCTTGTTATTTTTGGAACAAATGTTGACCTCTCTACTTGACACCTAGGCGACGCCCTGAAATCCTTTGTTCCCGTTTTAGAAATCTTTAGTTTGTAAACAGTCTGATATTACAGACATCGGAAATTATCAATGACCCCTTTCTGTTTAATGACCTTGTCGGCAAAGCTCGGCATCGTGGAACCGCCTACGAAGTTAATACTCGTGCGACTCCCGCAGCGATATCAGCTTTCGACATTCCGGAGTTAATTTACGGCAGCTTAACGAACCACATCGGCGTCTCATCGGCATCCCGAAATTTAACACGATAATTATCGATGCTTCGACCGGAATTTGCGATAATCTAGCGACTTAGTGTTAGATTTCAACGAAAGAAAGTAATTTGAATATTTAGCGTTCCTTAGGATTTAACTAGGGCTGCAAGTCTCTCCAGAGAAAAATTGTTTATTTAGAGAATAAGTTTTTAATTTTTGGAGTATCATTTTAAGAGCCACTTTAACTCCGATGAAAGCTGTTGGCTAAAACCGATCTTTTTATCTGACAACAAAAGCGTTTTAGGAATGCTGACAAAATGGTTACATTTTAACTAAACAAAGTAACAAACTAGGGTGTTACACCTTTGCTGCTTGCGGTGGGTCCGGGGTATCGTAGGAAATGAAGCTCATCCAAATTAGCTCCGTAACTTCCTCTTCTGTTAAACAAACTCTGTAAACGAGGATGGCGAAAGATTAATACTGTTTTATTATGCAGGCTGGGTTGTTTACAAGTGCAATAGGAAAAGCCCATGTAAACAACAGACAAAATAAACAGAGTTACATTCCTCAGCCAGGATGCAAATAGTGGAGGAAAAAGATAACTTGCATTTACCGTTTGATCTGTTTGTATAAAGCTTGCGCAGTCAATGAAGCGAGAACCGCTCAAGGCAAGAACGCAGATTTTTCGGGATAAGAGAGTATCCGTGCCGAACTAATCAGATATAAATCATCAAAGCTGTATTTTTAAATGACCTTTCGATATCGTTTGATCGGCTATTCGATAAACGCTTATACGTCACACTCGTGAAGTGATCGCTACTTCCCGAATTTGGTCATGTTTTCCGACGGTTCTGACCATGACAATAATTTTCCCACGATCGGACATACAATACCGAGTTTCGGTTCACTGCCTTGATTATGCCCTGAGGAATTAGCCAGCTGTTTTGATAAGATGCAAATTAAAGTTCTCGATAGAGGTGACTGCCTGCAGAGTACTCAATGTGCAGTTGTTGCGAATTAGAATCGCTCAGTTAAAGGCAGAGATCGGCAGAAGGAATGTAGATTCGTGGAATATTCTAGGACGGAAGTGTATCTGTCATTTAAACACATTGAAATTACAACTTTCCATTGTATTCAAAGTGTTTATTTTGCTGACAAAGGATTCATTTCAAACGTCGACTTTTTAATAATAAAGTTGTTTTTATCGCTCTGAGAATCATGGTGTCATCAACCATTAGCCAATCAGATCTCGCGTAGATTACTTGCGATGACCCTTGGGAATAGTTAGGTCACCATTGACGTCATGGATTGTAGTGCTTTAGAAAATTCAAGGGTTTTGATTGGCTCAAAGTAAACCTCTAGAGGACACTGATTGTTCTCTGTCAACCGCAAAGAGATTTTGTCGCCCACACGCCTACATTTCCCATATTTGGTAACAAACGGCAGAGTGTAACTCGGCGAACGTGGATATAAATCGATGTCTTCGCGAGATTCAAATCAACAGCGATCGGAAACTGACTAGTTGGTTCACTGGGAAAAAAAATACCTGCCATAAACAACGGGCGAGTGGGAGATACCACTTTCATTATCTGATTACTCATCACAGCTGATCAAGCATATTTTACACAGATCAAATCAACATGGCTCTCGCTCTCCCTGTGTCAGTCATACAAGAGGCAAGGACTGTGATCGAAGGCACCAATGCTGAATGTGACTTGGCTACAACTGTACACAATTTTGTGCGACCAATGGCCCCTAACAGCCATTTTTCCGTGGCAAAAATTGACGAAATTCAACAGGTTGGTCCTTGAATTGATCATTCACTCCAGCGTGTGGTTTTACAATAACGGACGAATTCCATCACTGAGTTAGATTACAACTCCCGCGACAAAAAACTCTGCGCCAAAGATTTTACAAAAAAAACTCATCGAAGCGTATCTGTTTTTTTCATACAGTCGATTTGACTTTTCTTTTAGTGGTGGGCTTTGGGAACTATCTCGAATTTAAGGCCTTATGCGGATCGCCTGAAAGAGATGCTCACTTAGCGCTAATACTTTATTAGGGTATTAAATGAGTTCTCATTATTGAGCAGTTCCATTCAATTAATCATGTTGTTTATTTCACTGAAATTTCATTTACGCTTGAAGTCAATTTGTTCGTTTCCTGAAGTATACTCTATTTCACTTCGGAAAACTGAACATTTACTTTTGATAATGCTGATGAAACATTGACGCATTAAACGAACAACTCAGTGAGAAAAACATAATAGCAATTTATCATTTAAGCACGCGCGCCATATTTGACAGGTTATATTTTTCTTCGAACAACACTAACTTGATTTCGTCTTTTCCCTTTAGACGATGTGGGAAATGGAGAAATATCTTCAAGGAACAGCTCCTTCGCCACTTACTCTGAGTCCTTTGATAACAAGAAAGAGAAAATTCCGACGAGAAAGCGCCAACGTCGTGAACGATTACTTTACGTTTGATGACGACTCTGGTGATGACTGCGCTGTGGTCACGGATGCGAACAACAACGATGCGCTACCAGAGAAAGTTTTTGTGTCCGAAGTGGACACATACAGTCTTGCTCCGGAATTCACGAACACTACAACGATCACAACAATAAATCCAGTACCTGTAGTGACAGGCAATATTCACATCCAAAATGACAACCGATCTCACTACCATCAACTGAAAGTTGTTCAACCACCTCGCGATTATACGGTTATTTATCCACCTACGCCGCCAAACTCAAATCCTGGCTCTCCAGAAATGGCAACCCAGCAAATATACTTGGGACCCCTTGGCCCTCCACCGCCATACACCCCTCCAACTGTACTGATCCCACAACAACGACGAGGCTCGCCTGAACTTCAACGAAGGAGGATCCATCACTGCGAGCACCCCGGTTGTAACAAAGTATACACAAAGAGTTCACATCTCAAGGCGCATATGAGAACTCATACTGGAGAAAAACCGTATAAATGTACTTGGGAAGGCTGCGAGTGGCGATTTGCTCGGTCGGATGAACTGACCAGACATTATAGGAAACACACTGGAGCCAAACCATTTAAATGCCAGTTTTGTGATAGAGCTTTCGCCAGATCAGATCACTTGGCACTACACATGAAACGCCATCAACCACAACAGCAATCTTAGAGGAACTGTGCATGAATAAAGTAGATAAATATCGTGTTTCTCACGACGAGCAAAACTTGCGGTTCCATTTGCTCCGAACAGAAAAAGAAAAGATTTGGTTACAATGTGATCATAACGATGCTGTAAGCGCACCAAGTGTGGCATGGGGAAATGAACATTGTCTTTCAATCGGTTACATCATCGTTTGATAACTTTCTTGTGGTCCACTTTATTGAACGTTACAAGCCGTATTGAACATTATCCATCGTTCTGTTAAAGTGTGGGACCGAAATGACAGCTTGATCTTTTGAAATGAACCCAGAAATCAGATGATTATCCCATTTCTTTAGCGCTGTCATTTTCTTTCACGAAGAGCGCGTTTTAAGCGCTCGCAACTTAACTGTCACAGGATCAGAATTTTACTGAAAAGAAAAGATATGAGACTCGATTTAAAATATTTTGAGTTAAATAAACGTTTGTAAATAAGAAGTATGTCAAAAAAAGAAAAGAAGAGATGTATTTTTATGTAATGGAATTTTTAGAGGTAATATTTATATGATACCGTGTTATTTTATTCAAAAGATGAGAAGAAGAAAAGAGTATGAAATAAAAAAAGCTAGAATTATATATGTTGTGTCGCTTATTTTGGCATGATCAGAGCTTAAATACCCGCAAACTCGCCCAGTCTGGAAATGATGTGAAATTTGTAATTCTCGAATGTTTCTCTCCCTAGGGGTTCACAGATACAATGTCTGCTCAATTGCACAATACCTATTGTGCCAAGATTTTCTGCACGCAAATGTCGCCTTGTACAACAGTTAGGAATTCTTGAATTTCTTTCGTTTTCTATTCAGTCACAGATATCGTCAGAAATCAATGATAGATGTCGTGTAGTAGGACATGTTAGTTCTAGTCTGAGCCCTTTTGAATTTAAAAGCCTTCTTCCGAACACTTTTGTCAAGCGTTGGAGCTTGTTTTTATCGTTCCAAAGCGAGGTTAATTTCAAGCGGGTTTCTGTCAAGCGCATCGGGTTTTCTTTACTGTCTTAAGTAGCAATATAATGAAATCGTTCCATTTTTATTCCAAATATCAAAGGCAGATGCTGTAATTAGTATTTACCTGTATCCTTGCCTTTTTACGCCTTCAATTTACGGATTAAGAGATAAGAATTGGACTCTACAGTAATAAACAAATTAATATTCCGATTATTTCGTAACTGATCACGAAAACTTTTATATCCCCCAACGCTACTTGACAAAAAAAATTGCTGAGATATTAAAAAAGCTCCCTAACACCGGCATGTATTGACGAACTTCGAGATCTTGGCCCGCAAGTTCCTCCTTAATCTAGTAATTTTTCAAGCGAATGTCTCAGTTCCTTGTCGAAATTTTTTAATTGCCAGTATTTCATTTCTTATCTTGGCTGCCACCACTTCCTTTCACACTGATCATATGGCAGACTTTGGCACGAAACATTTTTTTTCCTTTTTCGACCTTAGACTTAATTCTGAAAAGTGCGACACCATTTGCTAAACCAAAATTTTTCCTGGTCTGTTTTAAAATAAATTTGGTAACGAAGACCTAACTTCCATTTCAGTCCGTTCACTTAAAGTTTCCCTACGATTTCCGTGTTCTTAAGAAAAAAAGAAAAAAGAGTCTTGGAATTTTGGCTCGTGTAACTATTAAATTTAAGTTACACTCTCTAGCTGGTTACCAGTCCCTTGAAGAGTCTGACCCTTCAGTCTTGTCCACTAACTAGAGATTCCAAAACCCTAAATTCCTAGTGGAGATGTCTAAACTCTTTCACTCTCAGGATCGAGCAATCGGTTATTTCTCCTTACAATATCGATACAGATGAAGAGAAAAGTGTAAAATATCAAACTAGGGAGTCTTCAGTGATCAATTAAACTGACAGATGTCTGGCAGGCAGGAAAGGGAAATGGTCTATATAAGCAACGGTTACCGTACAATAATCGGGTCTTGGTGTTCTAAAATCTGATGAATCAGTAGAGAGATCACTTGCAATCAGATCGCTTCTTCACTGACTCAAGCAAACTTTGTAAACGAGACAGTTCCGGCATAATGTCACTTCGTTTTGACAACAAGCCCAGAAATAAGTGAGGCTAATTCATTCAAGGTACCAAATATTTCAGAAGTTATGTCTTCAACTTTTAGCGCCTGAAGACCGTGCAAAGTTTTTCTGATTTCACATTCAACAATTTCGATATGACCTTTATGTTAAGCACTTCCGTCGTCCATACGATCGCCGGTGCATTAACTCTTTCAGTTTGATTTATTTTATAGCGGGTGTTTTTTCATCTGGACTGACATAAACACATGCAGCTACCGTGGATCGGAAATTTGGACGTGCAACGTAATTTTTTGGTTTCAAAATATTCATGATCGTATTAACTTTTTTTCAAGCCAGTATCTACGTTATAGCCTTTGACATAACTATTGTTTCGGTCTTTTGAGTGACATACCATCACCTTGATCGATGAAAACTCGATCAAGTCGTCAAAACGTTTAAATTATATTAAAGATACTAAAGAAATCTCAGATAAAAGTAGAAAATCTCCCTTAATCTTCTCACGTTTTTATTTGTATTTATTTCAGTTTGTTTTTCGACGAGTAAAAATATAAAGAAAAGAAAAACCTGATAGAAATGTCTGTGAGGAGAAAACTTTCAGCCGGTCGTTCGTTTGCGCTCGTGATCGAAAGATGTTAGAAAAACAAACATGACGATAAAGAGCACGAATATTTTCGGTATTGGTCAGCGCGGTTTAGTGGAAAGAAAGCTAGTGAGCGCGGTATTTCGAAATTGAAAGAAAATCTTTGTTCACCTCTGGCATAAATCTTATTTTAATCTTATTAAGAGTGAAGTTTACGGTGGATGAGTTTTGTTTAGCTTAGCGAATCCTGAAAACACTTTAAATGAGATGAAACTGCCCCCAGCAGTTAAAAACATTTGATTTAAACTTTGGCAAGAGAACAATAGGATTTAACAACTTTCCGATACGCCAATACATAATTGAAATAAAATGAGTATCTTTTTACAGGCACGATGTGTTCAATGTGATTTCCGAATTGTATAATTAAGACTATGTTGGAAGATCCGCAGTATTTTTGATAAGTCTTGCAAGTATGATTTGCTTTTGTGGACATGACTTGACTCTCTACGTTTTAATGGTTGCAAATATCAAAAGTTAGAGGAATTTTTTTTAAGATTTAGGTACTAAGCTCAAAAGAAGAAAAGATAAAAGAACAGTTCTGAAAAAAAAGCAAAGCATTTTTAAAGCCACTTATAGAACAGACTGGAAAGAATATAACGGTCTGCTTTGCGGCTGAATACTCATTAATAACACTGGTTTTGTTGTGATATTGTACTAGTCGAGGACTGGTCGCCGTCAGCTGGCTAATTTTACAAATAATGAATAACAAGAAACTGAAATTAAAGTGGTTGACTATATATAACCATTGTTTTTCTTTCGACAGATTTTTTCAAGGAACCTGTCCAAACTCAATCACACTTCCATTTAAATGTGTATTAATCTCGTTAATCGGTTCTGTATCGCCAAAACCGAAGGAAGCTTGGCTTGCGGTAATCTAAAAATAATTGAAGCTTTAAAACATATTTTGTAAACAAGCTGGTGAGGGCTTCAGTATTGTTTCCGGAGTCACGTACAGCTTGAATGAGATTAAGATAAGCTTTCTGGGAAAATGATGTAAGTTTTTTTCCGAGACCCGAGTAATATTGAAGGTTTGTTTGAAAAGAATAGTTAGGGGGTTAGTTAAACTTGTGGCAATAAAGTTAGTTCTATCGTGTTTCATTCATGAAACTTATTATCTTTTTTAAAAAAGAAGCATTGAACCAGAAAATTTCACATTTCACAGGAATGGCCTCTGTGCGAGCTGAACAAACACGGTATCAACAACCTTGAGAGCTGTCTTTAATCGGAGTATGGGAATAACAACCGAACAAAACCGTCTGATTATCGAATGATATTTTAATCTGGAATCTTTAAACTCTTTTTAGTAGTCTTTGTCAACTTTATTTTACTTTTCATGGAAGAACTATTTAAGACTTAACTAACAATTTGACTCTCTCTGTCATAGCTTTTACGGGATTCACGTTTGCCTGAGAGGATAGCTGCAAGACTTTGACTTTTGTTATTTGCCTTTTGTCCGCTTATGCAATGTGAAAAGTTATACATCTGCTTAGAATAGAATAATTTTTTATCTTTTTGCTAATTTCCTCTAAGACTTAATGGCATAAGAAGAAAATTAGAAGTATATTTTGCTTTTGGTATTTGCTGTAACCGCCGAAGGTTCTAAATCTGATCCATCGATATAGGAACTTTTGTAGTCACTTTTCCGATAAGATATTGTTACTTTTCTTCGCAAGCACGCGCACACGTCCTTCAATTCTCAGAAACACACCGTTGCGTCACAGATCATTAGACTGTTGCACTCCGCTGCACGAATCATAAAGGAGCAATGAACCTTGAAGTTTAGGAGCGCGGCGCGACTAACCATAGACATCAACAACCTATCCAAGGACTTTCTGCCAAGAGCTATCGAAGAATCATCAACTAAATCATAAAAGAAAGGAAGACTTATTTAAAGCGACGACGCCTATAATGATCATGCAACCTTAACTTGGCACATAAACTTCTGAAAAAAACTTTGAAAACTTTTCTGAAGTATCGTTTGAGCCTTGTTGCTTAGCATATTGCATTAGCCCGTTTTGCGCTCATAAAGTTTCGTAATTTTTAAACATTTCACTTGGATAAATAGGTCGATTTAGGGAAATGATATTGGTTGTGCGGCAAGGCACGCTTCATGCCTCGATATTCGATCTCAGAATAGAAGCGCGCGTGATCGTGAATATTATTATTTCTCGTCCGTGACGACAAAAACAAAGTGGCCTTTGTTTTCTTTGATATTCTTTTCTCCAATTTCGCAAGACTTAACTCACAGGTATTTTTGTGGTTTATTTGTCTAGTATCCATAGGAAGACAAAAAATATACATTTCTGAGGAGACGTTTCTTTCGTGCGTCAAAGAGATACATCCTCTTCCATTTGCGGACTGCGGTTGTAATTACGATGACGTAAACGGATGCAATCGTAAACTTTTCGGAAAGCCGGAAAATTGCCGAACCTTTCCGAAAAGCCACGTCGACGACCGAATTAAACCATGAATCGACATTAATTGTGTTTCGCTATTTGAGGTAATAATTGTTTATAAGTGCTATGTATATTGATTGAGTTTTAAGTCGAAAGCGGCACGTACAGAGAGAAGAAGCAAGAAACTCCTCGAGGACAAAGTAATTTGTCTCAAAATAAAATGTCAATTTTTTTCAGTTTACAGCTGTTTGAGTTACTGAATTCGGAGAGATTTGTCTAAAAATAAGATCTTGAATAAACGAAGTTTCTAGAAAAACAAGCGTTAACTAGTAGAGGGTACGTAGAGAATACGTCAACAATTGATTATAAAATCGTAAATTAAATTTGTTAAAATTGAAATGTTCGATGCATATAGCTATTAAAAACCAAAAAAAGTTTTTTCAAAATTTAGTCAGGCGCAAGACCCTTGACTTGTACAGAATCGACTTCAGCTAAAAGAAAAACGTATTTTGTAAGTTAACAAATAAAAACAAGTAAGGCACTTTACTCTTGTTCTAACGAACATCTGAGTTACAGCCAGAAGTAAGTGGATTGATCAAGCTAACTTATAAGTTCATCTTAGTCGAAACATGTTTTGTCGCAAAGAAATGTCTGAAAATGGAAAGTTGCGAGCAATTGTTGCATTTTGATGGGGACGAAGTTGTGACGAACTCGTAGGGAGGGGGGTGGAGGCGAATTTATCGTAAGCCGTGGCTTACAAATCTGTGTAATTTTCTCTTGAACTATCTTAATACTCTCACTAACAATGGTCGTCGACCGATCAACGTGTGAGAGCATTTGTAATTAATGTAAAATCCATGTTCGATTTGTTTAAACTAAGTTGCGAATCAAGAGATTTGGCTTCTTGGCAAACTTTCCGAACACACCGAATGTGAATCATCACAGTTCCCGCTTCTGAACATCAGGTTTCACTAAGTCTCACAGCTTAAGTATGCGCTCACGGCGAGCCATGCCAACGGAAAAATAGAGAAGATCTAAAGAAAAATTTACTTACTTGACCCAGTTTCCTGACCGCGTCAGAAAGCATCAAACTGAGGCATCGGTAGGTCTTTTATTCTCTACTACGCGCCAGAAATTCGAGTTGCCACTCGTACCAGAGTTTCCTAATTTTACTCTTGTTGTGCGATATATGCGGTGCTTTTTAAAGATGGTGCTCTGGAAGGCAATCTGGTGGCGAAGGTAGGAAAAAAACTAAAATAATTTAGAAAGCGCTAGTTGCAAAAATAAAGCATTGTGGGTTACCAACTCGTACAGAGACGGCGGAACCTGAGTTCAACTGCAGGAGGAAGGCTTGAAAAAGAAAGCAAGCGCCATTCTCTCCCACAAATTTTTGAGGTCTAGATGTTAGGGTATAAAGGATATTAAGTAAATCATTTCAGCAAATCGGTAACCCCAAACAATTTGTTGACAAATAAAGACACACACTTTGCTTCAATCCAACTTTTATTTTCATTGAATTAAATTATAATAATAAGCAGATGAATTGCACCAGGCACTCATCTGTTGAAAAAGAATCTGACGCAAATGGGTATAAACCGAAAAACACTCACAGAGTGTGTGGTCTAATAATCTTCTAAGAACTGTAATTTCTACCTCCATAGCTAAACAAGGCCAAGTCTAAGCACTGTACAAATCTACTCATGCTCTTTGGGCATCCACGCAGCGCTTCACAGAGAAAAAAAAAAAGACTGCATGGTGCCAAGATTGTTTAACAAAACATCAATCATTATTTCTTGACTTCTACACATTTCAGTTCTAATTGTACAATATGTGGTACTCTATAAACAGTTTGGTAAATGAACAAAAAGAAATTGCTATGGCATGGGTCCATAATTCACAAAGTTGTAAGATCTGAAGCCATAATCACGAAGAGTAAACCAAGATTCCTGTCATAGCTCACAAGACCAGCATCAATTATATAGATGGCTCAAAATCACTACAAAATAACTTACTTATGTAAACTGCACCTGTACAGGAAACCCCTATAAAAACGTTTCCTAACCCTTTTCACTCTCACTAAAGCTCAATAATGAATTTCTCCTCACAATATCAATACATTCTCAAGCAGAAAGACATTGAGAAAAAAGTACAAAATCACCTTCTAAGAGATCTTGTACGAATTAAGAGCAAAATCTCAAAGCTCAAATATAAGAAATGCATGGCAGACAAGATGGATAGCTGATGATTAAATCTTCAGAGTGCCAGGGTTAATATGGTAAAGCAGGGATAATTTTTTTGTTTCAATTATAAGGCCTACATAATAAGTTTAATCAAAGATAAAACAGGAATGCTAAAGGAATGATAAAATTTGAGGAAATGCTTGAAGCAGTGATATTTCTCAACGTCTTGAAAATAAAAATTCGATGTTATTTACTGCTCTTAAAAATAGATTTCACCAAAGTTAACATTTTGATGGAATGTAATAAACAAAAAACCAAAGTACCCAAACCAAATCAAAACAGCCAATCAGAGCAATCGAAATATGACAAGACAACCAGCCAGTGAGAATGCAAAGGAAAAAGAACAAAAGAGTCCTCATTGCGCAAAAACACGAGTGACCAATTTCTAGGAGGCTCTAGCATTCAACCTGATTGGTTGAGAAGGTGGCATGAGTTTTCTAGACCAGTCCCCTACCAAAGGATTGTGAAACGAGAGTAATTCAGTCAATGTTAACATCAAATTGAAAATTGCCCTGGGAAGGTCAAAAGAGAATTGCCTAAAAAAAGTAAGTAAATTAAGATTGTCCATCTTCCAAAACTACACACTACAAGAGCAATAAACACACCACCAAGAATTCTTTGTTAATCATATAGCCATATTGAAAGTTATGCATTCCATTTGAGCTCAGAATGACTTGACATTGTTGCATTTACTTTCCTATTTTCAAGTACTTTTGAAGTACAATCACATTGATAAATGAAGGGTTTACACCTGTTCTTGTGGAAGCCCTTCAGCCTGTTTGCACATAATAATCCATCCACAGTGAAGTTATTGCAGTTTAGATAAAAATGTGCTTCCACCTCAAAATGCAAGGAATGAAGGAAATCTCATTTCTTTAAGAGCAGAACTTCTTCCTTAACCAGCACTGACTAAATTACTTAACCACTGAATCATTAGTACACTCTAAGCTACCATTGCCAGCCACACACAGAAAGGAAGAAGTTAACAGTAACAGTAACCTCTCCTGTCTTTACCTTAAGCAAACTAATGCAAAGTTACTTCTCAAACTAACAACTGATGAAAGATGATAAGTCCAGAAGTTTTTCCAGGTTTCGACCTTCTTTACAGATCACTGCTAAATTGTGTACATGTATGTATGATTATTCCTGTTCATCACCTCCCTCAAAAGAAACATGCGAACCTTTCCAGTCAACTTTGCTGGAATGTATTTTGTATATAGGAGAAAGTGGGAAAATATTAACTACCAAAGGAACAAAATTACATCCCTTTTATTTGAAATGACTATCATTTCTGCAGGAAACTAACTTTGTGATTTTAACCTCAAACTCCAATAGAATAGCAAGGAAGGAATGTAATATTTGCCAAAAAGAAATTGCTTCAAATGGTTTTTAAGATGGGTATTGTGATTGGACCTGGCCACATACTATGAATGGATATTGATGATGATTGATTTGTGTGGAGTTTTTTTTTAAAGAGTCTTAAATTGACTGAATGCTGAAAAGGTTTGTGTGGTTCTATTCTACAAGATTTTCTTTTGGAGAAATTTTTCTTTTGAAAAGAGAAGACTATTTGCAAAATCATTGAAATTAAAACCCTCAAAATTTTCATGCCACACAGTACTACATCTAACCGGACGGTGTATGAATGAGTAATATAAAAACACACATTCTTTAAATTATTCTATAACTGAGACAGCACTGTCCACTGATCTTTGTGAGAGTACCTCGAAAAAATCTTGAAGAAAAAACTTTTTGTAAAGAAAAGTTTAAATCTAAAATTGGTTGAAAAATATCAATTCAACGTGGACTTAAACCTAACACAAAAAATAGTTACAGAGATAACTAAACTTATAATTTAAGATTTCATAATAATTACTATGTACATTTTGCTAACTTCATGTGGACTATGTTATCTTCAAGTTTTCATTGTGACAAGATGTTTTCTACATAATTTTTCCATGGTGGTATTGCTTCCACTAAATAGAATTAATTGGTAGTAATACTTAAGGTTATTTTAGTATCTAGGATTGATCATAAAAAAAACAAATTGATTGTAATTACCTATGTAAACAACATAGATTCCAAAGATTTCTTTGCAGGAAAGAATGCCCCTTTTAGCTCTGAGACAAACAGTGGAGAAATGCAAAGGAGTTATGAAGATCTTTGTGAAAGCATATTGAAGTGAAGTAACAATGAGCTCTCCATCAATCCATCTAGCTAAAGATGACATTCAGCTTGCTTTCTTGATGGGTGTAGGGAACTGACCAAATTCTTCAATGGTTTGACAAAGCAGACCAAAGTCACACAATATGCCACCAAATAAGTTTGTTGTAGGATGACCCTGAATTTGCCAGCATTATTGCCAATTTATGGTGAGAATAACACAGCCATAAAAGGATGACTTGCAGGTTTACACAACTAAAAGCAGAAATCCATCATTGCTTGAGCTTTGTCACCATCCTATTAGTGTGACAGGGTTCCATATCTGGAGGAAGCACTTTGTATCACCGAGGAAACAATTCTCTATTTACAAATTTGACATGAGTTGCCAGCTGTACACAATGACAAAAGTTCAACTAAATATTGGAGGTATCAACTGCATCCTTCTTCCAAATGACTCCAAGAAGAACAAGCTATCTTCTACAAAATAGGCTGGCTTTCCCAATAGTGTTTGCTCCTTAATGTCATACCCCACAGACTCTTTTTGCACACTAATTTAGTGGCGCTTCATGTGAAGTGACAAGTGATCTGATCTTGAAAAGCACCTGTCACAGTGTGAACATTTGAATGGCTTTGCACCAGTATGTTTTCTGTAGTGTCTTGTAAGTTCATCTGAGCGAGCAAAGCGCCATGCGCAGCCTTCCCAGGAACATTTGTAGGGTTTCTCTCCAGTGTGGGTTCGCCTGTGAGCCTTGAGATGTGAGCTTTTAGTGTAAACTTTGGAGCAACCTTCATAATCGCATTTGTGGATTCTCCTTCTTTTCATATGATCTGTTTTACTTTAAAATGACAAAGAATTGGTCAATTTAAAAATCAGTTGGAACACAAGAGGCAAAGAGGCAAAGAGGCAAAGATGCAAAGATACAAAAGAGTAATAGAGAAGCTTTTGTACTTACTCAGCTTTGCGAGTCTCCTTCACATTGCTTATGTTTGGTTCAGTCCTGGATGAAGGGAATTTTAAAAATGTTGATTATGAAGATGCATTTATTTATTCCATATAAATATGCACTAGTGCACTTGAAAAAAAACTTTGTTGGGGATTTTGACCAGACTGCATTGAGGGGTTTACAACTTTTGAAAGGAAATTATGCAATAACCCCAAATTTTAGAATTTTTGGAAATAAGGTCACACCACAACACAAGGAGTTGATAAAACTATGTAAACTACCTTGTTATACTCTCCTACCAATGCAGCACCACAGTTTCTTTAGAAACTAACCCCCTTTATACACGATACAAAGAGCTTTTTACCCTACTCTTTGTCTCCCCTGTTAACCAGTACAGAGAAGATGCAGCAAAGAGGACTAGGATTTATCATTATTATCTGAGAAGATTAGAAGGTCTAACCATTTGCAGATGACAAAGCAAAAGCAGCAAAATCTCCACAGTTATTTAACCCTTTACACCCTTACATCAATATACAATTTCTCCATACTGTTCTCTATACATTTTCTATGATACTGAAAAGGAGAATTTGTTTAACAATCAAGAGCTTCTTTAGTTGATGATCATTTCGTCTATTCTCATGACCTCAATGTTTGTTTTAGGGATGATACTGATTAGAGAAATTAGTTGCTAATCACTCTAAGGGTTTAAAGGGTTAAAACCCTGTTGGTTCAGTCTGGGGCTTGACCACCCAACCTTCTGACCACTCAACCTTCTGACCACTCAACCTTCTGCACAGCAGTCAGTGTTCTTCAACCCAAGCTAGGTAGGATTTTATTTCCTTTACAACACTGTTACAACCAAAAGTAAAAACAACAACAACAACAACATAAGAAAATGCAGACTCACTCATCAAAAAGAACTGCAGGAGGAGAGTGTGTTCTGTCTTCATAATTATCATCTTCTATCAGATATTCTTTTAGATGATCCCCAGGAGACACAATGACTGTTGGCGTGTTATCTGTGCCATTACATCTTCCTCCATATCTTCCTGGAGAAGCTTCTGTAACCTATTATTAAGAGTAAGCTGCAATGAATTCATTCAAAAATCTGATACCCAGCAAATTGTACATGTAATTGAAGCTCCTTGTAATCAATATTAATGCATCTTGAGAATTCAAACTATTTAAAAAATAGATCTTTGTAACATCGGAATAACGTAATCATTTGTACAATTGTACCAATTATCACTTATCAGAAACACAAAACAGAAATTTCAAGCATGATTTTGAGAAAAAACTTGAAAAACGAAATCTGGTAAAAAAAGTTGTTTGTTTGTTCACAGGTTTTTGTGACAAATTTTCTGAAATCTAATCTTGCAGAGACCTTAAAAAATCGTCAACTCTTGAATTATTTTTTAAAAGCTTATCTCTAATTTATTTTCTTAATTCTTGTGACTGACAACAGTTGTCTTCATAATTAAAGCACACAGTTAAAATGAAAATGATGAAATTTGAACACAAATAAAGCACAGGAGAATGTTACAAAACATTTGCTTGGTAACTACACTGTATGCAGTCATTTACAAAGGGTAGTCTGGGCTAATTTACATAGCTTCAATGTGATGAACAAACAACAAGGAAAGGTATACTTTCCCATCAGCTGTGTGCAGATGTATATAAATATAAATATATTGTGGGAGGAAAAAGACAAATAAATTACAAGTTCATCCCTACAGGTATGTTTCATTGTTGCCCACTCATCAGGTTAATATATACATTGCTCTACTCCTATGTATTGAGCACTATTTTGCAAAAGTCAAAATTTTACACTTTATAAATATAAATATATATGTTGCAAAAGGGGACAAAAACAGAGAGACTATACTTTCATCCCTACTAGCCTGTTTCGTGATCGCTCACTCATCAGGGGATTTTAAATCATAAAATAAAATAAAATCCCCTGATGAGTGAGCAATCATGAAATAGGCTTGTAGGGATGAAAGTATAGTCTCTGTTTTTTTTCCACCATTGCAAAATATATCGTGCTCTACTTCTACGTATTGAGCACTGTAAAACAGAAAAATCAATAAACAGACTTCCTAAATATAAATATAAATATATATATATATATATATATATATATATATTGTATATAAGGATGTATGGAAGCAATTGATTGGAGAAAAACTTAATGCTAAACAAGATTTAATAACCCACATGTACCAAAACATTGTGCACATAGTGAAGGACCATTTGCTTTGTGAGTTCCCCTGACTAGTGTGAAGAGATCAGTGTGGAAGTGACCAGTCTAAGACACTTCTTGGTACTATTTGTGACCCAACTGCTTGTGTATGTAGGTCTCAGCCACAATTTTAAGCCCAATCCAGCAAAAAGATGTGGCCTATACACAAGTTTTTACTATTCATGGAGTGGTCATCGCAGGAGGGCTCATTGTAAAACTTCACATGAGATCAGAGCTTTACATCCAAGTGCAAAGTTGCATACCTTATATTCATCATCATCTGTAGTAACAACTCGAATAACTGTAGTTCTTTCTATGTGTCCCTCTGGGTCAAGCTATTGAAAGAAAAATAATTGTCATTTTATCCCTGTAACTTTTTATACCAGCACAAATTTAGAATTGAAAGGATAGGAGAGTGTAGTTGGAACTGAAAAGGAAAATTTAATATGTTCCATGTCCCATGTTTGAAAAAAAAGCATTCAGTCTAAAATCAAGGGCATTTCAATAAAATGCATGTTACAATGTCAAGGAAACAGGGAAATGTGCACTTACCTGGATAACATGAGGTTGAGAAAGACAATTGGCAGAGCTACAAAAAAAAAAAAACAAAAAAAAAAACTATTAATCAGCATTTTTTCACAACCACCCCAACCCTTGAGGTAACCCTTTAACTCCCAGAAGTGATTAACATGCAACTTCTCCCATACATTATCTTGCAAACAGGTAATAAGAATACTTATCAGGTTGAAGTTATCTTGATCTAACACCAAATTCTCTGACTAGTTTACATGAAAATGTGTAACAGCTAGAGAGGAGAATTGACAATCAGATCTTGGGAGTTAAAGAGTTAAGTCAGGTATATGGGAGTGAGAGAAATAAACAGTACACATAGGTATCAACCTATAGGCAGTAAACTTAACCCCTTGGCTCCTAAGAGTGATGAGCATGTAATTTCTCCCTTTGATATCACCCCTGAATCACACATTAAGGTCAGGAGTATAAGGGAAATGATCACCATTTAAAAAAGCTCTTGATTATTAAACAAATTCTCCTTATCAGCACCTTAGGATATGTATAGAGGAAAGGATAGAGAATATACATATCTTTGTTTAATGCTGAATCTTAAAGTATTGAAAGTGGGCTTAACTTTCAACAGTACAGAATGATAAAAGATGAAGACTCTGCTAGATAATGAACAATGTTAATATCCAGCCCTTCGATTCTCTGGTAGAATTGAACAAAACTAATTGGGGGTGCAACAGCTGTAATTTTATATAAATCCTGCACTGGAAATAGGTTACCACTTTCATGGAAGTTTCAAAACACAGCAAGGTTCAAGGAAAATTTAATTCAAACAGGCTTCTTTTCTGCAATTGCTGCTCATCTGCAAGGATCACTGCTTTACTTGAGAGGATATACTTTGCTTGACCCCCTTAACTCCCAGATCAAATTTGTAATTCTCCCTACTGTCAACCACACAATTCTTATTTTAGTTCAGAGAATTTAGCATTGGATCAACTAACTATCCCCAAATTGATATTTTTATTTGTTCTCATCACTTATCTGGTTGATATTGTATTGATACTGTAAGGAGAAATTCTGTCTTGGTCACTCATGGGAGTTTAAGGGTTAACTCTTAGGAAACACTACCAAGGATCACATCCAGCACTATATTCTCAAAAGCACCAAAGAGTCGAGAGAACTCATAACTTGACCTCAAGGAGACACAGACAACTTAATAATGGCTTAGCTGTAAAAATAGCGGAAATAGCTTTCTTAGAAGTAGGCCACCTCTAGGAAAAAGGAAATTAAACTGAGCATATACAAAACTCGAGTCAATAAATCTTGAAGAACTACTGTGTTTTCATGAAACACAACAGCTGTTGGCGGTTTATCATACATGAAAATACATGACATTGGAACTGAAGACAAGGCACTAATTGCCTTCCATTTAAGACCACAAAATTGCAAAAAATTCAGAAGCATATCATTAAAGCTGTGCTTAAAGTTAATCAAATAATGCCGCTTGAAATGTCGAAAAACAAATCTCAGCCAGCCTACAAAAACAGCCTGCAAAATTTTGTAGCTATTTCTTAGAATCTCTTGGCTTGTTCCATTTTCAGATGAAAAATGTGTCATTTAATCCGAGTTTTAAAGGGTGGAGCTAATAATACACAGATTGTTGGGTGGGGTAGTACCAAAGAGCAATCAAAATCACTGATCGGCTTTTAGTGAAAATTACAGAAAATTCAAATGTAGCATTAAGATTCATCGAGACTACTATTTGGAATCTTTTACTTAAAGGCAAATCAACCAGCTTGGACACCACAAAATAAATATTCAATAAAAAAAAACTAAGTTTGATCCTCGTACAATATCTTCAATCCAAAATATTACTTTGTATAAATAACCGAAGTAAACTCTAAATATTTTTTCGTTCAACTTTACTATTAAAATTTTACGAATGACAAGTTTTAAAAGGAAACCCTTATTAACGTTTTCCAACAATTTTCTTTTTCTTACTTTAAGGACATAGAATTCATATTTTCATACGGGTAAGATATACAAATCATATCATATGCAACGAAACATCAGGAATATGTTTAGACAAGCTACTTATGGAGAAACCATTCTAATTCGGACATCAATTACACCAAGCCTTCCAAACCGGGAAGAAGAACAAAACAAAACAAATTTACGATTTAGTTTTATAGCAGACAGGAGAAAAATAAAATCAGGAGTAACCAGCGAATATTACATTCTCGGGAGCGCATGTTATTTTTCTTCTCTTAAGCGAAAATAAGACGCAAAATTCCTGCTCTTGACAGGAAATGCTAAACGCTAGGTCTGCGAGTCACTTTATAAACATTGAAGTTTGAACATATACGAATTCACGTTTTCTGTTGTGATGATTAAGATTTAACCCATCAATCGTTCGGGTTGTATATAGAAATTATAAACCAAAACGACGAATGATATAACAGTGATTTTCGTCTTCGATGTCGTAACAGGACCAAATATTCCGCTCAAGAAAATTATGCTCACTGGTATACGGGAAGTTCTAATATCGATCGATGTACACTTACCAAGTTTACACAATTCGAATTAAGTTATAGAGCCTATGGAATATAGGATTTCATTACTCTCTTCTACTAGGTTATATTCAAACTTGGAAATCAGGATAAATCGCAATAGACAAGTTGGGATGCCCATAAACTAATCCAAATTCCCTAGGAATTTCAAGGATTCTGCGTTTCCTGTTTGAGAAATATCCGCAAACTTCGGCAATAAAACGTGGCCTTTCGTATCGCAGGCTAAATTCTCGGAAGAAATCAGAGATATCGCAATACGCAGTGAGCCCACTAAATTGATTGAGAAGGAAATCAAGCGAGAAAACCGCTCGAAGAAAAAAAATACTAAGACTTTTCAAATCCCTGGAAAGTCTTTTAGTGCGTGCACCGACAAATTCACCGGCATCGATCGCGTCGCGGGGGCAGAGAACGTATTTGAAAGCTCAGTACCTCGCACTTAGCTTTCCTGACTCATTTACGAAAGAAATTGTATCAATTTTAACATCCCTTACCCTGAAATTTGGTTGCAAGCCTCACAGGTCCCCCTTTCTTCTAAAAAAAATGAAAAGCAGAAAATATTTTACTTTAGTGTAACACTCGTCACATCACAAAGCCATTGTATTCCATCCAAGCAACAGCGAGTGCGTGAACGCGAGGAAAATTTCACAACTTCTTTCACCTTCTAACAGAGATGCATCGAACTGACAGGCCTGATCTTGCGTTTTCTTCGCTCGCTTCTGTATTGTCCGTGTATGCGTTGAACCTTCTTCACTCGACGCCATGTTTCTGGTAGCTAAACGCGACTCGACCACACCCGAGCAAAGCCAATAAACCGCACTTCCCAAGGGTGGGGTGGGGGTGGGGACTTGTCACGTCCCCTAGGGAGTGGCTGATAAACTTTTTCACGTTTTACACTATTTGCGAACGAATAGATTTTGTCAACAGAGTCGTTTCATACGCCTGCTCATATCGGGCAATTTTGATGATTAAGGTCACTGGGCATTCAACCTACGCAACAGCTAGCTCGTGTTGATATTCACGTTCATCATGATAAGGCACCGCCCTTTCAGGGGCGTGTCTGCCTGTGATTGGCCAAGAAGAACAAAAACTTCTTTTTTCCCTGTGGGTCATTATCAAACAAGCTCAGTTTATGCAAATGCTTTGAAATTCGCGTTGTAGCAACTAGATTTGAGAAGAATATGACACCTTCACCGAACGAATCAAAAAATCGTCGCGATTTTCCGAGAAAAAGCTCTATGTGTTACGCCCTGTTTTATAAACGAAAATCTCGAGCGGCACAGTTCACGAGAAATAACAGAAAAGCACTTTTATTCTTGTGATTTTTTTTCTTTTATAGAGGGGGTTTGGGATGTCTTTTGTTTTCAAGATATCTCCATTTCGCTGTTGAATTGAATTGAATTCTAGTTACGTAGCAACAGATCTTTTTGCCTAAAAAACTCCAAACTGCCGCAAAACCACCACCGAAATGACACTTGAAAACTAAAAATAAATGCTTAATACTGCTTTTCAATTTTAACGGCGCTGCTTTAGCTATCGTTCAAAATTAAGATATTCGTTAGAAGGGACCGTATTGTACGTTAGATTGGTCAACGTGAGTTTTTCCATTTTTTACTTCAGGGGGTGGGGGACGAAACTCTATCGGTTAATAAGCGGCATACATTCAGCTGGTTCTATCTTCGCGATCGAGGTCTACGAAAACCCAGCTAGTGCGAATTCTCCAGGCAAATTCATGATCACTATGAAAAAGGAAAGCCGTACAACGCATGCCACTTCAGTTATGAAGCGTTTATAAGACAAGTTTCTTTCAAAACTGATACGTGAACAAATTATTTCTGGTGATGAATAATAATATGCCATAACAGCGAGACGCCGAGACCATGCACTTAAGGAGATCAAATAATTTTAGATTCACGACTCCATATTATTACCATCACTTTGCTTAAATTAGTGCAGTGTAATACTTATGGCAGAAAATGTTGCGTGAAAGCTGGGAAGCAGTCTATTTCGTTTGCATTCGTTAGCGATATATCAATTAGCAACACAGAGATCTTGAATAGGCTTCCTCGCACAGAACGAAGCATTCAGCTGCTATCGCTACCTCAGATCAGTGACCAATAGCCTCGACTATAGGAACAAACCCTAGGCTTTGAGGCCTTTGAAAGATACACGAGAGTTCGAGACGTTCCGAAATAAAATGCATTGTAAGCGAGAACTTCGAGAATCGTCGCAAATTAAAGGTTGACTAGATTTCGAGAACAACAGTCATTCAAGCTACCATTCGCCTCTCTAGCGAATTCGTCCTTGATCCCTCAATGTCGCATTTGGATAATTAGTGGTTATTATTTTAAATTTCTCTCACTTGTGTCCGTATTTTCTTCTGAAGCTCTTTTATTAAAACAACGATTCAAAACACAAGGGTGACTTTGTTCAAACTGACGCATAGTCTATACCACTGTATGTTCACAGCCGCAGGGCAAACCACAAGTGACATTGCTAACCTAGTTGTTTAAGTTTTGAGAAAAGTGTGCTCGTGTTTTATTCATTCATCTGAATATTTTGTAAAAGTAATTTAAGCCGTAACATTCACAAAAATTCTAAATAACTAGCATGAATCATTTCGAACAATCAGAAAGGAGAGTGCATGTGATGTTGAAGAGAAAGAGTTCTTTTCCTCCCAGGCCAAGGTCAAAATTTTTCTTCTTTCCGGTGACTAACTACGAATAATCGCCTCTATTTAGTCTTTCAACCCTTTACACTATAAAGTCAGTATCGAAATTCTCTATACTCTTCTCTATACATTTCCTTTGATACTGCCTAGGAGAATTTGTTTATCAATCAAAGCTTCAAAGACTGGTGTCTATCACCTTCATTCTTAGCAGTGTTACTGTAATGAGAAATTAGATGCTGGTCACTTTAAGGGTTTGAAGGGTTAATGGTTTAGGGAAAGGAAAATTCAGTGGTGGGCTAAAATATCATGAAAATATTTCTTTCTGTTTCGTGTACCTCATTAATACCAGCCACTGTTCTTTTCGCTAGACGTGCTTCTCTAAAACAGAAGGTAATACAAGAATGCTTTGTCGGCATATCGGACTTCACACTGAAAAACTTCGAAGATAACAAAACATAGCTGTCTCCAGCCGTTTTCGAAGCTCCACGCATATCTGTCTGTTTTCTTTTCTCAAGCGTTCAAGGAAAATGGAACCAAGCGACGAAGCCGTAGGAGCGAGAAGTCTCAATTTACCCTCGTTACTTCGCTACTTATGTGCTCGGTTCCGTTGCTCAAACCCGAACATAAGGTCCAGCAGCGTGCCACCATTTGCGGCTCACAGCGGGAAAAGTCAGCGACGGAAGTTACGCAATGCCATTTGATTTTTTATTCCTTCCGGCTATTTTCAGATCATCTGACCATGTTTGCAAAAAGATGCTTTCATAAACGAGTTTACCTTGAAAGTATAAAACGAAAAAAATTGAAATAAACGATACTTTTTTAGCGAATCGATCACTAATTAAAATTTGCCGAAACACCGCGCCGACTGCCTCTTTTTTTTAATATAAAGAAAAAGCTTGTTTAGGAAAAATTATTCAGTACTTTTGTTTCTTTGAGGCGATGCCGAAATTGATATAATGTGCCTGACAGGCGTTTTTTTTTTTTTAGCCATTTATTTTCAGACATGTCAAGCCCGAAGGGCGAGTCACGTGCGAAAAAATGACACCTGCACGTATATCATTTTCTTGCCCAAGTTTAAGGTAAGGGAAAGGGGGGGGGGGGGAGCGGTTCTGGAGGATACAAGGACACTTGTGAGGGAAACTGGAAACCAAGGACCACACGAGTTCTGACCCAAACCACAGTTTTACCTAACCTCTGGCTTTAGGCTGTCTCTATAAGAAGGTTGGTTTAAACTAAATAAGTGTCCTTCCATTATTAATTATAAAACAATTCAAATAGCACGCGCGCTCCGATTGGCCATAAAACCATTTTACATGAGCGTATGTAAACACGGTTTTCATACTGAATCTTCTCGCGGAGTTCTCCCTGCTATTTATTTAGCAGTAACTCAGTTTCTTTAAGTTTGTTTTGAGTACAGTAATGGAAGAAGAAGATTTTCCTAATTTTTCTTTGGAGTTTAATTTTCCCAGTATTCAAGAAACGGCCGAAAAGCCTAATGAACAACAACAACAAGCACGTCGCTTTCCTTCGTCGCAAGAAGAGGCTCTTTCATTAGTTATTTTATAAAAGCTGGAAATAAGCTGGAAACCACTCCGCTTCGCGTCGTGGTTTCCTACGCTTATCTCATGTTCTCCCAACCTCCCGCGTGTTTACATCAGGCTATGTAAACACGGAAACCATTTTACATTTCTTCACTCTCAGTCCTCTTGATGCTGTTTGCAAAAATAAATATTCAGATAAATGTTCACAAAAATCGAGGATTGTTAAGGACGCGGTTTTGTGTCGTGACAATGGATAAACTTTCTATAATAACCAGCCCTAAGGGTTTTTAGGGGAGATTCTATACTTGGAACTTTTTCTATACAATTAACGTGGGAAATTTTTGCAGGTTAAAGTATAAAGTGCATGCACAGACACAAAAAACACTTGCAATAGTAAAAATTCTGCTTGCTCTCGAAGGCTTCAGTAATTAAGTTTCCGATAGAATTTGCTGTGAGTTATATACCGCAAAGGTGTTGTTTCATCTAAAAGGATTACCAACCGTTAGCGGCTTGGTCAAAGGAATTGAAAAAGCCAGTGGGTTCAGTAGATGAATAAAAGATAACTGATGTTGCCGGTCGAATGCTAAAAAAAGGAAAAGAATAATAAATAGATAGAATTTGCTGTGAGTTATATACCGCAAAGGTGTTATTTCATCTAAAAGGATTACCAACCGTTAGCGGCTTGGTCAATGGAATTGAAAAAGCCAGTGGGTTCAGTAGATGAACAAATGATACCTGATGTTGCCGGTCGAATGCTAAAAAAAGGAAAAGAACAATAAGACAAAAGCCTAAAAACGCCCTAGAGAAAAAGAAAACTACCACCTCGTAGAGAGAGAGGTAAAAAAGATAAAACTGAAAATGTTTGAGTCATAATACCTTTTAATCATAGTGGAAGAAAAAATTGGCGTAATTTGTTTAGGAAGCTTTCCAAGGGAAAAAAGGAAATACTGTGTAACCACGAATGTGTAAAGAAAAAAAAAACCAATCTTATTTATTCCTCTCATGTTATTTTAAAACTCAAATTCTGATAAAAGAAACTAGTGTTTCATCAGGCCGACGATTTCCACTAACGCTCCCAAAAATTCCATTTGTTAAATTTATTTTCGCTCTCTAAAACATCTCCAAATTACAACATGCCGAAAATTTTAAATCCTTTTCGTGTTAAGAAAGCATTTTCCACTTATTCTCTTAGGAACCTTCTTTTTCTAATTTAAAAAAGCTCACAAAATCAGAGCAACCAAGATCCTCGTAGACACAATGGAACACATATTTGAAGTCAGTTGTGCGTCCCAGTCGATAGGACCTGGAGAAGAGGCAGGATTTTCATCATGGCGGACGGAAAACCATGGTTCTACACGATACGAAAACACAGAAAGAAATCAATTGCTGCTGCCCTGTTTGCAGGATGGTTGATGAGTTACGGAGCTAATAAGTACAGGCAAGATTTTATCGGCTTAAAATTAAGATAGAACAGAATCAATTTCTTTGTACATGTGTCATTTAATTGGAGATCGTGAAATCCTTGGCCTGCGCAAAAACGAAGGATTTTCCAGATATTTTGCAGGATTCTTTATGTCCTTTGTTATTTTACTGTTGTTTTGTTGCTTGGACTTTGGCATGTTTGAAATTCGACAAACAATGGGCCCTTTAGAATGATATGCATCTTATTTCTCCTTACGATATCTTTTTTGAATAAGGGAAATTATCACCATCTGAAGAAGCTCTTGATTGTTGAATAAATTCTCTTTGTGAGCACCACAGGAAATGTAAAGACAGTATGGAGAATATGGATACTGATGTTAGGGTGTGAAAGGTTAATGCTGTAAGACAGACACTTCTCAGTATTGAGAGTAACTATGAAGATCAAGCACCTGAGTATTACTATTTTTGGAGAGGAAAGAGAGCTAATTTTTTAAACTTAATTTTCTTTTGGCAGAGAGTACATGATAAGAAGAGAACTATGCCATGAAGCAAAAGTAAGTAATGTCTTCAGATTTTGTTCGTTGATGAAAATTGGAGGACATTGGTTTTCCAGACCCTCTTAAGACTGTCTGTATCACAGGGTGGAAAAATGACAAAATCAACTTTCAATAATCATTAAATATTGTAAGAAATTGTTTGATTATGTCTTCAGAGTTTTTTTTGTTGATGAAAATGGGAGAGCATTGATTGGTTTTCCAAACCCTTTAGAGGCTCTCTGTATCTTAGGGGTGGGAAAATAACAAAATAAATTGTCAAAATTCATTTAGTCTCAGTAAAAATTGTTTAATGGGTATATCAATGGTTTTCAGATATTTCTTTTTAGTAATTGCCCATGTTGGGTAGCACTATGATAGCAAATTATCATGGATCCAAGTTATATCACCCTCTCACCAGGAAGTCATTATTTTCAAGAAAACTATTCACTGGAAAATGTTATCAACTTGTTGTGTTTTCTTCTTTTTCAACAGGCTTTTGGTGACAAAACATTGCCATCATTAAGAAAACCCAGAAGATTGACCTTGGTTTTCAATCCAGCATCTGGCAGGTATTAGCCTGCAGTGCAGGTGTCTTATTAACAAAAGTTAACATTAAGAAGTGAGGAATTGTTCATTCAATCAGCCATGTTTGATTTTGAATCAGAGTCAACAGTGGGGGAGGGGCACACCCCCTTTCACTGTCATTAAAATCAAAGATGGTGGCCATAATCCTCGCTTAATAAACACTGAGCACTGGCTTGTCAAAATTACCCCTGCTCTGCAGGCTAGGGAGGTATTTCGTTGCACATCTTAAGTGTACACAATAAAGTAGCATGAGGTAACAGGTGCTAGGCTTCATTTCTATAAGAAATACATAGAGATACTTATATCATTTATTTGGAAGGGTCATGTTGAAAAAGGCAGCACCAGATTGTTATGGACCTTTACAATGATGATACTAACTAGCGATAAAAGCTTGCTAAAAAATTGTTAAGAAAAATACTGGGACATAAAATTTGAGTTTACATGCAATTGAAATATTGATTTAAATAAATACAAAGTTGTCGATGTCTTTGTTCAAATTGGTACAAGTTTCTTTGGAGATACTAATTTGATTGGCTTCTTTTCCTCTTTTCAAAGCTTTATTGAACTAATCTTTACTCACCAAATTTTGAGTATTACTATTTTAAAGGTCATTCCAAGCAATAGAATTTCTAAAAAAATCAAGATTGTCTACATAATTCAATATTTGTTTGTCTCATGTTCAGTAAGTTACCTCTCCTACTAGATTTACATGTTTCAAAATGAGAAATCAAAATTGTTGCCTGTAAAGTATAATGATGTAACATATTAGTTTATGCAAGCTATCTGGAAAAGATACGTTGATTGTACATATCAATGTGCTTTGTCTTCTAACGCTACACATTCCAATAGAATATGACTGTTTCCCTTTAGCGGTAGTGCAGAGACTTTGTTGAAGAAAAATGCAGAACCAATTCTTCATATAGCAGGGCTTGATGTTACCATTGTCAAGGTAATTGATTTCTCACTCATTTTAACCTCTTACACCTTACAAAACAAAAAATTAGTTTGCATATTCTCCATACTGTTCCTTACACATTCTCTTAGATGCTGACAAGGAGAATTTGTTTACCTGCAGTAGTAACAAAGTGTATTCATTTGTACAATTATAAGATTCTGATCCTTAAGAAAGAGGTCGATTTTTATACTATTCATGGTTTTTGTTCTCAGACAGATTACGAAGGACAAATTAAAACCCTGATGCAGTACATTGATCCAAAAACAGATGGTATTATTGTTGCTGGAGGAGATGGCACACTACTTGAGGTCAGCTAATCAACTTACTGATACCTTTTTTATTCTACCAACATAAAACATTGGATACCCAGTGTACAGAGACACAGGGAGACTAGGTGACCTAACAGTTGGTGTTCTGGACTCCAAGTCGAGAGGTCCAGGTTTGGATGGGCCACTTTGCTTGAGTGTAGATGTAATCTACTGAACAAAAGCAGAAGAATGCCTAATCACAGGTTACTTTTGAGAAAGATATATTTATTAGAAAAAGAGGTTTTAATGAGAATGTAACATACATCATTCAATGAAAAATTGTTTCTGCCCAACAATTTCTTGCTTGTTTATTTCTCAAGGTTGTGACTGGACTGCTCAGAAGAAGTGATCAGGTTGGTTGTTGTCAAACAGTGGAATATAAATCATGATATTTCAATTTTTATGTTGGTAAAACTTTAAATTGTACTCATTTATAGGTGTGTTATTTCTAGGAAGAAATTTCCAAGATTCCTATCGGAGTGATTCCTCTTGGAGCACATAATTCTCTCTGTAACAGGATATTTGCAAACAAAGATGCTACAGAAGCCAGGTAAGGAACTGTTAGCAGTTACACCCAATTTGTGTGCAGTTATTGTTGTTGTTATTGTTGTTGTTGTCCTGTGCTTGTTATTATATTAATTATATTTGAGCATGAAACATTCAACCCTTTGAAAACTCATAAGATTCCATTCATAACTCTCTTCTCTAGGTACTGTGTTTTTTTTAAATTTAGCAAGGAGAATTTGATGTACAATCAAATTTATGATGGTGTGAGTGATAAGTTTTCCAACAGGGTTTGTAAAATTCTTGAATTTTATTTTGATATTAAGGTTAAATTTGGAGTCATGGAGAAAATTGATCTGAGTCCTGGAAAAGTCCTTGAAGTTTGTTTCTGAAATAGGGTACAAACCATGTGTCTATACTTGTTAACTTTTGGTATGATAGCCTGTTCCAGACATCCAGAATGTAAATGAGGCACAATTAGTAATAATAAATATTGCAATAGTGGCAGAGGAGCAAAAATTTAACAGAGGTTTTGGTCTGGTTGTGTAGTGGACCTGAGCTAAACCTATCATGCTTTTTCACTCCACTACTTCTATTGTGCTGTTTTCTATTTTGCTCTGTTTTACCAACTGATTGCTTGGAATGGGCTTTTACCAAGACAATTTATTTATATTGAACATTAAAAATTCCATTTTTTTACAGGAGGATTGGAAATGCGACATTGGCGATTGTGAAGGGATACATTAAACCAGTAGATGTCATGGAAATTAAGGTTGAGTTATGATAAAAATTTTGTATATTCTTGTTGACATTATCGAAAAGTGATTATTATAACAATACTGTTGTGTTTGTGCTCCTGTTAAGGGTGATGAAGGTCGTTGCACATTTGCTATGTCCAAGCTTCATTGGGGTGCTTTTAGAGATGCCAATGAAAAGGAAGATAAGTGAGTTGTTTCAGGATATTCATGACAGTTTCTTTTGAGTATGTTTTTCTGTTATTGTATACTTGAGTGTTGGTGCCTTTCACGGCATTTATGAATAACAAAAATTGACTTTATTCCTTGTTTGATAAGGATGGGTATCTGTGATCAGGTGTTCTTTGGGCAGGACATGAAATAATAGCAATGCTATGCAAATGCAATGCTCCTATGCTCCTATACTATGCTCCTGCCCAAAAAAAAGGGCCAAATTACAGGTGTTATAAAGCAGTTTTTTTTATGTGTGATCAGTCTCTTTTCAATTATTTGAGGAAGATTTTGGATCGTGGGCCCATTCAGAAGAAAACTTTCCTATCTTGTGGCAGCTGTGAAGGTATGTTCAGTCTGTTTCTCCCCATTTTTCTAACGTTTGCTTCTAACTGAGACAGGAGAGTAATTTTTTTTGCCTTAACCATGTAACTTACAAAGGAGATTAACTTGTAACTTCTGCAAATTTCAAAATGAAATTCTCCAGCACACATGTGGTTTTTTCTTGATGTAACAATTAAATCCCTTTAACCCTCTAAGTCCCAAGATCTGATGGCTTGCACCATCACTGCTCCCCCCAAACTTAGGAATTTGAGGGTGAGAATTTCATTTTATGTGTTTTTTAAAGTTTCTTTTTTTCATGCAGGACTGGCCCCCTTTCATTGATACAATACTATCATACCCAACAACGTCAACAGAGGTTTCATCAGACTCACAGCAAGGGGTTATGCCCCATGGTTTTGCAACTGCCAATGGTGAGAGCCTCAACCAGGCACCACAAAGGTGTCTTGATGATGAAAAAAGCTGTGACACCATCAGTGATGGATGGATTACCAGTCCCATCCAAACATTTGGCTTGTCTGTGGAGCCATTCAGGACAGAAGATTACTTGGTAGGCGACATTCTTGGAATACCTTGATGATATTATACTCAAGAGGAAAATGCAAACCATTACCTAAGTCTGTTAGTATTGTTAAGTTGTGTGAGCTATAATTATAATATTAACATTTTCATTTGTGGGTCAATTTTGCAGAAAACCGATGGTTTCCTCAGAGTAGATGTCTGGCCATCAGATCTCAGTAAGACTGAGTTTATTCAGAGTGGGTAGGTTATATAATAAAATTTTAATGTTTTGAACCCTTTATAACTCCCAGAAGTGATTAACATGTAATTTCTCCCTATAATATCCATGTTATCTGGAAAACAGGTTACGTGAATGCTCAAACTTATTGGGTAGAAGTTGTTATCTTGATTGAACACCAAACTCTTTTAACTGATTTACAAGGAAAAGTGTACTCGATGGAGGGGAGAATTAACATTCAGATCTTGGGAGTTAAAGGGTTAACAGCTCAATGTGTAACCAAGTCTCAGTTGGTTTTAGCTTGGGATCTGATTGGTGAAAAGAGTGGGATAAGTTTTTCCAACAAATCACACAGAGAACTCAATGAATTTAAATTGACCATCCTAGAATTCCTCAGACACTCAACATAAAATTGCTACAAAAAAATTAATTGGTTACCAGGTATAAAAATCACACACCATTTGATTAAATTGAGTATCGAGAGATTGTCTCTTGACCAGGACATTTTTTCTTTCAATCTGATAGGTGGAAGATGGAAAAAGAGGAAAAACAACACAAGTTCCAGATGGCTGAGTCACCAAGTAATAGTCTATGTGAAGTTATCAGTAATTAATACATTTACCATGTAATGATGAAAATGATTAGCTATTTAATACATAAAGAATAAAATAAATGGTTTCACTTAGATGTGGCGTTCTCTTTGAGTTTAAAACTCAATATCTCCTGAGTGGCAGGAAAGGCAAGTGATGTGTCAGCAGCTGATTGGTGATATCAAACACACTGGAAAAAATATCATAATTTTCATGTGTGCTGTTACAGCTTTTCTCAGGGCTGGAAATCCTTATAAAACACTGCAGTTTATATTAGATATATTGTTATGTTACTTCTGATCTCAAAAATTTTCTATTTCAGGATGCAAATCCCTGAAGTTAAAACAGCTAAAACTGGAGCCAAAGGATGAAAAGGTACATATAGTTTCACTTTCAGATGGTGTTGACCACTTGTCTGTGAAATAATCCATTGACCGGGCAACTCTTTTGGCTGACGTGAGCTATCTAATGTTTCCTTCATTATTCGTAGCTGTCATGGTTTTCAATTGATGGGGAGCCATTTGAAGCAAGAGCAATAACAATAACACTTCTTCCAAACAAGCTTCAAGTCTTCTTCAATCCACACAAAATTCTTGAAAGTTGAGCTGTTGTGTTCGTAACAGATGTGTTTAGTGAAGAAGACATTAGATCACTGAATGGTCAAGACTGAATGCTTTCCTGTTGTCAAATTTTATTGTTAATAAATAAATGTAAATTGGTATTCTGAAAAGAACTTTCCATTAAATGAACATTGTTACGGAGAAGAGTGGCACTGATAAATGTAGCAAAATAATGTAAGGCGTTCTCTGGAGTAAAACTTGACTTCACTACTAATCATAAACTCCCTTAAATTGGTCTAAAAACACAATTTTAGCAAACATCAAACAAGTAAGGGGCTGACCTTTTGTAAAGCTCTGGCAGAAACTCCCAAAGCTGTTGTCTGTCTTTGTGTCTTAATTCACATTTATCTTTTCAGTTATTACATTTGATTTATTGTGTTCTTATTTCTTGTTACATACACCTTATTTGATGGTGTAACATATAGCATGCCCATGAGTTGCAGACAGAACTTGAAAAATATGGGCAATGAGCAAAATATCTGTATGTATTAAATGTTAATCCATCAGTTAAGGGATTCATTCTTTCACAAAACCATTTATTACCAGTAAGTGTCCTTCATGAGGAACAAAAGAGATCAGTTTCACTTAAATGTTTGTCTTTCAAAAAGTGAAGCCGAAAGGATTAAAACAAATTAAAATTAGGATCGTTTGTTGGTGCGGCCATTTGGTGACTCTCCTTTCCGTCTGTATTTTTTCATCTGCATTTTTGCTGTTTTACAGTGTAATGCTGTTTCCCTTACACAGTACAATGGTGTAATAGTATAAATTAAATAAAATTAGTTATTGATTAGCATGGTTCCTGCCATTGACCAGAAGCACAAATTTAATTAAGCCTAGGCCATTCCAAAACCAATGGTATCAGTCATGCACCAAACTAGTATTTTTTTAACACAACAATCAACTGAGTAACTAATGACAAAAGTTTTTATTTCAATAATAATAGTAATAACAATAAGTCCTACAATTCTGCATGGCTTAATCTTGGACCTCTTCTTTTCTTTTTCTCTTTTTTCTTTTTGTTAGAAGACTTCTCTTTACTCTGAACATCTTTCAAACCCTGAAATTTAATGAAAACATGTTACATCATGATTGTAGATATATGACAACCATATATGTGCACTGTGGTGAAGAAACGAATATAAGAGATCTTTGCAGCTATGAACACTACTGAACTAGTAGTTGAAATAAGACCTGAAAAAAATTCAGGCCCATACTGTATTTGAACCCATGACCTCTGCGGTACCGGTGCAGCACTCTACCAACTGAGCTAACAAGCCAACTGTGAGCTGGTCATTATGTTGGATCCAAATAACCCATCCAAGTGATGAAATAATGATTGAAGATATATGAAAATCATACATGTGCACAGCAGTGAAGAAACAAATGTAAGAGATCCTCGCAGCTATGAACACTACTGAACTAGTAGTTGAAATGAGACCTAAAAAAAAAAATTCAGGCAGTTGGCTTGTTAGCTCAGTTGGTAGAACACTGCACCGGTATTGCAGAGGTCATGGGTTCAAATCCCACACAGGCCTGAATTTTTTTCAGGTCTAATTTCAACTACTAGTTCAGTAGTGTTCATAGCTGTGAGGATCTCTTATATTCATCATGTTACATCATTTTTTCCATGCCTTGTCTAATTCAAATATAAAAAAAAGAACCTAAAATGAAATTGCAATACCTCTTTGTGTCCAACATGCCTATATGGATTGATGTAGTTTGGATCTCTTGGTACAAGTCTTAACTCTTGTGCCATCTACCATCAAAAACAAGAAACAAACTCATCACTTGGTAGAATAAGACTTTGAATTTTGTTGCACAGGATGCACCACTTCGTAACATGCCACATCTTTAAAATATAACTCACCAAATGTAATAACTTGGAGTCTGTTTCATCATAAATTTGTGTTTCATTGCAAAAGCTTAGACTCCATCTGGCCAGAAGTTCCCATTCTTTGGATTTAGTGTACACCTTAAGGAAATAGAATCATGGAACAAAGCATATTTGGATCACTCTTTTTTTCACCCTCAACTCTGGGTATGTGAAATAGTATGAACAAATAAAAACACATCTTAAATAGACATTAATTCTGGGAAGATATACTGAGAACTTGTACTCAGCCATTTAAATTACCCCCAAAATGCCTTCCTTTGAGCTGCAGAGGCACACTTCTACAGCAAGAGAGGCAAAGGGGGTGTGCTGATTCTGTTTTTAGAAAACTTCATGCATCTTGTGTACTTTAATCAGTATTTCACGCACCACAAATTTCAAAGGAAAAACTTCAAATCTCATTTAACCTTGTCTTTCTGTGAAATTCATGAGTAACACAATAATTTTGAACTCAATCATGTGTCACGTATGAACCTTTTTCTACCCTCAACACTGTGTTGATGGTATGATCTTACCTTGTATGTTATATCAGGTAGTCGCAGAAGAATATCTCCAAACAGGGCAGTATTCTCCAGAACATTTGCTAAAGCTGGAAATAGTAATAAATAAGAGATGCATTTTTGTGGAGCAGCAAAAGTGAGAGAAAAGGAGAAAGCAATACACTTTGGAAAAGCTTTGTCTCTCAGTTCTCTTTCAGTTCTACTATTTCACTAAGACTCTAACCCCATTTTTGTGTTTATAGATGTCTACTAATCAAAAGCCCTTTCTATCAGGGTTACAACCATTTACCTCTGTGTAAGAACCAGTAGAAATCGCTACATTGTTCATTGTTCTGGCAGTGCAGTGAAATCTAAAATAAGTGAACATCAAAGGATTTTAAATACCTTCTAACTCTGATTTTTCTGTAGGAAAGGCTTGTCCAGGTATGTAACTTGATGCTGTTACTTTCACCTTTGCATCTTGTAATACCTGTGAAGCAGAGGATGAAATATTTTACTGTTTGATATAAAAGTTGGAGTAAATTCCATTAATTATTTTACACCAGTAATAAAATATAACAGAAGTCATGTTCCTGAAATAAAATGTATTTTAAGAAGCAAGAATACTGATTAATAATGGTAATGACAGAAGAGATTGAAATCTTGACCATAGATTTAAAAGAGTCAGAGATATAATCACATAATCCATTGAAAGTTTCTACAAATAACATGAAAAGAATTTTAAAAATAACATGAAAGTTAATATTGAGTCTGAAAAGTTAAACAGGACAATGCATGTGAACCCTTTTAATTAAATCCCACAAGTGACCAGGACAGAATTGCTCCTTACAATATCACTACAATATCAGGCAAAAAGTAATTAGAATAAAAAAAATCAATCAGGAGATTATTAGTTGATTCAGTTGTAAATTCTCTGCACCATCATCATAGGAATTGTATGGCAGACAGTAAGGAGAATTATGTAATGAGATCTTAACCCTTTGACTACCAAAAGTGATTAACAATTGACTTCTCTCTATTGTATGCAAACATTATCCACCAAACAGCTAGTGAGAATACTCAAACTTATCAAGTACAAGATATCTTGATTGAACATCAAATTCTCTTAACCAATTTACAAGGAAATGTATAGCAGCTAAAGGAGAGAATTATCAATCAGATCTTGGGAGTTAAAGGGTTAAGAGTGAAAGCGTCCCTAGACGCTTGGTGCTCTCCCTTTTGACGGGAATCAAACGTGTAAATATGGGTAAATATAGCCACTTTACTAATAAAATTATAACTTAATCCCTTGAACACTGCATCGTCTCACGCCTTCAAATGGAATTGCATTTCAACGAACAAGGTCTCAAACCAACACTTATTTAACTCTAAAAGTGTTAGCGAATGATATAGTCCATTCAACCTCAGTTGCAATAAAGGAGACCATCCACTCACCGTAAACAATTTTTCAAGAACAATTTCAACCATTTTATATTGTTTGGAGTAGTCATTAAGTTTTAGTATACTCTCTGCAGCGAAAGTTTGCTCTGCGCGTTTTTGCTTAAAAATCGCACGATCTGAAAAGCTTGAGTCAAGGAAACTCGCAAATGTGACTTTAATATTTAGGCTTGATTCTGATTAAAAGTTACCGCTGTGTTAAAAGGATACAAATTGAGATTTGCGCGTCTTCTTTGACCGATGATTTATCTTTTGCTGATCTCTCTGTAGTGTTGCTAATTGACTCCTCGTTTGCCAAAACAGAAACTGATGCATACATAACAACGAAAAGGCAATCGAACAAAGAAGGCTTCATGGCTTAGCTCTCCAGAATTATTTCTAAAAACAAAAGATGGCGCTCGTCCACATGGCTGAGCCTCAACTCCAAGTTTTTAGGAACCCTCCCACCCTACCCCTACTGAGTTCTACGTAAAGCTCGCACCCAGGCCAGATCTTCTGCACTAAGGCATAGAGAGCTCTCATAGTGTTCAAGAATGTTTTAATGTGGGTATCGATTCGTCTGAAAACAATAATAAAGAAATAGCCGAAAGAAATGAATAAACGAGCAAATGAATAACCAAAACATATCTAACTGGTGTCATTTTTTATTACGTTTGTTTGGCAAGCGTAAGAGGCGAAAGGAGCGGGAAGCACAGGTGGAGGAGCGTGGAAAAAAATGACGCCCGTCGTTAGTTTTGTCGCGCTCTTTCCTGTTTTGCGCACTTCCTCACACTCGCCTCGCATTTAACTGAGCTGGTCTAAAAACGCAAAAAATTGCCGCCTATCGTCTTTTATCTCACTTCTTCTCTCGCTCATGCTCTTTTCACGCTCGCCTCGCGCTTGCATCAGCTTGACTGAAAACATGTAAATCGCGTCTGTCCAGTAGGGTAAGGAAAATTCAATATTTCTGTGGTGAATCACAAACAATTACAACATAATCACCTAACAAAGCCCTCCCTCTCTCTTACAAGACCCGTTTCCGCCTGACGAAAAACCCCTATAGTGAAAACACAAGCTAAAGTAATACTATATAATTGCTATGCTTATCATTCTACCTTAAAAATGTTATACTCTCGGGCTAGATGGTGTTTCAATTTAAAGAAGGCTTGTCTAAAAACTAACTCCCATACCTCTTTCAAATGTCTCGTGTTTTACATTGAAGTAAATGAACATTGAATGAGGCGTCCATAGAGACCGTGTGACAGCAACAAGCAACTAGTAAACAGGAACCTTTTTATTTTGGGGAAGCGTGAAAAATGTAACAGTGAAAGAAAACGCAGTCAGGAAAGTAGAGAAAAAAGAGAATGTTTGATTAGAGAAATTTGATATATCTGCAAAAAATTATAAATTAACGTTCTAATGCCAACTAGCTAAAAGAGGTAAGCAGTCTTCAGCGATAACAACTACAAGAATCTGATACACTGGAATGAAAATACATTTTCACACATACATTTGCGTATTTGTACATATAAGTTATCAGTAAGAGACGAGAAATAACCGTTTTGTGACACACACATGCTCTTGTTTTTATTTTAGTATTTGAAAACTAAAAAAAAATCTTAGAAATAAGCAATGGTCATTTAATGTAAGCTCTACAGCTAAGGTGCTAGTTGTTCTCACTCCAAGTTGCTCAGAGCCATTCTTTCATCTTCTTTTCCCTCTTTTATTCCCAGCTGGTGGCCTCTGAAGTTGAAACTTAGGTTGTGCACTAAATGCTGATGTTCCGGCACCAAATGTACTGCCCCCAAGGCCTGTCCCAGGGGAGCCAAAAGCCCCTCCTGAGGGGGTCCCTAGAGATGGGGTGCCAAATCCCCCAGTGAGACCAGTAGAGGCCCCAAGTCCGGTGGTCCCTAAAGTACTAGTGCCAAGGGATGACCCAAATGTGCTGGCCCCTGTTAGATTTGTACCACTAAGTCCTGGTGCAGTACCAAATGGGTTACCTAGGGAAGATGTTCCTGTAGCTCCTAAAGATCCTGCCAACCCTGTTGTATTTGTCTGAAGAGTGTTGAGGCCAAATGTTGGAGCTTTTAAACACAAGAGAAAAGCAACATTTGATATCAATGCAGTCATGGTGGGTAAAAGAAATGTTTATGAAGCTACACAGTATTCAAAATACATGGAAAAATTGGGCACAGCATTTTCCAGCTTTACATGTGTACCTCCTAATAATGTGCTCTTTCCACACTGACTAAATACATTACGTAAATATCATGCTACCTCTCCATACCTGCAATATTTGCCGTAGCCACACCCAAGGCTGAGTTATTGGGTAATACCCTGAAAGGGCTGGGGCCAAGTCTAAATTCTGTACCTGATAAATTTTAATAAAAATAAATTATTTACTTTAGAAAAGTTTCCAAGATTCAAACACCCGGGAGAGAAAGTTTTACTTCATTAGTATGTATCACCTATTGACAAAAAATAGTAGTTCAGTGATTTCAGACACTAAAACTGAAAACGTCTTCTTTTAAGTTCCTCATAACACTGTTCCAGACCAATGTGGGTCTACTTGAGGGTCTGTTTGTAACAAAAAGTTAATAACATAGCCAAAAAAATTTGCAACCTTCAGGGTTATCATTGGAAAATGTAAAAGATGTATCATTTGAACTGAGTAGGTGGCTAAATTAGCAAAAAAAAACCCTGCTTGGGGGTTTGGGGCATGCTACCCCAAAAAAAGTTGAAGTTTGAAACTCTCTGAGATGTGACTTTTGGCATTCTGGGACATATTTGAGTAATTTTTTGAAGCCAGACATTAATGTTAGAATGAGTTAAAAACTACCTATTTTCTGTCTTTGATCACAATTAATGAAGTGACAAGTGCAATGGTCAGACAGGTGGTGGATTTCCCCTGTCTTCAGGCTTCTTATGACAACAGTGAACTGTATGTGCCTAACACTTACCAGTCTTTGATAAATCCTTTGAGCTGTATGAAAAAATATCTGTACTGTCTTTAAAGTACGCTCTTCTGTAGTTAAGGTAGTGTTCTTTTTGCATCTGTAAGAAATTTAAAAAAAAAAATGTTTGACACGAGAGCAGAATAAGAGTCGTTGTTGCCCTTGTTGTCTTTCAGTCTAAGAGACAGAGAACAGATAAAAAAGATCATAGAAAACAGGACAATTAAAATGTGGCTGAACTTTCCTCATTAGCTGTTTTTATCTACAACAAATTGTGGCATGAGCCACCTACCAACATGACATATCAATAACACATGACATTTGGCTTGAAATTTGTACCTTCACAGCTTCATGGATTTCATGTAGTTTGGCTGCTAAAGCAATAAACGTTTCATGCACTTTGTGCATAACCTCAGAAAGATCTGAGTAAACAAAACATAACAAAACAGAAAACACAACTAAGTATTTCTACTCGCAAAGGTGACCAAAATGGTAATACATTTAAGTGGTAAGTGTTATTATTCAGAAAAGTACAGAGACCAATATTTAGGATGATCCCGTGACACCTACATTGCAGCCCTGCAAGTTATGACCGAATTACGGTCAACTTGCCGACGGACCAACTCGCCGACGTATAAAATCGAGTAGAGACGTCGGTGAGTTGGTCCTCAGTCCAATACAACTTATTAGAAGTTAAACATACAGAAAAGTAAACGATATTTAGTAAAAAAACACTGGTGAACAGTGGTGAACATCAAACAGAAGCTTAAACATCGGTGAACATTGGTGAACATCACCAATGACTATAACATAAAATTGGGATCAGAGAAAAAGTCAGGATAATCTAGAAATTTGAATAATCAAGGTCGGGATAATCAAGGTTCCACTGTACAAAGAGATCCTCTGTAGACATGCTCAATACACACCTTGTGGGGTCAATGTTTGCCCTTGGGATATGGAAGCAAGATGGCTCTCCATAATCTCAATCTGTATCCTGTACATCAACATCCTTTGTTCAAATGACTCTACCAAGCGCTGAAAGTACTCCTGAGGTGCCACATTCTCGTGTTGCAAGGGTTGAGGAATATCATTGGTTCTTTGTGCAATTTCAGCGTTTTTCAGCTCCTAAATATCAAATCAAAGTTTTGTTTTCCCAAGTTCATTTTTAAAAACAAGGAGTGAAAGCCATAACAAAAAAATTGCCCATGTTTTGTGCAACTTCTACTTCACAGTTATCTGAAAAGAAAGAGTGATACAAAGTTTCATCCCTTTTCTTTGAAAAAGTGTATTTTATTTTCTAATGCTCAACACCTGAAGGATTCTTTTTTGATAAAAACAATAAAAAAGTGGCCAATGTTAAAACCATGTTGACATAGTCTTCTCTAAACACTGAGGTAGAGGGGAAGGGAGTTGGGACAAACTCCTACGATAAATAACTAGCAAAAATCCTCGCAACCTCTGGATGCTTAGATAAGGGTCTGTAAGCACAGTTAACTTTCTCTTTTGCCTAAAAGCAAAGAAACTCACCTTGGATACATCAATTTTGAGGTTTTCTACGGAACATCCATCTCGCTGAATACTGTTGGACACCAAGGCTAGAGCCTGTCTTAGGGCAATGGTTTCTTCTCTTACTTTATCTAATAAACTCCCTGATGCTCTGGAAATCTCATCTTTGTGTTCCTTTTGTTCTTTGACATATTTTCTATGACAAAAACAAACAGCAATTAAGGTGCTTGAAACGTTAACTCCTCTGCCAGTCAACTATTCGAAATCCCAAAAGCTGTGAAGATATGAATTTCAAATACTAGTGATCTATCATAGTGGTGGATAGCTCTTATCACAAATTAATATTGCTGCAGATGAACAGAGGATGACAAAATGTTAGCCAGATTTTTTTTGTGTTTTATGGTAAGACAATCCACTCTCATTATGCTCCTCTCTACCCAGGAGTATGGATTGGTACCATTTAATCCTGAATGTTACTTCTCCCTACTAGCTGCTACACATTTCTGTGTTAATTAGTTATAGGAATTTTGTGGTAGATCAAGAAAACAACTTTTACCTGATAAGTTTGAGTACATCCACTCCCTGTTTTCTGAATGTTATTCAGATATTTTAGGGAGAAGTTAAATGTTGGGGAACTCTTGCAAGACTGCTAAGGGTTATCTTGAATGGACAAGAATTTTATACTAGAAAGAGTCACAAAACCATACTGGGCTTGGGAACTTCAAGCTTTAGAAATTCAGGTTACCTTTTGCAAAATGAAAAACAAAGCATCAAACTTAACCATTCTTTCAATATAGTTGATGTTATTACTGTTATCCTTGTAACTATGATTGAGACTTAATTAAATGACAGACACAGGCATCACATTGATGAAGTGTCCTTGAAACTTACTTGATGTGCTCTGCAATTTCATTCAAAGTATTAGGCAAAGGTGTATCTTTTACATCACTGAGACAAAATTTAAAAAGAGATCACTGATTTAATTCCTGAGCAAGCATGTCCCATCACATATCACTTAACAGTACTAGATTGAGAGATTACTTCCTTTCAAAATTGGGCATATTCAAATTACCATCAAGAGAAAGACTCAAACCTTACAGATGGTTCACACATTCCAATAAGCTTCCCCCTCTCTGGTAAGCATGTTAAATTTTTGTTAAGTGCCCCTGTTGCACAAGCACCCTCATTCCAATAAGCTTCCCTATTCTGTTTTTGTAAAAGCATTGCTAGCAGTACACTCCCTACCATTATTATACAAATATTCACTGTACATTTTTAAATTAAATTTCAGGGCGTGAAATTAATTTTTTTTTCTGATAGCCACTTGGCTCCTAAATTCTTCAAAGTGGTAGCCAATTCAAAAAAAGTTGGTTGCCATTTTCAAAGGCAAACAAAACCTTTTTTTACGCTGTCAACGTTCTAGATAGACCCTCCAAAATTAATTTAGGGAAAAGATCTAACGTTCTGAAAAGTGGACACTAGGATGGATGATATACAACGTTCAAGCTCACCTAAATCCAAGATGGCGTCTAGTTATCGATTGAGATGCGTGTGCTGAGTTTTGGAAACATACTTAACAAGGAAGTTTGCCACAGATTTATCTTTGCAAATCTTTTTGATTCACTATGTCTCTCGGTATGGTTGTGATGAACATTCTAGTCGCCAATTTGGCAACTAATTTTCAAGATTTGGTCGCCAAATTGAAAAATTTAGTCGCATTGGCGCCTGTATTAGGCACAATTTCACGCCCTAAATTTACAGTTTACAAATAAACATCAAAGCTTTGTTTCTCACATTCTGTTGTTTCTTAATCCTTTAACCCCTATGAGTGACTAACATCTAACTTCTCCCTACAACATCACTCCTGAGTGAAAGATTAAGGTCATGAGAACAAAGGAGATGATCACCAACTTAAGAAGCTCTTGATGGTTAAACAAATTCTCCTTGTCAGCACCTTAGGAAATGTTTAGGGAGCAGTGTGGAGAATATGCATATTGACGTTAGGGAGTAAAGGGTTAAAAAAGAAATAAGCACCCTGTCTCTAGTAAGAACCCTGTTTTGAATAAGCTCATTGCAGTAATGACTATTTTGGAAAAAGATAATCCCTTAAGCTAGGTAACATGATCTGTATACATGTACTAGGAAAGATAATATCTGGGACTTGGTTAAAATTTAGATATTGTCAACTTACCCCTCTCTCCCTGTGACACCACCAACTGCGCCGGTGACTCCACCACTAGTGCTTGTGCCAGTCCCACCTAAGCCAGCTAGGGTGGTTGAGGCTACAGTACTTGTAGCCACTGTAGTTTTTACTGCACTTAAACCTGTAAATGTACCAATACCTGTGCTACTACCCAGTCCTAACCCAACACCAGTTGAAGAAGTTCCAAGCAATGTTGTTTTGGTTGTCGTTGCAGTGTTTCCTTTAAACAGACTACTCCCCAGATTAAGTCCTGTTGTTGCAGCAGACGCCGGTGTTGCCCCCAAGGTAAAACCAGTACTTTGTCCTAATTGGCTGGTTTGTCCAAATGTTCCCAAGGTAGAAGCTGTTGCCGTGGTTTTCGGTGCGCTAAATACAGAAAAAGTTGCTGTTGAAGGGGCGCCTACAGCACCAAATTTGAATCCAGAAGTGGCCCCAGTAGAAGCGGCCGTTGATTGACCAAACGGCGTGCTCATGGTCGATGAAGTAATAGAAGCTCCGAAGGGTTTAATAGCGGAAAATCCGGTTCCACCTACCGAAGTACCGGTCGAAGTACTAGTACCAAAACTTAGTGTTCCAGTGGTACCGCTTCCGAAAGAGAAACCTGTCGAACCGCTGCCAAAAAGACCTCCAGTTGTGGCCGCCGCCATTTTGATTTTGATTTCCTGGAGACAATTGCATTCGATACATCAGCCAATCAGAACGCTTGTTATAAAATTCATCAATTGCATCACGGGATTGCAGCTGTACCATTTAACATGGCGGCCGGCGGAGGTTGGGTAACTGAAGCGATTGGAACTCTGGAAATTTAGGTAGAAATATAAATTTCCTAAAAGATCCGAGGAGTACGATTAAAGGAGGAATTCTTCGTATCGGGGATGGATCTAATAAAGACACCAAAGGTAAATTAAGGTGACGTCCACACTTAGAAATAGATCCAATTTCGGCATCGATCACATGACCGGCATTTATGCAGCCTTCAGCCCATTTTATCCATCCAAAGAAGAATACTTTTATCTAAAAGTTTTGGAAAATACTGGAAAAGTGTTTTTAGCCAGATTTAATTTCGAGAGATTGGAAGAAATCAAGCCGAAGATTGACAAGTTCTCGTTGATTTTCTTATTTTTCCTCCTCACGCAACTTGATTCACATGAATGCATCTAAATTTTGTCTGCATATTACTCAGACACTAATATTGAATAACATTCTGGTGAAGCGTAAGTTGCTTTTTTTAACCGTTAAGACACCAGAATGCCTTTTTTTGGCTCCTTGATCTACTACATACTGAAACAAAATTAGAGTTTCCTGAGATACATCTTCTATTGTACCATCCTTCCTTCAGAAATAGACGTTAATTTATTGAACAATAATTAATACAAGATAAATAACAGTGGACGAGACTATAAGTAGGCAGCTGCAAGAACCAGAAATAGGGCTCCCTGTTAGAGTTTTTGGTGAGATTTCTCTATAGCCCTATACTTCATTCATTGTGACTGCAGTTCTTGGATGAAGAAGACAATGGAAAAAACAACAGATTGTCTTTGGCATAACAAGACTGTGTTTTACAATGGTATAGGGTTGTGGAGAAATCTTACTGAGTTTTTCAGAAATTGGGTTTTATGTAGATAGATAACTTTATTTCTGCACAGTAAAATCCTTCAGCACAATCTAAGAGTATGGAATATCAAATTCTGCCTAGCTAAACAAACTAATAATTAATGCAATATGATAGGAATAAAACTGATTAATTCCAGCTGCTTTTTGAGGATGCTGTGTTTCATTCAAAAGCTATAATGCCACATAATACTTTTAAATTCAATTTAAAAAAATGTTGATCTGAGTTCATGGAAAAGACTGTTCCACAACAAAGCACCCCTATGGAAAATCTTCTCTTCAATGATGTTGTGATGAAAACAGCAATGAATGATTTGAAACCTGTTTTTCTCGTCTAAGAATAATAATAAATGTCTTTATTGCTCATTAGATGAAAATACATATCTAATGTTACAGGATAAAAAGATTCAAGGTGCAGCCAAAAATTAAAATACAAGAAAAAGAATAAAAAGGTCAAACTAGATACAATATATCTGGCATAAAATATCATAAAAGGTTGTATTTATAAATTAATCTATTTACAAATTAAAACCTGCAGTGTTTATATTAGGCCATTGGCAGCTTTTATGTAGGTTAAATTGTTCTTTTCTTGCCATAAGCAAACCTTCAGAGGCTGGTTTTCATGCTGTTGAACTATTGTAAGAATTTGTTACTCTTTTCCTGATACATAGATTGAAAATGTCCGTTTAATGACAAAGAATGGAAAAAGGAAGGTTGCAGTGGGTAATTTATACCTTACAGCTACTCATCTAATATTTGTTGATCCAGATTGCTCCAAAGAAACATGGGTAAGTTAGAACTTGGCACATTGGAAAAGGGAATGTAAAAATTAACTTTTTTACAAACCCTTCATCCCCTTCCCCCTTCCCTCCTTGCTCACCAGCTCTTCTCAAAACAAACAAACTAAAAGACTTTCAATCATATGGCATTTCCAGTTATAAGTAATATTTAATGTGCTGAGCAAAAGAATGCTTCCTTCAGTTTTTAACATACCTGCTTTGTATTTGTTAGCTATGTGGCTTTCGGGCTCAATTTCTTCAATTTCGTTATTTAACTCTTCAACTCCCAAGATCTGATTGATAATTCTCCTCTCTAACTACTACACATTTCCTTCTAAATTAGTTACGAGAACTTAGTGCTAGATCAAGATAGCAGCTTCTACCTGATAAGTTTGAACATTCTCATTACCTGTTTGCTGAATAATGTATGGATATATAAGGCAAAGTTTCATGTTAATCACTTGTGGGAGTTAAAGAGTTAAAGGTTTCCTGTGAAGATAATTTCTTGAATTACATAATTTATCATCTGTATCAAAATATAATTTGTTACATTTAATTGTGATCATATACGTGTATTCTCAAATGCATTTTATTTTTATAGATTCTACATTCCCACATTGCATCAGTGGAGAAGCTTCCCCTCACAGCAGCAGGATCACCTTTGAAGATTCGCTGCAAGACATTCTTGATTGTGACATTTGTAGTTTCAAGAGACAGAGATGGCCAGGAAATTTACACTTCATTGTTACAACTATCTAAACCAGGTAAAGTATGGTAAAAAACTCAAACACAATAAAGAAGTTTTAATTTGAGAAAAATTTAATTTGAGGAAACTAACAGTAAATTGAATGGCCAATCAGAACAAAGAAATATGTACTAGAAAAAGCCAATCAGAAATTGAAATGGAAATATTTAAACAACCTGATTTGCTAGAAATTTCAGGTGACTAGGTTTGAACTGGATAATTTGGTTTTATCAACTGAGTTGGTAATGTAAATTGGCCACAGTAAAGAGTTTTAGAGCTGATGTTTCAAATGTCTGCTTTAGAAATTCTTTACGGTGGCCAATTTACATTATCAACTCAGTTGATAAAATCTTTACCCCCTTTATTTAAGTCTGAATTGGTTTTAAGGGGAGTAATCTTCTTAAGAAACTGTGGTACTGCGTCAGCGGGGATTAGTTTAGAAAGTGGCATATTAAGTGGTATGCAAACATATGAGGGCCCTACTGAAAACCGCTGTGGTGAGTTGGGCTCCCTTGTTAATTATTATTATTATTATTATTATTATTGTTATTATTATTATTATTATTATTATTATTATTATTATTATTATTATTATTATTATTTTAATAACCAGTCACAGAGTGGAGAGTAGCAAATAAATTCAGTACTGGGTTACTAAAATTTAAAATTGTTTGGTAACATGTTTTATTATGGCTCTAGGAAGGTCACATTGTTTACAATACTTTTATGCATTGCCAACAAAAAATATGAAACACATGCCTAACTATTGTGGAGCCTGTGGCAATGATAAGATTTCTTTATATAACAGGGTACCATAGCAGTAGTGTTACTTGTCAAAATGCCAACTCCTGTAAGATTGAAAAAATGTTCAGAGTAGGGTTTGGAGCCAGCATTAACTTCTTAGTGAGCTTTGAAGCTATTTTTGTTTTTAGACTTTGATGGCAGTTAAAAAAAATAGACTGGGTGAGCAGCAAAGTTCCGAAAGGGATTGAAAGATCTAGTGAATAATGTTGTTTCAATTTCTCTTCATTACAGAGAAACTTGAAGACTTGTATGCCTTCTCTTACAATCCACAAAGTGAGCAGCTGACACGGTCTGCTGGTTGGGCCTTATTTGATATCAAGTCAGAATATGCACGTATGGGACTGCCAAACAATGAATGGTGTTGTAGCCACATAAATAAAGACTACAAAGTAAGACTAAGTACATAACTTCATTTTGATTTTAGTTTTTGAATTATCTGTAGACAGTCAGGTCTCTCTTAGTAACCCCTCTCTCTCAAGTATCCCCTCTGTAACCAAAATAGTTTTTTTTTCCTATGTTAATAATGTGCATGAAAAAATTACACACTTCTGATTGGCTGAAAATGAGTGCGTTCTCATGTAACACGAGTGTAAAGTTGTAACAAAAGAGCAAATTACAAATAGTGCAGGCATACTTTCAAAATTTTGTCAGGCTTGACTTTCTTTTGCAATTTGGTGTGATAAGCACATGTAAATTTACTTATGCTTATAACACCAAATTGCACTTGAAATCATGTTATTTCCTATACTAATTACTGTTTTAAACTCTCTTGCTCATAAGTCACCAATTCTTTTTTAATACAGGTCTGTGATACGTATCCAAGTGTTCTATATCTGCCCTCCGCTGCCTCCAACTCAGTTCTCATTGGTAGCTCAAGGTTCCGCAGTCGAGGCAGACTTCCAGCTTTATCTTACCTGTACAGGAATACAAAGGTAGAGGTTAAGCTGATACACTTTCCATAGTCTTTGTGGCAAGTAAATCTTTTTAAGCTCTTTGTAAAGCTTTTCATTTTCAGTAGGAAATGACAAGTTTTGCTAGCATAAATTAATGCCTATAAATTGTCTTTTGAACAAAATTTTGTTTCTTTTTTGTTTAGGCAGCAATCTGCCGCTGTAGTCAACCTCTATCAGGGTTTAACTCCAGATGTCAGGAGGATGAAAATCTAATTCAAGCCATCTCAAAAGCAACACCTGATGCTAAATATGTGTACATCGTGGACACAAGACCAAAGGTATGACAATTTTTTTAAAGTCCCCAGAAAAGTGCAGTAAAACAAAGTGGAGTATAATCATATGGAATGTGTGACATAAATGCATCATCATCATCATCAATGCTGGTCAAATGACTCACCTTTACTGTCTTTGCAGATCAATGCCATGGCAAATAAAGCAGCTGGGAAAGGATATGAAAGCACTGATTTTTATGAGAATGTCAAGTTTCAGTTTGTCGGAATTGAAAATATCCATGTTATGAGACAAAGTCTGCAGAAAATGATTGAGTGTAAGTACAGAATGTAAGAAGTCTGCTAGAGCTTGAAATCATCTTCTGTTTGTTAACCAGAGAGGCTGGGGCTGGTAGGGCCAAGAGGGAACTGGGTTCAAAAAATACCGCTGGTTGGGGAGGGGTGGGAGGGAGGTGGGGGAAGAAGGGGGGGGGCTGGGGAAGGAGAGTGGCAGAGGCTTTTAATAAAGGAATGTTTGGTCAACCATTAGGCTAATTTTCTTCAATTATTTCAGTGGATAATTTTTAGTGAACTATTAGGCAAGCCCTTCCCAACGCTTTTTATCCTGTGGCCCAGTTTCTACTTCTTTTTTTCATTAAGAGGTGCAATTGTTACACAAGGCAGGTCAGGGACTTGTAGAGAAAGTCCAGATATAGGATCATTTTTTGACAAAAATCACAGATGGCAGTAGCATTTGGAATAAACTTGATACCAAAGTTAATGTCCATGAACAATTTATCATCTCTAGTGGTCTGTGAGACACCTGACTTAACAGCCAAAGCTTTAGCCAATGGACTGGACAACTGTGGATGGATGAAACACATCAAAGCTGTGTTGGATACTTCAGTATTTATAGCAAAGGTATTGTTCTGCACCTTTTTGTTTTCACCAAGATTTTTGTACCTTGGTAATTGACTCCACCTTTTGCCGTATGGCTCTTGTCCAAGTTACTGAAAAATGTGTTTAATTTCAGGCTGTTGTAGAGGAGAAGGTCAGTGTTGTTGTTCACTGCAGTGATGGATGGGACAGGACTGCCCAGACTTGTTCTTTAGCAAGTATCATTTTGGATCCCTACTACAGGACAATGCATGGATTTCAGGTACATGTTTCACTCTTAACCCTTAAGAGTGACTGGCATCTAATTTCTCCTGACCATATCACCCCTGAATCAAACATTGAGGTCAGGGGAATAAAGGAGTTGATCACCGATTATAGAAGCTCTTGATTGTTAGACAAATTCTCCTTATCAGCACCTTAGGAAATGTATGAAGAACAGTGTGGAGAATGTGCATACTGATGTTAGGGTGTCAAGGGTTAAATTCCCAGAGGTGATTAACGTTGTAACTTCTCTCTATAACATCCATACATTATCCAGCAAACAGGTCATAAGTGACGTTCACATTGATAAATAGCACAATTGTTTGCTTCCAATTCTTTTGGTTTGATTTCAGTTCCATAGATTGTGTTACCCTGTGGTTCTCATTAAACCTCTGACTCTCTTCGTGACTAACGATTAAAAAAGTGGCCGTTTGCGCTGCAACTCTTTAAAAGCTACAATAAAATGTGTCTATTGTTTATGGTAAATACAGGTGTTAATTGAGAAAGAATGGCTTGCATTTGGACACAAGTTCACAGAGAGGTGAGAACAATTTCCATCGGTTACTTACTTGTGCTGTTTACATATGTTTACTTGGAGTTCTCATTGGCTCCATGCCTTGTTTTTCGTTCCTCTGATTTAGCGCCTCAAATTTTATTTTCATGACACTCGATCGGAATACATCATATTCCTATCATTCATTCTTCTCTTTTCAGATGTGGCTTTCTTCAATCAGATATTAAGGAGACATCACCAGTGTTTCTCCAGTTCCTGGAAGGAGTGTGGCAATTGCAGGAACAATTTCCGTTTGCCTTCCAGTTTAACGAAAGATTCCTTCTAACTATTCACGATCACCTATATTCTTGCCAGGTATATGAAAATTAAATTCCTTACTTTACTTCCTGTGAAATATTTAATATTCAGAGACGTCCAAGTTCAAAGACAACGCCTCAGTTCCTGTACGACCTGTAAGTAGTCGGTGAGGGGGCGGAGAAAGAGGGGAGTTTTTCACTCCTCCGAGATCTTGGCTGGATAGTAGTACCCAGTTCTCCGATATCTGACTCAACTTCAGACTAAAACATGCCAAGCTTTACACCCCTTTTCAGACCTGCTCTCTATACTCCATACCCGTTTCAGACCTTGCATAATTTCCGAAATAAAAAATGGGTCAAGATTCATCTAGACTTTGAATTGTCCCTCCTTATTAGCAAAGCCCGTCATGTGAGTTACACAATTAGAAAAAAATTCAGCGCTCTGCAAGGAATTTTTACACTATTTCTCGAGCCCCTCACTCCCATAGTTGCGTGTGGCACGCTAACCTTCATTTTTTTTGTTTTTGTTTTTGCTAAGTTTTTTGACTTGCGTAACGGACGTCGTCGAAAAGGAGGGACCTCTCGTGGTCTAAAATTCACCCGAAAATCTTTCCCTTTTGAGTAATTTTTGTTACTTTTCTTTCTCTAATGTTCTTTGGAGTTTTGAAGTAAGGTTAATACATTAGCCCTTTAACTTCCAAGATCTCATTAGTAATTCTCCTTATTGTCTGCCATACAGTTCTTGTGATGTTAGTTTGGAGAATTTGGTATTGGATCAACTTATAATTCCCTAACTGAAATTTTTCTTTATTCTCATCACTTTTCTGCTTGATACTATAAGGAGAAATTCTGTCTCGGTCACTTATGGGAGTTAAAGGGTTAACACGCTCTCGGAGTTTCCTGAAAACCAAACTTAATTGAAGACAATAGTGGTTAAATCCCATACCGCCTCTCAAAACCAAAAGAGTATAAAAGCATATCTCTGTGGCAACACATGCCCATGTAACTTAGATCGGGGAGGAACGTAACCCTTGAGGAAGAAGAACAGTGTGTAAAAAATCAATTTACGAGAAAATGGGCAAGAGTTCAAACTCCATAGAAAATATGTATTTAACTTGTTAACTGAACCACAAAAATGGGCTAAAATAAAACTCCCAGACTTCTATTTTCAACTTGAAGGTAGCTTTTTTAGGCTAGGGCTGGATTTTTTGTGTCCTGAGCCACTGGGATTCAAAGTATTTGATCTGACCCCAAGGAATTCATATGAGGGGGAATCTACTGAATTTGTTGTCTCTTTTTTCTTTAGACTATTGTTTACTAACTGTTCATCTAATATTTGCAGTTTGGGACATTTCTTGGCAACTGTGAGCGGGAGCGCAAAGAACACAGGTAGATCATGTAGTGCCGGACGTAATTTACGCCCCTAAGTAAAGTTGCCTGATAGTGTCCTTGATTACCTTCTAATAGAAATTTCCCAATGGCCTGACGAATCGTACGTCTTAAAGAATTTTGTTATAGAAAGCACTGTACAAATTTCTTTTTTTGAAGCAATGGTAATATGAAGCAATGTGAAGCAAGGGTAGGATAAAATATACATTCCGAGTTTAGTCTCTGCATCTTTCTATCGTTTGCTTTTTTTGCTGCAATTCCTGTTGAAAAGCCTTTTTGTATGGCTCACCATGCGCATGAGCTGAGTCGTTTATACCGCTGGAGCCTTTCCCGGTCTCATCATATAGCGTCCAGAAATAATGTTCCTCTCCCCCCCTCTGTGGATGCTACGTTTCCACTCAGCATTTTGTTAGTGTTTTTTTGACAAATTCTACGTTAGCCATTCATACTCTTCAGTGGAGAGAGGCATTGGGTATTGTGAGAAAAATGTCTTGACCTCGGCCGAAAGAACTAGGCTTCTCCATTCGAAATCTTGTTGTGAGGGCCACTCGTCCATCCACTATCGAAGGAGAGGCAGGGGAAGGGGGAGTTAGCTGAATCTCGAAGAGCAACACGCCAACACTAAGACTACAGCTTCTCTTAGTCTTGAAGTCGTAAGGCAGGTTGTTTACTCGAGGTCTAACCCAAACCGCGGTTTTACGCAGTCAGTGGGCTTCAGGGTTTCTCTATTGGAGGGGTTGATTTATTAAATAAATATCCTTCCACTTTTAGCTTTCGGCCCTCTTGGCACTGCTCACAAAAGCAAATGTTCAGATGAAAAGTTTAGCTAAATTGTGGAGTGTTTAGGACGCGGTTTTGTTAAACAACGGCTGAACTTTGTTTGAATGATGAGACCAGAGGGTTTGCAGCAATGTTGAGCTACCTCTTAATGTTTCTTTGCAGTTTACCCGAGAAGACGTATTCATTATGGGGCTACATGTGGCAAAATATCAGTGATTATGCCAATCCATTATACATGGGAGGCAAAAACGAGTTACTTTGGCCATCTACTTCGCCTCAAGCTCTCAAGTAAGCTAGAAATGTACACAATCAGTAGTAGAATTTAAGAGTAAGTGTGCGTGACAGAATGAACCAAACTTAGGTGACCTTCCCTTTTAATGTTTTTCGACTATGGCCTTTACTTGGCCTCACGTCCTCAAGTGAGCCAGAATCGCCAAAAATTGGCGATAAAATAGATAATCATTTTTAAACAAAGCGTGGCTCTGCGTGACAGATCGAACGAAATTTGCGTGACTTTACCTGTTCATGTTTGTCAACCTCGCCCCAAGCTTTCGAGCAGGTCAAAACTGTAAAATGAGCATCCGCAGAATGGAAAAGCATAAGCAAAGCTTGACCGTGCGTGACCATTCGTGACAATGTGAACCAATTTTTTTGTGGCTCTACCTTTTAATGTTTTTGTTATCTTTGATAGGTTTTGGCGGTCGATGTATAATCGACATGAGAACGACGTTCACCCACGTGAGACAGTCATGGATGCACTCAGCAGTATCATAGATCATAACGATTCACTACAAGATCATATAAAGTTTCTCTCCTCTGTAAGTAGAGTTTGTGAGTTGAGGTACAGATCCGAATTAGTCATCAAGCCACACGCATTGCGGGTGAAATGTCGATCGTCTTTTGGGTATGGGAGGGGAAGGTAGTAGACGCGCTTTGTGACTTTTGTGATATCGTCACCATTTTCCAAAATAGCGTTCACACTTGAGCTGTGAAGGAGGAAAACATTTATTTGGAAATATACTAGAGGGAGATGGAGCGAATCTTGAAAAAAGGGAAAAAAACGCGAAGATATCTGGGTGACTACTTTCCAATCTCCCCAAGGTGATTGATTATCGGGGGGCTCAATTGTAGTGTCGACTGACCACGAGCAGTCCTTTCTTTTCAGCTAAGTCTGTTCCATCATTCCGAAAAAATAAACTACAAAAAAACTGTGGTTAGCTCGCCGCGCGTCGCGCGGAACAGTGGGAGTTGAGCACAAGAAGTAAAGACTAAGCGAGAAAGTTAACCGCTGTGTTGCGCTCACAACGCACCAATATGATTGACTATCGGCTGGAAATGTCAACAAGCGGTGAGGCCTGTAAAGGCTCGTTAACGCTCCAGAAAAATCATGACTGATGAGCTGCAGGATTGTTCATCGCCGTTTCCGAGAATTCGCTTTTGAAATCTGCCTCACTCCCAGAGTTCCGCGCGCCGAAAAAGAGGGACTGCTCGTAGTCTACTGCAGTGAAGTTTGTTGTACATAAAGGTGTTTGTCTTCGCCTCAACAGCGGGTCGAAATGATGAAAACACTGGCCAATCCTACGAGTGACTCTGAAAACAACACCGAAATGGTGGATTCACTTGAAATGAAATGTCTCAGTGCTCAACGTGAATCGCCTAGTGATTCTTCACAGGAACTAGCGTCTCTTGAGAATTCAGTGAATAGTATGGACCTCAAGACAACACTGAAGAACAATTCATTACTAAACAGTCACGTGAATGACTCATCTTCCTTACCCTTTCTGTCTGCGGGCGAGGCAAGCAGCGCAAGTCAGGAAAGTGGGAGTGGGGGCCTGGTGCCGGATCAGCTGCAGAAAAGTTTAAAACGTCAGGGATTAACAGTAAATGATCTTCTTCAGTCTGCTCCGCCGTTTGCTTTGGAGTGGAAATCAGTTAGAGATGTCTTCCAATGTTCCACCTGTTCGTCTCCGATTGATTCTCTCAGTCGGAAGGTGAGTTGTGTTACCTTGCAATTATTGCAATGTCAGTTGAGTGTCGAAAGCAGTGCTGGATTGCATTAGTTTTTACTTTTCTTGCTCATTTTCTCAACCTATCAGTTACCAATTGCGACTTGGCCGATCGCATTTTCCGTGCTTCAGGTGGCTTTTTTTTAACTTGGAGTTCTCATTGGCTCGTGATGTTTACCTTCGCTCTGATTGGCCATTAAGAATATTTTGGTCTTGGTTTTACGATACTAACGCGGGAAGCGTTCTTAATTTGTCAAGTCGGAAAAAAAGTATCACATCTTGAAAGAGATGTGAAAGAGCCATGTCGCTCATGTCATGCTTAAAAGTTTTCCTACATTTTTCGAGGTTTTTAATTGCCATTGACGAAATGAATTGCTTTGTAAAAGAAAAACTTGAAAACTTTTACCCCATTCACACCAGGAAAACATATTTAGTTGAAATGTGTTCAACTGAATGAATATCATAAACAGGGAACTGAAAAACTGAATTTTCCATGGGTTTCAAGAGGTCACTAACCTTTTTTCAAAGTGCGTAATTTGAAGTCGAAAAAAATGGGCTAAGCAGCTTCTATGAAGAAAAATAATTAAAACTGTGTTTATCAAAGCAGCGTTAAAACACGTCAAGCTTTGGTGTGAATGAGGTATTAGATGCAAGAATCGTCAATCTGATTATAGTTTCTGTTCACTCACTTTTGCAATTCTAACCATGAAATCTTTTCTCCATAGTATCACTGTTGGAATTGTGGAGAAGTTTTTTGTAAGAGGTGCATCGATAAACAGTGTTCCCTTCCTGGACATTATTCAGATAATCGTGTTCCTGTTTGCAAGAAATGTTACAAAGTCCTCAAGAAATTCAAATAGATATTCCGTGCGCGAGTGACAGATTTTAGGACACGACGAGAAGGCTGTTCCAGGTTTTCAGTCGGTGAAGACGGGCACACGAAAAACTACAGGCAGCGGGCGCGCGATTGTTGCAGTTGTCAAGGAAACGGCTGCCAGCATGCAATAATGCGTACTTCTTCATTGAATGAAAGTATGCAAAAGGCTGCTAGATGAGTAGCTAGCATGAAAGTAATTTTAATTTCGAGAAATAGAGACAAGAATTCTTTTTTACATGGACGGATGGTTATAACAGAGAATATACCTTTACACAAGCAATTCCACAAAAATTAATGGTTATCATTGCAAGTTCATTGTACGAAAATATTGATGTTAAAATAAGAAAATTCATTAAAGAAAATTTAATACTGGAGCTCGTCGCATTCAATTTTCTTGGTGATCTGGAAACAATCAAAGCTTAAGGAGGCTAGATCAAGGTCAAGCGGCAATCCCGATTATTTTTCTTGAAAGCGTTTAAGGTAATCCGGAAGTGCTATGTGATTGGTCTTGAAAACTCGCCCCACTTTCTGAACCAGTCAAATTCAAAACCAACTTAGTCACCAGCATTTTCCCGCACTTGATGGCGCTAAGGTTCGATTACTTTGAGTTCTCATTGGTTACCTTCAATGTTAGGCTTTGAACTGATTGGCTGTGGCAATTGCTTTGGTCAATTGCTTCGGTTAATTGCTTCGGTACGATACTTGATAGTAAGGCGCTTCGTACATTACTTTTCTATGGAATTTCGATGAAAAGTGGTTCATAATGTTTTGTAAAAGACAGATGTCCGTTGGTATAGTCAGGGGCATAGACCTTTTCGTCTATACCATGACGTCATTAAACATGTCGTTACGTTCCAATTTTGAAACATTTAGGCTTGCCCCACGGTTCAGTCCCCCATTTATGTCTCTAATATTTATGGCCCTAAGAGCCCAGTTCACTTGATATAGCGAAGAAAGAGCTTCGCGTCAAGAGCAGTTTGAATGGTGTCGGTTGAAATGTGTAGGAGAAATCACTAAATTCCTAAAGGTCTGTTTCTTTTTCGTTTCAGCTCATGGATTATCATATCTCCTTTTTGAAAACAGTCTGTCCACTTTATGACAAGGGACAGTCAAGTAAGACAATCTGAAAAAGATAATTCAGAAAAGAGCGTTCGTTTCAATTTAAAATAATATCGACTAGGACTCACAAGAAATTCATCCCAAATGGTTCTGCTCGGCATTCAAACGAATACTTTATCAAGTCCGGGAAAACTCAGATCAACAAGAAATTATTTCGACCTCAAACGATTCCTTTTTGGTGGACATCTCGTCATGAACAAGACTGCCATTGTTAGAGAGCGCCCTTCAAATCAAGCAAGCAAACAAGGTGGAGATAAAAATTATATCGTTTCTAGAACATACTTCTCCTTCAGCTAACTACCTTAGAATTGCATATCGGTTCAGAAAATGTACCACAACTCAAATCGTGGGACTGAGTATTTTTAGGAGACATCAACCAACAGTTGTGTGAGATGTGCCAACACAGGCCCAGTTTTTAAGTTTACCCTCAGTACTTCTAGTTGGCAGAGTTCCACTGTAAAAAAAATAGTCTTTTTGGTTTCTCTCGAAATACGCGTTTTATGTTCGTTCTTTGTTTATTTTCGGGATATTCCCCTAACGGACGATACTTCCGTAATCAATGGAACAGTCATCACAATTTTTGTTCCCAAACAGTCTTCTTCCGATATTGCGGACCCTGGAACAAGCATTGGATCATATATTGCACACACTGGATAAAGTAATTTATCTGACTTTCGTTTAGAAGATAACAGATGCTCTGAAAAACAAGTCAACATTTACAGTCATCCCTCCGTCCTGTTCTAAACATTATTCTCATTAATGAACATGTGCTTTTCATTTTTTTTTAAAGCGATAAAATACTGTCACAAACGAAGTCTGTCAGATGAGACAATGGAGCTCTACATGTCTTGTCATACAAATTCCTCTTAAGGTGAACATAACCGAACACCTTACTGACTTTCTTGTAGATTCCCCTTAAGAGGACGGTATGGGAATTCATCTGTCATTGATTGTGGGGATATTCATCAGTTATCAAAAAACTTTCCTGATTCTTCTGTTCTCATTCAAGCAGCTTCTGTTTTAAGTTCTCCAGATTGTTCCTTGTTGTCATATTTATCCGTGATGTTTTGTTTTTTCTGTTGCTCTCTAAGCCACTGCCTGTAGTCACTGACATTCTTAATACTTTCCCCATAGTAATCATCTTCAAATTTACTATTTGATGAAGCTCTTCTGGCTGCGACTCTTTCCAAGAAATCAGCTTCACGCTACAAAACATGGAAAAAAAGCTGTCTCTTCACATTTTTTCTTGCTCGAGGAGACATAAATCTATACAAGTAAAGTCCTGTCCCCGATTGATCGAAAGATGGATAATGCTATCCAAAGGATAAATCCCTTTCTGGTGGATAACGTAGTCGGTTTAGGTCCTCTTGCTCATAACAAATATTTTAATTCCAATCCAAAGACTGATTAAACTTGTTCAACATTCTATTTTTCTGCCTTCCTAAACTCACCCTTGTGGTCAAATCACCTTTGTAACAGACACATAACTTATGCCCTGCACGGGTTAGGGTGGGGTGGGGTGGGGTGGGGTGGGGTGGGGTGGGGTGAGGTGGGGTGGGGTGGGGTGGGGGTGGGGTGGGTGGGGTGGGGTAGCTATCTACCTCTTATATACAGAATTATATCATATCAATAAACAGTTGAATCTGTATTAGCTTTTTAACTCCCAAGATCTGATTGTTAATTCTCCCCTCTAGCTGCTACACATTGCCTTGTAAATTAGTTACGAGAATTTAGTGTTAGATCAAGATAACAACTTTGACCTGACACATTTGAGTATTCTCATTACCTGTTTGCTGAATAGTGCATGGATATTGTAGGGAGAAGTTACTTGTTAATCACTTCTGGGAGTTAATCCTTTAACTCCCAAATCAAATCAGTACTTCTCCTTACTGTCAACCATACAATTCTTGTAATGTTAGTTCAGAGAATTTAGTATCAGATCAACTAATTATCCCCAAAATGGTTATATTTCTTTATTCTCATCACTTGTCTGGTTGATATTGTATTGATACTGTAGGGAGAAATTCTGTCTTGGTCACTCATGAGAGTTAAAGGGTTGAGCAGTTGACCACAGGGAATGATGGGGTGACTGCTCAACACTGGTTGACCACTGGTTGACCACTCATACCTTCCACAGAATACGGGTATAATTAAAAAACTATAAAAAAAACACCCTTTCTTCCATAATTGACCACTTAATGTATAAAAACCTCCGTTAAAAATACTACCAACATTGATTTCAGGAGATAAAAATAGTTCAAATTTTACTTTTCTTTGAGTTTTTCAGCTTGGTGGAAAACAATTCAAACAGGCCGTAAGAAGTCATTAAAGGGTGATCATGAGAGCTTAAAAGAGGTAACCCCTTAATAGAGGTGAAAATTACAGTAATTAAGGGGAAAAGTTTAATGAATTTGGAAATTGACCCTTTAACCCTTTAACTCCCATGAGTGACCAAGACAGAATTTCTCCTTACAATATCAATACAATATAAAGCAGACAAGTGATGAGAATAAAGAAAAATATTAATTAGGGGATTATTAATTGATCCAATGCCAAATTCTCCAAACTAACATGACAAGAACTGTACGGGAGATAGTAAGGAGAATTACTAACGAGATCATGGGAGTTAAAAAGTTAGCACATGTTGATCTCTTAATACGCTGCCACTTAATACAGGTTCAACTTTATATTGCAACAATATGATAACAACAGAAATTCTCATAACCTGCAGTGCAGATGACTCAGCTTGATTTAGATTTAGAGTAGATAGATCAGGGGTAGAGATATATAGGAAGATGCGATATCATCATTTCCCTTCTCCTCCCAAATCCTTTCATATTGCCTATCCACCACCCCCCTAGAAAAAATTTCTTTCTCATCCCAGCTTTCCTCTGTTTCAAGGTAGTGGCCAAGCCATTCCCTGAGAATTACTTGTTCACTGATTAAAACACCAGAGTTTATACAATTTCATTCAATAAAACTAGGTATAAAAACAAGAATAAATCTGTTATCTACACCAGTACCTGTGAATAATAAAATTTACAATATTAGGTCTGCAAAGAAACATACCTCTTGCATATTTTGTGCCAAGTCCTTGTTAAACAACTTCCAAACTGATTTAAATGCCACAGTTCCAGCAGCAAACCCAACACCAGCACTGGCCACACCACACAGACCACAGAAAATTATTGGATCCATTCCTCTGAAAATGCAAAAGAAACAACATGACTCTCCAATATGGACCTTCATTTCGTACAAAATTGTAAATGGAGCGCTGTGATGTATGAAAACGAGTTCTTACTTACTTTAAGGTATTTTAACACCTTAAACCCTACGAGTGACCAGCATCTAATTTCTCCTTACAGGAATACTGCTGAATCACTGACTGAGATCATGAGAATAAAGGAAATGATCGCCAGCCTTAGAAGCTTTGATTGTAAAACAAATTCTCCTTGTCAGTACCAAAAGAAATATATAGAGAAGATTATAGAGAATATGGATGCTGGTGTCAGGATATAAGAATTAAAGAGAACTTTACATACAATATCGGTTCAATCTGCTCCGGAGTAGCATCGAAGATATTTGGGAACATGTAAGCAGTGATGGTGCTCGATGCTAACAGAAATGTTACACCAATCGGCAAACCAGCTAGCTTCTGCTTGGTGCGTAGCTTTCTTCTCAGCTGCTGGAACTCCTCAAATGATAGCTGGAATCTTTTCGGCGTGATTTTCTGACCGCTGAACAACGGACTTCTTTTGATAGTTGGAGAACGTTCTTTCAAAGTGTCAGGAACACTTTGAGAAGAGCTCTCACAATATGGACGATTCAGTATAGCCATACATGGTATACTGGATTTGAAACCTGTACGGAGAACGACTAGAGTTCTTTTTCCACTGAAAAAGTTACGAAAATTTCTCACGCTAACGGCCGCCATCTTGGAAAACAAAATTACCCACAACTCCTCGTATCTTCAAAGTAGGGCTGCTGAAAAATAATCGTGGACTCATTTTTCCAGGACAGGGAAGGAAGTAGACATAAAGATTTCCAAGGAGGGTTATCGTTCAACTTTCGAGCCAAAGAAAATGGTCCGATGGCTACCATTAGAATCAAATCCAGATGTAAGACTAAGTCTTATGTGTTCTCTATGTGATTTTTTTCCTAAATGATGTGAATAGATCCTCTTAATTAACTTGACTTTACGTTATTCATTCATTTTGCAAATTGCTGATTTCCTGTCATTCAAATTACTTCAAAGGTTATGAACAAGGTTAGTGTACGTTAAATTGGTTCCTTACGTGATATAGCTTAAGTGATATGGAAACTTAACTGGATAAATTTTTTAGTGTGAGAAAACCTTGCGTTGGTCAATCATGAGAAAATTCCACTGTTGTTGTCTAAATATTCATACTAACCAGAGTTGTAACTATCTATATGTGCAAATATGTTAGATAGTCAAGTCAAGCTACTTCAAATAACTTATAAATGACATATTTTTAAAATACATTGATGATCCCTGGTTAAAAAAGATTTGTTTCTCAGCCCAGCCCTGTCAAAAATTTCAGTTTCAAACGAAAATATTTTCAGTTTCAAAGAAAAGTTACAAACTAAAGCCATTGCCATAAATGGGCAAGATTTCCATATAACCCCATACTTCGTTAAGCATACAGTTCATGGATAAAGAAAACAATTATAGCAAAAACATTAAATGGCTTTTTTTAGAATAGTTTTGGGTCATACAGAAATCTTTCCTGGCTTATCCCCACAGTTAGAACCTGTAATTGCAAATAAGAATGATATAGGTGCTTAATTAACTGGCAACTATAAATACCATACAGTAGAATAGTACTCATCATGTGTGCTGATTGACTGGTGCAGAAGTGATTACCAAGTACTATTCACCTCCCAGCAGCCAAAGAGACAAAATTGCATGTTGGCAGTTTGATTTCCTATCATTTTTTGGTACATTGACAGAAATAAGTTAGTTTTTTCGGTTTCTGTGAAGTACAGTTATTCACCTCTACTTTGGTGAATAATTGTTAACCCTTTTACTCCAATAAGTGACCAAGAGAGAATTTCTCCTTACAGTATTAATACAATTTCAACCAGATAAGTGATGAGAATAAAGAAAAATATCAATTTGGGGATAATTAGTTGATCCAATACTAAATTCTCTGAACTAACATTATGAGAATTGTATGGTTGACAGTAAGGAGAACGACAAATTTGATCTGGGAGTTAAAGGGTTAATTATCATCTAACAATTGTTGTTTATGAACAGTTTGTCGTAAATCTTGGTTTAAAGCCAACATGGAGCTTTGTTGATGTTTTTGGACTTGATCCTGAGTTATTGGCCATGTTACCTCAGCCAACATGTGCATTGCTTCTTCTTTTTCCAACAAGTGATAAGGTAACATTTAGCTCTTTAATACCAAAGAGAGACCAGCATCTAATTTCTCCCTACCTTAATGCCGCAGAATCATTCATTTACTCATAACAGTGTCTAGTATCTAATTTCTCCTTACAATATAACCCCTGAATCAAACATTAAGGTCATGAGAATAAATGAAATGATCACCAACGAAAGAAGCTCTACATTGCTAACCAAATTCTCCTTGTCAGCACCTTAGGAAATGTATAGAGAACAGTATGGAGAATATGCATGCTGACGTTATGGTATAAAGGGTTAAGAACATGAGAATGAAGGAAAAGCAAGCCTTGATTGTTAAATGAATTCTCCTTATCAGAACCAAAGGAAACGTAAAGAGAAAAGGGATCTATATCAGTATCTGGGAAACTGCCCACCTACCCCTCCCCTAACTAAACAACAGTCAATTGACAACAACTTAGGGTTAATGTTGGGTTAGGGGAGGGGTAGGTAGGCAGCTACCCAGATACTAATATTGATCGGAGAAAAGTACGGAGAATATGGATACTGATGTTAGGATGTTAAGGGTTGATATGTCTATATACCCATCCATTTATTACCTCTATCTCTCTTTCATCTTCAACTAATAAGTGTCCTCCATGATTATGTGGGATTTGAACCTCTATCTTGAGATAACTAACATTATTATACATTAGACTTTTATTGAAAAATCTGTTTGGTCGAGAGCATGCAATCAATTATACAGAAGAGTGTGACTTTGACATGATAACACAATATCTGCAGCAGATATTGCATTTATCATGTCAAATTTTAAGTCTGCCTAGTTTCCAAACCCCTTGTCCATGTAGTGTTCTCAAACTTTTGCAAACTCACAGAGGTGTCTTCTTCCTAAAAAAATTATTGAACTTGCCTCAGTCCTAAGCTTCAGCAGATAACTCAGACCTTGGTTTTGATAATTCATGATATCATGCACAACCTTATCCAATACTTGCTTTTTAATATCAAAAAGGGAAAAATTGGAACCAGGAAATATATGGTGAAAGCTTTTTTCAATTGTCTTTTTTTTTTAAGTATCATGAATATAAGACAGAGCAAGAGGAGAAAGTCAAGGAACATGGCCAGGTAGAGCTATTTATATTTTTATCATGATTTACAAGGCTGAGGAAGAATACCCTTGCACTCATTCCTCCAATATGCTTCCTTGGAGGTTAATTTTTTTGCTAACCTTTCTTAAAGGGAGCTGTATGGGTAGGTAAAACAATGCAATATTGAAAACCAAAAATTTAAACTAAGTTGCCCTGTTCACATGTCTCAGTCCACTGTTTGCTCACCTTTAAAGTCTTTTCTTTTTGTACCATTTCATTGCTGGATACAAAGGGTCTTAAAGATAACTGTTGTGGATTGCTGGTCAATTATGAATTGCATATACCCCAGTACTTCAAATTTGTGAAAATTGGCATTATTTTTTGCTTGAACTGCACAGAAGATATATGTCTTCAGACAGTCATGGTTCAAAATGAGAGCATGACAGTTTTACAAGTTCAAGGCTTTTCAAAGTTGCCATTCCATAGTCAAAAATCAGAAAATGGTCGAGAGAAAAAATAAAACCCCACACTTGCACAAACCAGGAGAGACAGGCACCAGTACAGCTCTAATGCAATTTGGAATGGTAATCTCACTTTAACTTTTGGTATGCAAAATTAAAAATTTATGAATAAAAATAGTTCAATTGATACTGAACTAGCAAACACAGTTAGAAAATTTGGCAACGTCTGCTTAACCCTTTAACTCCCAGAAGTGATCGACATGTAAATTCTCCCTGTGCTACCTATACATTGTCCTGCACATGGTAATGAGAATACTAAAATTTATCAAGTTAAAATTGTTATCTTAATCTGATTCTAAATTCTTGTAACTAATTTAAAAGGAATATGAAGCAGATCATGGGAGTTAAATGGTTAAGTGGTAACCAAAATGGTGGCAGCACTGAGGGTTGCAGGATTAAAGTTAGTTTATCACATTAGGGAACCCATTTAGGTAGTATACAGGAACTTATTTGTGGAATGTGTGCATTACAGACTGGAATAATTTTCTTGAGAAAAAAACTGGTTCATTTTACTGCAGGAGGTGAGCCCTAATTTGTTCTTCATGAAGCAGACAATTGGCAATGCGTGTGGAACAGTGGCTATAATACATTCCATTGCCAACAACACAGATGTACTACAGCTGGGTGAGTTACATATTGGAGCTGTAAATAATTGTGAAAATTAATGATCTATCATTGGAGTTTATTAAAACCTTTCAGCCTGGATAAGAGTGACTGGTCTCTAATTTCTCCTCACAGTATCTTCCTTGAATTAAAATGTAAAGGTCCTGAGAATATATGAAATAATGACTGATCTAAGAAGCTCCTGATTGTCAAACAAATTCTTGTTGTCTGTACCTTAGGAAATGTAAAGAGAAAAGTGTGGAGTATTTGAATACTGATGTTAAGGGGAAAAAAGATTCCTGCTATTAAGTCCACATCTAATAAAGAAATAAACCTAGTATAAGGAAGATGCACATATCACAATAAAATAATGTAAATTGAGAGGCAGACTGCTATCGTGGATCCTTAAGGTTTTCAAAGCAGTATGTTATTACTGTGTTATTTCCATTTTTCTTGACAGACGAGGGCTTTCTCAAGAAATTTATAGACTCTACCAAATCACTGTCTCCAGATGAAAAAGGAGAACGGCTCGAAAGTGATGAGGTATGAGATTTTCTTTCCTTGGTAAAGGGAAACCATTTTGGTCACAGGTGCGGAAAACAAATGTTCTGCCACACATTGCTTCCATTCAAGCAAATTTTTATTGTGATGTTACTTTCTTTCCAGTTTTAGAGACCAATTATTTTTTATTTTATCACAGAACATCTGTGAAGCGCATGCAGCTTGTGCTCAGGAAGGACAAACAGAGGTTAGAGATATGACAATTGAAGGTTCTTGTGCATGAATTTTGAAAAACTGATTGAAATATGAACTGCAACAAATATTTGCATTGGTGATTGCATTATGACAAGAATCAATTGCAATATAGTTTGATTTTGACATTCTGTTTGCAGACCCCATCTGTTGATGATCGTGTTGATCTTCATTTTGTTGCCATTGTTCACAGAGATGGTTGTTTATATGAGCTAGGTGAGTGACCAACTAAGTGAGTTTTCATTGTACTTGATAATGCCAGCTTTATTGAACTGGCCTTCTAATATTTGGGATAGGTTTGGCAGAAACATTTTTCCTATAACCCCTTACTATTCTAAAACAAAGCCATAATCCCAAAGGCACACAACTGTTTTTGCCATTGTTTTCTCTCTCCAAAAATGTATGCAAAATGAAGTATGGGACTGAGCTGTAATCTTGCCCAGGTATATGCTGGTGTGAAGTAGGAAGGTTCAAATATCAGATTTTACCATACATATCCTGGAATTGGCAGCAAAATAACCAGTGTATAGCTTGCTTTTTGTAGGAAAGAAGCAGAGGCATGAATTCAAAATGAATTCTGCCTCTGGCTTTGATGGCTCCGTTGCAACAGTTGTCAATAAGTGTCTCGGCCTAACATGATGAGTTGTCATTGAGTGCCTACGATATTATTACAACTTTGATAAAATAGTCTTGGTCTGGGAATAAGAATCATTTACATGTTGCCTTTAGATGGAAGGAAATTGTTCCCTATAAATCATGGAAAGTCATCGGAAGAAACATTTTTACAGGTGAGGTGATTACATTTGTTTAGCGAACCTGTGATGAGAACAAAAAAGCGCTTATCAGTCAAAGAGTGTTTTCTTGATAATACACCATTTTGTGTTCACTCTTTTACAAAAGAAGTTATTGGAAGTGAAATCATAGCATTTTTATTCAGATTGTGATAGGAAAAGAATGCATGTATCCATGGTTGAATGACCAATGAACAAAGAGGGTAAGTTTCTAAAGAAACTGCCGTCTTGCGTCTGTGGAAAAGTATAACAAGGTTATTAGGTATTATCAACTGAGTTGATAACGTGAATTGGCCACCATTTAGAGTTTCAAAGCTAATGTTTTGAGCATTAGTTTTTCGTTATTCACTTTGACCTAGGGCTAATGCTTGAAACATTAGCTTTGAAACTCCTAACAGTGGCCAATTTACATTATCAACTCAGTTGATAATAGCAAATTACCTTCATTACCTTTTTATACTGTCCCATTGATGCAGCACTACAGTTTCTTTAGAAACTTACCCCCTTTATCTCACCATGTAAGGTACTATGTAGTTGGACAACAGCTTGCCATGAGAGACTTGTTGTTCTTTGGTTTTACTTCTTTGTAAACTGCTTTGAACTTTGCCATTATTTGGGGTTGTTATGATGAGTTGTGAAGTCTCACGTTTCTATCAAACTTCTCTGGAAGTCTGGAATTTCTTTCTTGAAGTGGCTCTTTGATCTGGTCAAAATTTAGCAAGAGTAGTGAAGAATTATCATCATGAGCCTCCAAAATCAGGTTATGAGCACTGTTGCTTGAAAAAAATTATGTAATTAGAAACAACTGATATATCCTCAAAACAAATGCGAAAGGGTAACCAGTCAACTCGCCGACGGACCAACTCGTCGACGCCAACTCGCCGACGTATAAAATCGAGTAGAGACGTCGGCGAGTTGGTCGTCAATCCAATACAACTTATTAGAAGTTAAACATACAGAAAAGTAAACGATATTTAGTAAAAAAACACTGGTGAACATTGGTGAACATCTAACAGAAGCTTAAACATTGGTGAACATCATCAATGACCATAACAGCTTAAGACGCGAACGAGTTATCGTGCGACAACAACACTGTAAAGACTCATCATGTCAATCGCTCAGATTTTTTAACGAAAACTTGGCTTTCTAGACAAGATCTTTAGTAAAAAGCAATTCTTTTTATTTGTAACAAAGTTTATAAGGATCTCAAGGCGAATAAAGTACAGTAAACGTCGCCAATAACTACATCCGCTTCAGACGCGAACGAGTTATTGTGTGACAACAACACCGTAAAGACTCATCATGTTAGTCGCTCAGATTTTTTAACGAAAACTTGGCTTTCTAGACAAGATCTTTAGTAAAAAGCAATTCTTTTTATTTGCAACAAAGTTTATAAGGATCTCAAGGCGAATAAAGCGACGTTAACATCGCCAATGAACAAAATTGGCTGTAGACGCCAATGAGTTGTGTGAGTCATTGGTGATGTTTACTTCGCTTTATTCGCCTTGAGATCCTTATAAACTTTGTTGCAAATAAAAAGAAATGATTTTTACTAAAGATCTCGTCTAGAAAGCCAAGTTTTCGTTAAAAAATCTGAGCGATTGACATGATGAGTCTTTACGGTGTTGTTGTCGCACAATAACTCGTTCGCGTCTTAAGCTGTTATAGTCATTGGTGATGTTCACCAATGTTCACCAATGTTTAAGCTTCTGTTAGATGTTCACCAATGTTCACCAGTGTTTTTTTACTAAATATCGTTTACTTTTCTGTATGTTTAACTTCTAATAAGTTGTATTGGATTGACGACCAACTCGCCGACGTCTCTACTCGATTTTATACGTCGGCGAGTTGGTCCGTCGGCGAGTTGACCGTAATTCATGCGAAAGAGAGTACCTTTTCTAAGGCTCTAGCACAACATTTTCCTGTCTTGCAGCAATCTGACCAAAGGGACGGTAATAGTTAGGAGTTGTATAGCTAAAATTGTACATTGTTGCTCTTGCATTTACTAATATGTAAATTTTAAGATTCCCCATCTCTGTAATATGAATGCATTAGAATTTCCCTTACCTTTGTAAAAGCTAATTTTCCCCTTGTTTTGTAGGATGCAGCTGAAGTATGTAAAGAATACATGAAAAGAGATCCTACACAACTCCATTTTACAGTTGTTGCATTGTCCAAAACTGAATGAGTTCTGCTGAGACTCAGATAAATCGACAATACTCTCAACCCTTTAACTCCTATGAGTGACCAAGACAAGTTTCTCCCCACAGTATCAATACAATATCAACCAGATAAGTAATGAGAATAAAGAAAAATATCAAATTGGGCATAATGTGTTGATTCAGTTCTAAATTCTCTGAACTAACTTAAGAATTGTATGGTTGACAGTAAGGAGAATCACAAATTTGATCTGGGAGTTAAAGGATTAATAAGAGAAGAAAATTAGATCATGAAGAAATTGTTTGCTAGGTTTTTTTTCTCTCTTAAAGTGAAAGTCACGGTACAAAAGCTACATTTTTTTTTGTGTAAATTAAGTTTGTTATTAATTCAAACAGCAAAGATAAAATTGTGTTGAAAAGAACTTTTTCCTGTTGGACATGGCTGTGTTGTCTGTTTGAGTGAACAGTGTGGAATGGCCATTTTTGATGTAACTCATTTATTCTCATGGTAATTTTGGTTTTATCTAGTTGGTTGATAATTTAAATTGGCCACCTTAAAGAGTCTCAAAGCTCTGACGAAGGGCTAATGCTCAAAACGTCAGGGGGTTGTACAGCTTCTTGCTAGGTTTCCGTACCCAGATATGGCTCTTTGATGGGAACTTCCATTGGAGCGTGAAGGCCAAACTTTCAACTTAAGACCTCCAACACTACTGTGAGTAAACTTGGCTTTGAAACTGTTTACGGTGGCTAATTTACATTATCAACCAAGTTCATAAAACCAAAATTATCTTGCTATACTCCTCCACTGATGCAGCACCACAGATTCTATAGAAACTCACCCCCTTTGTTCTCATGGTAAATCAAATAAAACCAAACTATTCTCAGAACAATTTTGTAAAAATGGGAATACCAAGTTTTTGTCCTTTCAAGGTCCCAGTTTTTGTTACAACTACTATTTTGCAAATCTACTTTCCTTCGTTAAATATGGGGTTTTGCCACTCTTGTGTGTTTGGACACATTCGAAAACCTAGGCTTTCACAGAAAGAGTCAATTCTGAGTAAGAGGAACACTCTTGTCCCGTTTCACTTTCACAGGACAAAAATTGTACTCATTGTCGGTCAGCTTTTATTAATAAAAGATCGATGCAACTGAAAGTATATTGGGGGATAGATATCTCGACCTACGGAAATTACTGATTGCTTGGACTAGAGGAAAAAAAAAACAAAAACGCGATGCTTAATTAGGAAAATATTGCATCGCTTTTAAACAGATTCCCGAAATCCTGAGCATGCACAAATGTAATACCACGGTTGGTTCGAACTTTGCCGGTTCGATCAGTCTGCGATCTGCGGGCTTTTTAGACCAAATCTACCAATCCTGAATTCTCTTCACTAAACCCCATTTAAATTAGAAAGAGAACTAAGTGACCACTATGGCTTTTAAGGATAAGACCATACGACCATATTAAGCTTCTAACACAGATGCGCCCAAATTCTCTCATAAGACGGATCACAAGGACACATTTTTTCCCAAATTTGCAATTAGAGGTTCGAGCAGTACTTTCCTGCATTAAAGCTGTTGGTAGATCGGAATATAGAGTTGGAGAAAAGCCTACAAGAACAGAAGCCTGTGTCACCTAACTCAGACGTCCTTTATATGTATTGGGGACATAATAACTTCTCATACATGACATACTTACTTGTAACTCAATCGAAAACCGCTGGACCAGTCATGATGATTAATATATCTGAGGAGGGACTGAGGTTGAGACCAGCTGTGCACTTTATTTGGCAGTCAGTGAAAAGCCTTTGCTTTATTATGTTGCATTTTATGGGTATTGAAAATGAATAACTCTTCATCAGGATGCGAATTCTGTTTGGTTAACCTCACGCTTTTTTTGTTGCTTATGAACTCTCGATCTGCTGACGCTTCCTCGACTCATTTTTGAATGCGAGTTTTAAACGTCTCATTCCCATTTGAGATATATTTCCCCAGGATACGTTGGTGCGACGTAAAACCTGTTGGAATTTTATTTCTGCTAATTATTTCCAAGGTGTTATTTTATTGCCATTAATTTTTTTCATTTAGATGGCAGAAACCCAGGGAACGTGCCTCCGCACAACCCCAATTATGGAAGTAATCCCGCACGACACCACCAGGATGGTTATCCGGAGGGACGTAACCGGGTAGGTAAAACCGAAGGAAATCGACACGGAGGTCATAGAGATGATCGCCCCCACGGGGGTACTCACGCGGGACATCAACGTAGGGATCATCACCATGGAGTTGATCCCGTCGGTCATGGATACGGAGGTCATCCTGGGGGATATCACCGCGAAGGTAATCCAGGTAAGGCCTCGACCCGGAGGGTACCTTCCAGGACATGATCACGGAGGGTATCCTGCAGGACATTATCATGAAGAAAGTGACGCAAGGACAATCTATGATCAAGAAATGCAGACTCAGGCCCAGGAGCAGATTCAGAAGCAACGCACGTTGCAAGGTAACCTAACGAAACTCGATCGATTTGATTTTCAGGAGTTTGCTGGCACTAAAGACCACCTTTTACATACTGCCTAATTCCACGTATTTGTTACACGTCAAAGCAGTCAAAGTTAAAATTTGCAGGATTTTTGTGAAGCTTTTGATTAAGTTCAAAGCAGCATTATGAGGAACGGAAAACGGTACTTACTGTCTTTTATAACTCAAAGGTATGGCTGAAATGTACCTGTAACTAGAAAGTAAATGATGAATACAGGATATACGTCGCATTCACAGAAAACGCACCAAGACCTTATAAGTATCAAAAATGACAGTAGTTCGAAAATAAGAAAAAGGAGTACGAAATCCAACGAGACTGAATTTCAGAAAGAGATGAAGCAAAATGTTTTAGGGCACATTGGAATAAGGTGCTTTGAGAGACCCTCAGCCATGTAAAGCTACTTATTAGGCCTAGTTAACTTGTTTGAGCTCACTCAATGTCCCTTGAAATGCCCTGTGTCACGAGATACACCAATACAGAAGTCTATCATTCCTGAAATACCTCTGAAGTGGTTGCTCCTGCTTTAATTATTCTTAAGACAATTTTCATGACAGCAGTATTCAACAGCTAAATTTTTCCCTTGATCCTCAGCAAGCGCACAGATGTTGTATGACGGTTATGAAAACACCATGGGTATGATTGAGGAACTGGAGAAACACGAAGGGCACAATATGTCTGCTGGGTTTTCAGGATTGATGACTCACGTCATCCCAAAGGGAACCAAGAAACCCAAACGTGATGTGAGTTAGTCAGAAAACCTCGCTTAGGCGTCATGCTAAAGAGTGGCACTCTTAATTGTTTTAGATTCACAGTGACCACGTTTAATTTATCATTTGCAGCTCGCTATCTTCTCGGCTATGACTTTATTAATACTGTCTTTTCTTAACTAATCGAGTGTTTCTATTTCCTATTTGAAGTATCTCTGTACTATCTACCTGTTGCAATTGCATGTGCCGTACCTGTTCTCCTATGTATGTACTAAAGTTGTCTATCAGGTGAAAAATATATCCCGTACATAACAGCGTATACAGGCTAAGTTTCGTAATTTAAAAAAATAAACATTAAAAGAGACAATCGTCATTGAGATTCAGTCGTCGCAAAAGAATATGACCTTTTGGTTGAAACGATATCCGTCACTTCGCTCCATGGTTGGATCGCTTTAAGTCAATTCGCTCCAACCAAAAGCGAGATCACATCACAACAAAAGTGAAGCATTCCAATGTTGTGCACAGATGAAGATTCCCTTTTAGGAATGGACCGAATTTTTCTGTTTCCTCCGCTATTTTTCTATGAAACTCGGCTTTGTTTTTCAGGTCACGGCCATAATAGAGGCCCAGCTTACTTGCCTTGATGGTCAAATGACTTTTGCTCCACCTGAGGTAACAAGGGCAGCCAGAATGAAGTTGTTGGAGAAAACACTGAAATGGGTGGCAGCCAGAGGAGAAAGGGGAATCGAACCAAGCCCCGTCGATGCCTACACAAAGAACGTAGTACAAGTCCTGATAAAACCAGACTCTTTGAAGTTTCCAGAGAGGGAACGAGATCCAAGAGCTGCTAGGTAAGCGTTAACTTTTAAGCGTATGCCGCACTCCTTGGTAGTTGAGACGACATAGAGAACAAGCCAGATTAAATTGGTGGCCTTGAAAACAGTGACTTCTCCTCCACGTCACGTGGGAAAGATTATGCCTGAGGCCCTTTCCTCAATTTTGGGAAAGTTTATTTAGCAAAGAACAATTACTTAAGTTTTTTTTTTAATTATTGTATCCCGTATAGTTTAGACGAACGTACAGTAAACGAACTCATGTTCGCCTTTGCCCAAGCCCAACACAAAGGAGATCTACAAGATAAAGAGTTTGAAGCCAACCCTGATAAGAAAGCCTCCTTGCGCAAAATGAGAGAGGGGGAGGACCTCCACAGTGGTAAGTTGTATTATTTTATGACACAACCTCCATTTGGCGCGAAAATTAATAAACGATAGCCTCCATTTGGTGCGAAAGTGTGCTCGGATATTTGTTCGCGAGCATTATCGGCTCCGAGAAGCGGACAGTTTTCCTGGCGCGTAGGAATAGAAAATGCTCATTGTCACTGTAATGTCTGAATATTGGAAAACCGGTCTTTTTCCTTCATGAATTTAATTTTTTTTCTCTCTTGATCTGCTTTAGGAGCAACACGCTTGGTGAAGTTAGATCCCAAAGATGGAGAATTCTACCAAGTTCTTGCTGCATCTCTCCAGCATCTTGATGCGTATGCCAAGGGTGATTTACGCTAAACACTTTTTTTGCGTTTGTCTTTAAAGCGTAACAGGAGCTCCTCGGGAACTGGAGATTACAGAAATTTATTTTCTTTCACATTAATTTTTGAGGCAAGATTTCCGTATTAGATTTTGAATAATGGATATGGGACTGTTCATTTTTTCCCCTCAATTTGTAGCGTATTTAGTTTTCTGTTTTTAGCTCCATGCGCTGTTCCACGGGTAATCGGTAGACTTGTTTATGATTTCAGCCGGCGATGTATGCCTCTTTTCTTTTTTTCTCCTTTTGAGGATGCTGAATAAAACTGATAACCAAGAATTGTTCGTGTGTGTGACTTTACCTTCAGCTGCTGTTAAACTCATCCTTTCATACCTTTGCGTAATATTCATATGGCTTGTACAGTTGAACTTCTATCAGGGGTTCCGTATAAAGCGGTCACCCTGTACAGAACGGTTGGTTCTCAAAGTCCCGAAGCTTTTTCACCTCTATCAATTCCTCTAACAAGTGGTCGTTGTAATACTTGACTGAGTCCCAATGATCTGTTTGTTTCGTCACCACCTACAATGAGAACTCAGTTAAAGTGGAACCACACAAATAAAACTAAGAATGATGCCTCAAAAAAATATTTTTTCCATGTTATTTCCCGTAATCAATATTAATACTTTAGTTCAAATGTCCTCAATTAACGCTTTGCATGTGGAATTGTTCAGTTTAACGGCCATCAGGAACTTTCCTTAGTGATAAGCGAAGTCGAACACTTGATATATGAAAGCCAACTACAGAAACCGAAAAAAAGACAAACGCTAATTTCCAATGACACATCTCTGGACTGTAAGAAAAAACATCACGCACGAACATCACGCACGAACATCACGCAAGTCATTTGCAAGTTTATGACCTAAAGCTACAAATGTCAGAGAACCGTACAATACGTAAAGTAATTCTGCTTTATTGTCCTGTTTTAACGAAACAACCTCATTTTGTTGCTGCTGTTTATTACGAAGAGTTACTGTATTTTTTATCAAGGTTTTGCACACACTGTATATCAAATGATCACTCGTGGCATAAAATTGCGATTTTTATCGTGTTTGACCTCTGTATTAAGCAGTCACTCCGCCATTACTAGCACCAAATTTTGACGTCTCCTGTGATCCATATCTAAACAGATCCACGGCAACATGGAATCTATTCGTTCTAGATTATAAAAACCAAAAGGTCTTAAATGAGGACATCATTTTTGTAGGAAAGCACTTCGTAACATTGCTTCAAACCATATGAGCCCCCTGATATTCCAGTGGTTAGGGTTAGGGTTAGGGCAATGATGCATGTCTGATTGATCATACTAAGGACCAATCAAAATGCGAGTAACTTTAGTTCCTAAAGCAGGTTCCTAAAGGGTCTTCGAATCGTACACAACTTCTGAGAGACTGGTGATGAGAGCAGCGCGAGGGCTGCATTATGGGATTTTTCTTCCCTTTTCTTTCTCTTGCTCGGTTTCCACCATCTTTGTTCACGTGGTTGGAAGGTCAGTGCAATAATGTGTTGATTTTGAACGTTTCCACCATTCTGTTTCAACTGATATTAACTAACGGTAACTTTAAATTACAGAGGACCGTGAAAATGGTAAATACAACTGGAATTAGGCGCGGTACGCGCTACATGTTCTCGCGGGATTTTAGGAAACGTGGTAAGTTTTTTAAGAAGAAAGCACTTTTAATTGTATTATTAGGAATTTCTCGTTTATTATCGGATTGTTTTACCAACTTACTGCCTTGAGGACACATTTGAGTCATGTTCGAAGCCTCGCGAATCCATACATTTGACGAATTCGATATTCTTTGAAGAATTCATATTTAGATAAAGTTACGTATGTTTCCTTTGAAGTTTCAGTCCAGTTTGTTAATTAGCGTGCGTTCATATGAGTAGAAGTATCTGATTTGACTGTTCAAATGGACATTAACAGAATTGGATTCTAGTTGTATGAGTCGATCGAAAGGCGACTCGGCAGTCGACTTACAGATTTGCCTTTCCTATATTTTTTAGCCGATGACTTCCAACTTTTGTTTTCGAGAGTTATTTTTCAATTCTGTGTTGTAGACTTAAAGCAATAGGCTAACCATATCCTATAAAGTCTGTTGAAATTAATAAATTCTTATACATACATCGTTGGGAGTATCTCATTTTCAGAAATTATTTGCAGTCAGCCACTGATGCTTCATCAGTATTTTTTATTATGCCAAGGGTGAGGGAACATTTGTTAATGATAGGCAATCGTTGAAGTTTACTCTCACATGGGAAGGTAAAGTTTTGGAATCAGGCAACATATAAATGAATCATTGAAGAACAATTTTTAAGTTCAATGTTTTTTTTCAGGTGTCATTCATCTCTCCACCTACCTAAAAAGCTACAAAGTTGGTGACATTGTAGACATCAAGGTATGATATAACAAAAATTAATACAAGGTGCGCTTTGTGTATGGCAAGGTGTCTTTTGTATTCTTATCTTCTTGAATGGTTTTTGGGATTTCCAACTCATTAACCCTTTAACTTCCAGAAGTGATTAACAAGTAACTTCTCCCTACAATACCCATGCACTTTCCAGCAAACAGTTAATGAGACTACTCAAATGTATCAGGTAGAAGTTGTTATCTGGATCTAACACCAAATTCTCATAAGTTATTTACAAGGAAATGTGTTACAGCTAGAGGGGAGAATTAACAATTGGATATTGGGAGTTAAAGGGTTAAAGCATTGACCCTTATTAGTGACTAGAATCTAATTTCTTGTAATAAGTCACCCTTTATTCAAAACTTTTGGTCACAGTAATAAAAGAAATAATCACCAACTGAGGAAGCTCTTGGTTATTAAACAAATCCTCCTTATCAGCACCTTAGGAAATGTTAAGAGAGCAGTGTGGAGAATATGCATACTGATGTAGGAGTATTGAGGGTTATTAAGCCTGCTGTTTATATTTCTATTCAAGGTTAATGGTGCTGTTCATAAAGGCATGCCATACAAGGTCTATCATGGAAAAACAGGGCGTATTTTTAATGTCACAAAGCGTGCTGTTGGAGTAGTTGTCAACAAGCAAGTGAAGTAAGTGAACTTTAACACTGAAGCCAAGTGAGTTTCCTAGAGTTCTTTCAGAAATGATACACAGCCTTATTCATTTTCCTTTTCAGACAGAAGGCTGCAAGATGTTGTCTTTTCCTTAAAAAAATAATTTTATCATTCATTGAAGCCTTAGTTTTTTTTTGTTCACTTGCAGTCCTTGTGCTAGCAGTACTTGTGCTTGGCTGGCAGTTTTATTTGTTATTTAAAGTACAGCATCACTTGCTCTTTAAACATTTCGAACCTTTATGATTATTATCTGCAATAGTTTGTACTAATAAAAATGTTAAGTTCTGATATATAGGTAAATAACTTGAAAATTAGTTTTTCAAGCCTTTCAGTTTGCTTTTGTGTAACAATCCTCTTCTCAGATCACAGTTTTGGGCAAAGTGTTGTGCAAGCATTTAAGAGAGATCAGAGCTTAACTAAAACTTGATAATATCGTTGTTTATGTGTATTGTTTCTCTCTTCTATCAGAGGAAAAATCTTGCCAAAGAGAATCAACATTCGTGTTGAACACATCAAGCACTCCAAATGTCGAGATGACTTCTTGAGGTAACAATAAAATTTCTGTACTGCACATATATATATTGCAATAATCAATATTCTAGAGATTGTAATAGAATACTGAACACCCTACTGGCTTATTGAATCACATTTTGATATTAATTTACAGGTGCGAAGAAGAAATACAAGGCAAACATAAGAATTTGCCTTATTTTTTATAGCTATTTTAACAGTGGTTGTTGTGTTCTTCAGGCGTGTGAAGGAAAATGAACAGAAGAAGAAGGAGGCCAAAGAAAGTGGTGGAGGAAAGGTTGATTGCAAAAGAAAGGTAATTTATAAAGTTGTTTCCAGCTTTGGGGTAGTGATGTATACTAGATTACAAATTATGTGTACATATCTGTAGAAGTGAAAGGTAGTTAAAGTCTGTACTTGAATCAAGAGGCCCATCCAGCTGAAGCTCATCCTGGATTATATTATGAAGCGAATGGAAATATTACCATTCCCCCATGGATGGGAGGCCAGTTGATGGCAAGGTTACCCCCCAGTATTTCATCAGGCTTCCCTGGCAATTTGTTGGTACCCATTTATGCTCCTGAATGGAGAATGGAACTGTGAAAGTGTAGAGTTTTGTCCAAGAACACAACACACTGAGTCAGCCAGATCTTGAACCCCTTCCCTTGCACCCAAAACCCAGCTCAACCATTAGGCCACAGCATCTCCCATCATTTCTCAAAAGAGCATGGAATTTAGATGCGATGTGACTCTGAACTCTAACAGGTATAGAAGGAATTTTTCCTCTTTATCAACAATGATCATAATATTTTGTTTTCTATCTGTTACAGCCGGCTGTACCCCGAACTGCACACTTTGTGCGAACCAAGAGAAACACACCAGAAACCTTGGAGCCAATCCCATACGAGTTTGTTGTGTGAAAAAATCTGAAATAAACTTTTAAATTCACATTCGAGTGCTGTTGCTTTCTCTTTGAGTACTATTTGTGAATTGATTTAACCCCAATTTATCTGTGGTAGTCATTTTCAATCAAAAGTATAAAAAAACTTCATCAGTTGTGTTCAAAGCAAAGAGGCTTGGGATGGCAGCAATGGAGGTCACCAGCATAACTCTGTTACAGCCCACCTCTGATTATTGTCAACACTTTAACAACAAACTGGTGCAAAGAATAAATACATACCCAAAATTTGGCATGGAGAGAGGGAGGGTAATGATACAAGCAAAGTAGTAAGGTAAAACAACAATCTAATTTTGTCCCTCTGCCAGAGACTCCTTCCTCAGTGTTTTGCAATCTTTACCCTTTAACACCCAGATCTCATCAGCAATTCTTACTGTCTACTATACAGTTCTTGTGATGTTAATTTGGAGAATTTGGTATTGGATCAACTTATAATCCCCTAACTGATATTTTTCTTTATTCTCATCACTTGTTTGCTTGATATTGTAAGTAGAAATTCTGTTTTGGTCACTCAAGGAAGTTTTTAAACTTCCCTTAAGCTGCGTCAGGGGTCTGACAGATAAACGGTGAAAACTTATAGAAAAAGTGTTATCTATACATCTCAATAGGTGATGACAAGGAGAATTTGTTTAACAATCAAGAGCTGCATTAGATTGATCATTTCCTTAATCTTTGATTCAGGGTTGATTATGTAAGGAAAAATTAGACACTAGTTACTCTTAAGGACAAAAAGTTGAATATCATTGAGGTGACCATTTGGTAAGTTGAAGATTCAATTTAACATTTTATTGCCTTTTTAAGGTTCACAATGTACGACATGTCAGCGGTCATTGGATACAGTTATCATCAAACTTGACATTTTAATTCCAGGATTCTAGTAAAATTACCAAAAAATAGTGTATGGATCTCACTTAATACAACCTTGGACAATTACTTCATTTCAATGCCACAGTTTGCCTTATTCAAACTTCATATCACAATGTTCTTAGTTTCCTCTCAGGTTAGAAACTGTTGAATTAGAAGGGCAACATTCTATCAAATGTTTTATCTCTCAATTTTAAGAAGTCATTTACAAGAACAAGAAGTACAAATTATTTAGAGACAGGAAGTATTGGGTGCAATCATTCAACTAATCACTTCTTTTTGCCAGCCTTAACAAACTCCTTGTTCAGTGATTGAACAAATTCTGTGTAGTTTTCCAGTGTTGATCCACACACCTCATTGGCAAAGAGCTCATTCTTTGATAACATAACATCATCAAGGCTTCTGTTGCTTAAAACTTCTGGTTTTTCTGCTTTTACAAACTCAACTCTCTCTTTAAGATGAGCGATGGGTTTCAAAAGACATGATGGATGTTTAATGACATCTTCAATTTTCACTCCAACTGACAATAGATATTCCAGTTTCTCATCCAATTCCTCTTTCTCGAGGAAAAAGAAGTTTTTTGCTGTCATGACATGAGCAATCTCTTTGTTCTTGATACCTCTATCCTGAAACCATTTGATAACAGCCTCCACAGTAGAATTTTTGCTGTCAAACAAAAACTGTCTTGTTTTGACAAGACTGTAAAGTACTGTTGGGTTTTGGACAATATCACAAAGCAGCTGAATCCTATTTTTCACAGAGTCCAAATTTACAAATATTTCTGGCTTTGTAATCAGAAGGTGCTGCACTGCCTCCATATCTAGCAAAAGGGGCTTGCTCCTCAAAAATGCCACTGAAGTACTCAAAGTATCAACATCAGTAGAAAAGATTACTGGGTTTGTGACTGCAATGATAAGTGGGGATACCTCCATTTCTTCAAGAAAACTTATGACTTCTTTGAAATTTTCCTGCAAATCGACCTGCTCTTTAAATTTCTCAGCAGAGTGAAGGATTAAGTTTAGGACTGCCTCCTCTTCCTTAAGGCTTTTGCCTGTCAATTCTGATTGTAACTTATTATGCGAATTAAGCAAAAGAGAAACAATCTCTAAAGACTCCTCTCTAAGCGGGAAGCTGAGAAGCAGAGGATTATTTGAAATGATTTTCCCAATGATATTTTTTGCGATCCCAGCTGATGTAAGTTTGCGGATATTTTCTTGAACTCTGCTCTGATCAAGGCTGAAGACATATGGTGTTTTAAACATTAAGGTGACGATATCACAGTTCAAATCTTTGAGCACTTTCAGCATCTCAATAAAGTTGGGTGAATCCCACGAAAGGATGGCAGGAAACTCCAGAGCAATTATCAAGGCATCCCTTCCAGTGATCCCTATCTGGGAGAGGAAATTCAATCTCTCTTCAAGAAGCTTTGGTGTCAGGCCAAGAATCCGAGGTGATTCGGATAACAAAGCAGAAGAACAATTTAGCTTATTGTATGCTTTGAGGTATTTTGTTAGAAGATATGACCATCTTTTCGAAATGGAACCTTTACCGCGCCCTAAAGTTGTTTCTAGTTTCTTCACGTATCGGTATAAGTTCAAGGCTTCATGAGGTGGTATTTCTTGTTGACCCTTTGGCGTCTTTTGTTGAGTTTTTGCCTTCCAGTGACGAGGAAACTTTAGATCATCTTTCTTGGAAGACTTTTGGCTACGATCATCGACGACCAAACCTTTCTCCTCTTTCCAGCTGACAGCAGATCCAAGATCTGGAGTTGTGAAGTAGCGATCAGTACGGAAAGCAAGGCGATAGATTCCTTTTAACCTAAATAAAGTGTAAGAAAAACATTCTCTACATGAAAACCACGCGATCGCCATATTGAGTTCAGATGGCACACGTGGGGGAAAGAGGGACTGGACATGATAGGAATTCTTGTGTTCATGATAGGAATTTTGGTGTTGTCCTACATAACAAAATAGAAGAGTATTGCACCATTTTCAATATGGCGGAGCCGGCTAAAGAAACATTTTGCTGATTTTGTTCAGTTTAAACAATCTCTACCGAAATAAATAAATAATTTCGCTACATAGCGAATAAATTTTCAAATTCTTAAAAAAGTAGATGTTCAATGGGTAGATTTTCGCTGTAAAATTATTTTCAAGATTTTACCGGAAGTGAAGAAATCGTGCGCGCGCATTTCAACCCTCACGTGGTGGCTGTAATTCAATTTTTCGGCCAAAAAATTAAGAGGTTCGGGATTTTTGGCTCCACAGTAAATTATTACTTATGTCTCTACGGGGACTACAAAATCAACAAACGCAAGACAAACTTACTCGGATTGCTATAGTAAGTAATGATAAGTGTAAACCAAAGCGATGTCAGCAACAATGCAAGAAATCTTGTCCTGTGGTCAGAATGGGTACGTATGTAAAATCGTGTTTCGAATGATCGGCGGATATGTTTTTTGTGAGTGTTGTGCTTGTGAATCGTTACTCAACACACAGCCCTAATGAACCTTTTGCCAACAGGAAAACTGTGTATAGAAGTATCCCCAGCGTCGAAGATTGCTCACATTTCTGAGACACTCTGTATAGGATGTGGTATCTGCGCCAAGGTAAAAACATTTCAGAAGGAAAACACTAAACACTTTCAAAAGAGAGGAGTTTTTAGCGTATAGATTCTTAGAACAAATTTTTTAATAACTCCATTAAAATGGGGTGTTAAACGGAAGACAGACGATGTAAACAGATTTTTTTGTTTTTTTGTTTTTTTTTGTTTCAGAAAGTCAAAGTTTCTGGCAGTGTATTTTAGCTGATTTCTGTTTTTCTTTTTATTATGAAACTAAAGTTGAAACAGATTAGTTTTTTCTAAGATTTTTCTTCTGGAAATTTAACTTAAGGTGGCAATCACATGGATCCCCTTAATTAATTTCTGGTACAAGTTGCTTGCATCACTAATAGAAGGAAAATTGAGAAGGGGGAGTATGATACTATGCCATATTTTGGGTGGTTTTGAAAGCCATGGGTCTTTAAATTCAACTCTTAAAAAAGTTATTACTTGCGTGTTCAAACTGTGCACCAAAATTTAAAACTCTGCAAATCATTAATAAGAAAACCTAATTTTTTGTCTTGTAGAAATGTCCATTTGAAGCTCTTACCATCATCAATCTGCCAAGCAATCTTGAAAAGGAAACCACACATAGATACAGTGCCAACTCTTTCAAACTGCACAGGTAAGTGTTGAAATATTGTCTCATAGAGAAAGCAAAATTGTGACACAAGGAAAGTAAATATTACTTTTTAGAAATGTCGTGGTAATTTCATTAAAAGAAGACATTCTTAAAAGGTTGGTATTGCCATCCGTCTTGCTTTGCTTTCTAGGTTGCCAATTCCCCGACCAGGAGAGGTGTTAGGGCTTGTAGGGACCAATGGAATTGGAAAATCTACAGCACTGAAGATCTTGGCAGGAAAACAGAAACCAAATCTTGGGAGATTCAATGTAAGTCATCTTTCAAAGAGCTTGCTACTTTTCGGAAACATCTCTTCAGACACAGATGTTGTGTTTACTGCATTCTTATACCTTTAGAACCCACCAGACTGGCAGGAGATTCTTTTGCACTTCAGAGGATCTGAGCTGCAGAACTACTTCACAAAGATTTTAGAGGATGATTTAAAGGTGTGTGCTTGGTTATAACTATACATCTGCACTGCCTTTCTCCACTGTATTATTTTCACTTTCAGAAGTGATTGAGAGGTAACTTCTCCTTATAATATGCATACACTATCTAGAAAACAGGTAATGAGAATATTAAAACTTATCATGTAGAAGTTGTGATTCTTGATCTAACAACAAATTCTCTTAACTGATTTAAAAGGAAATGTGTAACAGCTAGAGGGGAGAATTAACAATTAAATCATTTTTTGGTTTGCCATATGGGTGTTGACTAAAGTTTGCCAAACTGGAAACTTTGATTGCAAATTTTAAGGCTAAAACTTCATTACTTCATGCTATGGTGGTGGCTGCTTATAGTGTTAATTGTTTTGTTCAATTTTGAATCCCATTTTCTCTCATTAGGCAATCATTAAACCACAGTATGTGGACCAAATTCCTAAAGCTGTCAAGGTGAGTAACTTAATGATTGCTTCCATATAAATTTTGTTGCCAATTATACTTGATACACTCAAAAATCTCTTCATCAGAGAGAACTGCATAATCATTCAGCAATCTAACCTGAATGGTTAATAATCCAGTTCTGTTTTCATTTAGGTTTGTTTACATGTGAGCACATGAAACTTGCTAGCAATGTTCTGAAAGTCATTTTGACAAAACCAATCAATTACTATTGGGAAGAGGCAGGGATGGATATGATGATGTTTGAACAGGTCACATTTCTTAGACCCTTAAAACAAATTTTAGTCACAATTAAATCAGAGGTTAGACGGGTCAAAGGTGTAGAGGCCCATATCTGTGGGTGTTTAATAATTCCTGGTTTCTGTAGCATGAAGCAATCAGGAATACCTCTATTAAGCCTGGATAGGAAATTTGTCCATCACAGGTACTTTTAGCTTCCAGCATTTTGTTAGGCTTCACTGGTAGCACGCCAGTACCCTATTACAGTTGTATACTCTCAGGTGGAGAGAACCCTCCCCCACCCCCCACCTTGGGGAGGGAAGACACTTACAGTGTAACTCAGTGCCTAACAACAAAGGCTTTTATTGGAAAACTGCGTGCAACATCAATATATGGTGGCCTACTCGCAACCTAAGAATGCAATGCAATGCAATGACCCAGACAGTGCTGAAACTGGAATGTCTCAATCTGAAATGTAGTGAGTTAACCCTTTAACTCCCATGAGTGACCAAGACAGAGTTTCTCCTTACAATATCAATATAATATCAAGCAGACAAGTGATGAGAATGAAGAAAAATATCAATCAGGGGATTATAAGTTGATCCAATACCAAATTCTCCAAACTAACACCACAAGAACTGTATGACAGACAGTAACAAGAATTACTAATGAGATCTTGGGAGTTAAAGGGTTAACTTCCTAACTCCTCCTTCTCTCTCTCCGACAACCAAAATCAGTATGATCTATATTTGTAAAGATACAATCCATCAAATTCTTGTAATCATTTTTTGATAATTTTTTTCATAATTTTTTCAGGGAAGTGTTCAGTCAATTCTTGACAGAAAAAACGAGATGGACAATCAAGAACATATCTGCAGACAGCTTGGTATGCTTGGTACTTTTTGTTTATCTCAGTTACCAACACCAAAATCTCACTGCCAAGTTTTGCTGTCAACTGCCACACGATTTTATAAGCCATTGTCATGATGGTACAACAAAATATTCCCAATAATATTTCTGGCAATTTTTATCAATTTAAACATGCTGTGTCTTTCCCAGATCTATTAACAGTACTGGATCGCAATGTGGATGAACTTTCTGGAGGAGAGCTGCAACGGTTTGCTTGTGCAGTGGTTTGCATACAAAGAGCTGATATGTAAGTAAGGGATTAACTTTTAACCTAATCACAAGGTTAGGTTAGTGGTCACTACTTACCAATACCTTTAGGAAAAGTTTAGAAATTGTTTTCCTTTCTCCTAGATACATGTTTGACGAACCTTCAAGTTACTTGGATGTGAAGCAACGTCTGAAGTGTGCCTTGACAATAAGATCCCTTCTGGGTGATGATCGGTAAGTATTTTGTGGTATAAATATGCAAGTGTCAAATCGCCAGAAATCAATCACAAACTGGAAATGTTACACCATAATAAACACTTCAACCTCCTTAATGTGGTTTGTAATTCTCCCTTTGAACATCTTCCTTTCTTTGTTGACTGGAAAAGAGAATTTTGAGGTTGATTTATTAAGACATCATCCCTCAGATGATATGCTTGTGAATTCTCATCACCTGCTTTCTATTAATATATAGATGATGTTAGGAGAAGCTAAATTTTAATAGCTGTTTATGAGTTACATGTAACCTTCAAACTGATGAACTGGCAGTCTTCTATAGGACATTTCACAGTTGTGTACTTAATTGCCAAGCCTTTGATTTGGAGTGAGGCTGAAGGTGACCTGGTTGTGACAGAGACCAGTATCAAATTAGCAAGATAACTAAGTAATTTACCTTTGAAAAGCAACAAGGTTTGTATCATAACAAGGTCACTCTTAGCCTCACTCCTGTTCAAAGGCTTGGTAATCAAGCACACAACTGTAAAATGGACTATTGGCAGTATTAAGGCTACATAGGGAACAAGGAAGAGCTTTTAGCTTCTGAATGTATCTAAGGCGCTTGTATCCCTGTTGCACACTTACAATGTTCACAGAAAACTTAATGACATTATTTTCTTTGCAGGTACATTATTGTTGTTGAACATGACTTGAGTGTGCTGGATTATCTGTCAGACTACATATGTTGTCTTTATGGATCTCCTGGGGCTTATGGCGTGGTTACCATGCCCTTCAGTGTCAGGGAAGGTAAGAGTGGAAGGTTGTCAGCCAAACAAGGCAAAGGGTGAACCAGTTCCTTGACTGTGTGACAAACTTGTCAAATTGAAGACTTGTATAAAAGCTAATTGGCCCACACTGCTGGAGTTAACCTACAGTGTTTAAAACTGATGTGGTAAATTTACCAGAGACCATCACAAGTTCCCCTTTCCCCAACCTGTTCTAGCTTTTTTTGAGGTTACTTTATAAGACAACTGAGCAGAACCCATTCTACTCATGAATGTATGTAGGACAGTAAGAGTCAAATTTTTTGTCCAAGAACACATCACTGGCTTAAGCAAAGACTCAAATTTGACCCCTTTGATTAGGCCATGGGTTTTCCTTACTAGGGCAGTGTTCTCCAGAAGCACTTGCAGGCGGCCTTTTTCACTCATTTCTGAAGTGACACCTACTATAACTAGACAAACACATCACAAAATTTATTTCACATCTAGATCTATCTTGACTTTGAATGAATTTTATCCTTTACTTTATTTTGGTGTGTACCCAAAAACATTGGTTAAAACTGGAAAGAGAGCAATGAGTAGTAGATGCTGGCTTAATAAATTCTCTTGCCCCCTTGGGTATTCCTTTGATTCCTGCCAGCTGCTGTCTTTTCATAGCTGGCTGCTCAGAAAATCTCTGGAAAACACTGCTAAGAAAGGTCACATTGTAAGAAAAAAACCTGTTACATGCACTTGTCTCTAAGAGTTTCAATTTCAATTGTCAGGAATCAATATCTTTTTGGATGGTTTTGTTCCTACTGAGAACCTGAGGTTTAGGGATACATCTTTGGTTTTTAAAGTGGCTGAAACAGCAGACAAGGTTTGTGTAGTTGAAAGATTTTAGCCTTTGTAGGTTAATCAAGGTATTAAAAGAGATTCCCTTGCACACGCATAACATGATTGAAACTTAAGACCCAATCTTGTCGTTTGTGCAAAATCATCTTGTTTATGGATAATATCACCTCTTACTAATGGAGTTCAAGGCCTGCACTGTTAGTTACAGACCAAGCTTGTTCCGCTGGGATTCATGGCCCATGCGCCAAGCAACAGCAACATTACCCTCAGCATTTCATCAGGTTTCCCTGATGAAATGCTGATACCCAGTGCCTTTCTCATGGATGGAGAGAGGCACTGTGAAAATGAAGTATTTTGCCAAAGAATACAAGGACTTGGTGAGGTCTGGGACCTAGAGTCTGACTGTAAGGCTACTGCATCTCCCCAAAACTGCATTAACCCTTTATCCCTAAGAGTGACCAGCATCTAATTTCTCCTTACAATATCACCCCTAAATCATGCAGTAAAGTCATGAGAATAAAGAAAATTATCAGCAGCTAAAGAAGTTGTTGATTGTAACACAAATTCTCCTTGTCAGCACCCTAGGGAATGTATGGAAAACAGTATGGAGTATATACATACTGATGTTAGGGTGTAAATGGTTAAAACAACATAAAAATTTGTTGTCAAGAGTATGGACTTAAAATTATGAATAAATCACCTGAGTTAATTTCACCCCATGCTATCAGAACTTATCCTGGGCTATTGTCCATAGTAGAATTAATATTTGAGTTAAAATGTGGGCTGTCATTTTATTTTTCATGTGACAGGAGGAAGAAGTGAAGAAAATGTTGAGATACAAATATCCTAAGATGGAAAAACAGCTAAGTATGTTTGGAGGTTGGGTGCATGGAGGGTCTTTATCATAAGGAATTAAAATTTACATAGGCTGAAAGATGACCTCATACGATGGTAGAGAAAAGAAAGGATCTGTATCTGAGGAACTGCAAGCATCCGAATTAGTGTGAATGAATCGCTGAATTGATCTCTTTACTTCCACAGAGGAGTTCCATTTGACTATTGATACTGGAGAATTCACAGATTCTGAAATCATTGTTATGCTTGGAGAGAATGGTAACGACTAATTGCTTTTATTTATTTATTTATTTATTTATTTGTTACAGGTCAGCCCATCATTTGTGTAACTGTCTCCCTTCCCAGAAAGACTTTTGACATAATTACTCAACCCAAGGGAAAAATTAGTAGTTCTTGTTCAACTGCAGTTTCCACACCATGTGCCATCACTGTTGCCACTATTGCCTCAGTTGTCTTCGTAGTAATCATCACCCAGTCAACCCTTTAACTCCCACGAGTGACCAAGACACAATTTCTCCTTTCGATATCAACACAATATTAAGCAGACAAGTGATGAGAATAAAGAAAATATCAGTGAGGGATTATAAGTTGATCCAATAGCAAATTCTCCAAACTAACCTTATAAGAACTGTATGGTAGACAGTAAGGAGAATTACTAATGAGATCTTGAGAGTTAAAGGGTTAACAAATAGATTCCTTGTTGCCGTGTGTCTGTTCAGTAATAGATGACAGCTTATGTCAAAATGTGGCAAGGACAAAAACGTGGCACACAAGACGCAGCTGAGTGTGTCACTGACTTTATAGCCACACTCTTGACGTCTTCTGTGCTCTACTGCTGTACAGATCCACGGCACATGGTATCTATTTGTTTTAAATGAACCGTTGGTGATGATCTATGCCACTGTCCTCCAGGGCCCAGTTGTATAAAGGGTGGACAACGCTATCCAACGGATAAGTCCTTATCCAGCGTATAAGTGATAGCAAAACGTATAGCGTTATCCACTGGATAGAGATTTATCCAGTGAATAGCGTTATCCGATCTTCAAACAACCGGGGCCACTAGATTATTAGTAATAACCTATCAAAATGCGTGCACAAATCAGCTTGTTAAACAATTTTTTTCACCATCAACTTCGTCAGCGTCGTCGTCGTCGCCATCATCACAATCATTATCACGCTGTTTTTTACATGCAACTTGAACTGCATGTCGTCATTGTAGATTTTTAGAGTTACATAATTGTCGCATAAATCTTACACTTTGGTTATCTGAGTGTTATAGTTACAAGCATTCAATTCTCTGAGCCATGTCTGTTTATAACTGATGCGAGATTCTTTATATTGTAGGAACCGGTAAGACAACTTTCATCCGCATGTTGGCTGGGAAACTCCCGTCCGATGGTAACGGTAAGTACTCTGTTCCTTCAAGTACATGTTAAAAGGTGAATATGGTTAAAGAAACAGATTATTCATTTGCCGCATGCATGAGACAAAAAAAAATTTAGTCACCCAAGCGGAGTCGAACTTGGGCGAAGTTTGCATTCAGATACTCTGCTATCACACTGCAGGAAACTCATTCGCAAGTTAGGTCGAGGGGCCTGTTTATCGCAAACTGACCGAGCTTAAAATTCATCATCTTTCTTTGCCTATATGAATGATCACAAAAACTGTGTTCGTATTCTTTTTCACAGAACAAGTTCCCATGATGAATATCAGCTATAAACCACAAAAGATCAGCCCAAAGTCACAGGTAATTTTTTTCCTTTTCTGTTTCTTTGTCGCCCTAAAGAAAGGAAAAAGAAACTCTTTTGCTGAGTAAAGAAAGGCGGAGCAGAGACGCGAGTTACTCGATATGTCTGCCCACCGGCGTCAGTCTCGTTCCCAGAGCCTCGTGATCGATAGTGCTTCAGAAAAGAATGAAGCACTGGAAAGGAGATTGCGCTAGCGTCCCTTGCCTCGTGTTACCTACGTTACCTTTCCTTTTCTATTTACTCGCCACAGAACACCGTGCGCATGCTCCTACACGAAAAGATCCGTGACGCTTATGTACATCCTCAGTTCATCGCTGACGTCATCAAGCCTCTACAGATCGAACAAATCATGGACCAGGAGGTGTGTCATGTGTGACATTAGATTCATTTTTTTGCTCCCAAGGCCTTTTCCAGAACGAGAGCATTTAGTTTGTTGGAGTAATTTTGAATTAAATTTCGGCATTCTCTGAATCCGTTTTGCTGTATCATCTGGAGAACTCGCACCAGTCTTTCAGCCAATCCGATGCAAAACTGGAACCAAGTGCGACTTGATTGTTCTCGATTTCCTTTCCACTTTGATCGGTAGCTTACCCTGAGTTCTTTTTTGCTACTTATGAATTTCATCTTTGTTTGGATCATTCGTTTTAATTACTAATCTGTTTTTTTTACATGTATGTTGTGGTTTCATAATCCTCTAAACGTACCTCTGTTATGTTTCCTTTTCAGGTTCAAAACTTGTCTGGAGGTGAACTTCAACGCGTCGCGCTAACGCTTTGTCTTGGAAAGGTACATCCCTACTCTGTTTTTATGTGTAATCGCATGGGCCCGAAGGCAATTAAGGATTAACTTGACGCGTATCCATACTAATGAATTAATCCTTACTTGCCAGAGGGCACTTGCGATTACTTGTTTATCGTATAAAGGGCAAAATTTCTGAGGGAATTGCATTCGCGCACGACGTCCTCGCGATGAAGCTCTTTCAATGCCGCCACAAATGTCAAAACAAACGTAACTGACCAATAGATTCAATAGATATTTTATTCTCAAAATACAGTTGAAAAACTTACACGGCTTCTTTCAGTTAAATTGCAATCAATAAATCGTTGCTGTAAACAGCGAAAAAGCTCAATCAGCGTCAAATAATCAAGCCCTCTAGATTACCAAAAATGCCCTCTGTCTCAGCCAATCAGCATTCGGTAATTTTGCCCCGCATGTGGTAAGTCATTTTAACATTTTTTCTATAGAGATATTTTCTCATTGTCTGATAGTAACTGAGTTCTAATCTGAACAGGACATACTTAGCTGAAAACCTGAGCTAGATATCAACTAGAGAACTGTGCGGTTTTGTTTACCGTTTTGTTTTTCAGCCAGCGGACGTTTATTTAATTGATGAGCCTTCGGCATACTTGGACTCTGAACAGCGTCTTGTGGCTGCCAAAGTCATTAAACGGTGAGTGACTTGGGTTTCCCACGGGCAAGACGTGCGCCAAGAGTTCGATTTGTGACCATTCTTCTGTACATGGACAGAAATTAAGTATTTTCTTGGTTACTGCGTGGTATATACTGAAACAATTGTTCGCCCAGTAAATACCTGCTATTCATATCCACCTCGTTATGGTGGTTATTTTTTCACGCTAGCACCGAGCGATATCAATTCCAGTTTCCATTTATTTCTTACCTATTGTTTAACATATTTATCGAATGACAGCATCAGCAAAGTTGTTACTTATTTCTTTGGTTTCAATTTGACTTTTTCGGTGTGCTTTAGATTCATTCTGCACGCCAAGAAGACTGGTTTCGTTGTGGAGCACGACTTCATTATGGCTACGTATCTTGCTGACCGAGTGGTAGTGTTTGAAGGCGAACCTTCCGTCAAGACTCTTGCAAATAGGTAAACATTTTTTTTTTTTATCATAATCTGTCTTAAGTCTAGAATGTTAAAAATTACGTGGTGAACTCTCTATGCGACCTCAGAACTTTCAAATGACTCCATAAGTGACAATTCTCACAGCTAGGAATAAAACCCATGACCCTTAAACTGATTCTCAATCAAGAAACCATTTTGCTGCTAGGATTTAAACAAGAAAGTTTTTATATTATCTGATAATTTCCTTGCAACCACTTTCATCTTGCTTTACATTGATGTTATTTGAAACGATGTTTGTATACGTGTAGTGCAAGGTATTGAGATAATATTCGAGAGAATTAAGAAAATTTTCTACACCAGTTGATATTTCTATATATTCGTTTTCCAGTCCTCAGACACTTCTTACCGGTATGAACAAGTTTCTCCATTCCCTGGAGATCACCTTCCGGCGCGACCCGACTAACTTCCGGCCTCGAATCAACAAGATGAATTCTGTCAAGGTAAACTAGTGACAAGGAGTGATGATGCGATATTTAAGTCATTTCAGTTGAAGCGTCGTAGAGAACTGAGAACTTAAATATAGTCATTTGCCAGGGTAGAGAAACGCCAAAAAGGCAAGGAAAGACGAAAGGTACAACGAATTTCGCATAACCAGTTAATATTTGTACTCGGTTTCTTCAAATGGCAAAGCCCTCCATTTCGCCAACCTTAACTGAATTATAGCCCTCTGTATGAACATGGCTTAAAAGTAAAGGATAAATTATCTCAAAGTCCTAGAGAAAAACAATGTCGTTGCTGTACCCTAGCTTACAGCAAAGTGATCGCACTTACAAGCCAGAAATATTCTCTCATTTACAGGACTGTGAACAGAAAAGGACTGGCAACTATTTTTACCTTGAGGATTAAAGCAACCTGCTGATGTGACTTCGGCAAATAAATACATACATAAAAAAGTTCAAATAACCATTGATGTAACAGAGAAAGCAAACCTGAAATGGTGCAAATGTGTCTTTTAAGATCATCAACAGCACTCTCTCTACTGGACTGCATCTGAATATTCCTAGCGAAGAAGAGCTTGTCTTTACTAACGGAACTGCATTTTAATGCTCCTACAGATGGATCGATGTAATTAATCTCATGACTTGAACTTTGACTATGTAGTGGTATTGCCAAGAGAAATAAATTGTTTATCACAGCCACTGTTAAGAGCTGAACAGTCTATCAAACACAAATGTACTATCACCAAATCCATCTAATTCTTGACTAAATACTCTTAGAGACTATGACGAAAATTGCGTTATGTTTTGAAGTTTGTGTTATCGCAAATCCAAAGTTCTAGGAATGTTATGGTCCTCTGTACACTTTATCAGCTGCGAATCGACGAACCCTGTCATAACTGGAGAAGGCAAGAGAAATTGCCTATCTATGTACCTCTCGTAACCTTCTGGTTTAGGGTCACGATTTTGACAATTTTACCGCAATCAAGTATTTCACGCGTGCGTTTGTAGCTATGCCTTTCGAACACTAAGAAGTATCACGTCACTTTGCCTTACTTGGTCACAACGCGGTCTCCTGCCTGTTACACTGTTTAGCATTGATTTTCTTGAGTTGATACGATGTTTTCTGCAGCACTTTTTGCTGAACAACTCCTTCACCGCTTGTCTGAATCCTGAACAACGAAACGAATACATTATGGGATTAGCCGTGGATCCTAACAGCGCTAACAAAATATAGATTGCTTCGTAAAGTACAAAACGTTCGCTGCACCGAAAGCTTTTGGCAGAAAGCTTTCCAAAAGATGGCGACCAACTAACGGCGAAAACTATTGTCGCAGCTATGAAAATCTTGGTCAATTTCCACCGAGATCTCAAAAGGGCTTTGTTCTTTGCATTTTTGGCCTCGTCGCTAAACCAGACATGTTTTATTATTCTGGTGTAGCAAGAACACATGACAATGCCAGGAACTGTTATCGAGATCACCAGAAGCGCGGCTAAATAACCTATAGTGGCAATTTCGTCTAACTTCGATTTTGCACAAACTTCCAGCATGTTATAACTGTTTCCCAATAGATAGTAACCTGGTGCAGTAACGACTGCAGTGAAGGCCAAAATTATCCACAGGAGTTTTGCTACGAGAGATTTGGTAACCTTAGCTTTGTAGTAAAATGGCTTTAAAATCGCAAGGTATCTTTCGATCGAAAGCAGAGTCAAGATTAGAATCGAATGCAAAGTGTGAAACATATATGTTCCATACAGACGGCCTTTGGCGCCATTTACTAATAAATAGATGTTTGTTTCGGCGATGAATCCAAAACTTAAGTCGCTCAGAGCGAGCCAGGACAGCAGGTAGGTGTTTGGACATTGCATCTTTTTGTTCATTTTAACAACTGCAATGACGAGTGCATTTCCAATTACATTGCAAATGAAGATTGGCAGCGAAACAAACCCTGCCAATAGACGAATTTCTTCGTTCATGGCTGACAGCTAAAAGCTCGGGAAGACTACTTGACTTCTTGATTGTGGCGTTAAAGAAAGGCTCTTCCGCTCCTTTTCAAGTATGGATCAGAGCTGCACCACTGAGGATTAAATTAAGTTTACTTTTAGCATTAAACAAATAAACAGATTGAAGTGGAGAATAATTTGGAAAGTCATTTCATACCATAAAGGCATTTTGACAATCAACTCACATGCCAAATTAATTTCACAGCTTCAATTTTTCTTGTTTCTCTTGATGGACTCTTTTAAACAATAGATGCCTTATGCTAATAGATCACAAGGCCATTAACAGACCTGAATATAGAGATGAGGCGATAACAATAATTGACCTTTTGAATATAACAGTCTTTCGTGATCAGACTTTAATCTCGAGATCAGGTGGACTAAGTTATTCATTGGTTTACAATATAGATTAGAGGACAGACAAGTTATCACACTGTATTTGTTGATTGGATGTTCTTTCTGCTAACAAGGGATTTCAGTTTGAATTAAAAACAAATATTATTATCCGAAAAGGAAGAGTTCACTCTATGAGGTTTTGGAGATATGATTGATGTGGTCGTCTTGCTGCCTCTCTCTGTGGGGATAACCTTTTGAAAGCCTCTAACAAAGAAAAGTTCATTTCTCTCTCTGCGTGAATTAAGAAATCGATCTGTGCTTTCCCGCCATTTAACTACACCATTTCCAAATTTGTTATAAAACTATGAAAATATATGTGATTATGATATCTTTACATTGTTATCGTCCAGGTAACAGAATTTACTGAATAAAGGTAGGCAAGAGTTATTTGACTCTTCGTAATTTATTTAAGTTCCACGTGTCTCAATAAATAGCGACCTTCTTTAGAACTTTAAAAATTATTGACTGAAAATTAAAATAAAAACTATTATTCAAATTTGTTTGTTTTGGAATTGAAAAGCATTTGAACAGTTTTTTTGACATTACTTGCACTTGCGTACTTTTTCACGGTTTTCATTAAGAAAAAAAACAGGTGAAGAGAGTCAAAATTTTAATTCTTTACGTTGCGTTCTTTTAGGAAAACATCGATGCGACAACGCAAGAATTCTTCGCTGCCGGAGAGAGAGAGAGGAATGAGATGGTGTTAATAAATTTTGCATGTTTGGAGCAGAGTTAATTTTTTCCAATTTAGCCTGTGTTAAAGTTCCTTGATAAAGGTAAAATGGGAAACAAGTGTTCGATTGTAATAGATCAGCTGTCTAATTTCATTCTCTTACATGGAAGACCACTTAAGTTTTTTGGAGTGCAAACACCATCCTACTTTTTTCTGTGGACAGGAAGTCAAACATTGAAATTTCAGTGGAAAACCATAAACAGTAGAGTAAATATTTCTCGGAACTATTGTGATAGAGAATAAAATCGTATTGAAGATGGTTTCTTTGGTTTTTTGAGAAATAATTCGTTGTTAAAATGTGATATGCAAGGTTTTTTAACGCTTCTGTGGACTTGTTAGCCGATGAAATTATATCAAAATTCATGCAATTAATAAACTGACGGTTGTGTCATGCAACCGTTTACAAAAACTTTACATATAATTCATAGATAGACAAACAAAACAAAAAAATTTCATTTTGGGTTTGGACAGCAATCGGTCAAAATTAGATTTAGGACGGCGCTTTACTTCCCCGGTGTTCCAAGGCGATTGATTAAAAAATGTGCAAATCCCATAGCGACGAGAAACTGACGACATTAATAAATACGTCATTTCAGAAGTAAAATCATGTACAGAACATGTACAGCTTGTTATTCAATCCTTGCTACCCATCATTTTATTCTCAAATAAGCCGAACTTGTAAGGCAAGAGCTAAAACTACCGCTACATCAAAAGAAGAAAATGATTTAAGTTTGACTTTGAGGAGGCGGGTTTAAAGAGAACTCAAAATTCATAAAACACGCATCTCAGCTACTCCCTATGTGCACTGCCTCTATGTGTCACCCCTAAACAGCTTTTCCCGCGTTGGGATATCGTTTTGCGGGCAGCTGAACGGAAAGCCATAACTAACGCGAACGCAACTAATCTTGACCTGATGGTTTTACATATTTTCTTGAAAAGGGGGATCCGCGTACGCGCTTTAGTGCGTACGAGCCCCGTTAACATTCTAAATATAAACTTTGGGGGCCTTATCTCGTAAAAGTGCAGGAAACGCGTACCTCATACCCCAACTTGCTTGGTCCGATCTATTTTGCTCTCTTTACACTTTCGTGGATATAATTTTGCTCGCGTTCAGTATTCCATATTCCTCTATCCAATACCTTGTAAATGCCTTGGACCCAAGTTACTTTCGGGTTGCTCCGGCGGCGGAGAGGTACTATCCAAATTTAAGACCATTCGTGCACCTGAGAAAAGCAAACATCACTTTTGAACAACGTTACCGATATGGATTACCGATATATCGATATGGATTACTGTTGGCATTTTTAGGTTCGGTGGGAATGACAACTCATCATTGGACTGCTGCGATTAAGTATTCTTCGAATAATGCTTCGATTAGCTGCACAAGCAATGCGCTAGGTGTATCAGAAACTATTAACACTACACTACACATTCGTCCTTCTTGCGTGTGGTCAATTCTACCGAATATGGCAGTGATTTTCTGTTACTCACGGGTAATGATCGCGTATGGTTCAAAGTGGAAGACAAAGCTACAAACCTTGCTCTCTTCAAATCGCGTTGGAAACCGACAAATCTTTTCGTCATCCTCACTACAACATTCATAACTACTTGGACTCCAACATTTGGGAGACCAATCGTCAAACGGTTTTCTGTCTATAGTTTATTCTTGAACTTTTCCAATTTCAAACTTTTTATTTATTCCAGAAAAATATCATTATTATCAGAATGAACCAGCGAATCTACCATCTAGCGATAATGCTTTCTTCAGATTACATTTGCTCCAAGTTTAATGCCGAATTAAAATGATCACAACTTTTAGCAAAAGCGCATATGCTCCGCATGCACTACTTCGAACTGTTCGTCGATGCATTTGAAATACAGTTTTTAAGTTTGGACGGACGATTCTGTCAAAGTTTTAAAGAGAGTATCTGCCTCAGCGAGTTACTCTATTTACTTTTAAAAGACCACCCATACCATATCCAAGTCAATAAAGGGCTAAATTGGTCTCTTCAGCCGCCTGAAATTGTTTATATATCACTCTCATTTGGAAGATGAATTAATTTAGCTGAGGGTAAAAACAGTCATGTGTTTACTTTCTCAATAGAAAGGAAATTTAAAACTGAGTTGTTATGAAAAACTTAAAAATATTTTAATGAATAGAAGAAAGAATACATTACTAGAGTTCTCATGATGAAAAAATTATTTTTAATGAAGACATGCTTTTGCTTGCTTTTCTTTTTTTGGACGACACTAATTCTTGTTGAAATATGATCGCCGCAAGGTTAATTATTCTGTTATCTTGTTAGCAAATGAAATTTGAATCAAAACTTATAGTATTTGTGTTATTAGGGTAGGGACAGCTGTCTCATGCTCCTGATTACAAAAACTTAAAGCACAAATTATTGATAGATTTACAAAAACAGGAGTATACCTTATTATATTAGATATATACTGCGACCATGCCAAATTAAAATTTAGATAGAACTTTACTTAAACGAAGGTATTTCTCGTGTTGTTGAGTCTTGTTTATCTGGGTAAACTGCCCTGCAATTCAGGATCGCAAAAGATTTTCATGTTGCTTTTATTTCGTTGTAATAGTAGAGAGATACTATTTGATTCTTAAATCTTTTGTGCACATGAAAAAAGTGGGCAAGTCTCTGATGTGGAAAGTTACTCTCACAATATGGTTTTAAGTCATAATTTTAGGTATTAGAACATCTATCATCGATTCAAAGATGTTTCGGGTCAGATATGTTTGTAATAATGTTACCGTGACAACGGAAGATTCACCACCCACTGATATCGAAACTGTTCATATTGCCTACCCATTTTTTTTTACTAGCAATCTGTCTTGTTATACCGAGTACTGTTTTCATCTACTGTTACTCGCATGTGATTTATCATGTGTGGTTTAATGCTGAGGAGAATAAAGCCACGAACACAGCGCTCTTAAAATCGCGCCGCAAACTGACCAAACTTTTCATTATCCTTACTGTTACAATAAAAGCCAATCGTGAAACAGTTTGCGAGAAAAGAACGGATAACAAGCTACGAGCTGATCTCTTTATTGCTTGCTCTCATCGGTTTGACGGTGAATCCATTATTTATGCTTTTCGTTGCCCAAGATTTCGCCACGAAGCAATAAAAATATTACCTTGTTTTTGCTGTAAGAAGGAAGAGCTTCGTCCAAATAGCCTGAGTGGTAACAGGGTCGGTTTGCAGCAAACGGCCTCTGTATGACTGAAGCACAAGACAATGCAACACAAAAAAAGCTTCTGATGAGTAAGCCATATTCATGGCTGAGTAAGTTTAATTAGAGGCAAAGAACTGGCGACAAGGAGAGGCAGTTTATTTTACATAAGGCCATCGAAGCTCGTCTTACATTTTCAATGGGCATCACGACAAACTTACGAACGTCAAAGAAAAAAATTGTTTTCGTTCGCGGCCTAAAGGCTAGTAACTATCTGATAAACGAAAGCCGAGGAAATTATCGGGAGCCAAGCGACACACTAAGTTAAAAGACACTGGCGCATTTGGATGAACTTTTTCAATAAGAGTAGTTTTATTCCATGTAAATAATATTCTTTACAATATTATGATTAACGATTATTAACTTAAGTGAAGGTGAAAAGTGGTGGACGTTTGCTGAATCGCGAAGTCCATCGCGCGAGTAAAAAAAATTAGTGAAAAAAAGAAGTTGATGTTGGCGCGTCGTGGGGAGCCCTGGTAGTGAGGCCTACTTTTCAAGTGCCTCACCCAGAGCTTTCCGTGGGACGCTGACGTCAATTTTTTTACTAATTTTTTTTTCTGACTCGCGTGACGCACTCTGCCGAAAAGGGAGGGACTGCTCCTAGTTTACTATTTCAGTTGTAAAATATTTCCGAGCTGATTTGAGAGTAAATGAAAAGTCGTTCTATGGTGACTCAAATGCCGAATAGAAAAACAGTTAAATGATGTAATTGTTAGCTTTAAAACATAAAAATGACTTCTGTAAATCTAAATTCCATAATCATGTTTTAACGTACGTAAGCCATCCATTAACCCATGGTTGTACTCCAAGTGAAAACTTGTCGCAAGAGCCAGCGGTACCTTGCAGAGAACCACTTTTCGAGGTCTTGTTTGTTAAACATTAAGTTGTTAAAAGATTAGTAGATAAGTTTAGTTGTTGATTGTTTTGGTCTTCTTTTGATAGGTAAATGGTCGTGGTTAGTCGTTGCATTATACAACACTCGATATGCTTGCAAGAGTTCGGACCGTCGTTTTGTTTTTGCCGTAATCGTATTAAACTTCCAGAACAACGTATAACCTTGTAGACGCAAAATAAATGGTTAAAACTCTCTTTATAAATAAAAAAAAATTCATCTTCTTCCCTAAATCTCATTACACAGTTTTGGGTGTCAGTTTCCTGAAATCAAAGTCCACTGTTGGAGCTTTCTCGCGTTAGCAATATATCTTCAATACGCAATCCTGTTCCAGCTACCTCATAACATCTTGACCTAGATACAGAGGCACAGCTGGAAATTCTTCATGCACAAATCAAGCAAAATCTGCAGCATCTCTTCAAGAGAAACAGATTCGATAACGATGAGTTTATTTGAAAAAATTAGTCTTCAAAGGCTTAAGGGTCATATGTTAATAGGTGATAAAAGTATCACTGTCGAATAATAAATTAGATCTAAATTTGTTTTCCTATTCGCGCTAAATCTATTTTCTTTTCGCTTAAAAAACATAAAAAATCTTCGCCAGAAGGTGATGTTTATTTGCATTCCAAATTAAAGCGCGAGTTGGTAAAAAATAATAAATCATATGTGATAAATGAAATACAGTTGAAATGATGCAGAATGAATGAGAAAGAGAGGGAGGAAACTATGCATGCACGCATTGCTTGCCTACATTTCTCTACTGTAAGCTCCATTGATTGATGGGAAACCCCGTAGCCAACTTCCGCTTGCTTCATCACAATTCTCATTTTGGGGCTCCTCTGTTTTAAACTAGCAGTGCAATCATGGCTAGTTCCTGAAACTGCAAATGGTGAGTACATGAACACTCTGCGCAAATAGTGAAATAGTGTGTATTATTTGACAATACAGGATGAAAATCGATTTGATTAAATGTCCCCAAAAATTCCAAAACCGGAAGAAGCTATCACAAGCATTCTATCGAGGTAGCGTGATAAATACTGTGCATGTATAAAAACTGCCGATTAAGAACTTTCAAAAAGACAAATCATATGTAGTACCAGTTTTAGTAATAACCAAATAGGAGTGAAGTATAGATTTCAATGTCGTTCCTTGTCCGATTGCTCTCCAACGCATCACGAAGCCTATTTTTCAATTGGCTTTTCAGCATCGACGTCAAAAAGAGACTGATATTTTAGCGTTACTTTTATCATTTCCTAGATCTTTCAGCGCTCAGATACTGCTTAATTTCATCCAGCATTCTTACGACAATCGACGCATCTCAGTTGTTGTCATCGCAAATGAAGCGTATATTTGATTAGAACTACCGCGGGGGTCGCATGCAGCACCTCAAAAATTTGAAAAACAATCAGATCAAACCGATTATATGTAATATGAAGGAAGATTTACTGGTTAACAGCTTTGAGGAGATGAGATAGATAAACGTTTGACATGCTTGTACTCTGTAAACTTTTTAGTTCAAGAACTTTTTTAGATAAGTGTCCACGTTCACGTTGGCTGATTTTGAAAAATGATAATGAGGACTCTAAATCAAATTAAAGCCGGAAAAAGTTTAGAATATTTTCAAATTCTCGCTGTACATTGGAGTTGAAGGCCTCCTTTCAGATTTCTCCTGAAGAGAAAATATTCGGGATCATACGGTCTCATCAAATGTTAATAACTTTGGTGATTCAGGAGAGACGTTGCAATTGATCTATCGCCGCCAGGGACGGAAGGCTGCCATAAGTATTTTTGAATACATGTTTAATACATGTAAAAATGTATTTTTGCATATATTTGCGGACTACAGGGTTAAAACTGAATTTAAAACGCAGGAGTTAAAATGAAACATACACGTAATGAGAACAGAAACAGGCTGCTATGACGAGTGCATTTCTTTTCTATTTTTTCGTTTTAATGGTATTTCTTTGATACTTGATGTAATTTTTCACGGATTAAGAGAATCATGACGCAAAAAAATCGAACTTAAAATGAAGAGCGTCGTTAAATCTTGCTGTAAACTAAAACAAAGTGAACGGAAAAGACTAAGTGATTGATATAGGAGTCGTCTTAGTACTGAATTAAAACATTAACATGTTAACCGGGCGAACACCGAAGATGATTGTACATAGCAAACTAGCTCAGCTTGATTACAAAGCTCAACTGAGCCAGCAAGATAAGAAAGAGTAAGCTGTACAACTGTGTAGCAATCATTCTATTCCAGAGTCCAGGCATGCACCGGGCTGTAAGGTGCAGAAAGCGAAACGGTAGAGCAGAAGAAAACAAACCTGATTTTTTAAAGAACGACAACGGTGTGGCTAAGTTTTCAAAGTTAACACTCATTTAGGACAGAAGTCGCTCTGTCAGAAAGGAGAAGGGTTTGGGTCAAGGGTTGATAGCTATCCATTGCTAGTTGGTGAGGGATCAAACGTGGTGTTATGTTTTTGCAGTTATCTCATTGGTGAAATGGCAGCCGCCACAGACCCCAGTAAGGCGCTTGATTCAACTCCTGAGAAAACGAATTTCCAACGTGCAGCACGACTGCTGATCTGCGGAGGAACGATGATATTACGAGAAATTTTCGACAAGATACATCCACCAAAAGATCTCCCCATAATATTAAATGATCCGGCTATAAAAAGCCAGCTCGCAGCAGCAAGGATCACCAAACCACAGTGGGATTGTCTTTACCCCTCCCCAGGGACGTATGGCAAATCAGAAGATTTCGATGTGACTCTGCTCTTTAAGTTGCTACGGACAATATGCAACCTCCATCCTCCAGCCTCAGGATGGGACGATCTACCGGCAAGTGCAGACCACAGTTTAACTGCGGATTTAGCAAGAATCAAATATTATCGAAACACCGTGTACGGTCATGTGAATCAACGCATGGAGATCAGAAATGAAGAGTTTCAATTACTCTGGCAAGAAATCAGAGAGGCTCTATTGAGAATTGCTAGATCAATTAGCTCAACAAAGGGAACTGAGTGGGAGGATGCCATTGATAAACTTTTGAATGATCCTCTCACTGCGGAGGATGACAGAAATGTAAAGGAATTACTACACTGGTATAGAAACGATATAGAAATAAAGGAATTAGTGGTAAAACTCAACTCTTCTATCCAAGACGTCCAAAGTACAATAGAGGAGAAAGGAAAAACTTTGGAGACTACTTTTCAAGAGGAAGCCCAAGGCATTAAAAATCAGCTTGTAGAGGAACTAAAAACTACAAGAAAAGATGTTCAATGTATAAGCCAAGAAGCCCAGAACATCAAAGATCAGCTTGGAGATGAAGTAAAAACGACAACTGAAGAAGTACAGTTCTTGAGACGAGAACTTCGAGAGGAAGCTAAAGGTATTAAAGATCAGCTGGGGGGTGAAGTAAAAGCTGCTACTAAAGAAGCCGTAACATCTCTACGACAAGAAGTCCGAGAGGAAGCTCAAAACATAAAGAATCAGCTAGGAGAGGAAGCTCAAAACATAAAAGATCAGCTTGACAAACTCAAAGTCTCATCTGAGGTCCATCAAGCTTCTGGAGGTCAGCTATTAAACATAATCATAATTTACTAAGGGCCTGTTTACATGGAGGTGGGGGACCCCAGGTAGGTGAGGTAACCCGCCTAGGTGGGGTAACTTGCCTGCCCATATAATTTCTCATTTTATTTTGATTACGTTTACATGATAGTTGGGGTGACCCGCCTAGGCGGGTTGCCCGGTCTGCCAGGTAGGGTAACCCTCTCAGCCGGGGTGACAATTTGCCATGTAAACGTGTCAAGGTGGGGTAACCCGCCTAGCCGGGGTCGTGTTCATGGCAAAAAGCTCAAAAGTGAAACATGTATGTTTTAAAACTTTGTGCATTCCCTAGCCGTCTCATGGCAGAAATCACCAGAAACCGCAATGGACACACAAGGAGTGTAAAATGTTCACACTTCGAAATGTTTAGCGATGTGAATCGACCATATTTGGTTTCCCAACTATTCCGTATAACGTATTAAGTCAACGGTTCCTCGCGAAACCAAACACCGCGTAATACAACGCGTGACGCTTTCATGAATAAATACATATGTGTCCGGGAATTCATCTTTCGTCTTTTTCGAGATGTGAGCTTGGGACGCCCCTGCTCAAACTCTTTGGTTGCAAGCGCAACAACAACCTTAAGAAACCTCACCCTAGCACCCCGGGGTTATAAGATTGCACGTAAACGCGTTTTCTTTTTGGACCACGGCTAGGCGGGTTACCTCACCTATCTGGGGTCCCCCACCTCCATGTAAAGAGGCCCTGAGTCCTGTAACATCAAAAGATATATTACACCCATTTTGAAATCATTGGTGATCCTTGCAATCTGACTAGCTCTCATCGGTGTGATTTGTTCACAAGACAACTCTTGCAACATTTTACAGACCAGCTCGGTACTGGATCGATAAATTATTTGTCAGTAAAGGGCTATTCTGTTTATATGATAAAAAAATAATACATGGTTGCTTGTAGATATGAAATTTATCTTCTCCTAACAACCTCAAATTAGCTTCTTTGACCATTTAATCCACACATTTTCTGAAAGGGCCCGAACGTTGCCAACTAACGACTCGACAATATCGTTTTGCGGGTTTAAATACTAATGAAGTGGTACAAAATTTCCTGTTCCCGGTCCGAAAAAGTTGAACCGGCGGCAAAAATCTATGTGCAATTACCCACCAATTGTTCGTGTACGATGTCAGTGTGAAAACTGTGATAAAACGTTTCGGTACAATTCCATGTCGCACAGGAATCATTTGGTCCCAAGTCTCCTCTATTCAACCAAACCTGACTTGAAGCTTATTTAAATTTAGAAACTAAAATGTGTAAGAGCGCAGATTCATATTTCAGTCACTGTCAGTTCACATGTTCCAACTCGCAGGCACGAACTTTACGCATTGCGTGATCAGAGTTTGGAAATCACTGATTGAAATTATCAGCTCTTAACGCGTGGTAAAGTTTAAGTATCGGAAAACACGTCTGAGATCAACGGTACCATTTAAAAGTAAGAGGGCAGAGGCTTGAGTTGCCACATCCCTATCGTGGTACCTGAAGTAACATTGGTTGATGAAACTTTTTATCCAAATAGTTCAGCTTCAAATGCGGATTGACTGTAAGACCATCAAAGAATCTCCAGTACCTGGAGCCTCAGGTTTGATGGTGCTAACATCGGAGGGTTCTGATATCGAGAGGAAAACAGTTTTAGGAGTTAAGCATAATGAAATGGCTCCTACTGCATCATCGCTTCAACAAGAAAATGGAAGTACAAGAGGCTCTGAGGCAATGAGGATTGGAAGTGACTGTTTACCTAGTTCTGAGGAGGTTCTGAATTTCATCGCACTCAAGTATTTCAAGGAAGTTGATGCATCCAGCCCGCATGAGCGAAATGAGTTTCTGCAATATCTCAAGGACGTGCGCAAATTGCTGCTTGTTGACACTCAAATAGGAAGCATTATTATAACAGTGGAATGTAGCTCTCTGCAGGTATTAGACGAACTGTGGGATGACCATTCCACGGGCCATCTCAATGAGATGGCACAAAAGCATCTTGTCACAGAGGAAATTCTAAACAAGTTTGGTCTCATTGAGGTGCAGTTATCGACAACGATTCGAGAAGAGGAATATAGAGCCGCTCAAGAGTATTTCATGAAATGCTCAGGTTAGTGTAGAAAGCTGTTTCAAGTCGATTTCCAGAAGAAGCATTCGACAAAATTTATATACATTTGTCTCGCGCGTAGCATAAAACGTCAGCTTATTCCACAAACATAACTAGCATGAGCACGCTTACTCTCCCATGATCGAATATTGCGTTTCTGGCTATTTTTTGGTACAAATCGAGTTATTAGTATATGATGAAAAACGCATTTCAAACGCAAAGATGCCCTAATATCGAGACAACCGGACAAGCTTATAACATTTAAAATAAGATACAATAGTGCGCTGTTCAAAAAGAAACAGTGTGAGAGATTGTAATGTTCTTTCTACAGTTTAGCTTTCAACTCTAGGTGAATTCCATAGTGAATTATGCCGATACTTCATTTTAAACCCAGCTGGATTGAAACTTCATCCTTCCCACCAGATTTCAAAAGAAGTTCTAGTGACTCCACCAAAATAAAGTTAAATTTAAGTTAATATTGGCTTGAATCATTTATAAATAGTCAATGATGCAAAACCGAGAGGGACGACCCTGCCATACGGCAAAGAGCACGTTGATGTCGCGGATGCTCAGAGTAGCTTGAGTCCCACAAAGCCAAAGTTCTTGGGGGATTTTCAACAGGTTCAGGAGCCTTATGAACGTCCTTTAGACAGTCAGTTGAAAATACTAGGACCCGGATATGTAGATGTCGCCATCGCTCACCATAGCTTGGGTAATGTACACATCGACTTGCGTGATCTGCAACAAGCCAAAGACCATTACGAACGTGCTCTAGACATTCAATTAAAAAAGCTTGGACCCACGCATGTTGATGTCGCGCGTACTTACCATAGCCTGGGTTATGTAAACCTTAACTTGGGTAACCTGCAACAGGCCATAACAGATTATGCACGTGCTCTAGACATTCGGCAGAGAATGTTTGGAATCGAGGATATCCATGTCGCGCTTTCCATAACATACCTTAGGTGTTGCAACAGGCCATCAGATTCGATTGAAAAAGCTTGGACCCAACCACAGCGATGTCGCTCTTTCATACCATACCTTAGGTGTTGCACACCATCAGCTGGGTGACTTGAGAAAGGCCAAGGAGTATTTCAAACGAGCTCTAAGCATTGCGTCTATGCACGAGAACCAAGGTAATGCATACCTTAACGTTGGTGACCTACAGTTCGCCAAGGAACATTACGAACGTTCTCTAGCTATTAGGCTCAGAACGCTTCGACTACCGAGAAAGCATGCATTTCTGCAGGTCGCTGTCGCGCGTACTTACCATAGCCTGGGTAATGTAAACCTTAGCTTGGGTAACCTGCAACAGGTCATAACAGATTATGCACGTGCTCTAAACATTCGGAAGAGAATGTTTGGAATCGAGGATATCCATGTCGCGCTCAGCTGCCATAACATGGGTGTAGTATATCAGCAGTTAGGTGATCTGCAACAGGCCCAAGAATGCTTTGAAATTGCCCTGCAGATTCGATTGAAAAAGCTTGAACCAAACCACGATGATGTCACACGTTCATACCATACCTTAAGTGTATTACATCATCAGCTGGGTGACTTGAGAAAGGCCACGGAGTATCAGAAACGAGCTGTTCACATTGAGTTGAAAAAGCTTTGAGCCGAGCTTGCCGTTGTCGAGTCTACGTTCAGGAACCTTGGTATATAATGCATACCGGTGACCTGCAACAGGTCAAGAAGCATTACGGACTTGCCCTGAATATCAGGCTCAGAAGGCTTGGACCGGAGGATTTTGAAGATGAGCGTACCAACCAGTTGCTCGGAAGAGTACTCATGGCCATCTGACATTGAGATGGAAAAACTTGGACCTAAGGTTGTGGACGTTGTGGATCCCCATTGACATGTGTAAAGCTCCATAGGATTTGACTGAGTTTCAGGGAGCCTTGAAGTATCATACAAGATCCAAATCCTCTAGTGAAAGGAACTTCGGCTTTCATCATGAGAAAATGTCATTTGATTTATTTATCGTCAAAATGAGCCCTTTGGTTCCAGTACTGAACGATATGTAATTTCTTTATAATTGTGTTATGGTCCTGCAGTTTCCAGCCCAGAATTTTTTCGAATTATTATTGTTCAAATTTATCCTGAAGGGGTTCAAAGTCGATAGCTACATGATTATCTTTACAATTTGCAATGACGTTAATTTCATTTGACCTGCAGATTTAAATTAAATGAGGCCATGATCCTTGTAGATAAGTTGTAATTTTAGCAATTGTAAAAAAGAAAAAAAATTCAGGCCCCTATTTTTCTATCTAAAAATTCATCAACCCGAACAAAGCAAAATTTCAGAGAAATGAAGAGTGTTTTGATTTTAAAACGTAATACATCTCTTCCCCTCATATGAGTGACCAAGACAGAATTTCTCCTTACAATATCAATACAATATCAAACACATGAGTGATGAGAGTAAAGAAAAACATCAATTTGGGATAATAAGTTGATCCAATATTAAATTCTCTGAACTAACGTTATAAGATTGGTATGGTTGAGAGCGAGGAGAATTACAAATTTGATCTGGGAGTTAAAGGGTTAAGGATGTTATTGATAACCGCTAACATTTATTTTGACGTTTGCATGTTTAGAGTAAGACTACTTTTATTTAATTCAACCTGCGTTGAGCTTGTCTAATTATGAATAGAAAAAAAAGGAAAAACAAATACTCATTAATTCTGTAATATTTCTGTGCTTCTTGCAGCTATATGTAATTATCCAGCTGCCTCAGATTATAATAATAATTTAGAAGACCACTTAATTTTGTTTGGAGAGAACTGAATCATTTAAGTTTTTGCGTGTCAAAATGAAATTAGAGGTGGAACATTGTTGTAGTAATCTGACAGAATAATTATGGACAGCAAAACTGTCCATAATTAACTAGTAGAATCTATGATAAAATGGAATGGATCTTTTGGTTTAAAAAAAAAAAACAAAGTTAAAATTTTTTGTGATCTCGATGCTTTCATTAATGCTTTCTCGATTTGTTTTTCATGTGGAAACTTACTGTTTCGTGGTGTGTTACAGAAATCTAAATGAAAGCTTGAATTTGTTAAAGGCGTGCTCACAGTACGTACCCACAACCTTTTTCTATGTAAATTATTGCTCGATAGATAAATAAACCAAACTTTATTGTATAAGTTATATATACCAACACCATATGAGATTGAATTTCAAACACAGCTTTACCCCCGAAGGTTCGTGTTGTTCTCTCGGGTGACGCACAGAGTAAGCCACTTTATTTTTACTACACTCTCTAGTTTTCTTTATTTTTCGTCAAATTTTTTCGTTGTTTTTCAGCATATGGCGGGTTCGAATCTTTTCGTTACTGTTCTTTCAATTCCTCTTCTTCTTTTCACCGTTTTTGGAAATTTTCTTGTTATAATAGTCATCCGCAAGTGCAAGAAAATTTTGAACGCAAATACCTATCTTATATTCCACCTTGCATGGTCTGATTTGTTTTTTGCTCTGACCACTTTCGCGGAGACGATTCTCGTCTCTCTTGAAGTTCCTTACTCCTCTTTCCAATTCCTTTTTAACGCTTTATTTTCAAGTTATACTCTTGTTGTCCTAGCGATTGAGAGGTACTATGCAATTCTGAAACCTTTCGTGCACATGAAAAAGGTGGATGTGTGTTTAACGCGGAAAGTTTGTACCGCGCTGTGGGTCTTGGTTGGTGTCTTAACTGCGGCAGGATTTGTTATCGAATCATTTGAAAATAGGTACAAGTATTCTGGGTTTGTTAATGGTTCGATGAACACCTCAAGAGATCTTCCTCCTGTCCTCGAAACCATTAATATTACCTTCGTATTTGTTGTTTTTGTAATCGGTCTCGTAATACCAAGTACTGTTATGATCCTGTGTTATTCACATGTGATTTATCATGTGTGGTTCAGCGCTGAAGACAAAGCAACGAATGCTGCTCTATTCAAATCGCGCCGTAAACTGACCAAACTTTTTATCATCGTAACCATGATATTCATAATTACTTGGACTCCAACATATGGCAGGCTAATCGTCAAGGAGTTTGTGAACCATGAAACGACAAAGAAGTCCTATCAACTTGTTTCCATGCTGCTTGCCCTGATTGGTTCAGCGGCAAATCCTGCCATTTATTCGTTTCGTTGTCCAAGATTTCGCCAGGAAGCTGTTAAAACGTTATCATGTTGTTGCTGTAAAATGAGAAGACGCCGGTCAAAGGGGCGAAGTGGTAACAGAGTGTTTGTGACCAGTGGCCGCTGTATGACTGAGACACAACACAATACAACAAATCTGAATGAAACCTACGCTGATTCAGTGTAGAAATTTTACATTCATGGCTACATGAAGTTCCTCATTGACACAGAGGGGCACTTTGGCTTAATTTATGATCAAGCCCTTTAAGTTCCTGTGTATCGTTTTCATTTCAAATGACCATCACATCGGCTTCTGATATTCACGTAAACGTCTCAGAGATCACTGTTACCATTCGCTTAAAAACACATCCGCTGCTATGAGAATAAGAGAGCTATAAAGCTTGGCTTTAAATAGATGAGATACGAGGAAAGTATCAGCCGCCAATGGCAAATTACACGTTGTAAGAGCACATTTAATTAGTGTTGTTTTACTAAGAGTGCTTTTGCTTGAAAATACGCTTTACTTGAGTGGAAAAGTAGCAGTCTGCAGTGAAATTGTGTATTCCAGAATTATAAACCGAATATGGAAGAATAATTGCCTGAAATACGAGAAGGGAGACGTTCTTTTTGCTCATTTGTTAGCTTGTTACCGAGAGTATGGCTTTTAAACACCGCCTTCTGGGTTTTTGAGAACCAATGGGAAAACTGAAGTTTCACCGCATCAAGATCATTCACACAATTCAAACTTCTTCCCATTATTAATCACTGATAATTACAAATATACATTCAGAATATTAAAGGTAACTGTTTCCGTACTACGAGACTATTGACAACAAAAGATATAGCTCGTTCTGGTACAAGCTTCAGAGATGTACACCGCAAGTCAATTTTGTGCCATTTATTTTATACGTTCAATTAGTACTAGAGTGGACATGCATACTACAGTTATTAATTGCTGAAAAAGTGATGTTTTGGACCACGAAGATTTTTTGAAAGTAAGGATTATGTTATGAGTAAATAAGCGTGAGAACGTAGCAATGTCAGAGTCGGAGCAATTGCGCACCTACCCCTCCCCTAACCCAACAACAATCAACTAATAACAAGTTAGGGTTGGGGTTAGTTTAGGGGAGGGGTAGGTGCGCAGCCTTGATCTAGAAGAATAGTGTTGGAAACATAGTCAAGGATTTATAATCGATAACTATAATCTGATGGTGTATAACATATTTCGTGTTACAGTAAGTGAATGGGGTGCTTTAACAAAAATCCTAGTTCTGCTGTGAATAGAGATCTTCAATAAGATGAGAATAAATAAAAGTTCTTTGAGTGTTACTTTGGAAACCTAACTCGAATGAGGCATAAATATTTTAATAATTACATTAAATTATCAAGCAACAAAATCAGCTTCATCAACCCAATTCCACAACTATGAATTCTTTCAAATCTTTTGTTTAGCTTAGTTGCTCCTTGAAATTAAATCTGAGTCGAGCTTTTCTAAGGTAGAATTAAGAACAGTCCCAAAGGCATGATTAAGTCAAACAAGAGGTAACTGGGACATAGTGAAAACAAAATGAGGTAGGTGCTGTTAACAAGTTATAGGAGGACATATACCTGAGAGGTAAATGAATTAAGGCAAGACTGAATGATGTGAAATACCCAGATCTTCCTACTTTCCCTTTTCATTTATTTTTCTTTGAGTTTTGAGTGGCAAAAAAATTGTATTTCATGCTCACATAAAAACCTTCCTTTAAACAACAAAGTATGACAAAAAAAGAAAAGCAATTAATTAAAAAAAACCCCGTTATTTTAATATCTCTCTCCAAGATGTTTTTTGTTGACTCAGGTGACGAAAGTTAGAAAAAACATTATTTTTATCAGTTCTGGGGGAAAAACTTTTTATTTTCAATTAATATAGATAGATAATCAGAAGCGAATTATAAAGCAAATTAGACATGATGCAAGACTATAAGTACAAAAGTAATGTCATATGGTCTCCAACTTTAGTTTAACTCTGTCCTGAAAAGCTACCGCCTCACTTCTTCTGTTTTTTTTTTCCATCTAGTTACCATTTGAATTAAGGAGTTTATTGTTTTCTAAACAGTGGCAATATTTCAGTTAATCACAACCTTTTCGAAAAATTAATTAAATTTGAAAATATCACTTGGCTGTAATGAACTTTTTTCAAATTTAATCATCTCCTTTTGTTTAAAAAAATCCCAGACAGGAAAGGTTTTCTATAACATATTTCACGATGATTTGGAAGCTTGGAAACTTTAGTAAATTTTAAAATTTAATAGCAATGGTACACTCATTGTCAGCCCATTTAAAATAAACGCGTTAGGGATCTAAATTTTCCTACATTGAGGCACGATCAGGCACGATTAGATATACTTTGGCATGCGCAAGAGATGAGTTTAGTGAAAGATGCAATTATCACTTGTAGAGATGTTTGATATTGACTGCGTGACTCTTCAGCTCTAAATATCATTATCGGATTAATATCAGTATCTGGGAAACTGCCCACCTACCCCTCCTCTAACCCAACAACAGTCAACTTAGTTTTTTCAAACAAATAAATAGCAAGCGGGCTTATTTATGATCCAGGCTTCAGAGATTATTAAAATCTTTTATCAAGATGAAACATTCTTGACAAGGTAGTGTGCCCGTTTATTTTTACTAATGAAATTCTTGTTTTGTTTGCTTGTATAAGTTTGTTCAGCCTCGAGCGGATATTTAAACTATTAATAAACTCATGACCATATCAAAACTCTTCAAAGAGCTAAAAAATAATGGGATTTGTAGGGGTAGAGTTATTTCAACTGGGTGTCAAAAGTAATCCGGGACTTTGCATTTGTTTTTTCTTTCTTTGCTCCGTTATTGGTCAAGGAAACTCACCCCATCCTCTTGACCAATCAGGTGCAGAACCAAAGTCAGTCACATCCTGGTCACTCGCGTTTTTTTTCCCGCTTTTTTTTCGGTTTTTATTAATTTACATTCAATCTAAATATGCTCTAATATTTCGTCTTGGACGGGTGACATTTTTCAGGCTATTTAAACCACTACAGTTAACAGTTCTTATCATTTCGAAAGTTGTTGATGCCTTTTTCACAAAATGGCGGAATATTTCGTTACAGCCTCACTCGCTGCTTCCATTTTAATCCTTCTTTGTAATGTTTGTGGAAATGTTCTCGTAATTATGGTTATCAGGAACAATAAGAAACTTCACAACGCCAACACTTGCCTCCTTGTCAATCTGGCCTCTTCAGATTTGGGTTTCGCCATTGTAACTTTTATAGATATTTTTCTATTCTCGTACAAGTATACGTCCATTTATTCTTTCCCCGAGTTCATTCTCCATGCGACAGCTTCAATCTATCTACTGGTAGCTGTAGCAATGGAGAGATATTTCGCCATTCTGAAACCTTTCGTGCACTTGACAAAAGTCGTTAAGTCTATAATGTGGAAACTGATACTTGCAATATGGTTGCTCGCCGGCGTACTAAGTGCACCGGGATTTATTATTGCCTTCCTAAGGCTAAAGTTCATCTGGAGAAACGCTTCGAGAAATACAACTGTTGAAATACCTCGCTGGATTGAGATTCTTAACACGACGTATTCATTTGTAATCTTCACTTTCGGTCTCATTTTACCAAGTGTTATAATGATATATTGTTATACTCGGATAATTTATCACATGTGGTTCAACGCCGAAGCTAATAAAGCAACAAACGTCGCTCTTTTACAGTCGAGACGCAAATTGACAAAACTTCTTATACTGGTTACCTTGATATTTCTCATTGTTTCCCAGGCTTAAATTGTTTTTCTTTTCTTTCCTCCTTGGATTAGCCGGATCCACAGCCAATCCTGTCATTTATTCATTACGTTGTCCGAGGTTTCGGCAGGAGGTTGTCAAAACTCTGACATTTCTTCGTTACTGTAAAGGAAAGAGGCCACCGTATGTAACTACACCCTTTGCGAAAAACCGATACTCATTGAGGAAAACAAAAATAACGACACATCCTTCTGTAAAACTTGTTTCGTATTCAACTCGTATGTAAATGAAGCTGTGTGGAAACAAGGTAATTTGGTAGTATCAAATGAGTCAATAACGTAAATTGGCCACAGTAAAGAGTTTTAAAGCTCACGTTTCGAGCCTAAACCCTTCATCAGAACGAAGGAAACAGACCGATTATGAAACTCCCCTTGAGGATATATTTCCAACAATGGTAGCAGGTTTAGCAGAAGGAGAATTTATTTTCTATTTACAAGTGTAACCTGTTTCGAACGAGGTGCGACATATTTCACCAAGGGGCTTCCCCTGTAAAGGAAATCTAATTCTATTAATCGCATTAGAATACAGGGAAAGGTCTCTGATAAAAGCGTTGTAACTCAACAAAGAGGAAATGTTAAAATATTGTTTCCCTCCCCTCCCCTCTCCTCCCTATAAATGTGCCCCCCTCCTAAAAAATAATTCTAAATCATGCATCATTCTGCAAGATGAAAGCCTTCCAAAAAATTTAAGGAAGCACAGTTCATAATACTGTTGTCTTATATGGTGCAAAAAAGGACAATTTTGATGGAAATACATGGCGCAGAATGGCCGGACATGTTTAAATTTTGAAGCCAGACCAAACATGGTCGTCAGAGGTTTCATACCAAATATGTCATTCCTTCTGATTTTTTTTCGTTTCTTGATTTTCCCCTGAAACTGTTTCGTCTCACACTCACAATGGTACGATAGGAAAACCTATCATAGAGGTTTTCATTTCGCAGTTCCAACTGAAAGTTAAAGCACATTTTGCACGTATTGCTTGTCTGTGTCAAATAGTTAGAAGCCCGAGGGATTGATGGGATACAGCAAAATTAGTTTGTTTCCATCAACTTTGAGTTGGTTGGCCCCAAGATTCTCCTCTTTTGTTGCGGATGATGGTAATGCGGCTGACATGTCGGATGTGAAATGGTGAGTAAAGACTCTTCAAAAGGGTTAAGTTAACTTCATCGATCAGGAGCGAATTCAGGGTTAAACCGATGCAGACAAAATTCTTTCAGACTCGGAAGTGGTAATCCTTGATTCATCAAATTGCAATAATATATTATCACAGTTAACACAGAAAAAATGTTGAATTTCGAGGCCAAAAACCAAACACAGCGTTTGGATAAAGTTTTCTTAAGCAGTCTCGTCAGTTCATGACTCGTTCACCTAATCTCCAGTTCTACTCATAAGCTCTCATCCGAAGGAATGGCGCGCATTCATGATTCCTGATTGAAATTTCCTCGTGGGAGATATATATTAATTCAATAGGACTCACTTTTCAATAGTCGCTTAATTTCTCTTACAAGTGAATTGTCTTTTGGATCGATTCCTATTAAATTTGTTCCAATATTTCCAATGAAATTGATGATCCACACTCATAATTAAGTTACATACATCCAAAGAAACTAGTCCATTAATTACTACAACAATGTCATGCCAGAAATAGAACTTTCCTATACAGTGAGTGATCGATCTGTTTCTTGCTTAGACAGTGAGGGTTACTTAATACTTCTGTTGTTGCGTTAACAAGAAGATATATGTAAAACACATTTAGTTATGTATATAAAGTACGATAAACTACTAGCATAGTTTGTTTTAAATTTCATAACCTAATCATAGCACGGCGTTCGCTATTTGACGGCTCATTTATCTTGTAAATGGTCTATGATACGTCTTTTTGATAAACAAACACAAGTTATGTAAATTATTGATCCTTCTAGAGGAGAGGTAAATGTTCCCGGTTAACCTGGTTTTCCCTTCTTGAGAGGTCTGCAAATAGCAATCAGCTTTGAAACCCTCAACTTTTGTTAGTAGTTAAGTAAACCATTGCTGCGATAGAAAATTGATCATCTGGAGGGAAGCGAAACTAGCGAGGCGAGCAAATCAAGCTTAACGAGAACGAGGTACTTAGGTTGCAAAAATATTAAAAAGTCTGTATCGGTTAAGATGAATATAAATGAATTTAAAGCAGCGAACTGGAAACACTCAAAGTCAAATCCAGCTGAATGTGACTTTTTCAAATCAACCATCCCTATGCACTTTGAAGAACGCTTTAGAAAATGTCCATTTACGAGCATCGCTGAGATATTCAATTTATATTAATAGTGATTACGAATGCTTGCTTGCGTGATCACAAATAGTGATGGATTAATCAACTTATCCGGATTCTCATGGAGTAAACCATGTATGAAATGAGTTCTTTTTTTCGTTCTATCTGTAAACTTTCATCATAAATCTGACGAATATCAACTTTCAAATATGTGATACCAAATTCGTTATTTCAAAAAGATCATACTTTTTAAAAGGTAAATAAATGCGAGAACGCTTAAGTTGCGAACTTTAATGCCCTTTTTTCATATTAGCGTATAAAAATTGGAAGCATTCTTACTATACATAATATATATGAATAAGGGATACTTTAATTTGTCTTACTTGAAATAAGAAGATATGGCCAGTATAACAGCTCACTCACTCGCTGCAGCATACTTAGCCGGATGCATTCTGGACGATCAACACAGTGGAGGTTTAGTTCCTAGATTACAAGAATACTTTATTTGTATGAAGGACACACTATACATTAACTCAGTGCAAGTGGGGTATATGAATTATCTTAGATGAAAGTCACCATCAGCTCGATTATCGATTTAACAAGTTTTAATATTTTTTCAAAAGACATATGATCCTAGCCCCCATACAAGCATATATACATCAGCATTACTTGGATTTTTATGTGAAAGTTTTCATGCGCCCACAGTTAGCTTGAGTGCTATACCAGCTGGGTTGCATGGTAGACGTAAAACCATTACATAAGCATTCGCGGCTGAATTATTTCTAATCTAATAATATTGTTGATAGGACAAATTTATTGTTACAGAAGAAATAAATTTACAATATAATATAGGGACTAGAACTGCAAAGTGACCTATGTACTATAACATGTCGATAGCTAAAAAACGCGTTAGAATTAGTAAACATTTTTAGAAAGGCTCGACCTTTTAAATGATTCGTTGAGTATCAATATAAGAGTCTCCCAAAGTGAGAATTTCAAAGAATGTTCTTTTTATTTCCTATTTTAACTCATTTTTTGAAAGATTTCTCTCGAAATATTTTGTGTGGCCCAATATTGATAAAGCATTTGACCATGTAAACAAAACTTGTTGTGGTTCGAACCCTCGTGGGCTGTCATGGTATGTCCAATGAATGTTTGTTTAATTCTTTAGCATATTACTCTGCTCTGAATAATTCTAAGGGAATCTTTTTGCACTGCATTTTGAATTTCATTCATCCTCTCTTCGTCACCTAAATCTAAATTCATTATCGTCGATTCTGTTCACAGAATATTGCAACTTTGCGATAGTGAAAACTAAAAAAAAAAGTTTGAAGAAAGGTAAATTCCATGTTGATAGACACCTACTTCAATTGAAATGGCTCTCATATCGTTTCTGAACAGGGTTGAAATAGTTCCAAAGAATGTCGCGACAAAGAAACGATGGCCTGCCCAGTCTACACTCGAGAAAAGCTCAACTACTTCAGAATTTGTCATGTAGTCACTGATATTCTACCACAAGGGCTGCGATCCATTTTCAAACAGGAATGGGACAGTCGTTACCAGGCAACGTTGGGAGAATGGAAAGATACACCTCAAAATGGACTGGACTTCTACAACAGGGAGTCTCCCCGGAGCCGAACACGAGATGCTCGTCTGCTGGAAACGATAAGAAACGGAAATAGGGCACAGTGGGATTGTACTACACTCTTCTTTGCAATCCTTTACTCTAATTCTATTGGCCACGGACTCGGCGCAGCAGTTCGCTCCAGTGTCGATGATCTCAGAGAGTTTCGCAATGATGAGTTCGCTCACTTGCCACATGGTCAGCTATCAGATTTACAATTCAGACTCGCTGTTCGTAAAGTTGAGAACGCATTTCGGTCACTTGGTCTCTCAGTTGGTGAAATTCGAAACATCTGCAAGCAGAAAACTTTCCCGACCGAAGAGCTTCAAAATGTTTTGAAAAACGTTCAAACATTTGAAGAACAACACCGGTTCCTTGAAGAACAACACCATATTCTTGCGGAGCAGTTACAAAGTGATGTTTCCTCGTTCTGCATTCTTCCACCTAAACCATCGCACGAAATCGCACCTCGCGAAGGCGAGGTTTGTAAAATAACGAAACAGCTTGAACAACTAAGAGAAGGAAATGAAAATGGTTTGAGTTACTTATATATTTCAGGTAACCCTGGAAGTGGCAAATCTCAACTGGCTGGTCTAGTGGCTCAGAAATTCTACGAAGCAACCAACAAAGACCTCAAATCCCCCACGTTTGTTATGACTCTGAACGCCGAGAACTCGAAAACGCTTTTGGAATCGTACGCTTCTTTGGCAAGACAAATCAAGTGCCCTGAATACACAATTATGCGCACCCTTAACTCTACAAAGATGAAGTTTGAAGAAAAAGTTAGCAATCTAACGGATTTGATAGCAACCAAAATTTCCCTGTACAGTTCTTGGCTCTTGGTGGTCGACAATGTTAGCAGTTTATCTGACACATGATTTTCTCCCTCGGTATGGAGACGAACAATGGACACGAGGCCTATTGCTCATCACAACTCAGAACACTTCATCCATCCCCTCTGAAAGCTCCTTTGTCTCTCACATTTCAGTGAGCGAGGGCATGGTGCCCACAGATGCCTGTTGCTTTTTAGCGAAGGTTTCTGGGATTGGACAACTGGGAGTAGAAAATGAAGTAGCGAAGGCATTAGATTACCAACCTCCCGCGCTGGCTAGTGCAGCCGTGTACGTCCAAAAGATTCGACAAAGTCAAGTTGGTAGAGACTTCGGATGGAAGAAGTATTTAGAAAAGCTTGAAAAAGGTATGAGAACCATCACTGAAAAGGAACTTACAAAAACCAACCCAAGTTACAAGAAATCCATGACTGTGGCAACAAGGCTGGCCATTGAAAGAGCGTTAAACAATGACGCTGTTTTAAAAAGCGCATTTACACTCCTCTCTCTGTGTTCCCCACAACCTTTGCATCTAGACATAGTTATAAATTACATTTTGAATGACAACAATCTGCATTTGGATAAAGAAGAAATCGCTCTTCAGATCCAAGGCTACTCTCTTCTTATGTTCGAAGAAAGAGAAAAAGGAATTTTTGCTAGTGTGCATCGAGTTGTGCATGAGGTAAGCAAATCTGTAATCAACGAGTGTCGGGAGCATAATGAACACGTTCAAAGTGTTGCACTAGCTGTAATGTCCTTTAACCAATTCATAGACTCTTTCCTACCACAGACGTGGAACGAGCAAAACTCTGTTTGTGACAGCGAGCATTTCATTTCACACTTGTGTGCGTTAGCTTTCAAAGTTGAAAACCTCTTTCTTCTCGCAGATAAATATCGAGTGATCAAGGAAGGTGTCTTCAACCATTCCGATCTATTAGAATATTTCAGAAGGTTTGCGATAATTTGTCGGAATCACTCCGAATTTTCAGGGGCAAAAGTTTACTGTGAAACAGCTTTGAAACTGGTTGAAAATATTAAAGCTTCTGAAGGTGGGGATCGTGCTGATATCTACAGCCTGTTTAGCATCATATTATGGAAAATGGGTGAGCTAAAACAAGCGAAAGAGTATTGTGAGCGTGCTTTAGACATAAACCTGAAAGAACTCGGACCAAAACATGTAGCCGTTGTGGCTACTTATAATGTTTTGGGACTGGTTAATCGTGGATTGGGTGACTTGAAAAGTTCCAAGGAGAATCATGAACGTGCTCTAGACATTCAGCTAAAAAATCTTGGAACCCAGCACGTTGATGTGGCAAATACATACCATCATCTAGGTAATGTACAGCACAACTTGGGTAACCTGGATCAGGCCATGGAGTATTACGAACGTGCTTTGGAAATCCAGGTGGAGAATCTTGGTCATGATCATATTTACGTGGCGTTTTCATTCAGCAACATGGGTGTAGTGGAAAGTGAACTGGGAAACCTTCAGCAAGCCAAGAAATATTTTGTACGCACCCTGGACATAAGGTTGAAGGCACTTGGCACCGAGCATGTTGATGTCGCGCGTAGTTACTATGACTTGGGCGTTGTGCAGTATGAATTGGGAGACCTACAAGAGGCTAAAAAGTGTTATGAACGTGCTCTAAACATTCGTTTAAAAAAGCTTGGACCCGAGAAAGTTGCTGTCGTGCATACTCTCTATGAGTTGGGCGATGTACAATGTAAATTGGGGGATCTGCAACAGGCCAAGGAATACTACGAACGAGTTCTTGGCATTGAATTGAAGAAGCTTGGACCCGAGCACGTTGATCTCGTGTCTATTTACCTTAAATTGGGCATGGTACAGAGTAAATTGGGCAACCTGAAACAGACCAAAGAATATCACGAACGAGCATTGGCTGTGCGCCTGAAAAATCTTGAACCTGACCATGTTGATATGGCAAATTCATACCATCATTTGGGCAATGTACAATTTGCCATGAATAACGTGCAACAGGCGAAAGACCTATACGAACGTGCTTTAGAAATCCAATTGAAGAATCTTGAACCTGACCATGTTTATGTGGCTTTTTCCTACGAAGGCTTGGGAAGTGTACAGCGTAAATTGGGTGTACTAGTAAAGGCAAAGGAGTACTATAAACGTGCACTAAAGATTAGGTTGAAAAGGCTTGGCCCAGTGCATATTGATGTCGCATTTACACACCATAATTTGGGTATGGTGCAGCGTGAATTGTGCCACTTGCAAAAGGCTAAGAAACATTTGAAATGTGCTCTAGACATTACTTTGAAAAAGCTTGGACCCGAGCATGTTGATGTCGCGCGCATTTATGATGACTTAGGTAATGTTCAGTATGATTTGGGTGAATTGCAGGAGGCCGCAAAACACTGCGAATGTGCTCTAAACATAAGGTTGAAAAAGCTTGGACCCGAACATGCTGAGGTCGCCTCTTCTTACCATAACCTTGGTTATGTACAGTGTCAATTGGGTGATTTGCAAAAGTCCAAGGAATGTTACGAACAAGCATTGGCCATACGCCAGAAAACTCTTGGATGTGACCATATTGACATGGCGAATACATACCATCATTTGGGTGTTGTAGAGTGTCAATTGGGTGATCTGCAACAAGCCAGGAAATGTCACCGACAAGCATTGGATATACGCCTGAAAAATCTTGGACCCGAGCATGTCGATATGGCGAATTCATACCATTATTTGGGTAATGTACTGTTTGCAATGAATGACATGCAACAGGCGAAGGAGCTTCACGAACGTGCTTTAGACATCCAACTGAAGAATCTTGAACCTGACCATCTCTATGTGGCGTTTTCACTCCATAACCTGGGTGAAGTACAGCGAGAATTGGGTAACCTGGTCGAGGCAAAGGAGAATTATGAACGTGCTCTAAAAATTAGGCTGGAAAAGCTTGGAACCAGGCATGGTGATGTCCAGAGTACTCTACATGAGTTGAGTAACGTACGACGTGCCTTAAGAGACTTGCAACACGACAGGGAAAGTCATGAAGGTACTATCGAGAAGGATCATGAACAGCGGAAATGCTGTGTCATCTCTTAACCCTTTCTTAACCCTTTGAGAGTGACTAGCATCTAATTTCTCCCAACAGTATAACCTCTGCATTACATAGTGAGGTCATGAGAATAAAGGAAATGATCACCCACGAAATATTCTCTTGATCGATAATCAAATTCTCCTCGTCAGCACCTTAGGAATTGTTCAGAAAACGGTATGGAGAATATGCATACTGATGTTAGAATGGAAAGGGTTAATGATGTTCTTATCTTCTTAAATTTGTAATAAATTGAAAAGAAAATTTTCAGGGTTATTCTTTTAGTCGTAACCCAAAACCAAATGATTATACGTGTAAGAAAAGTCTCGGTGGTGCGATTAGTTTGTCAATTTTCTCGAATGATAGGTCGCAGTTTAAAGTAGTTTTGTTGAAAAGCATTTCCAGTCTTGTGCCTGTTGTAAAACATTTTGTGGGTTTTGACCAGTAATGAGACGAGTAGCCTTGGCGAATAATTGTAATGGAGGAAATTCGTATGGAACTTATGGCCTTCTCGTACACAGAGGTTTTCATCAGACAAAAATGGACTTTTTAATAGTTAATTCGATGTACTATTCGATAGAATAAACATGATCATTAAAGTCTATCTGTTGAACGATAGTTACCTTATTGTATGCGTGATTGACACTAAGGGACGGACCATTAGAAACAAGTGTTTTCTGGTAGGGGAAGGCCGGGTGGAAAACAAAATAATCATTGCATGACAGGTGAATACGGTGTATCTATTAAAGTATATTCTAAATGAGTCCATAAAATTTTCTCCAAGGTTATCTACACTAAGCAGAGGGAGAATTTGCTATACTTATTTGCCAGCGTAATCCGTATGATTTAAACCCAGGAACTCCGGATTCCGCACTCTTATGCTCTGATACTGAGCCACAGAGACCGTGTGAGGGAGCAAGTGAGCCTTTAGCTATTTGCAAACGTAATTAGCGAGAACCTAACCAGCGAGAACATGCGATAGCACAGCGCCCTCTAAAACACTTTCAAGTGCTTCTGAAATGAAGAAAACAAATCATTCGATCGGTTCAGTAAGTAAATGCGATTTAGACATGAACTTTGATGAAAAATGAACGTGCAAACTGGCTCAGCATGCGCCTGTGTATTTGCTGAATCATCTTATGAGCATCTAACTTTTCAGCTCTGGTCTTCAGCACAATTCATGATTGACCTTGTAATACTACACATACTTTTGAATAAGGTTCGCTGGAAGCGTAAACGTCGAGAATTAATGAAATATTTTTTGCTGATTTTTGCAAGTTTTTTGCTTTGACGAAAATTTCTCTTAAATCAAAGATATTTCTAAGAATAGGTTGATACGGTTTATGGAGAATCATAGCGCTTGATTACAGATAGGCGCTTAACCAGAAAAAGAATTTACATTACAATAGCGACGGTCATGATTTCCGGAAAAATTGTATTTTCTTTTTTTCCTTTGAAGACCAGCCATTATTATCGTCGCCGGGGGAGGGGAGGGAAGAGTGCGGATGATTTCAGGTCAGGGAATCACACGGTGTTCAGGGGGAGCTGAGGGGAGGGTCGTAACGGGGTTAATCGTGAGCCATGAAACGGTGCAAAAATTGACAAATTTTAACCTTTCGTCCTAAAAAAGTTAACCGTTAAAATTTTTCTTTTAATAACAAAGGAAGGAGGTTAACTGTTAACCGTAAAATGCCCGAAATTTTAACCGTTAACCCTTTAACTCCCACAGGTGATTCGCATATAACTTCTCCTTACAATATCCATGTACTATCCAACAAACAGGTAATGAGAATACTCAAGTGTATCAGGTAGAAGTTGTTATCTTGATCTAACACCAAATTCTTGCAACTTATTTACAAGGAAATGTGTAGCAGCTAGAGGGGAGAATTAACAATCAGATCCTGCGACCCACGGAAGGGGCAGCGGTCGTCGCCCACAAAGTGTAAATGGGGGACTATAAAAAATTGGTCTTCAGTTAACTGGAAATGAGGGAGGGAAGGATAGTAGGAATAGACATGAGGGAGGGAGGGATAGTAGGAATAGACATGAGGGAGGGAGGGACAGTAGGAATAGACATGAGGGAGGGAAGGATAGAAGGAATGTTACAGAGCCTCTTTGGGGGGGGCAGGTTAATTTAGCGAGGCACGACCAAAATCTTACCAACCCCACCCCCTCCCGTGATAAATAATGACCCGTCTCTTTTCAGGATACAGAAATATATCGGTGATTCGTGATACGAAGAGGATATAAATCTCCTTAATCACTAAATCTTTACCCCAGCATTTAAATATTGCTTGATAACCACTTTTTTCCAAGTTTCCTCTCTCATAGACTCCTAGAGCTATCGCGATCTCCGAAGAAGCCTTCTTCCTCGGATCTCAAGCAACTTTCTAGCCTCGGGATATTCCGTCAGAGCCTCGAGCAGATCTTCTTTTGACAAGCATAGAAGTTCTGAATATCCTTCGGAGCGAACGTTTGCGGTTCGACGATTTCCAGTGTTCGATAAATTTAGGATGCTTATTTCACCAAAATAGCTACCTTCATTCAGTGTAGCGATCACAGTTTCTTGATCGTCCTGTACAACTTGCAGTCGGCCACTGCTCACTAAGTACATCTCTTTTCCTGGCTCACCCTTTCTGCAGATGAAATCACCAGGGGAGTAAACTTGCGAGCGAAGTTTCAAAACGATCTCTTTCAATAGACCAGGCTCTACATCAGCAAAGACTTGTACTCTTTTTAAAGTTTCCAAGTGAACCTGTACTGCTATTTCAGTTCTAAGCGGATGAGGCAGTTTACTGAGAACATTATCGCGGTCCAAAGAGGACTTTTTTGTTCCCCACATGTAATTAAACCACGAAACAACCCTCTTTTGCAAATCGTCGTCAATCTCGTGAAAAACTAAGTACTGTTTCACAGCATCAGCTTGTGCTAAGAATTCTCTTCGCACATGTAGCATGTGTGTTATCATGCTTCCAAACTGCCCAACTATTGCAGCAAACACCAAGAATCCAACCGTTAAATCGACCGTCACAAAGAAAAGTTCTACGTCAGTCTGAGGTGGGTTTTCCGTCTCACCCGTTGTGAGCATTCTCGATGACCAGTACAAGCTAAACAAATACTGTCGGGTTAGAGAATCGAATCCCGGTGAGGTTAAGTCCGGGTAAACCCAGGTGTCCGATCCAAATCCAATCCATTTTGACAACAAGAAGTAAAAACAAGCGTTCCAGTGAAAGATCAACAAAACCATAGCAATTAAGGAGCACAGACGAAGAAAATTTGGGAATCTTGAAATGGTCTCGATCGTGGCCCTTAATTCTAACAGGCGATGCAGACGCAGAAGACGATTGAATCTCAGAGCAACCGAGTTGATTCCAACCTCGAAGTAGAACAGGTCCAGAGGTATAATTGACAAGCAGTCTAATTTAAAAATTATTTTCTTCGTGTAATTTCGATGGAGTTGCTTCGGATCTCGAACAAGAAGTCCTCGTTCCATGAAGCCTACGAAAGCAATCAACATCAAGAATAAGGAAAAAGAGTAACGCTTAAAATTTCCATTGGGTGAAATTAAAAAAATTGATCAATGGTCTTGGTAGCTCCTGAACGTGCGCAATCTTTTGTTTTGTCTTAACATATTTACACGAATGAATAAATTAGTGGGAAGTTCCTAATGGTCACAACAACTTCTGAGCTTTTTTTGTGAAAAGGAAATTGGGTACAAAAAGTTTGACTGAAACACACTTCAGAATATACTTTTCTGCCATTTTTGATCAGTTGCGTCTTTTAGCTTTGCCGATAAAGTTGTGTAGACATTCTTTTTAACCATGTTTGACTTTCACTCGGCGTGAAACGAAGTCTGTTGATCAACGAGACCGTAGATAGCATTAGCATAGCAATTAGTTGCATTCAACTAGTTAAGGGATAAATAATGAAAACTAGACGGAACTTTTTCATGGAATTTAACGTGCCGAGAGTTACCCGAAAATATCTTTAACCTCTAATCAGGAAACCTATGAACAGTCGCCCTCCCCTTCCATACAAGAAAAAAAAATTGGGATGGGGCCTTCCCAATCTAATGAGAAATACACAGTGTGCGATATTATCACCTAGAGTCATTTCCACCTAATGATTATTAAGGCTTCAAAATTGACAGAAATATGGGAAGACGTTCCCCAGAAAGTGGTACATGAGAGGTAAAAGTGCTGAATCCTTCGTGGAAGATTTCGCCTTCAGAGTCCACTAACTTAGCTGCTAAGAACTCGTTGGCGGTATTGGCCAAAACAGTTTCAGATTGTGAAAAGCGTCTCGCATACTGTGATACAGCTAGGATCAGATGCAATGCCAAAAGCGTCATGTGAAGAAATAGGTTAGGAGAGGTGAAAGTTGTCTTTAAAAAGAGATGCTGTTCATTTTGTCTCGACTGTATAACAAAACTTATCCGAATTTCCCGCGAGAAATCGAACCTAAAACCTTCGGATTTCGCGCATCGATACTTTACTACTGAATTACAGAGAAATGGTTGACGAGTCAAGCATTTGTTAAGTTTATATAAGTGGTAAGCGGCCCGCCAATTCAGGATTAGCAAAGTCAATAGTGTCCTGAGTGGAGATAAGGATTAAGACAGATTGATTGCCTGTTCGGGCTCAACCGGTTAATAGGACATGTTCAATACTCGTCACAAGTGTTGGGTGGGACAAATTTAGTGCATGTTTCTATGCTTGTTTCCTAAACTTTGCTTTTCACGTGCTTGCACCCATCAATTATACGATCATTTCCCTCCATTCTCTAAAACTAATGATAGATTTCTGGCGCCGAAAGAAGTCTTAACAACCAATTATCAATTGTTCGAGTTTGTCCTGCCCTAAGGCGTAGGGCGCCCGTTTGTCTACATTTATTGTACAACGGTACAGTACTATAAAAAAAGCTACGATATTGTTCTTCTTGAAAAGAAGGCATAATTACAATTTTCAGGGCCAATAAGAAATAATTCACATCTTTAAATTCTACTTTTTGAATTGGTGTTGTTTTAAACCTTTGTTCCGCTATATCGGTGTATTTTATGGTGTGTTATGTCTGTGGAAATCAGTTTTCGAGCACAACAAAAGCCGTTAATATGGCTATCGTATCGAAATTGTCTGGTGCTAATCCAATTTACGTTAGCGCAACCCACCAACCTAATTCTTACTGAATGTATTTCTTGAGGTTTTTGTTAATTACCCATCCCATAGAGGTGAGGAATGAAAGCTATTAAAACTTGCGTAAATGCTGGTTTTATGCAATTTTCAAGGCGTAAAGTTTTAAAGTTTTATAGTTAAGTACATCTGACTTACTACCACTAAGGGAAAAAGCATCCTTGTAAGCGACTATTTTGAATGAAATCACTATGGAAAAAAAATTGACACTTTGCTAACTGAAAACAATCATAGATCTTTCAGAACTAGTTGGTTCATTTAAGAATATTGCTTCACAGAAGTAAGACTACGCGAATTTATCAAGGGTCGAGACATTTGTGTTTTGTCTACTATCTCAGAGTTTAAAATGTAACCAAAACTACGCTCCATCAGTAAAACGACTTTTCGTTTGATGAAGAATTGAGAGTAGGCAACGCTACTTTTCAACATCACCAAATTTACAACTTTTAATTAAATTAACTACGAAGGGAAGTGAGTAATTTTTTCGCATTTAAACGACCAAACCATCTTGGCTAAAAAAAGCTTTTCGTTTAGAAGGACTTAATGTCACAAATCGTTTATTTGTCAAATGTAAAACTATAAAGAAAACTGTCACGGAGTAGGGGAAATTTCTTGTACGGAACGCTCTTTCTACATTTGGAAGATTTCATCGTTGTTTTCAATTATACAATCTTAATAATCGCAGTTTTTCCGGCTTAGTTGCTGCGAGTGTTAACTTCTGTTGTTATTCAAACTATGAGCCTTTTTACTTTAAGTTAATAGCTGATTTGGCGACAAAGTTTGAGACAATAAATAATTAAGGATTTTTTTCCCCTAACAGCTGCAGTGAGTTAATAACGCAGAAAATTTCCCTTGACTCGACTTGGAATCAGAAGGCTGAAAACAGTGCTTGTTATTCTAAAAGTTTGAATTAGAGAGAAATGCTACTCGTTGAAGTTGCGCTAAGGTTGAAACACAAACTGATCAAAATATATATTTCAAATAGAATTTAGCTTAAAATTAACTGCATTTATAACTTCTGAATAATTGCAAGGGGCTGTGCAAACTGTATCAGTGTCAGACCATTCTATTCCGAGCAGTTAAAGAACACGGAAAGAAGCGAACATGTTGCCATATTTTTTTGAAAAACACTTTGGCATGCACATAAAAAAACGAACCAGCTGTCGTAAGGAGCCGCTTACCTGTTTTGAATTGTATCACCATATCCACGATGTAGATGATATCTGAGAGGTAATCCAAAGTGAGCCAGAGTGATAAAGTGTTAATCTGAAGGTCTAAAAATGCTGTGCGCGCGATGATGAAAATCCAGTTGTACAGTACAGATATCGTTACAATTATCAACCAACAGTAATGTAAAGATCCTGAAGGATCTATCACAATCGAGGAGGCTGAGGAATCCAGCTTCCTGCTGTTTCGTGTCACATGCGAGGGACCGGCCATTTCTAGCTTTTCGAGGAATGAATCTACGCGCGGCGTGTTTTCGGTTCTTTTGGCACGAGTTTTGTTGAGCCATGAACTCGCGAGTTGTAACGTTTTCGCGACATGTACCATCGCAGAACCAGACGACTTTTCATTGCTTCTTTATTCGCGTGGACCTCGTTGTTTCCGATACCTTCTGCAGCTGTCCTGAAAACCTCATGAACGTCTTCATCTTCTTTATCGTCGGCGTTTTCAAGTGCCTGAAGTTCTTGATTAAATACATCTTCATCCTTTTCGGCGCTAACCTCTTCGTTTCCAGTTGACTCAGTTGTAACAGAGTCCAAAAACTCCGAGCTGTTCATTGCCGGAGAGACGAAGACTTTTACTGTTTGTTCCATGAGTTCTTAAAGGATTATTTTTAGTTCTTAACACATGGCACAACAATTAGAAATTTGCGAAATGGAGCCGATTTTTTTTTCAAGCAAAGTGATTTTTTCGTTTTCCTAGGAAAGACAACCTTGAAAAAGAAATTCAAACCTTAACCTCAGAAAGCAGCACTCAATCCACGTCCCTCTGTCCTTTTTAGACGGCAAACTAACTCTTAAGCTAAGGTTACAAAATTAAGTTCTATGTAAACGGAACAGTTCTTCACGTCGCTACGAAAACAAGCTTAATATCGATTGTTTACAGCATAATAGGCTACAACTCCCGAGGCGAGAGCAGATATGGCTTTTGTTTACTAATCACTTGAGATAATACAGTGTTCTTTTCAATAGATAAACAAAAAAGCCGCAAAGAATAATCGATCGGAAGCAGTGCTGAATAACATCTAAACTACGTTTGATCGCATCGATTTCCCTGTGTTTGAAACAGAAATCAAGATCTTAAAACGACTCAAACAGGTTGTTTGAAAAGTTGCCTCTCTGGAATTATGTTCATACCGTACTGACAAAAGTCGGTGGAAAGTTTAAAACAGAAAATTTTTAAAAATATATACTTAAGTATACACGAGGTCTTAAGACGCAGAAATAAATCAGTAGGGCATGTAAACGGCACAATCAAAAATCATACTTAATCAACGACGAAGAAGTGAAAATTCTTCGATCGCAAAAAAAAAAAACGTCAACAAATCATAGAACATTCCAAAATTATTTTGCTATCGTTTCCTCATTTGGTTTACTTGATCAATACCTGGAAGGAGGTCCTTCAGAGACCCAGGCACACTGTATTTAAATCCATCTCATTTTGAACAATGAACAGCACATAAGTACCTCTTTATTAAACTCTTAGAGAGGACTTTCGAGGAAGTCATGTGGTTAATTATTACAGCTTAGGCTTTGTACAGAATAGCTCAGCATGGGTCTTCACTTATACGGTACTTAGTTTTTAATTTAAAATTGCCATTTTCACATTGTTTTTTATTTTCGATTCGGTCTTTTTGTAATGCATTCATAATGTTTATAAGCCACATTTTAATAACCATTTCTTTATTGGTGGTCTCTCGTGAAAATTAAAGTACGAGTGCTTTAGGATGGGGGTTTGAAAAATTTCTGCGATGCTGCCCAGCGAGCATGATAAAAAAAATACTAAAATCTGAATATCTTCAACACTGGACAAATCGGACGTCGCTTAGTCTCACAAATAATCGCATGAGACAAGTCCAATATAAATATAAGTGATCTCTACTCTTGATTCAGTAATAAAATTATTTACATCTTTTCCTTGAGCAAAGTTAACTACAAAGTAGAAAATATATTTGTGGCGTTTTTAAGTAGGCTTTGAAAATAAAATACAAAAAAAATGAAAACCTGATTCTCTCAGGTTTGAACCAGAAATACGCTTTCCAGGTGTTTTTCATCAGTCAGCGAAATGTTACACGATGAGTTACGGAGCACTTTAAGTGAATTTTTACGAAATGGTGTCTTTGTCGTCAACTTCCCATAAGACGCGTCCAGTGATTAAAGAAGGTTCGTCCCTTGCCCAAACTGACAAAAAGCAGACAAACCAACCAACCAACCAAAAAACAAACAAACCAAACAATATGGATGCTCAAGAGAAGAGAGACAGTTTTAAGTTTTTCTTTATACTTTTTCTTTTACAGCAGTTATGATGGTTAAAACGTTTCTTTTTAACAAAGTAGTTTTTATTATTTTCTTTAGGCTTTGGGGGTAATAGATATTTCTCACAATAGCTTTAACACCAAGAATGCACCACACTGTAAAAATATTCCCCAGGTAAGGGAGTCAAGTTATTTTAATTCAAAATGAATCAATGGTGTTAAAAATCACATCTTCCCACTCAAAAGATAACTTCTATCACTTACATGCCCTTAAAGTCAGCTCTCTTTAGATCATTTTACCAAATCTATCATTCAGATATTTCCAATCTCAATGATAGCATCCACTACATTCCCAGTCTTCCGTAGACATTTTATAGCAAGATTTCTATCCACATTGAGCTGCTTCACAATCAAGTCAATGTCTGATTGTTCTAACCCATCTTCACTCTCAGCTATTTCTCCAAATGCTAGAAATACAGCCTTATTAAAGAGCATGTCCTTTATATTGTCACATGTTACAATTTTACCTTTATTAATAAGTTTAAGTTTGGAAACAGGGATGCTCAAGTGATCTGAAATAATCTGTAAAACTGAACTACCATTGTCATTCAGCGACACAATAAGTTCACTCTTAACTTTATTGTGTTTGATATAAATTTTGATGGTGTGTTCTTTGGTGCCGTTTGCAGAAAAGTCTACATCCTTATTACTGCTTTCTTTCATAGAACCATGATTTCTTTCCGTGATATTTTTGTCGTCTGCTTTGTTTTCAATAGTGTCGTTGAAAGACAAGCCATTAGAATATTCTTGTATGGCATCTCCCACATTGGCTATTCCAGCCATGCTACTGTTTTCCAAAGAAAGTAGACTTGAAGGTAACGAAGGAGTTTGTAACTCAGTTGATGATGTACAAACTTTCCTTCCATTTACTCTAAACTCCAGGCAACTTGGTTTATGGTTTGGCCAGTGAAGCAATTGACACTCCTTGGAACTAAAAAAATGGGGTGAATTGAAATGTCTTAAGTTGTTAAGGACAGAAACGAAAAATAGGAAAAACATCAGTCGTAAAGTTAAAAATATGAAAAAATATGTTCAAGGAGTTGAATTAGTAAGAAAAATCCTATGAACTGTGATTAATTCGCCGTTTTTACAATTTGTTCGATAAAGAGAGGTAATGGAGTTCTGGTGCAAAGAAATGTGGCTCTAAAAATCATAATATTTACCAATAAAATTCTTGCTTGCAGGCCGTGCATCGTTTCATAAATCTTTGTTTACTTTTGCAGTTCGCACAGACGACAAAAATCACCAAATCCGCCATCTTGATTTCTGAGCCTCTAACAGAGGTCGAAAAAGACTGGTGACTTTTCAGTCATGCGCACTCTTAAATTGAACTTTATTTTGGTTTTCAAGTAATTGCAAATCGGAGTTCTGACTAAGTTCAGAATATTGCGTGGGAAATATAGGCTAAAGAAATGGGTTGAAGGACAGTTATGGTAGGAATAACTTTTCTCTAAAGTGTGTTATACCACTGTGTGAAATTGAAATCAGTTCAATCGATGGATTCCACATTTGCAGGGTGCCACCGCTTCTCAGTTGGAGAAGGACATCGGTCATGAATTTCCGCAAAATGAACATTATTTTGGCTTGGTGAATGTAAGTATGCTCGCATTCTTTCGCTCATTTTAGAGACAGACACCAGAATACAGCACTGATATGTATTTTAAACTCCTTCTCTGCAGTTTGGAAACACATGTTATTGTAATTCAGTTCTGCAAGCGTTGTTTTTCTGTCGCCCGTTCCGCGAGCGAGTTTTGGGCTACAAACCTCTTTCCAAGAGGAAGGAATCGTTACTGACGTGTCTGGCTGATCTTTTTGGTAACATCGCTTCGCAGAAGAAAAAAGTTGGTGTTTTGGCGCCCAAGAAGTTCGTAGCTCGACTCAGGAAAGAAAACGGTGAGGAAAAATTTAATTTTTATGATTCTGTGTACGTGGTACACGTAGGAACTGCAAGAAGCTGTTTAAATCAAACAAACTCGTTAATTTCGTACTTTTGATTATTTTCGTGCAGTTGCTTTTCAAATCTCTATCATGCAATTGCTGAAAGATCGAAAGGATTTTAGCTTGAAAAAATAGCGTAAAAATGATTATAAAACTGATTTAAGTTTCTTCGCCTCTGCAGCTAATGAAACCGTACCGGTAGAACATAAGTAAGACTTTCGCTGACCACGCAGATTTCTTACAATTTTTTCTTTGTTTTTTCTTACGTTTGTTTTTACAAAAGTGAGAAATCTGATTACCTTATTGTCAATTTGATTGTTGTAGCTTCCGGCTTCCAGGAAGTTCTAAGAATTTGAATGAGTATTACATGCCGGTAATATATATGATGCAAAGTTGCCTTGTCAAATTACCCTTTTGATTAATGAAAATTCACATTTAACAGTAATGCATAGTTCTGGAAAATAAACTCTGATAATTTTTTATTCCCCAGAACTTGGCATCGATGTCAACTGTTTTTAAACCAAATTGCAAAATAAACTATCACAACTGGCCATTATTTACTGAATTAATTTATGGGACAATGTGATTCTAAGGGTGACAGATGTTAATCTATAATTACACCAGAAGTCAGAAAAAAAGTTATGAATTCCCTTCTTCTAATCATTTGGTAAATATTACTTAGATAAGAGTATTGTTTTGTTTACAACAAGAAGTTATCGTCTTCAGAGACACCAGGCTACTTTTGACTGAAAAGATATCTGCTGATATAAATTTAGTCTCATTGATGTAAACTTTAATGTTTGAGGAAGTAAAGGTAATATTTTTTAATAATAACTGGCACATATCTTTCACAGAACTTTTTGACAACTACATGCAACAGGATGCCCATGAATTCCTTAATTATCTTTTGAATACAATAGCAGATTTGTTACAAGGTGAGTGTATCTGATGCACAAATAAATTAAAGTTGTTAATGATTATAACTACTGATATTTTGTTTTTCTTTGGGGGTGAGGGGAAGGAAGGGAGGGGAGGGTGGGACATCTGGTGGTCTCTTGATTGAACAAAGGACTTTGGATCAAATGTGTTGCCAAATGTTTAGGCTGTCTCCCCCTAGGAGTACATACAGGGGAACTTTCAGGGAAGTGTATAAAAATGTTTTGAGGTTAAATGTGATTGAGTAGCAACCCAACCAGGGGGATGCGAGCGGCAATTTTCTTGCTCATTTCCCATTAGTGAAGCCACTCATTGGTGGGCCAGTGGTGTGAGCTCACCTTTTTTGTTTTCTTATATGGATGGCAATATTATCATTCTTGTTTCTGAGAATGTCTTTTTGTCATCAAATTATTAGTTGTCTAACAAAAATGTTTATTGTAGGGAGGAGTGTTTGAATCCCTGGTCTGGTATTTTTGGCATAATTTTTTGGCAGTAAGATTATACAGTCCTTCAACCTTCAGGTGTGATCCCACTTATGGTGAAAATTCTTATTACTGAGATGGAAAGTGATTTAGACCAACAGTAACAATCAAAGAGGAAAATACTGTTTGGAGTTAAACCAAATTCTCTCGACTAGCTTGAAAAGAAATGTAGTTTTTTGAGAATTGACTCTTGGATCTTTGGCATACATGTACAAATAAAAGGGTTAACAGGGTTCTATGATATATTTTACCATGATCTTTTATGTCTTAATTCAAGGTGAAAAGGCGAAAGAAAAAGACAAAGAAAAACACAGCAGCACCAGTAGTGTAAGCAGTAAAAGTAGTGTGTCTTCTGCAGGAACAACAAATGGAGGATCACAACAGAATAACAAGACAGAACCTACCTGGGTTCATGATATCTTTGAGGGAATTTTAACAAATGAAACAAGATGTCTGTGCTGTGAAACAGTAAGTGAAGGCATGGAATTAACCTTTTATTCCCAAGATCTCATCAATTAAGTCTCCTTACTGTCTGCCTTAGAATTCTTATGATGTCAATTCAGATAATTTGGTGTTGAACCTACTTACACGTATAATAATTACTTATTTTTCTTTGTTCTCATTACTTGTCTGCTTGATATTGTATTGATATTGTGAGGAGAAATTCTGTTTTGGTCACACATGGGACTTAACAGAGTTAAATATTTGGTGGTCTGATAGATTGGTATTTATGATGTTTGCTGCTGTTGGATGACAAAGATGAATTGGGAGGCTTGATGAAAGCAGCCAGAGTCAGAATGATGAAAGTACAACAGTCACTGTACTTGAAATTGGCAGTATTTTTACCACAAATCATAACTGCAAGTAGCTATTACCTTTTTATTCAGCAGTGTCCTCAAAGAATGAACCAATACCATCATAGTGGAGCTCGCAGAGCGTAGCCCCATAATTATACAAAATAGTAGTAACCCATCAAGCCAAAAAAATTTGGATGTGAGGCAGTACAACTGTACAAGATGCTACTTTTAACATGCATGGTCAACTGTACTGCAGGCACACCAACGCCATGGCTTTGTTCAGTGGTCCAGTGGTCAGTGCACTGGGCTCTGAGTTGGACAACCCGGGTTTTAGTCCTGGCCGGGGCAAGGCGTTGTGCCCTTGAGACGTGCAGGAAAGAAAAATGCAAGCTTTGCTTTTAGGCTTGGCTAAATCTGTATATTATGAAACTCCTTTTGATTTTAGGTCAGTAGTAAGGATGAATCATTTCTGGATCTTTCTGTGGATGTGGAACAAAATACTTCAATAACACATTGCCTTAAGTAAGTAACATTTTCGCCAAATTGTTTTTGTAAAGAACTGGTGGTCTCTAAATAGCTACTTTAAGCCTTATAGTTCATCTCTTAAAATCAGCCATATGTACCCTCAACCCACGTAAGTACAGTGTAATGAGCAGAGAACAGAGAACAGAGGTTGTTGTACATGTACTGTAAGTTATACCTCTAACAAAGATAGTGAGTTATATAGAAGTTGTATGTCAAAATGTATTTCAGGTCAAGAAAGGCAGTTAGTAATATACTTTAGATAAATGTAGTTTTAACCTTGAATTTCTTCTTTCTTTTTTTATAAACAGAGGCTTCTCCTCTACCGAGACACTTTGCAGTGAGCATAAGTACTTTTGTGAAACATGCTGTAGTAAACAGGAGGCACAGAAGAGGTAACTCATTCTTACCAATAAAAGTGCAATTGCTGCTACAAAGGCCACATATGCAAAACTGAACAACTGGATTAGAGGGTGGTGGTACAGCTAGTACAATCCAGGATTTTATTAATGCAGATTTGGCCATCATATGTCTATAGACCTGTATAATGCTATCAATTGCGATTTGTCTTCCAGGATGAGAGTGAAGAAACTACCAAAGATTCTAGCACTTCACTTGAAAAGGTTTAAATACATGGAACAGTTACAGAGATATGCAAAGTTGTCATACAGAGTAGTGTTCCCCTTTGAACTGAGACTCTTCAATACAGTGAGTACAACAGAATTATAATCATTGTGAGTTCCTATGGTCTTAAGTAGACAGACGTGTGGTGGTTTATTGGTTAGGGTGCCAGACTCTGTTGAGACCTTTGGGTCATTGTGTTATGTTTTTGGGCAGGACACTTGCACTTCACAGAAGAGAGTTTTAGATCCAGGTTTGGTGTGTTAGTTCCAAGCATCAAATTGTGGTTGGCAGTTTGAGTTTAGAAGTTAGTCGTTCTAAGATTTTCAGCTTGTCAGATGGATGTTGACTTTCACCTGAAAAAAGTCAACATGGTTGCTGCCATCCTGAATTACACAAAAAGAGAATTCACCTCACATACATTTACAGAACATACATGAAAACTTTCGAACAGGAAGAAGAAAAGCACAGATGGAGTTGACCTTCCCTGAAACTGCCTTGCATGAAGTTCAAACGTGGACTGTTGGAGTCTGGTCACATAACATGACTCCTAGTGATTTGCAGTCACACATATTCAGAAAAAAAAACATGGATCTGAGACTTTCTTATACCTCTCTCCATCCAAGTGTATTAATGAGTAGCTAACTGTCAGGGAAGCCTGATGAAATGCTGATGGGGGTGAGAGGGGTTTTTTTTGGGGGGGGGTTACCTGTAATGGACTGGAATCCCATCTAAGGGGGAGCAGCAATACTCTACACTGCATCATGCTTCAGAGACCTGGATAAGCTTCAGCTGGAGAGAAATTGGTCTTTAAGATGCCCAAAAGACTAAGAATAATTTGTTTTGTTTTGTTTGTTATTTTTTTGTAATTCAAGACTCAGGGTATTGAGTCAAATATATTCAACAAATGCAATGTATTGCATGTTTTTTTTTCCTAGTCTGATGATGCAATAAACCATGAAAAACTTTATGATCTTGTTGCTGTTGTCATACATTGTGGCAGGTGAATGATTTCTTCTGAAATTCACATCTTCTGTATTTTCTGTAAACATTCAATAATTCTCCACGCAATTTCTGGCGAAAGTGTTATACAAGCAGGTGATGTGAAATAAGAAAATTATCATCAAGAGAAGTTGTATAAAATGCCAGATTCTTGTGATAGCCCGGAAACATATGTATCAATGATAATCCCTTAAGGAAATAACTCTTTGCACCATAGGTTGTAATAATTAGCGAAACTTGTAATCATGTCACTTAGATCTGTTAAGTCTGTAAAGAGGTTTAAAATTTTTCTGCTAGTACTTTTGGGTGCTGACTTTTAAATTGCTGTTTAGTTCATGGCATATCATTTTTAATTTTGTTATTTCAGTGGACCAAACCGGGGACATTATATTACTATTGTGAAAAGCCATGGCCTTTGGCTTCTCTTTGATGATGATATTGTAGAGGTTAGTGCACTACTTGGAATGGGGTTGTTGTTGTCATTTTTAAAATACATTAAATTGTTTTCAGGTGACAGTTATTTACAGGTATTTCCACAGTAAACAACTTTTACATTCATGTATTTAGGAGCCCAGTGTTCACTACTTAAAAATGACAAGGCAAAATTTGAGATATGCTGAACTTGAAGTTTATCACATCAACAAGTGCTTCACTGAAATCCAAATACACATATTCACTGAAAAAAGCAAAATAGAAACCAAATCAACAACAAACAAAAAGGTCCAATCAGTAAAAACAGATCAATATTTTTATGCCTTGTTCTGTTGATAAACTAAGGGAAAAAACCTAACTCCACAATAAAAACAAGCTTAACTCACTTGAACTGAAAACCATGTGCTTAACAAAAGTCTATATCCTTAACTGTCACTATGATACATCAAGCATTTTTTTATGACCCAATATCCATGAAAAGAATTCAGTTCCCTGCTAATAAGGAGAAATTAAGGAATTAACAACATTTTTATCCTTTCATCAACTTGAGAATTTTGAGCTACTAATACCAGTTTGCCATAATCAAAATACCATTGACCTTTTTAACTATTATTTTGCTTTCATCAGAAAATCGAAGCTCAAGCAATAGAGGAGTTCTATGGTTTGACATCAGAAATCCAAAAGTCTTCCGAGTCAGGCTACATCCTATTTTATGAAGCAAGGGGTTAGATTGAAAATAATGCTACTAAAATGTATTTCTAAGTACTAATTTTTAAGGGACTTTCAGGTGTCTTGGGGCTCAAGACAAACATGATCCAATAAGGCACAGGCTGACTTGGCAAAGGTGTTGTGGACAGATATTGTCCACAGCACTTTCACAGGTCTAAGTCATCTTTTTTGTCTTTTATTAAGCCTTTAAAACCCAAGATCAGATTGTAAATTCTCCCATCTAACTGGTACACATTTCTTTGTAAACCAGTTATGAGAATTTGGTGTTAGATCAAGTTAAATCTTCTGCTTGATAAGCCTAAGTATTGTCATTGCCTGTTTCCAGGATAAATTATGGGCAATTGTAAGGAGAAGTTACATTTCAATCACTTCTAGGAGTTTAAGGGTTAACCTGAACTGCAATTTTTACCAGTGAAATGCTGGGTAAACCTCAAATTATGTTTTAGGAAATGCTTTTTCCTCTTCTCTCTCCTTTGTCCTTTTCATTTTTTTTTTTCCTGCAACATTCTTGTAAACTAAGATACTTGAAAAGTGTCAACAGGTTAAGTGCTGCAAGAGTGGGTTTAAAAAAAAAGGAAATTTATCACAATTTATTTAATCTCAACTTTGGCACAAGAGGCTAGTGTCTTCTCTTCCTCATCATTAAGTTAGGCATCCAGTTTGATTTTGTCTTCAAAATTCAGTAGACTCAGTTCCCTTTTAGCAATTTCTAATGAGCTTTAGGCACTGGTTACTGAGATTTCTGCGAGCACATGTAGGTTACAAATACAGAAGATCTTTACCCAGTAGGCAAGTTAATATTAAGTTAGTCTTGAGCTCCGAAAGACTCTATCAAGTAAATTCTGCAACTGTTTTTGATAATCAGGAAGAATGTGTAATTTTTTTTTACTCTGATAGGAATTGTTTTCTTGTGATAGGTAGCTAGCTTTGGATGTCAACTGTAAAGGACAGTGGCTGTAAGATAAACTGTAATCAATCAAGCATTCAGTTGACCTGTAATGCTACATTGTAAATTTTTTTGGTGGCTGTTGCTTGGTATTATTGTCTTTCAAAACTTGCAAACTCTGAAGTTCAAAACCCAGCAAAGGCAAGAAGTAGTGGTCCAATTTCTATCTTTGGAATTGTGGAATTACTGTACAAGTAACAGAGAGAGATGTTGTTCATCCTGTCACCAGCATGGGATGAAGAATGAATTATGCTTCCCCTTGAGGAGTCAAACCTCAAAAGCTCAGATCTTTAGATTCCATGCTCTAATGCTCAATGTTGCATTTTTTTAGAGAGCCAGAATTCCTTGAAGAGATGTGTAATTTAAAATATTACACTTCCCACAAAACTTTGGTGTGTTTCAACCTTTAAGATTGGAAAGGTAATTCCTCAAACAAGAGACAACACCTTTCTTGTTGCCTTATAGTGAGAATCAACTGCTAAGTAGAAGTAATTCTCAATGTTGAAAACTTGTTTTGAAATCTCATTTCCTGTCCGTTGTGTTGTGTATCAGAATTTTAAGGAGAATTAAAGCTCTGATCACTCTTACCAAGAGTCTCAGTCTGCTAGTTGTTATGAAATCTTAATATTCATCAGTTTTAACTTCAGAGTTTGCATTATGAGGTGAAATAACTACAATCAGTTCTGTGATATCATTATGCTGTTTAAGAATGTATCTTGCTGTACAGTTTTAATTTCTATGAACGTACAATAAAGTATTAACTATCATGTAGCCTGCTGTACATGTCAAGGGTGTGTTTTACTATGAACCTGTTTCCAAAACATAATGGATGACCCACTTTCCCTCTGTCAGCTACAAAAAGGGTTGACACATTATGCATGTCATAATGGGTGATCCAGCTTTGCAAAATAATTCTCAAGTCATTCATGCATTAATGAACTAATTTTTTTTTTTAATCATGGGTGATCTGGCTTTGAAAAACATTTCTCTCCAATGATTTTATTCATTAGCAACTTTTTAAAATCCACTTTGTATTATTGTTACTTCTATGCAAGTCAGAGAAGACCCCTTCTTGATGCTGATTAATTTTTATTTATTTAATTTTTTGAGACAAATAACTTGTGATGAGGTCACTTCTCTGTGGTTCAGAACCTTTTGTCAGTACATGAACACCTCATCCAGTGCAGGAGGTCTTTCTGATACAGTACATTGTTGTAAAACTATTTCAATGGCTTTTATGTGACATATTACACTATTAATGACACAAGATGACTTAAAAGATAGGATGCCAAAACAATGATAAACCATAGTAAACTTCCACTGATTGAATGAAATAAAAATGGACTTTTTAACAACACAAATACAAGATCAGAGAACTTGAAAATAAAGTCAGTTGTAGTGCTAACATGCCAGAGAACTTTCACTACTAAGACATAAATATGAAACAAAACAAAATATCATTCAGGTTAATCAAATGGTAAACATAGGGCTCGACCACTTCTTACAAAATGGTAGTCTGTACTGAAGTTGTGTTTACAATGAAGATCATGGTAGTGTTTTTAAACAAGGAAACTCTGTGGGCTGGTTATTTATACAAGGTCTAACCCAAAGTACAGTTTTATGCATGAAGTGGGCCTTACATATTCTCTAATAGAGGGTTGTTCTCATTACACAAAATGTCCTTCCACTAGCTTCTGGCCTTCTTGACAATGTTCACAAAAATAAATGTTGGAATAGAAGATTCAACTAAATTCAAGAAAGTTTAGAACATGGTTTTGTTAAACAATGACTAAACTTTGTTGAAATAACTGGCCCTCTATGTACTAGGCACAACTTCAAAGTGTTTACTCTTGTGGCATTTGGACTTAAAATGCCCACTGATTAAATAAGTTTAGTAATCAAAGCCAGCCCTGTTGACAGTGTATTCTTCTGGGAAGTCAAAATAAAACTTGTTCTCTTGGCTTATTAAAGGCAGAATACCAGCATTTGGGATAACATTCCATGATAAATAGAGGCTGACATTCTTGTTTCCCCTGCAGAAGGGTAAAAACAGTTTGTTATATTGTGTTACAATACTTCTACAGACTTAGCTTTAACAGAGGTGGGAAAAATCCAGTCCTCTTGACAAGAGCAAATAACATTTTTATTGCTACTCAAAGTTTTTTTTTTTAATGGATTCCCCAAAGTTTTAAGAGCTAAAATATCTAATTTTCAGTCAGTTGTGTTCCAAAATGCAAGCGAAATAATTTCACAAAAATTTTGAAGAAGTACAGAGGTTGGGTTTCACATATTACTAGTAGCTACAGTTGTACATGTATAATCAATACAATAATGTAAATGAAGAAAAATTATGCGCTTCTGGTTGACTGAAAATGAGTGCATTCTCAAGTAATACAAGTGCAAAGTTGAAACATGAGTACAAATTACAAACAGCATGCACATGCTTGTCTGGCTTGGCTTGGCTGTATGTTATTAACAAGTAATAACATGATTTCTCTTGCAAATTGGTGTAATGAGCACTTGTAAAATTTTCAGGGCCCACAAATTGCACTTGCCCTACAGGCTTGTGCAATTTCGTTGTCTTTGAAAAATTTACTTGTGCTTATTAACACCAAATTGCTCTCGAAATCATGTTATTACCAATACTGATTGTGATGATGTAGTGATGATGTAGTGATAACACAGTTGTGGATTTTTTTCTTTTAACATTTATTTTGGCAATAATGGTGATCCCAATAACACTCCTTATATAGATAACATCCAAGCCTGGCTTTGGCTGAAACTTTTTTTTTTTTGGTTTGCACTTACTTGAGCCCAAGACCATCATCAAAGAAGTAATACTTGGTGTTCATGCCATGATAGTGTAGAACTGCACTGTCTCCACGCAAGATGATCTTATCCCAAATCACAACTTGGTTAAATTTCTGAATAAGAGAATTAACAAGAAAACATTCAAATTGGACTGGTTAATGTAAAGGGAATAAACCCCAAGACTGACCAGCATCTAATTTCTCCTTACAGAAATACTGCTAAATCATTCATTAAGATAATGAGAGTAAAGGTAATGATCACCACCCTAAGAAGCTTTGATTCTTAAACAAATTCTCCTTATCAGTACCAAAGGAAATTTATAGAGAACAGAATGGAGAATATACATACTGATGTTATGATGTACAGGGTTTAAGTTAGCTATGAGAATTAACACTTTACATCCTAACATCAGTATGCATATTCTCCATACTGTTCCCTATACATTTCCCAAGGTGTTGACAAGGAGAACTTATCAAACAGTCAAGAGTTTCTTTAGTTTCTGATAACTTCCCTAATTCTTGTGACCTATAAGTGAGGTTTAGGAGAGATACTGTAAGGAGAAATGACCATAAAAACCCACAGATAAGCCACACCCTGAATTTAACAGCTCAAATTTTGGAAAAAAAGTTTTTTGAAAGAAATAAAAAGAAATCCAAAGTTGAGTCTTGAGAATTCTTCTTCATCCACTGTTCATCGACGTAACCTCACCATTAACATTGCAATGGAAAATAATTCAAAGTCTTACCCATAATTTTAGCACTTTAATATTAGGAACATCGTTTCTACCAACTTTGACCTATGACTGATCTTTTACTAGTATTTGTTGACAGGAGTTTCTTCATTCAACACAGTTTTTCCATAGATTTTTGCATTGAAACAAGAATGTGAGCAGAAAATTCATAGCCTAGTAACCAGGCATTAGATTGGCTGTGAAAGTATCAGTTAACGGACATTGGCATTGACATCAATGACACCTTTTTCAAATGTTCCTGCAAATAAGCTGCACCTCCAATTTCTAGTGAAGATTTTTGGAAAAAAGATGCAGCTTATCTGCCGGTTTTTACAGTAGTCAAATGCCCAAGATAAACTTACATTATTCTTTGTAGAGTACTCCGCTGTTAAATAAAGGAATAACTGTTTTACATTCCAGTTGAAGATACCCTTCATATCTGAGACTCATTAAGGAATAATTTGGTTATGTTAATTATTCTTGCAGATGAAAAATGATCCAAGAATGATCCTTGATGCCTTTAGATAGATAATAATCAAACAAAGAATGCTGCACTTCCCAAACATATGGCTGCTAAAAATAAATTCAAATAGATTGATAAGGAAGAAAAAAGGGAAGTATGGGTTAAATTTAAGTCAGTAGACACCCCATGGAAGCTGAAAAACTGATCAAAACTAGTGACAGCCACTTGAAGGAATATTTGATCAAATCACTCATAAGATTTAACCCTTAGTTTTCTAGCATCAGTCAATGTTTTCTCCTTATATATTGAACATTCTCTCTATATTTCCTATAGTAATGACAATAGGAATTTATCTATTAAACAATTAAGGGCTTCTTAAGGTGATGATCACTGCCTATATTCTCACTTCTAAGTGTTTGAGCAATGATACCATGAGTTCCAAAGAAATAAGATGCTCATCTCTCATACATTTCTTTCAGTTTTAGCTGTAAAACAAGTTGGTGTTCAATAAAATAATGTCCTCTAGTTGCAATTGTTCTTTTTGTTCCCTTTTTGTTTGAAAATTTACAGATATTGTAAAAATAATTCCCTTAACCCTTTCACTCCCACAAATGACCAAAACAGAATTTCTCCTTCCAAAATCAACACAATATCAAGCAGGTAGATGATGAAAATAAAGAAAAATATCAATTATGGGATAATTAGTTGAGCCAATACCAAATTCTCTAAACTAACATCATAAAAATTGTATGGTAGACAGTAAGGAGAATTAAAAATCAGATCTTGGGAGTGAAAGGGTTAAAATCATCAATAGGAATAAAAACATTAAATTAAGGGTTTACAGGTGAGATTGGAACCAAAAATTTTACCACGAGGCCTCAAATCTGTCTGCTAGCCTTAGATCTGTGTCTGCTTGCAAAGCAACAAACAGCTCTTAACCATATAACCATGGTAACCCAACATGTAAGTAAAATTATAGGTCCATTTAATCTTGTGGGGATGATGGGGGAATGATCGGGGGGGGGGGGGGAGGCGGGGGAGAAATAGCACAACAGCACAATGCAACCACACAACATGTACAGAAAATTAAAAGGCAAAAAGGATATCTGCTTCAAGGTCAAACGTTATAAATCCCAAGTCATTCTTTTCCTTAGAAACACTGAAGTCTTGAACATTTTTACTATTCAAAAGATCAAGAGGAAGACACGTGTTAGAACAAGAAACCCGAATATTCTGCCATTGTCAACGATCGACGATCAGGTCGTAAAGACATTGATACTCACACCAAAACTTTCTTCGTCTGTAACTGAAGAGGGGCTTGATGAGCTTTAAAAAGCGTCGATAGGAAACATAGGAATGTCAGGGCGGCGAGTACTGTTAAAGTAAACGCAAATATAGTGTTTAAACGAGAAAGAAATGTGTTCATTTTGTTTCTGAGCCGAATTTTTTGTTAAATTCGGAGTTGTAAACTTTTCATTGGACAGTGGCGTTCGAGTCAATGAAATGCCCACGAGTCTACAGTTTTTTGATGACAGCTGGTCAGTCAGTGCGGGCTTTAACATGGCGGATGAACTTACTGGATTTCTTCGCATTTATAGCACCGAGAAAATTGTTTAAAATATTGAAATTACGCAAGAAAAGTTTCTAATCAATTTTTATTTGTATTTTGCAAGTATTTTAAGGACTTCCGCTTGAGATGATGTAATTTAGTCAGCTTAATGGCGACTCTCGACGCTCTGTTCGATGCGACTTCCCGTTCTTTTGGGAGTAATGTCGCCGTCACCTATAACTCTGGATCAATGCGAGAACACATCACGTACAACGAACTGGTTGTTCAAGCGTCCAAAGTTGAAGACATTTTGGAGACATTGTGCAAAAGACAGGAAACCATAGCGATATATTCCAAACAGTCAATTAGTTTAGTGTCTTGCATTCTTGGAGTGTTGAAGTCTAGAAATTGCTTTGCACCAATTGATTTGAACTGGCCTCCAGACATGATTCGCAAGTTTCTATTGAAACTGAGCATCCATCTTGTTTTATTAGAAGAAGAGCTACTCGAATCATTTGAAAAATGTTTACTGCAATGGAAACCATTTCTACCTAGTGGCAGCAAAGTAGAATTTGTCTGTGATCAAGTCCTTGTTAACAGTGGTTTTATACTCTTAAGATGGCAAGATGAATTAAGGGAGGGGAAAGAGAATAGTGAGGATCAGGGCATCGCATATGTCATGCAGACATCTGGTACAACAGGTGAAGCAAAAGCCATCAGAGTGCCACACATGTGCATAGTGACAAACATCACTGACTTGAGGTACGTTTACTATAATGTTTAGTCACTGTAGCAGATTTAGAAGTAGTGAGGATGAGGGGTGATTCCCCTCCCCCCCTCTCTTATTACACTCTTCTCTGATGTTAGAGAAAGGAACTTGAAACTTACAATCGCCTTCTAAGAGGTGGATATTGTGCAATCAACTAATAAGGGCAACACAGCATTGTACAAACTCACTTTCAAGGAGCTTCTCCTCAAATGTAAGGGGGAGGGGCAGGAAAAGTAAAGTATTTTGCCTGGCAACATGGTCTGCATTACAGTAAAGAGCTGCTTCATGAATGTTATTGCAAAATATGTATTCATACAAATAAACTGTGACAAGTGCTGAGGAGTGGGTTATAGCTACACACTTTTGTGCAAAGTTTCACATTTTTAAGGCTTCAAATTTTCCTCATGTTACCCCTTAGCTCCAGAATCACCTTCTGGAATCCATACACCACAATATTTACATATGTTTAATCTAGCACTAACAACAATACTTATTCTTCATATTCCACAGGAACATCTTCCAAGTGACATCTGATGATGTGATGTTCCTTACCTCTCCCTACACCTTTGATCCTTTCATTGTTCAGATGTTCACAGCATTTGCAGCAGGAGCCAGACTTGTAATTGTGCCTGACAATGTTAAAATGGTGCCGTCTAAGCTTTGTAGCATTCTTTTTGATGAAGAAAGAGTGACTATTTTACAGGTTAGAGTTCTTTGAGATACAAGACCCTGAGAACCATACCCCAGGTTGGCCCCACCCACTCACCCAAAGGATTTACTTCCCCCTTCACTTGAGCTAGATACTTAACTCTGACAAGTTTGCCTAGTGAGAAAATTATCTGTTGATTTCCTCAGCAAAAATTAATTTTGGAAAATTTTGCATACAAACTACAATTTGCTCCTTCAAAGTTTTCAGAATAGCATTGCAAGGATTCTCAAAATGACCACAGTGATCACCTGTATGACAAAATGATACTGCATAAGTCCTTTTCCGTCTAGACTAAGTTTTATTTCTGTATCTCAAACAGCCCACTCCATCACTGTTGTACCACATTGGTCAAGAACTGATTCAGTCAAAGATTCTCGATAAAGATTCATCTCTCAGAGTGCTTGCATTTGGTGGCGAAGCCTGCCCTACCCTCTCCACTCTTAGAAAATGGAGGTCTCCTGAGAGTAACAGCTCAATCTATAATCTTTATGGCATCACAGAAGTTTCCTGTTGGGCATCTTGTCATAAAATTACTGATCGTGAGTTGGAGGATACAAGTGCTGATTTTCATGGTATTTCAACATCTGGACATGTAAGCCTGGAGAGCCACAAAGCCAGTTGGGTTAGTGAAGTACCTCTTGGTACTTCTCTGACAGACACAACCATTGAGGTGCGAGATGCAAATGGGAAAATTGTTTTGGAAGGAGTGGGACAAATATACATTGGTAAGTTATTTTATTTATGGTACAAGCTGAGAGATTTCTTGAAAATAATGTGATTGGCCAGTACCAGTAGTATTTCAGCCAAATTTGAAATACTTACAAGTAAAAATTACATTTTCTTTGATTTGTAGAATGAACTAAAATAGTATGGTTTCTGTGGGATATTAGGGATAAACAACAGCTTGTGCTCTAAATATCACTCACTGCTTCAAATTTGTTATACTGATTTATAATTTTTCCGCACAGTCATTCTATGCTAATTCACTGAGGGGAGAAAAACAAGTGAATCTAATTTTTTTCTTTCTCTCTTTTCAGGTGGTGTAAATAGAGTGTGTCTCCTTGACAATGAAACCCAACTCCACCTGGAAACAATGCGTGCCACAGGGGACTGGGCTTATGTAAAAGACAAGACCATTTGGTACCAAGGACGCAAAGACAGGCAGATCAAGCGAATGGGAAAGAGAATAAATCTGGATTGGATTGAACGGCAGATTTCTGAACAGTTCCCAGAAATGACATGTTCCTTGGTTTTAGAGAAAACTGCCAACAGAAAACCTGATAAACTTCGCTTATTTGTAGTAAACAAATCTCTGTTGCATGTTCACAATGAACTGTCATCTTTTAAAAGAAGCATACTGAACATCTTACCAGTTGATGCTTGCCCTGATTCAGTACATATGATTTCTCACCTTCCAATGACAGCTCATGGAAAGGTCGACAGAAGCTCCTTGTTAGTTGAGGCTCAGAAAAGAACAAAGCTAGTGGACATGTCTATGAGAGAGTTTTTAAGATATGCCTTGAATGAAGTCTTGGGAGTCACTGAAACCAATGGTGAACAGAAGATTTTTACTGATGGTGAGGAAAGACAGGCTGATTATTTTTTTCATGTCAAACAAAGAGATTTTAAGGAAGATGACATGTTTATTGCTTGTGGTGGATCATCTCTTAATGCAGTTAGGCTGGTGGATCTAATTGAGACGTTTGTAACTGAAGAGAAGGAGACAGAAGTTGATCTTTCAGAGTTATTGGACATAATTTTAACAAAACCCTTTGGTGCCCTTTGTGGTTACCTTGAGAGAAAACTCAATATTCTTGATAAAAGAAAGGATCTGGACTCCAAGGAGACACATCATCTACATCAAGATGCAAATGTAGTATCTCCTACTCTTGTAATTAGTGTTCCTTCTGAACAAGTGCCTGTTCTTCCAGTGAAGAGAAAATTCTCAACTCTAGCTGATGGTGCCTCCCTTTATAATAACGAGGCAGCAAAAAAGATCCAGGGAGTAGAAGAAAGTGAAGACTCTAGCACAAATGCTCCATCCAGTGTAGCTGATGTGAAAACCTGTTTTTGTACTGGTACGAAGACAAAACCAGTTTACCATTTGTAACATCTGTAAAGAATCAACACCAAGCACAGATAGGCTTGTGGCAAGCAAGGCAAAAACATTTCCTGCCAGTCAAACCAGTGTTCAGGCCAGTATGATATCCTGTGAGGCTGCACCGTCACCAATAATGACCAAGGTCTCTAAGGAGTTCTCCTCTTCTGTCCAAGATCATAAAGTTCCCAGGAATGTCAACCTAGATATAGGAAATTTTAACAATGCCAAAGGAAAAGTTTCTGTTTCTTGTCAGTGGCGAACTTGTCTGTACAAATGTATTGATGCATCACCTCTTGTGGTTCGTGCACCAGGGAGGTCTGAAGGAGAAGTTTTCATTGGTTCTCACAGTCACATGTTCATGTGCAGCAGACTGAGTGATGGCAAAGTCCTGTGGGAGAGTAGGCTGGGGGACAGAATAGAATCTTCTGCAGCTCTCTCACTCTGTGGTAGATATGTAATAGTGGGTAAGGTATTGTATATTGTTTTTTAATTAAATGGCAGGAGTTACTCGTGAGTAAATAAGGCATATGAGAGAGATGCTGTGATTATGTTACAGGATCTGAATACATACTTTGAGTGTTTGTATATAGAACTTGTTTTTACTTTCTCTGGAGTGGTTTTTCCATTACTGGTATCAAGATTCTCAATGCATGAGTATGCATTTTAAAAGAAAATGTCAATATGAGGCTAAAATACTGCTGATTTTGTTATTAAAATTGTTTTCTTCACTCAAACTCTTCCCTACCCTTCCCTCCCCTCCTTTCTTTCAGCTTGAACTGAGACAAATTAAAGACCATGTCTTGCAAACAATATTAGTAATAATTCACAGTTTCTGGTGAACGTAGAAAGCTGACGTGGCCTCTGTAATGATTGTGATGGTATTTCCAATGGCCTGATTTGCTATTTATCTTATCAAATGGAACCTAATATTTGTTGTTTTTTAGGTTGTTATGATGGCCAAGTGTATGTACTCAACCGCTTCACCGGTGAAACAAGTTGGACATTCCAAACGGGAGCAGCAGTGAAAAGTTCTCCTTGCATTGACCCCCAGACTGGGGTGGCCTGGGTTGGGTCACATGATCACTATTTATATGCTCTTGATGTCACAAATAGGCAGTGCATTTCTGCAACACACTGCGGTGCAGGATCTTGTTTCAGTTCTCCATGTATAAGTAAGAAACCTCATTTAGTATTCATTGCTACACTAAGCGGCCGTCTTCTTGCAATTGATGCTACTGAACATACAATAATTTGGAGTAAGCAGTGTCCTAAGCCAGTGTTTGCATCACCGTTATTGACACCCATTGGTATAGTTTGTGCATGCGTGAATGGGTTTGTTTATTGTTTTGACTTCCAGGGTAATAAGCTATGGGAGTTTGAGACACAAGCTTCAGTGTTCTGTTCAGCGACTTTGTACCATGATGTAAGATATGGTTCCAGGATCTCACACTGTATTTTTTTTGGCTCACATGACAAATCTGTGTATTGCTTGTCACTAACTGGTGAGCACTTGTGGAGATTTACAACCGATGGACCTGTGTATTCAAGTCCTTTTGTAGCCATGATTGAGGGAAATACGTCTTGTCACACAATGTGTAATGCAAGGCCTTGTGATGCGCATGACACTCAATTAGCAGTGTTTGCTTTGTCGAGTGTTGGAAGCCTGTATATTCTGGATTTTTATACGGGAGTTCTTTTAGCTTTGTATTCATTGCCTGGTGAAGTATTTTCTTCACCTGTTGTGTTTGACAATCAAATTCTCATTGGCTGTAGGGACAACTATCTCTACTCACTTGGAATATTAACCCTTTAACTTCCCAAGATCTCATTAGTAATTCTCCTTACTGTCTGCCATATAGTTCTTATGATGTTAATTTGGAGAATTTGGTATTGGATCTACTAATAATTCCTAATTAATATTTTTTCTTCTCATCACTTGTCTGCCTGATATTGTATTGATATTGTATGGAGAAATTCTGTCTTGGTCACTTGTGGGCGTTAAAGGGTTAAATGAAACTAAAGAGTAAGTAGTAACAATGTTGACTATAAAAAATATTTTTATTTTCTTTTTACTCATCTAAAAATACAGCTAGATTTTCATTTTAATTAATTCCCAGACTGAATTATTTTTTCTGCAGACTTAAGACTGAATATATTTTATATTACAAAGTTGATTTACAATCAAAATTATCAATATTGCTATTTTACGTCTGTTATTTGACTTAATTGCTTTAGTTAACCAGTTTAAATAAAAAAAAGAAAATTTAACTAAGATAAACTATATGAAAAAAAATTATTCTAGTTATTGCATTTCCAGTGGCACATAAGAATATTCTATTATCAAATTCTCTACCTCAAGCAGCTATTCGTCTTAAACCTAAGTGCAAGTCATTATTGATCCCTTGGGGGGGGGAAGACTGGGAGGATTTTGGGGGATCACATGGTGTTTTGGGGGAGTGGAGGGGGATCAGTCATCACTGAAAAGAGGATCATAGAAAATTTACTGGCAATGAGGGGGATCATTAGAATACTACAGAGCCTTGGGGGGGGGGAGCAATGGCTTCCCCTTCTTCCCAGCCCTCTATCCCCCACCCCCCTAAGGTTATGGATAATGAGTAGTCCCTGATTTGCCAATTTCAGCCCTGGTATTCCTACAGTAAATGATTGTTGTGAAAAGAGAAGAGTTGGGCATTAAATTTTTACAACTTTCACTCCCTGGCATGTCAATTACTTTTTCATTTCCTCGTTTGACTGAACTTGATCAATAGAAAAGTTACAATTAAAGAAAAAAAATCCGCCTCCTCTTAACGTTCCATGCCGTGTCGCAGGTCATCTATGGCAAGCTGTACGTTACGTAACTTATTCTGAATACTCCTTACATCAACATGTTCGTGACCAAGTTTTTTCAGTCGAATGTTTAAAGCTCGGTTAAAGTACTCCTTGGCCTGTTCCAGGTCGCCAAATTTACGGTGTACATCACCCAAACTTTCGTAGGAAAATGCCACATAAACATGATCAGGTTCGAGGTTCTTCAACTGGATATGTAAAGCACTTTCGTATAGCTCTTTGGCCAGTTGCATGTTATCCAACACAAATTGCAAATTACCCAAATGCTGGTATGAATTCGCCAAATCAACATGTTCGGGTTCAAGATTTTTCTGGCGTATAATCAGTGCTTGTTCGTGATATTCCATGGCCTGTCCCAGATTATTCCATTTACGATGCACCACGCCTAAGCTATGGTAAGTATCCACGACTTCAAGGTGATCGGGACCAAGCTTTTTCAACTGAATGTCTAGAGCACACTCCAAATGCTCCTTAGCCTTCTGAAGATTACACAATTCACATTCTACTTTTCCCAATTCAATGTAATTACGGGCGACATGAACATGCTCGGGTCCAAGCCTTTTCAACCGAATGTCCAGAGCTCTTTCAAAACACTCCCTAGACTTTTGCAGGTCACCCAATTTACGCTGTACAATACCCAACTCATAGTAAATATCAGCGACATCAACATGCTCGGGACCAAGCTTTTTCAACTGAATGTCTAGAGCTCGTTGATAACACTCCTTAGACTTTTGCAGGTCACCCAATTTACGCTGTACAATACCCAAGCCATAGTAAATATCAGCGACATGAACATGCTCGGGTCCAAGCCTTTTCAACCGAATGTCCAGAGCTCTTTCAAAACACTCCCTAGACTTTTGCAGGTCACCCAATTTACGCTGTACAATACCCAAGTCATAGGAAGTATCAGCGACATCAACATGCTCGGGTCCAAGCCTTTTCAACTGAATGTCTAGAGCTCGTTGATAACACTCCTTAGACTTTTGCAGGTCACCCAATTCACCCTGTACAATACCCAAGCCATAGTAAGTATCAGCGACATGAACATGCTCGGGTCCAAGCTTTTTCAACCGAATGTCTAAAGCTCGTTGATAACACTCCTTAGACTTTTGCAGGTCACCCAATTTACGCTGTACAATACCCAAGTCATAGGAAGTATCAGCGACATCAACATGCTCGGGTCCAAGCCTTTTCAACCGAATGTCTAGAGCTCGTTGATAACACTCCTTAGACTTTTGCAGGTCACGCAATTCACTTTGTACAACACCCAAGTCATAGTAACTATCAGCGACATCAACATGCTCGGGTCCAAGCCTTTTCAACCGAATGTCTAGAGCTCGTTGATAACACTCCTTAGACTTTTGCAGGTCACCCAATTTACTCTGTACAAGACCCAAGCCACGGTAAATATCAGCGACATGAACATGCTCGGGTCCAAGCCTTTTCAACCGAATGTCTAGAGCTCGTTGATAACACTCCTTAGACTTTTGCAGGTCACCCAATTCACCCTGTACAATACCCAAGCCATAGTAAATATTAGCGACATGAACATGTTCGGGTCCAAGCCTTTTCAACCGAATGTCTAGAGCTCGTTGATAACACTCCTTAGACTTTTGCAGGTCACCCAATTCACACTGTACATTACCCAAGCCATAGTAAATATCAGCGACATGAACATGCTCGGGTCCAAGCCTTTTCAACCGAATGTCTAGAGCTCGTTGATAACACTCCTTAGACTTTTGCAGGTCACCCAATTCACTCTGTACAATACCCAAGCCATAGTAAATATCAGCGACATGAACATGCTCGGGTCCAAGCCTTTTCAACCGAATGTCTAGAGCTCGTTGATAACACTCCTTAGACTTTTGCAGGTCACCCAATTTACGCTGTACAAGACCCAAGCCACGGTAAATATCAGCGACATGAACATGCTCGGGTCCAAGCCTTTTCAACCGAATGTCTAGAGCTCGTTGATAACACTCCTTAGACTTTTGCAGGTCACCCAATTCACTCTGTACAATACCCAAGGCATAGTAAATATCAGCGACATCAACATGCTCGGGTCCAAGCCTTTTCAACCGAATGTCTAGAGCTCGTTGATAACACTCCTTAGACTTTTGCAGGTCACCCAATTCACGCTGTACAATACCCAAGTCATAGTAAGTATCAGCGACATCAACATGCTCGGGTCCAAGCCTTTTCAACCGAATGTTTAGAGCTCGTTGATAACACTCCTTAGACTTTTGCAGGTCACCCAATTTACTCTGTACAAAACCCAAGTCATAGTAAGTATTAGCGACATGAACATGCTCGGGTCCCAACCCTTTCAACCTAATGTCCAGAGCTCGTTCAATATGGTCCTTAGCTTGTTGCAGGTTTTCCAGTTTACTTTCCACTTCACTCATGGTAACCAATGAAAACGCCACATAAATATGATCATGACCAAGATTCTTCACTTGGATTTCCAAAGCACGTTCATAATACTGCATGGCCTCTTTCAGGTTACCCGAGTCGTACTGTACATTACCTAGATGATGGTATGAATTTGCCACTTTAACGTGCTGGGGTCCAAGATTTTTTAGCTGAATGTCAAGAGCACGTTCATGATTCTCCTTGGAATTTTTCAAGTCACCCAACTCACGCTGAACCAAACCCAGTAAATTGCAAGTCTCCACAAGGGCATCATCCGTGAGTCCACGTTCTCTTAACTCAACGTCTCCAGGATATTCACAACTCCTTATCTTCTTATCCGTTTCAACCAGTTTCAAAGCTGTTTCACAGTAAACTTTTGCTCCTGAAAATTCGCGGTGATTTCTGCAAATTATTGCAAGCCTTTTGAAATATTCATAAAATTTGAAGTAGTTAAAAACGTGTTTCTCGGTAATTTGATATTTATCCTCGTGAAGGAAGACCTTTTCAACTTCTGCAGCAAATGTATTCAAGTGTGGAATGAGATGCTCACTATCACGAATGGAGTTTTCGTCGTTCCAAGTGTGTGGTAGATGAATGTCTATGAATTGGTTGAAGGACATTACAGCGTATGCAACACTTCGAACGTGTTCATCAGGCTCCTGACACTCGTTGATTACAGATTTAATGGCTTCATGCACAACTTGATGCACACTAACAAAATTTCCACTTTCTCTCTCATCGAAGAGAAGAAGAGAGTAGCCTTGGATCTGAAGAGCAATTTCTTCTTTATCCAAACGCGGATTTTGATCATTCAAAATGTAGTTCACAAGGATGTCTAAATGCAAAGGTTGTAAAGAACACAGGGAAAGGAGTGTAAACGCGCTTTTAACAACACTGTCATTGTTTATCGCTCGTTCAATAGCCAGCTTGGTTGCGACAGTCATGGACTTGCTGTAGCTTGGGTTGGTTTTTGTTAGTTCCTTTTCAGTAAGGGCTCGCATACCTCTCTCTAGCTTTTCTAAGTACTCTTCCCATCCAAAGCTTCTGGCAACTTTACTTTCACGAACCTTTTTTATGTAAACGCCTGCACTAGCCAGCGCGAGGGGTTGGTAATCTAATGCTTTCGCGATTTTATCCTCCATTCCTTGTTGTCTAATACCAGAAACCTTCGCTAAAAAGCAACGGGCATCTGTGGGCCTCATGCCTTCGCTCACTGAGATGTGAGAGACAAACGAGCTTTCAGAGGGGATTTGTGAGGAGTTTTGTGTTGTGATAAGTAGCTGGCCTTTCTTCCACAGGTGGTTTCCAATCCGAGGGAGAAAATCATGTACATCACAAAAACTACTAACATTGTCCACTACCAAGAGCCACGATCCGTAAAGAGGAATTTTGGTTGCTATCGAATCCTTTAGATAGTTGATTTTCTCTTCTATTTGCATCTCTGTTGAGTCAAGAGTTTGCATGATAGTGGATTCAGGGCACTTGATTTGTCTTCCCAAAGAAGCGTACGATTCCAGGAGTGTTTTTGAACTTTCAGCGTCAAGAGTCATTACGAACGTGGGGGTTTTGAGGTCTTTGCTGGCTGTTTCGTAAAAAGTTTGAGCTACTAGACCGGCTAGTTGAGATTTGCCACTTCCAGGGTTACCCGAAATATATAAGTAACTCAAACCATTTTCATTTGCTTCTCTCAGCCGTTCAAGTCGTTTTGTTATTTTGCCAACCTCGCTCTCGCGAGGTGCGATTTCGTGTGATGGTTTAGGCGGAAGAATGCAGAATGAAGAAACATCACTATGTAACTGTTCCTCAAGGATATGGTGCTGTTCTTCAAGGACTTGATGCTTTTCGTCAAGGAATTGATGCTGTTGTTGAAGGAACTGATGCTGTTGTTGAAGAACCTGATTATCTTCTTCAAGGAGTTGATGTCTTTCTGCAAGGACCCGGTGTTGCTCTTTAGAGGTTTGTAGTTCAACGTTGCATTCACGGAGTTCCTTCGTGGGAAAATTTTTCTGTTTGCGGATGTTTAGAATATCATTGGTTGACAGACCAAGACACTGGAATGCGATCTTCACTTTTTGAACAGAAAGTCTGAACTGTAGATCTGACAGCTGACCCTGTGGCAGGTGAGCGAACGTATTGCGAAATTCTCTGAGATCATCGACATTCGAGTGAACTGCTGCACCGAGTCCGTGGCTAATAGAATCGGAGTAAAGGATTGCAAAAAAGAGTGTAGTACAATCCCACTGTGCCCTATTTCCGTTTCTTATCGTTTCCAGCAGACGAGCATCTTGTGGTCGGCTCCGGGGAGACTCCCTGTTGTAGAAGTCCAGTCCATTTTGAGGTGTATCTTTCCATTCTCCCAACGTTGCCTGGTAACGACTGTCCCATTCCTGTTTAAAAATGGATCGCAGCCCTTGTGGCAGGATATTAGTGACTAGATGACAAATTCTGAAGTAGTTAAGTTGCTCTTTGGTGTAAACTGAGGAAGCCATGTCTTCCTTATCGTGTCATTCTTTTAAGTTTCAACCCTGTTTGGAAATCATATTACACCTTCAATATTGACTGAAAAGAATCTCAATTTCAATTGCCAATTACTTGCATTAAGCGTGCAAGAATGACAAATTTCATTACTCGTTGAATGTAAACATGCGAGAGATTAACGAAATCGGATGACCGCGAAGTGGAAGTTCGATTTGTCAATCACGAGTATGATTACAGATCAAAATTGACGACACGAAAACCTCTTACCAGGTAATTATACCCATTTCAATTTCCGAGAAAAATAAAACGTATTCATTAGAAAAAGGACTTATAATTACAATCTTTAACCACTCAAGCATTATAGTCTTTGAATAATACAAACTGACAAGCTCCAGAAACGGCTTCCTATAGGTATCGTGGGAAATCCTCGCTTTGGAAAGAAGAGTGGTGAGATTGCTGTTTTCAATTCTGTGAACCAAGTGTCCGATGACACCTTTTCAGAGATATTAGTAAAACCCAGTGTAGTTCATCCACTAATCGCATTCGTGGAAATTGTGATCGTTATACTAAGACGTGAAAAAAATGCTAAAATTCTTAGAACTGCGGAGTTAATTATTTTCCACTGTTAACGTTGGTCTTGCAAAGGAAACAGAGAATGCCTTCGCGCTAAAAATTAAATACCATGTAATTCGTCTTCGCCGGTGTCCTTCTCTGATCGTAGCATTTGTCATGGAAGGAAAGTGTAGAAGTCTCTTTTTCAATTTATATAACGCATGGATCTGTATGATGGAGGCAATAGCTACGCCAGCAAGCATACTTCAAACATAGGAGCCCCTTTAGCTTTCTACGGAGTTGACATCAGTGTGGTTACCAATGAACAAAGTGCAGAGTCTTTTTTTTTTCTGTTCTTCACTGATTCATGATGATTTTATCCTTCCTTACAGAAAACTGCTATATCGTTGTCATTTCGGACTTTTCAGAAATACGTAAATTAAGAGATCTGTTTTGGTTGAGTGTCTTTTTCATTGTTTATTGCCATAAAGCGCTTTTGGTTGTTGCGTGACTCGCTCAGTGTAAGAAATACAACAGCTTGATTTTATTTTTGATGAGTGATATGCAAATATTCATACGCAAGCCAACCTCTTTCCCAGGGTTCTCTCTCTTCCTCCCTCGCGAAAGCTGTGCACTTATTAATTAGTAGATCCCCCCCGCCCAGGCAACCCTAACCTGGCTAGGGCAGAGAATTTGAACCAGAAGATCCCAGTCTTTCCAGCGGAATAAAAATGTTCTATCTATAAATCAGGAGCTCATCATCCGAAGCTTCCATCTTTCATACTTACCCTCTGAGTCAACCCTGTCCCGTATCTTTTTATTTTTAGAAGCACCTCCCACGGGGTTTTTCGCGGGTGTTTACATAATAGCCAATGATAAGAGAGTTGTGGTCCTCCATCGTTTACGTCACATTCAGGCTGCACAAAAGTATTTCAATAATGGCGAAAAGCGCGGAAAGTTTACCAATTTTTTTCAGGGTGTTACGCGAACGTCAGCGTGTTCTCGCGGGAAATGAAAGAAACCCCCACGTATCTCAGTTCTAAAAATAAAAAGATACGGGACAGGGTTGACTCAGGGGTACAACTGGTATAGAGGCTCCGAGTAATGAGCTCCTGCTGTAAATATAGAGGTGTAAAAATTCACTTTCGCGAAGGATCGGCTCAAAAGAAAAGGTCTACAAAGTCCAGGTTTTAAAGATTGGTCAACGCATAAAATGACTCGGTTGCTGATTTTGCCTTTACCAAAAAATTGGGTGGGTCATTTAACCACAATGTTTGCTCGCAGGCTGATCAAACCAATCTTCAAAAGTTTAGATGCCCATGGGTTTCAAGGAGGATATTGAAGCTTCGAAATGATCGACACATCACTTCTCGAGGGAAAAAGAGAGAGGACTCTGGGAACGAGGATGTCTTCACGCGACCTGCTCTTGCACGCGCGTGTCTAACGCTTTACGTCATAACCTCGAAGTTAGCTACACGTGAGCTAGAAGAGTTATAAGCTTCTACGGAGCGCTTTGTAACTGTAAGGAGAATTTTGTCACTGATCCCTACCTGGAGTCAAAGTCAAAGCAGTGTCCTGCCATCTGCCAAATGTTGCCAAGTTTGTGAAACGTGAAACGTCACGCATAGTATTCATTGCAGCCCAGCCGTTGTTGGCTGTCTCGTCATGCAACTCATTACTGTCCACCACCAAGAGAAAGCGTTGCGTGACTAGACCAAACAACAGCTAACGAGCTTCTTTCTCCAGGAATAAAAAGTTTTGTATAAGCTTTAGAAATACCTCTTCGTTTTTACGCATCTTGTTTTTTTCGCCTTTTATGTTCGATACTGAAAAATGATCTTACTCGGCTTGGGGTCCGGCGTATTAGACTGATAAAATTTGTTTGGCCCCACCAAAAAATCTCGACAAAATTTGTCTCTATCAAATTTTCAATATGTCGCGCACTGAGATACAGCAAAAATATTTGTTAACCACATGTATCAATCACATGAGACAAGAGCCTCCATCGCAACGTTCGAAGAATTTTCGGATCTACCAAACATAGCAGGCGCCATCGATGGAACACACATAAAAATAAAGGCTCCAAAAGAAAGCGCTGTCGACTAATTTAGCCGATATAAATTGAACAGTACTTGGCCCTGGAGATGCAGCTGAAACGTAAACTTGGGAACCATAATAGTTGTTACAGCCGGAAATGGACGTGACACTGTTTATTCAATTTTGAAATGAGACATTTTAGTGACGGTTAGATGAAATGATTAAGAGAGGTTGTCAGTAATTTTCTAGAATCCCGCGACAGAAGCAAAAATTCAACTGTTTTTTATTTGCTCAAAAAGACCCTTTTGGTGAATCGTTTTCAGAAATAATATTCGAAAGTTCCAGCGAGTTTTTATTTTGGAAAAAAATATGAAAGTTCGAAATCGGCCAAAACGTACCTATTTGCATAATTTCTATTGGGCTTTCAGTGCATTTTCACAACGCTCGCACAAGACAACGAAAAATTGTCTTGGATTCATTTTCTCATGAGTTGTTTTTCATCCCTTGGAGTAGCTTTGCAACTATATTTCATCTCCAACTGAACTTTCTTTCGTTTGTAACCACCCGCGTAAAGTACCCTAAATTTTCTATTCCGTTTGTACACTGAATTTTGCTATATTTCAGACGACCATAACATCGAGGGTATACGAATGTACATAAAATAAAAGAGCTCTTTTCAACGAGAAATTCTTCATGTTTATCATGTAAAAATATTATTTTTGGCCCGTGAAAAGCGAGTGCGCCAGACCAAAATATATAGCTTGCAGTTTCACGGAGTTAGGCCATTTTCCTTGCTGTACTCCTACTGCAAATCGCACGCTATTGGGACAAAACTCGACGTGTTTGGTCTCTACTTCAGTTTTGATTCATTTAAATATACCGATTTTAACTTAAAAATTAACCTACCTTTATTGTTAAGTGAACAAACCACCGTTTTAGGTAAAGTTTTTGAGTTGACTTTTCTCGAGCGCTAAAAAAACAAATCGCTGTTTACAAAGATACCAGCTCTGTCGACGTGTTTTTAGCTGAAATTGGCCCGTCGCATATATTGTTCTTTAATTTGCAATCTATCCCACTGTCATAACTTTAGAGTAAATTACATGTAACTATAAATGTTGTTGTAAATACGTGAGCGTGAGCTAAATAAAATCTTCGCACACTTAAAAAATATTCGAAACATGTAGTTGTCGCATGAAAATACTCGCTTAATTGTGCATGAACCCCGGTGTTTTGCTCGGTTGCTTTTGTAGATTTCTACCACTGTCACTATAAAACAGTATGTTTGTGTGGTCCACCTGCTTAGATACATTTTCAAATCAACTGTAGGTTGGAATTCTGTTGGTAAAAATTGTCGAAGAAATCCGAGAAAAATGGCATGTAGCACCGGGCAGTCGTGCTACAGTCAATCTCACTGATTTCAACGAAACTTTGCCAGGTTAAAGGATCTACCCCAAAACTAAAAAAGACAAACTGGTTTCTTTTTTGGTTTTTTCCGGGGGGATATAGACCACCCCCCAGTTTTTCTTGATCCTTAGTTAATGTCCACCTCAAGTATCAGTCAATTTGATTGACGGCTTGTCAATCAAAGGCAAATAAACGACTGAGTTTTTAGACTTTTCGATTCATCCAAATATTTGACAACTTTGAAAAGTGAGATGCAAAGATGTTTATTATTTTTTTTTAGCTTAATAGCAGCTGTACCCTCTCTTGCAGTCTTCGTCTAAATTTGCAAGGTCACTCCTTTTATTCTGCCTTGTTAGAGGCGGTTGCCTTACTAGTTTCCTCCCCTGTCCAGCTCATGTCAAGGAAATAATTCTTTGCTTTCTGAGAAAAGGTGGCTGGTTTTTGTGTTTTCCAAAGAGCCCATGCAAAGTCCATTTAGCTAGTTAGGGATGTTTCGTCAGAAGTTTAGCTGAGGTCCAACCTTGAACGTAACCACCCCCTTTAAAATGGCAAGCCGGTCTTCGTCCATTTTCTCTTGATCTTATCATAGGCGGATTTTTTTGTCAGCTTCACTGTGTTTGCCTTTATTAGGGTGCTTTTGGATGGCAGCCAATGACTGAAACGTCTTGATACATCCTTCCTCTTAGCAAGAATATCTCGCTTTCTTGTCCTGTCTGTGACGGATTGAATATAGTTCTCGCGATGACCCGCGTTCAGGGATCCGTGCACGTTGCTGATAACCACCCACTTCTACGATTAGTTTGCTGAAGGTTTCTAATGCGATGAGCCTAGTGAGACCCTGAGGTGCTCCAAACTGTGCCAGTTGGTCTGCGCTATAAACTTGTCGCAGTTCTAAAGTCAGAGGGAGGGTCGCCCACCTCTATTTATGTGAGCGTCTCTACAGTACCTGCGTATCCCTAGCAATCATATGATATAAAGTTAATTTCAGACACAAATCATTAGTTAGGAAAACTGATGTTCAGATAAGCGCTCTTCTTGCCCTTCTTCCCTATTCATTGCTGACTCTAAGATAGCAGTTACAGTACGCGTTCTATTAGGTTTACAGTCACCTTGCCACCAGGAAGACTCGCCACCAGCTTTGATTTCTTCTGCCATCTTCAGATTCACCTCTCTCAACTTTACGTGTCCGATTTTTATGACGAGGATACTGGCTTTTACAAACCCGAAGGTCTGAATCTCATACCAAGTTGTGCACGATATTTGAGGCATATCGTGAAATCGCGGCCTTCGTTATCTCCAAATAAGCCAATACGCGCTAGAATAAGCTTCTTCTCGGACGAAACGCATGTTTGGGATACATTGACGTCTCTCAAATGTTTTTTTTTTTTTTTTAATGCTGTACACCCACGAGTTTAGAGGTGTGAGCTGTTGCCGTCCCTGGCCAGCGCGAGAATTGAGAGCTTTTTAGACACTCGATTTCTTATACGGCATCACTATGAAGACGTAATACAACTGATACACCTACACTACAAAGGATTGACAATGTCTGTTGCGCTGTTGCGAGAAGGAGGAAAATATTATCGGCAGTGTAAATTCTTTAAGAGTTTCAGAGACTTTTCAGAGATGTCTATCTTTGGCTGACCCTCTCTTAAATTTACTGGGAAAAATGAAATATTATAAAACAGGTCATAAATTGACCAGTGAATAAAATATTTTGAAATATCGTTCGGAATTTGCCTTTTATTGCGTGCAAATCAAGGGCAGACAAAGTTTATAAAACATTTGACAAGAATTTCATGGGGTTCACCTCGATAATTTTCGTCGGCCAGAGTCAAGACGCATCAAGCTAAGTGACATCGCCCTCCAGTAAAATAATTTTCCAAATAATAGATGTGGCGAGCGTGGGGAAACGCACATTTTTTTCATTATTGTGATCAAAGCCCAATGATGTACCTAAATTGGTACTTACGGTATCAAATCATAGATTATGACAGGGTGAGCTTAATTTTTCTGTCGAACTCCCTGCACGAACTGAGAAAGTAAAAACTTGTATTTATTTCCCATGCATTTCGTCTGACAATAGTAGACTTCATCAAGGAGTTTTACAAGTAGGGTGAATAAGCTTGCTCATATACAAATAGTAAATAAGTTGTCTCTTTACTATTGAAGCCAGGGTGTAATTGCTTTTGATTTCTCAACTGATGTTGTCGCAAACAGCTTTTGGGAGTCACGAAACAAAAAAACTTATCGGGACCTAGTTTCATGTACTAATGGAAGTAAATGGCAAATAAAAATATTCTCTTGAGAAATAAAGTTATAAATAACAGGGGTTCTTTGAAACAAATAGTGATAGAAAAGGTTTCAGTTCTGGTCAATATTGACTTTTCATAGCCTACTTCCAAATCTGAGGGAACGCGCCGAGGGAATAAAAAAAAACATACATGTGTGATAATGCAAGGAGAAGAATAAAAATAAAAATAAAGAAAAAGGAGAAAACATAGAAACCCGTGTTGCAGCGCGCAGATATCTTTTGAGCCAGACCTACACACTTATGCCCGACACCACGCAAAGAAACTCGAAAGAGTGCTGTATATGAACTTGCTCGCACGTGCACGCAGGAAAGGCCATGACAATCAGCGAAAATAATGGCAAATGCAGATGATATTTGCAGTCAAAAAACAGGCAAATAAGATGACAGAAGGATAAAGAACTTTCTGGACGTGTCTTCTTAAAAAAAAGAAAAACAATTTTTACTTCTCATGAAAGGTCACGCAGTCACGCTACAAATACTATTTCTACGTGGAATTTCTTGATGGTGGAAAGTGGAAAAACCATTTTCCAGTCCTATTTTCTGGAAACATGGCGCAGTTAATGAATTTTATGGGGCTATTGATATTTCCTATTAAATAAGAGAAGCAGAGTTTCCCGAAAAGCCGAAATTGTTACACTCGGGAACTTGTACGTCAACAAGCACGCGGCATGTGAATTTAAAATCTCCTCTCCTGTTACAGTTTCCTTATTGTGAACTGTGCGATAATGATCAACAAACAATCAAATTGTAGACTAATGAATGTTTTGGTTTTGTACAAGTGCCCTATTTCCTGATTTTAGCAAATCTCCAAAATAATAAAAGACAGGAGAAAGAAACGCTACGATTTTCCCATCGATTTTTCAGCTAAAAACACGTCGACAGAGCTGGTATCTTTGTAAACAGCGATTTGTTTATTTAGCACTCGAGAAAAGTCAACTCAAAAACTTTACCTAAAACGGTGGTTTGTTCACTTAACAATAAAGGTAGGTTAATTTTTAAGTTAAAATCGATATATTTAAATGAATCAAAACTGAAGTAGAGACCAAACACGTCGAGTTTTGTCCCAATAGCGTGCGATTTGCAGTAGGAGTACAGCAAGGAAAATGGCCTAACTCCGTGAAACTGCAAGCTATATATTTTGGTCTGGCGCACTCGCTTTTCACGGGCCAAAAATAATATTTTTACATGATAAACATGAAGAATTTCTCGTTGAAAAGAGCTCTTTTATTTTATGTACATTCGTATACCCCCGATGTTATGGTCGTCTGAAATATAGCAAAATTCAGCGTACAAACGGAATAGGAAACATAGTGTACTTTACGCGGGTGGTTACAAACGAAAGAAAGTTCAGTTAGAGATGAAATATAGTTGCAAAGCTACTCCGAGGGATGAAAAACAACTTATGAAAAAATGAATCCAAGATAATTTTTCGCTGTCTTGTACGAGCGTTGTGAAAATGCACTAAAAGCCCAATAGAAATTATGCAAATAGGTACGTTTTGGCCGATTTCGAACTTTCATATTTTTTTCCAAAATAAAAACTCGCTGGAACTTTTGAATATTGTTTTGAAACGATTCACCAAAAGGGTCTTTTTGAGAAAATTAAAAAAAAGTTGAATTTTTGCTTCTGTCGCCGGATTCTCGAAAATTACTGACAACCTCTCTTAAGTGTAAAAAACCCGGATGTGAGCACATGGGTTTTGTCTCTTTTTTTCGCTCGTACAATTTTTGGATGGTCGTCTGCATAAGATTGTAAAGCTTATTTGGAAACAAATACAGTCAAGAATTGTTCCTACTTTGGTTTTGGTGGATATTTTGGTAGCGGGAACAATAGTTGTATTCTGGTTGAGGATCGTTATGCAGCATATTGAGGTACGAATCTTCCATCTCCACCGTTTGATTACGGCGCAACGAAGAAATAATTCTGGCGGGTACTTCGACTAAAACTATAGATCAAATTTTTAAGGACACGAGAGAGGTGAGGAGAAGCACGAGCCGCAGGCGAGTGCTTCTCTCACTTCTCGAGTAACAAGTTTTTTTTGGTTCTTTTATAATAATATACGTGAAAAAATTACTCAGTTCTGATTGGTTAAGATAAATGCAGTTTTCAAATAATTCAACGAGGAAGAGCGTTAATTCAGTGCAAAGATAGTAACAACCAGACATTCTGATTGCTCAATAAACAAAGAAATTCACAGAAAGCTAATCAAATGTGAGCCTTGGACGTCTTAACATTTGGCTACTTTGAAAATTTGCGAGCGAAGTAATGGCCGGCGTTTGAAGTAGGCCTTCTTTCAACACCGCAACAACAATACAACAGCCGGAAAACAACTCTAACAACGAAAACACTCTCTAGATCAAATTTTCTTGATTGACATTTTCCTTCAAATCATGGCGTGTTAACTAACAAATCTGTCAGATTTTACGCCTGACAAAAATTTGCACTGCTCCGAGGCAGGACGACGGCGTCTCTGAAATTTGGTAAGTCTTGATAAACTTTGGTATAACTAAAAGTCACCGGGCGCGCTTGTCTCAAGCAACTGGTGACAGATTTTTTGCAAAATAAACAAAAATTTGCCTAGTGTGTCCGGGCCCTTGTTTACTTTCATGACTAGTGCCTTACGTCACCCTTGGTATGACATTAAAAGCCAGAATATTACTTTTCGATAAAATTAAGAGAGGGAAAGCCATTCAGCCTTGTTCCAAGGCAGGGACACATGTATACTCAACGGAGATGACCGTCGGAAAAGGTACCAGAATCAAGTGTTTTTTATATAAACAACCATAAGTGTTGACTTTCGACTTTCGACTTTCGTCAATAAAAACGCAATCCATTGCTGCGATAGAAAATTGAGTCATCTGAAGGGAAGCAAAACTAGCGAGGCGAACAACTCACGCGTAACGAGAGCGAGGTTGTTGAGGTTGCAAATTTGAAAAGGTGAATATAAAATAAGGAACTGGAAACCTACAAAGTCAAGTACAGCTGAATACAACTTTCTCAACACGACTTTCTCTGTGCACTATGGAGAACACTTATAGGAAAATGTCTTACTGCGATGATCGTTGAAACATCTAGAAAAGTGGTGACTATGACGAACGCTTGCATTGCGTGACCACAATTGGTGATGATGAGTTAGTCAACCTATTATTCTTTAGAGTAGACTAAACATGAAATTTTATCTTAATCTTAAATATACAACTCACTGACGTACAGTGTATGTAAATTTGAGTTAAGTTTACCATCCGATCGACAAAATGTGTTCTTTCGGCTCTAACTTGATAACACACTGATATGACATTATAAATAGCTTATTCCTTATAATTCCTCTTTGGTCGGCCCTAACAAATCTGAAGGATCCCTTGTATCAACGGTAATAACGATATTAAAGTACTCTTAACCAGTCGCTTTGTTTCCATTTGATAAAATCGAAACTAGATTTATTATTATCAATGTCTAATAAACAAAACTAAGTTTTTTCAGATATTTCAGTTTGGAAACTTGTCGTGACAAGAACAGTTGCATGTAATCTTCGGCATCGAAGCGGGCGACAGATATATAGTTCAAATAGCTGTTCTGCTCTGATAACTGTACTGAGTAGTTCCATTGAGATGTTTACTACTGCTGATCGCAAATATTATAAGAAATGTGATAGGAAACATATCGAGTAATACGAACGGTAAAGTGACGACTACAACACCAGTCCTTTAGAAAAAATATATTTCGTTCCTACGATAGGAATTCAGACATGACTAGACATGAATAATCTGTGCTGCTTGGATGAGAGATTAAAATTTACAAAGTAAATGAGCCGTCAAATAACGAACGCTGTGTTATGATTACGTTATCAAATTAAACCAAACACTGTATTTTATTAGTTTTTTCAAAGTTCACTAAAATTTTGGCAAATACTCTCTTGTAAGGTGGTGAATTAAGGATCACCACTTTCCCTCGCCCTCCGACACAAACCAAGATTACACTGCCTGAGGCACAAATCTCGATTAGGTTTCTCAAAATATCACGTATGCAAATATGTGTATGGATCACTCCAGTCTAGTTTGATTTTGCATCTAACTTTTTGATAAAGGAAAACAGTTATCAGGTATTCCAAATGGTTTATTTTATGGTCAGCTGTATACATCTCAAACATATCTTCTTAGAGGGGATTCTCAATTCTAAAGTACTCTTAACTCGCCACTGTTATGACAGCTTCGATTCCACTTGAAAAATTAAAGCTAACTGCATTCTCATACCTAAGTTAATGTATTTCAAATATTCAGTTTCTGCTTAAAAGACTCGTTGTAAAGAAACAATTCAGGATGAATCTCTATTCAAGAGAAAGTTGTAGTTCTGACCTCGTTTTGAATTGCTCGGCTTTAATAACTCAAGTAGTTTATTTGGATAATCATATAGCTTGATTAAGAAAGTGGAATCATCGATTTCACCGCAAATTTTAGGACAAATGCAATGATCAACAAGCCAAAGTAAGATTCGATTGTAACAGAGATAAAATAACGATTGAAAAGTCAGTCCTGAGTAAGTAAATGTACATTTCCCACGAAGGATTTCATTCAAAAATAATTTGCGCCACTCGTTAAGATGAGAGATTACCTGTTTTTAATTAAGTAAACGAGTCATCATCTAACAAATTCCCGTCAACTGATTAGGGAAATAAACTTTACGCGAATACTGCGTTTTGTTTGTGACATCAAATTCAAAAGTTTTTTTTTTTTTTTTGTGGCAACGTATCACCGCCTTTCAAAGTACTTTGTTAATAGAATTACCTCTTCCGGTTTCGGAAGAATGTTGACTGACCGTCGGAAAAGGTACCAGAATCAAGTGTTTTTGATATAAACAACCATATGTGTTGACTCTCGACTTTCGTCAATAAAAACGCAATCCATTGCTGCAATAGAAAATTGAGTCATCTGAAGGGTAGCAAAACTAGCGAGGCAAACAAGTCACGCGTAACGAGAGCGAGGTTGTTGAGGTTGCAAATTTGAAAAGGTGAATATAAAATAAGGAACTGGAAACACACAAAGTCAAGTACAGTTGAATGTAACTTATGACTCGCTCTATGCACTTTGGAGAACACCTCTAGGAAAATGTCGAATTACGATGGTTGTTGAGTTATTTAGAGAAGTCGTGATTACGAACGCTTGCATTGCGTGATCACAAATAGATGATGAATTAATCAGCCTATTATTCTCAAAGAGTAGACCAAACATAAAATTAACAGGATCTGTTCTTTTATCTTTTTCCTTCTTTTTTTTTTTTTTTTTTTCAATTCTTTATTTCCTTCTATCTGTAAGAGTTTATTGTAAATCCGACGAGTGATACCAAACTCCTAGATGTGGAACACGGAACGGAAAATAAATGATGATCTTACTGTGAATGAGGTAGTTTCAAGTTGCACTCATGTATTAAAGCTCTGGAAACCCATTTCTCTTTTCTCAATTCTCTCCTCATTCTATTCCATTTTTGTTTTTTAATCCAACCCAGTCATTCTTGTGTTTACTCTCCGTTTCCCGCTGCCCGTCATAATCTTCCTATCAGTTATTCCACGTTTTCTTCGACCTTTGTATTCTCTGTTTATTTGATCTTAAAATGTATGTAAATTTTTAGTGAAGTTTACCATCCGATTGACAAAACGTGTTCTTTCGGCTCTAACTTGATAATACAATACAATATTATAAAAAGCTTATTCCTTGTAAGTCCTCTTTAGTCATCCTAACAAACCTGAAGGATCCCTTGTATCAACGGTAGCAATTGAATATCGAAGTATTCTTAACTTATCGCTTTGTTTCAATTCCATAAAATCGAAACTGGGTTTATTATTGTCTAATATACATAAAAGAGTGTTTTTTCAGACATTTCGGTTTGGAAACTTGTCGTGACAAGAACAGTTACATGTAATATTCACCATCGAAGCGGCCGACAGATGTATTAGCTTATATTTCAGGAAAAACGCATGTTTTTTTCCTAAAATAGTTCAAATAGTTGTTCTGCTTTGATAACTGTACTGAATAGTTCCCTTAGGATGTTTACTGCTACTGATTGCAAATATTGTAAGAAATGTGATAGGAAACAAACCCAATTGAATATCGAGTAATACGAATGATGAAGTGACGACTGCAATACCAGTCCTTTAGGAAAAAATCTATTTCTTTCCCACGGTGGGAATTCAGACATGACCAGATATGAATAATCCGTGCTGCTTGGATGAGAGATTAAAATTTACAAAGTAAATGAACCATCAAATAACGAACGCTGTGTTATTATTACGTTATCAAATTGAACCAAACACTGTATTATATTAGTGTCTTCAAAGTTCACTAAAATTCTGGAAAATTTTCTATTGTAAGGTGATGAATCAAGGATCACCACTTTCCCTTGCCTCTCCCTCACAAACCAATATTACGCTGCCTGAAGCAAAAGTCTCTGTTGGGTTTCTCAAAATATCACGTATGCAAATATTTGTATGGCTCAACACTCCATGCAGTCTAGTACGATTTTGCATAAGACGTTTTGATGAAAGAAAACTGTTATCGAGTTCTAAATAGTTTATTTTACGTTCTTCTGTATACATCTCATACACACTCTCTTCAAGGAAATTTTCAATTCTAAAGTACTCTTAACCCACCAAGGTTATGAACGCTTCGATTCCTCTTGAAAATTAAAGCTAATTGTATTCTCCTACCTAAATTTATGTGTTTCAAATATTTCTACTTGAAAAACCTGTAGTAACAAAACAAACAAGGATGAATCGCTATTCAAGAGAAAGCACTAGTTCGTTTAGAATTGTTCGGCTTTGATAACCGAAGTAGTTTATTTGAATGTACATAAAACTTGATTAAGAGAGTGGAATCATCGATTTCATCGCAAATTTTAGAACAAACGCAATCATAAACGAGCCAAAGTACAATTTGCTAGTAACAGAGATAAAGTGACGATTGAAAATTCAGTCCTGATTGAGTAAATGTACATTTCCCACGAAGGAATTTCAGTCAGAAATCATTTTCGCTACCCCTTAGGATGAGAGATGTTTTGAGAGCCTGTTTTGAATTAAGTAAACGGGTCATCAACTAACAAATTCCCGTGACCTGATTGAGTGAATTAACTTTACGCGAATATTGTGTTTTGTTTGTGACATCAAAATTCAAAAGTTTTTTTTTTGTAGCAACGTATCGCCGCCTTTTTAAGTACATTGTAAATGGCATTACCTCTTCTGGTTTCGGAAGAATGTTGAATGAAAACATCTGTTTATCATTAGCTCTTGATTAAAGAACTTTTATCAACCATTTTTAAGAGTCTGTACTTACCATTTCAAATTTTACATGTTAGCCATATTATCATCCGCATCCAAAAGAAAAGGAATTTGAAACAAACCACATCAAAGTCGACCCCAACAAACTAGTCTGCTGTATCCCATCAATCCCTCGGGCCTTGTAACAATTTGACACAGGCAAGCAATACGTGCAAAATGGACTTTGGCTTTTGGTTTGACCTGCGAAACGAAAACCTTTTTGGGCAATTTTCGCATCTTTCTATGATGTGTGCGAGACAAAACAACTGTAGTACATCAAGAAATAAAAAGAAATAGAGGATGCCGCGCTATTTGAATCAAACTTTTATTTTTGCACCATACAAGAATACAGCACGATGTACTGTGTTTCCCATAGATTTTGAAAGGCTTTTATTTTGCAGAATGATGATCAATTACTATATTTTGCAGACACTAACATCTCAGATTACTTAAATCTCAGCAGAGAACTAATTTTTGCTCCTTTTAAGGGTTGGAACATTCCTCGGGAAGGAAACAATATTTTCAAAATTTACTATTTACTGAGTTACATGGCTTTGATCAGGAACATGTCCCTGCATTCTATCATATCTTACTGGCAATAAATTACAATAAACGGCTTATCCCCTAAGGCTTTGTATCAATACCCGCATAAATACAATTGAGAAATAAGAGTAAAACATCCTCTTCCTCATCGCTTCAAGGATCTAAGTCAATATATTGCAATTGGACAATACCTAATATTTTCACCTTTCTCTGAACAACCGGTGAAAAGCCATCCTTTAAGGTAAGTTGGCATCATTTAGGGGTAATGGATCACCCTGATAAGCGGTTCATCAATCGAAAACTGCTCAAAAAGCAGCCCAGTTCCTATCAATTGGGAGTTCATTTTGTAATCCGTAATTCACATTACCCATAATGGATAAGTGTGCCCTGCTGATTTCCTTGAGAGCAACAAAGGATTGCAATAGGTTTGGGTCAGAATGTAAATGTGAAAGGGAGATTGTGCCCCCTTTAAGGTTTTCTGATTTCTGAGTTTTTCACAAGAATATGTCGAGCAAAGCAAGGTGAATTTTATCATCTTCTCGGGCGGCATAAAATGACACCAAAACTCTAACATCTTTTACCGTTTCATTCTTCGCCATTCTTTCAGATCTTTCATTCTATGTATTCGGATACTTTCTGGTCTTTGTGGATACGATATGACGCACTACCACGAAAGGGAGAACTTTTCACTTGCTCTTGGTCACTCATGGGAGTTAAAGGGTTAATATTCCAAGTGAGTAGAGATAGTTGTCCCTACAGCCAATGACAATTTGATTGTCAAACACAGCTGGTGAAGAAAATACTTCGCCAGGCAATGAATAAAAAGTTAGAGAACTCCTGAATAAAAATCCAGAATATACAGGGTTCCAACACTTGACAAAGTAAACACTGTTAATTGAATGTCACGCTTGTCACAAGGCCTTGTGTTACACATAGTGTGACAAGACATATTTCCTTCCATCACGGCTACAAAAGGACTCGAATACACAGGCCTTTCGGTAGTAAATCTTCACGAGAGCTCACCATTTAGTGACAAGCAATACACACATTTGTCATGAGAGCCAAACACAATACAGTGTTAAATCCTGGAACCATATCATATATCTTGGTACAACGTCTGTGAACAGAACACTGAAGCTTGTGTCTCAAACTCCCATAGTTCATTGCCTCAAAACAATAAACAAACCCATCCAAGCATGTGCAGACTATACCAGTGGGTTTCAATAATGGTGACGCAAACACTGGCTTAGGACACTGCTGACTCTAAAGTACTGTATGTTCAGTAGCATCAGTGGCAAGAAGGTGGCCATTTAATGTAACAATGAATACTAAATGAGGTTTCTTACTTATACATGGAGAACTGAAACAAGATCCTGCACCGCAGTGTGTTACAGAAATGCCTATTCGTGACGTCAAGGGCATACAAATAGTGATCATGTGACCCAGCCCAGGCCACTCCAGTCTGCGGGTCAATGCAAGGAGAACTTTTCACTGCTGCTTCTGTTTGGAATATGGAACTTGTTTCACCAGTGAAGCGGCTGTGTACATACACTTGGCCATCATAACGGCCTAAAAATAACAAATATTAGGTTCCATGTGATAAGATAAATAGCAAATCAGGCCATTGGAAATACAATCGCAATCATTACAGAGGCCATATCAGCCTTTTACGTTCACCAGAAACTGGGAATTATTAATGATTTTATTGCAAGATATGGTCTTTAATTTGTCTCAGTTCAAGCTGAAAGAAACGAGGGGAGGGAAGGGTCTGTAAGAGTTTGAGAGAAGAATAGCCAAATCAGCAGTAAGTTGATTATCCAACACCATTGCAAGTTGGAGTAGGCTCAGAAGGCTCCTGATTCCATGGTTCGACTCAAGAATTGGCTCAAACTAGATGGATTATAAACAAATTTAATCACGAGAAAATATCAACATTGCCACTATCTTGAGAAGGCGGCTTGTGCTCTTACAATTCCGCAATGCATTGTCCTCTTAAAGCGTGACACGATGTAACGATACCCGTAACAGTCGAGATTTTCTCGTAAAATACGTACTCATGCATTTAAAAATCTTGATACCACTATCAGTAATGGAAAAAATCACTCCAGAGAAGGTGAAAACAAGTTCTATATACAACACTCGAAGTACGTATTCAGATCCTGTAACATAAACACAGTGTCTCCCTTATTTGCCTTATTTACTCACGGGTAACTCCTACCATTTAACCTGAAAACAATATACAATACCTTACACACAATTACATATCTACCAAAGAGTGAGAGGTGCAGAAGATTATATTCTGTCCCTAGCCTACTCTCAGGACTTTGCATATCACTCAGTCTGATGTACATGAACACATGAGGATAAGAGAGCCTTAGACAGACCGCGTAGAGAACAGTAAAAATTTTTAGCTAAACTTCGTCCTTTGCAATGACTTTGATTACTAGCAACATAATTGAAAACAGTGGTTCAACCTTAAAAGAAGAAAAGAGTCTTTGAAATCGGATGCCAATTTAAAAGGTTGGTGGATGACTAGTTAAATCTGTACGTACTATATATCTAATGCGCTTTTATTTACCCACAAAGTACGATGGGATTTGTAAGACTAGCCACACATGACTCGTAGACGTTAATAACGAAGGCGACTCTCTTATGGACCTTGCCCGTTGAGTCTTCAACTTACAACTTACGATGCTATCACGGCTTAACTGTTGTGTATAGAAGGGTGAGTACATATCCTTCAGAACAAGTGCGCAGAATACTTAAACTAATTCAATTCTGATCGAAGAGGAGGCTTTGAATTTACCTTAACCCGTAAATGTCCGTACAGTCGAACCCAGATTATTCGGACTTTTTCTCTGGTCGCAATTTTGTCATGAATGTCAATTAGTTATGATCAAGATCCGTAGCTATATTCTTTTTAAAACTACAGCGTTGAAAAGTGAAGTGAAGGGGAGTTTGTTTCGCTTTCAAAAAACAAAAGCAGCGCTCGCAAGCGTCGTAACTAATGAGGCGTGTCATGCGAGATAAACAAGCTACACGGCATCACGAATATTCACGATCATCATGTCCTTGAGCGTAAGCGGCCCATTCTTCCGATAAAAGAGAAATAGTCTATAATTTTGCGATTAGAGAAAGGAGAAAAAGGGACCAATTAGTCAGCTGGCAGCGTTAGTACGCAGCAGATATCTGATATCCGCAAGAACAAGGAAAAGATCATGAAGTTTGCCGACAACTTAGAGACCAGCGAAGGACTAAAGCGTAGATCGCTGCAAGTTGCACATGATGAACAGTGGACAGTGAAGATGTAGACCATACTTTTTTCAAAACGATTTGTAAAGGTTTTGCTTCACGATTTAATGTCGCTTTCTTAATTTAATTAGTTTTTGTTCCTCATTAATATTCATATTCTCGATTTTCCGGACTATTTCGTTTAGTTCCAACGAGTCCGGATAATCGAAGCTCGACTGTAGATGCAACTGAAAAACTACACGTCGCATACATATTCTTCAGACAAAGTGCGCGGAACACTTATCTAATTCAATTCTGATCAAAGAACAGGCTCTGAATTTACCTTAACCCGGAAATATATCCAAAATGTCGAAGACTTCGGAATTTCACTTTGAGGATGTATGGACGGTCATGAATTTTTGGTGGAAATTCTTGGGTGATAGCAAAAATAATCATATTTAAAAACAAATTTGAAAAAAAATTCCCCTCATAGTCATCAGACTCCACTCAATAGATTTCAAAAGAAGATTATTTTTAGAACACGCCGGCAGACAGGTCGTGACCCATTGATGAGAAAATAAAATAAGACATGTGAAAATAAGGGGCTAATTCTAAAGTTTATTCAAAACGTTTTATTCCTGGAGAAAGAAGCTTACTAGCAGTCGTTAGGTCTTGTCACGCAACGCTTCCTTTGTATTTCTCTTGGGGTGAGACAGAATGCGTTGCGTGACAAGACTTCCAACAACGGCTGGGCTGCAATGAATCCGATGGGTGAAACCGTTTCACAAACTGGCTAACATCTAGCAGATGGCAGGACACTGCTTTGAATTTGAATCAAGGAAGGGATAATCAGCAAAATTCTCCTTACAATTTCAATACGCTCCATAGGGCTTATGGTTCTATTGGCTCCGATGTAGCCGACCTCGAGGTTATGACGTAAGAGCGTTAGACATGCGCGTGCGAGAGCCGATCGTGTCAAGATATCCTCGTTCCCAGGGTCCTCTCCCTTTCTCCCTCGAGAAGTGGTGAGTCGATCATTTCGAAGATTCAATATCCTCCCGGGTGTTTAAATGCCTCGCCCAATTTTTATTGTAAAAGGCATTGACACATTGACCAATCTAAAAACCAAGACGCGTAAGTGCATAACTTTTGCAAGGGAGGAAGAGAGAGGACCCTGGGAAAGAGGTTGGCTTTCAGGTTGCATATCGCTCATTAAAAATAATATCAAACTGTTGTTTTTCTTACATTGAGCGAGTCACGCAACAACCAATCGCGCTTGATGGTAACAAACAATGAAAAAGACACTTGATCAAAACAGATCTCTTAATTAATGCATTTTTGAAAAGTCCGAAATGACAACGATATCGCAGTTATCTGTAAAGAAGGATAAAATTACCATGAATCAGTAAGGAACAGCAAAGAAAAAAAAAACAGCCTCTACACTTTCTCCATTGGTAACCACACAATGTCAACCCTGTAGAAAGCTAAAGAGGTTCCCTTGTTTGAAGTTTACTTGCTGGCACAGCCATTACCTCTATCATACAGCTCCACTACGTTATATAAATTGACTTCTAAGCTTTCCTTCCGTGTCAAATGCTGTGAACAGAGGAGGACGCCGGCCAAGTCGAATTACCTGGACTTTAATCTTTAGCGCAAAGGTATTCACTGTTTCCTTTAACAAGATCAACGTTGACAGTGGAAAAAATTAACTCTCCGCAATTCTTAGAATTTTGATTTTTTTGTTTTTCACGAAAATTGAAATGATCGCAGTTACTTGATGAGAGGTTTTCGTGTTGTCAGTTTTGATCTGTAATCATACTCGTGACTGACAAATCGAACTCCCACTTCGCGGTCATCTGATTTCGTTGTCTCTCATATGATTACAAATTACTTAACACCATATGATAGAAGAAAATGTCTGATCATTTAAATTCTAGAATGAACTATAGATTTCCAGGGATAACTAGGCAGGGACAAATTGGAATAACCAAGGGTCATTTGCATAAACATTATATTCAATGAGTAAGTGCAACCATAAAGGCCTTACAAAAAATACCAAGGTGAACTTATCATAAAATTTTTCATTCTTGCACGCTTAATGCAAGTAATTGGCAATTGAAATTGAGATTCTTTTCAGTCAATATTGAAGGTGTAATACGGTTTCCAAACAGGGTTGAAAATTAAAAGAATGACACGACAAGGAAGACATGGCTTCCTCAGTTTACACCAAAGAGCAACTTAACTACTTCAGAATTTGTCATGTAGTCACTAATATCCTGCCACAAGGGCTGCGATCCATTTTTAAACAAGAGTGGGACAGTCGTTACCAGGCAACGTTAGGAGAATGGAAAGATACACCTCAAAATGGAATGGACTTCTACAACAAGGAGTCTCCCCGGAGCCGAACGCGAAATGCTCGTCCGCTGGAAAGGATAAAAAATAGAAAGAGGGAACAGTGGGATTGCACTACACTCTTCTTTGCAATCCTTTACTCCGATTCCATTAGCCACGGACTCGGTGCAGCAGTTCGCTCGAATGTCGATGATCTGAGAGAGTTTCGCAATGAAGAGTTCGCTCACATGCCACAGGGTCAGCTGTCAGATTTACAGTTCAGACTTGCTGTTCAAAAAGTGAAGATCGCGTTTCAGTGTCTTGGTCTCTCAACCAATGATATTCAAAATATCTGCGAGCAGAAAAGTTTTCCGACGAAGGATAATAAGGTCCTTCAACAACAGCATCAAGTCCTCGAAGAACAGCACCATATCCTTGAGGAACAGTTACATAATGATGTTTCTTCATTCTGCATTCTTCCGCCTAAACCATCGCACGAAATCGCACCTCGCGAGAGCGAGGTTGACAAAATAGCAAAAGAACTTGAACGACTGAGAGAAGCAAATGAAAATGGTTTGAGTTACTTATATATTTCGGGTAACCCTGGAAGTGGCAAATCTCAACTAGCCGGTCTGGTAGCTCAACACTTTTACGAAACAGCTAACAAAGACCCCAAAACCCCCACATTCGTAATGACTCTTAACGCTGAAAGTTCAAAAACGCTCCTGGAATCGTACGCTTCTTTGGGAAGACAAATCAAGTGCCCTGAATACACTATCATGCAAACCCTTAACTCAACAGATATGCAGTTTGAAGAACAAATCAACAATCTAAAGGATTTGATAGCAACCAAAATTCCTCTTTACGGATCGTGGCTCTTGGTGGTCGACAATGTTAGCTGTTTATGTGATGTACATGATTTTCTCCCTCGGCCTGGAAACCACCTGTGGACGAAAGGCCAGCTACTTATCACAACACAGAACTCTGCATTAATCCCCTCTGAAAGCTCATTTGTCTCTCACATCTCAGTGAGCGGAGGCATGGTTCCCACAGATGCCCGTTGCTTTTTAGCGAAGGTTTCTGGTATTAGACAACAAGGAATGGAGGATAAAATCGCGAAAGCATTAGATTACCAACCCCTCGCGCTGGCTAGTGCAGGCGTTTACATGAAAAAGGTTCGTGAAAGTAAAGTTGCCAGAAGCTTTGGATGGAAGGAGTACTTAGAAAAGCTAGAAAGAGGTATGCGAGCCCTTACTGAAAAGGAACTAACAAAAACCAACCCAAGCTACAGGAAATCCATGACTGTCGCAACCAAGCTGGCCATTGAAAGAGCGATTAACAGTGACAGTGTTGTTAAAAGCGCGTTTACACTCCTTTCCCTTTGTCCTCCACAACCTTTGCATTTAGACATCCTTATAAACTACATTTTGAATGATAAAAATCCGCATTTGGATAGAGAAGAAATCGCTCTTCAGATCCAAGGCTATTCTCTTCTTATGATCGATGAGAGAGAAAGTGGAAGTTTTGTTAGTGTGCATCAAGTTGTGCATGAAGTCAGTAAATCTGTAATCAATGAGTGTCAGAAGAATGATGAACACGTTCGAAGTGTTGCACTAACTGCAATGTCCTTCAACCAATTCATAGACATTCATCTACCACACACTTGGAATGAGGTTAACTCTATTCGTGATAGTGAGCATCTCATTCCACACTTGAATACGTTCGCTGCAGAAGTTGAAAAGGTCTTTCCCCACGAAGATAAATATCAAGTTACCGAAGAAGACGTTTTCAACTATTCCAATATATCACAATGTGTCAAAAGGCTTGCAATTATTTGCATGAATCACCGTGAATTTTCAAGTGCAAAAGTTTACTGTGAAACAGCTTTGAAACTGGTTTAAAAGGATGAGCAAAGAGGCAATTGTGAGTATCCGAGAGACGTTGAGTTAAAAGAATGTGGACCCACAGATGATGCCCTCGTGAAAATTTGCAATTTGCTGGGTCTGGTTCAGCGTAGATTAGGTGACTTAAAAAGTTCCATGGAGAATCATAAACGTGCTCTAGACATTCAGCTAAAAAATCTTGAACCCCAGCACGTTGATGTAGCAAACTCATACCATCATTTAGGTAATGTACAGCACGACTCGGGTAACCTGAAACAGGCCATGGAGTATTATGAACATTCTTTGGAAATCCAGCTGGAGAATCTTGGTCATGATCATATTTATGTGGCGTTTTCATTGGCTAATATGGGTGTAGTGGAAAGAAAAGTGGGAAACCTGCAAAAAGCTAAGGACCATTTTGAATGTGCTTTGGACATTAGGTTGAAAAAGCTTGGACCCGAGCATGTTGATGTTGCGAATACTTACTATAGATTGGGTGATGTACAGCGTGAATTGGGTGACCTGCATAAGTCCAAGGAGTATTTTGAGCGAGCTTTAGACATTCGGTTGAAAAGGCTTGGATCCGAGCATGTTGATGTTGCGAATACGTACTATAGATTGGGTGATGTTCAGCGTAAATTGGGTGACCTGCATAAGTCCAAGGAGTATTTTGAGCGAGCTTTAGACATTCAGTTGAAAAGGCTTGGACCCGAGCATGTTGTTGTTGCGAATACCTACTTTAGATTGGGTGATGTCCAGCGTGAATTGGGTGTCCTGAAAAAATCTAAGGAGTGTTTTGAGCGAGTTCTAGACATTCGGTTGAAAAAGCTTGGTCCCGAGCATGTTGATGTCGCTCTGAGTTACTTCAAGTTGGGAAACGTTGAACGCGAATTGTGCAACCTTGTGCAGGCCAAAGAACATTTAGAATGTGCTCTACACATTCGAATGAAAGAACTTGGTCCAACAGCCTATGCCCTTGTGGCTATTTACAATTTACTAGGTCTGGTTCAGCGTCAGTTAGGAAATTTTAAAAATTCCAAGGAGAATCATGAACGTGCTCTAGACATTCAGCTAAAAGATCTTGGACCCCAGCACGTTGATGTGGCAAACTCCTACCATCATCTAGGTAATATACAGCACGACTCGGGTAACCTGAAACAGGCCATGGAGTATTATGAACGTGCTTTGGAAATCCAGCAGAAGAATCTTGGTCATGATCACATTTATTTGGCGTTTTCGTGGTTTAACATGGGTGTGGTGGAAAGTAAAGTGGGAAACCTGCAAAAAGCTAAGGACCATATTGAATGTGCTTTGAACATTAGGTTGAAAAAGCTTGGACCCGAGCATGTTGATGTTGCGAATACTTACTATAGATTAGGTGATGTACAGCGTAAATTGGGTTTCCGGAAAAAGTCCAGGGAGTGTTTTGAACGAGCTCTAGACATTCGGTTGAAAAAGCTTGGACCCAAGCATGTTGATGTCGCCCATAATTACTTTAAATTGGGAAATGTAGAACGTGAATTGTGTAACTTTCAGAAGGCTAAGGAACATTTGGAGTGTGCTTTAGACATTCAGTTGAAAAAACTTGGTCCTGAGCACCTTGAAGTCGTGCACACTTACCATAACTTAGGCATGGTGCATCGTGAATTGAATAATCTGGGACAGGCCAAGAAATATCACCAACAAGCATTGGCTATACGCCTGAAAAATCTTGAACCCGAACATGTTGATTTGGCGAGTTCTTATCACCATTTAGGTAATGTGCAATTTGTGTTCAATAACATGCAACAGGCCAAAGAGCTCTACGAACGTGCTTTAGACATCCAATTGAAGAATCTCGAACCTGATCATACTTTTGTGGCATTTTCCTACCAAAGTTTGGGTGATGTACACCGTGAATTTGGCGACCTGGAACAGGCCAAGGAGTACTATAAACGTGCCTTAAACATTCGACTGAGAAAACTTGGTCCCCAGCATGTTGATGTGAAACGTAAGCAGAATCAGTTGCGTAACGTACAGCTTGCCTTGGATGACATGCAACACGGCACGGAACGTTAAGAGGAGGCGAGAAAATGAAAAAGTAATTTTCCTGCCAGGGAGTGAACGTTGTAAAAAGTTACTACTCAACCCTTCTCTTTTCACAACAATCACTTAGTGTAGGAATAGCAAGGCTGAAATTGGCAAATCAGGGACTACTCATTATCCATAACCTTAGGGGGGTTGGGGAGAAGGGGAAGCCAGAGGATTTTAGTTGTGTCACAATACAATCTACCTGATTACCCCCTCCCCTTCCTAAAGCTCTGTAGTATTTTAATGACCCCCCATCACTGCCAGTAAATTTTGTATGATCTCTCTTTTATACTCTGTCAGCGATGACTGATCCCCTCCATTCTCACAAGAAACCATGTGATTCCAAAAATCCTCCCAGTCTTCCCCTAGAGGATTAATACATGATTTGCACCTATGTTTAAAACGAATAGGCGCTTGAGGTATAGAATTTGATAATAGAACATTCTGATACAGTTTATCTTGCCACTAAAATATTTTATGAGTAAAAGGAAAATAAAAATGTTTTTAAGTCAACAATGTTACCAGTTACTTTTCGGTTTCATTTATTATTTCAAGTGAGTAAAGGTAGTTATCCCTACAACCAATGAGAATTTGATCGTCAAACTTAATTGGTGAAGAAAATACTTCACCAGGCAATGAATAAAAAGCTAAAATAATTCCTGAGTAAAATTCAGAATATACAGGGTTCCAACATGTGACAAAGCAAACGTTACTAATTGAGCGTCACGGTTGTCACGGGGCCTTGTGTTACACATTGTGTGACGAGACATACTTCCCTCCATCACGGCTACAAAAGGACTTGAATAAACAGGTCCATCAGTCGTAAATCTGCATGAAAGCTGACCATTTAGTGACAAGCAATACACACATTTGTCATGAGAGCCAAACACAATACAGTGTGAGATCCTGGAACCATATCTTATATCTTGGTACAAAGTCGGTGAACAGAACATTGTAGCTTGTGTCTCAAACTTCCATAGCTTATTACCTTGGAAGTCAAAACAATAAACAAACCCATTCACGCATGCGTAAACTATACCGATGGATGTCAACAATGGGGATGCAAACACTGGCTTAGGATACTACTGACTCTAAAGTACTATATGTTCAGTAGCATCAGTGGCAAGAAGGTGGCCACCTAGTGTAGCAATGAATACTAAATGAAGTTTCTTACTTATACATGGAGAACTGAAACAAGATCCTGCACTGCATTGTGTTGCAGAAATGAACTGCCTATTTGTGACATCAAGGGCATACAAATAAGTGATCATGTGACCCAACCCAGGCCACTCCAGTTTGGGGGTCAAAGCAGGGAGAACTTTTCACTGCTGCAAATGGAGTAAGTTTCTAAAGAAACTGTGGTGCTGAGTCGGTGGGAGAGTATAGCAGGTAATTTAGCGGGTGGGTACATAGAGTGGGCCATCATAACAGCCTACAGAAATACAATTAATGGGTTCCATTTGATAAGATAAATAGCAAATCAGGATATTGGAAATACTATCACAATCATTACAGAGGCCATATCAGCTTTCTATGTTCACCAGAAACTGTGAATTATTTATAATATTGTTTGCAAGACATGGTCCTTAATTTGTCTCAGTTCAAGCTGAAAGAAAGGAGGGGAGGGAAGGGTAGGAGAGAGTTTGAGTGAAGAAAACAGTTTTAACAACCAAATCAGCTGAATATCCAACACTGTTGCAAGTTGGAGTGGGCTCAGAAGGCTCCTGTTTGCGCAGTTCGACTTAAGAATGGGCTCAAACTCGGTAGATTACAAAGAACTTTAATCACGAGCGAACATCAGCATTGCCCAGCCGCCATCTTGAGAATGCATTGCGCTCTTAAAGCGTGACACGATGTCACGACATCCGTAGCAGTCGACAATTTCTTGTAAAATACATACCCATGTATTGAGAATCTTGATACCAGTATCAGTAATGGAAAAAAATCCTATTTACAAGAGTAGGAGATAGTTCATTTGCATCTGGATGTACAGATCCTTTTTTTTAATCAAGAATATTGAGTTTCCTTTCAAGGTAGCCACAAAGAGCACTAAAGGGTTTCGTTACAATTATGTCCAATAACTCTGAAAGATCAACTTCTGTCTCCTTCTCGTGAATTCTTCTCTTTGCTTTAGTAGTTGCCGCTAAAACTTCATGTTCTTCTAGTGTTTCTCTATCGCCTCGTGCACTTGCTCTCCGAGGTCTATGGCTTTTATCGCGTCTTGAATTCTTCTTGTCGTGTTATCAGCTCTCTCAAGATTGTCTTCAATTTCTCTACCCCATAGCGCGATTTTTTCTTCGCTCTCGCCTTTGCCGATTTTCGGGGGTGGCTAAGAGTTTTTTGCGTGACGCGTGATGGCCCCAAAATTTTCAGGATGACGCGTGATTGAACCCGAATTATCCGCGTGACGCGAGACCGGACATCACAACGTGATGAGTGATCTTTTATTTTATAAGCGTGTGACGCGTGATTTACAAGACTTACCAAACAGACTTCCGTGATAAGTGAACGTTCTTCGACCTAGAAGGATACCAATCATTCAAAGTAAATAGAGTCCTAATAAAGATCAGACACTGTTTTCTGGTCCTTTCCTGTCCTTTGCTGACCTTTAGTTGACCTTTGATGTCTTTGATCTTCGTGGTCCAAACAATCGTAACACCATGGGCATTAGTTAATGTAGTTAACATTTGCTCAAGGACTATGACCTTCAGTGTTATTTTTGTCGACCGCCTGGTTGTGAAAAGCAGTGAAAAGTTCTCCCTTGCATTGACCCGCAGACTAGGCTAGACTAGGTCGGGTCACATGATCACTATTTGTGTGCCCTTGATGTCACAAATAGGTAGTGCATTTCTGCAACACACTGCGATGCAGGATCTTGTTTCAGTTCTCCGTATACAAGTAAGAAACCTCATTTAGTATTCCTTGTTACATTTTGTGGCCACCTTCTTGCCCCTGATGCTACTAAACACACAGTACTTTGGAGTCAGCAGTGTCCTAAGAGAGTTTTCGCGTCACTGTTATTGACACCCATCGGTATAGTTTGTTCATGCGTGAATGGGTTTGTTTATTGTTTTGACCTCCAAGGTAATAAGCAATGGGAGTTTGAGACACAAGCTTCAGTGTCCTGTTCACCGACTTTGTATCAAAATATACGATATGGTTCCAGGATCTATCACTGTGTTATGTTTGGCTCTCATGACAAATGTGTTTATCGCTTGTCACTATCCTGAGAGTGAAAGGGTTAAATGAAACTGAAAAGTAACAAGCAGCATTGTTGACATAAAAGTTTCTCAATTAAATCCAAGACTGAATTTTTTTTCTGAAGGCTTTAAATTTAGGGTATGTTAAATTACAAAGTTGATTTAGGATCTGAATCACCAATGTTGCCATTTTATGTCTGGTATCAGTCTTAATCGTTTTTGTTTACCAGTTCAAAAGTCAAAAGGCAAACTTGTCAGATATTTCCTTGGCAAGATAACTTATATCGAAAAAAAATTATGTTATTTCAGCAGTACTGAGATTTCAACTGTGAAGTACTATACTTCGTGTCTCTTATTGGACGAAAAATGTATTTTCATAGTCGTTCGCTTCCAATCTTTGAAATGTGTCGGTAAGTAAGATAAATTCTCGGTAAGTATGAAATAAAACCTTAAACAATGGAAAAAGCGGGAACAATTTTCCTTCACGAGTTGCGGTGCAGCAAAGAATTCACTCTTTCGTGCGCAAGGACTAGTCATCACTTATTACTGAGAGGGAAGGGGGTTGGGAGGATTTTTGGGGATCGCACGGTTTTTCTGAGGGCTGGAGGGAGATCATTCTTCGCTAACAGAGTAGAAAAGGGATACTATAGAAAATTGACTTAGGGGGGAGGGAGGTAGTCAGATAAATTTTATTGTGACACAAAGAAATTCCTCTAACTTCCCTTTCCCGCGATCAATAATAGTTAAACCCTGATTTGCTAATTTCAGCCTTGGTATTCCTAAAATAGAAGATTTTAGTGAAACGAGAAGAGTTGGGAAATATCTCACTGGCAGGTGAATTACTTTTTCACTTCCTCGTTTGACTGAACTTGATCAATAAAAAAGTTTCAGTGGAAGAAAGAATTCCGCCTCAAGCTGAACGGATTCTCCTTTGTTAAAAGTCTGCATTGATTGTTTTGTTCTTCGCCTAACCACCCCCTCCCAGAAAATAATTATTTCTAGTGGTCAGTTTTTCTGTATCATTCAGCATATAGTTTGGTCACAATTGCCTCTCATATTGATGGTAATTATCATGTTTATTCCATGGAAGATTATTACAGATTAATTTGAGGCGTTTAAGTTTTACGCGGGTTATTTCCATTGCGATTTTAAAAAATTCATTTACAAAACTAAAAGTACGCGAAAAATGTCCACGTTAGTTTTCCAATGTCAAGGTTAGAGTTCTTTGACGTGATTGGCTAATTTGTGAAATCACGCGCGCCGCGCGTGAATACAAAAAGAATACAAAGGGGGGAGAGGAAGAGAAAAATTGTTACTTGAAATTTAAAAACGAAAGAGACTTTGAACAGCAATTGTTCGCCAAGACTATTTGTCTCATCACTTGCCAAGTCCTCGAAAATTATTTACAGAGACAAGATTGGAAATACTATTTTACAAAGTTGTATCGATCTACAATGTATCACTCGAGATATATTGACGACTTATCTGTGCCACCAAGACTTTTCGAACACGGACAACCATTTAGCTTCTAACATTGAACCCATCGAGGTTACGGCTTAAAAAATTATCTTGGAATTTTTTTCTCAATTTCTTCCAAACTCTACGAAAGGACGAACAGGATATCGTTAAGAAATTACACAACATTTTCTTTGTTCATGATTCCTCTCAAAATAAGGTTCTTGATGTTCTCTGTCGTTTTGTGGGTCATCCGAAGACGGTTGTACGTTATCCAACTCAAGGCGAGAACGCTTTACAGTAGCATGCTCGGGACCAAGCTTTTTCAACCGAATGCCTAGAGCACGTTTGTGATCCTCTTTGGCTCGTTCCAAGTCGTTCCAACGTTCACTCCTTGGCAGATGAAATACTTTTTCACTTTCTCGTTTGACTGAACTTGATCAATAGAGAGGTTACACTAAAAGAAATAAATCCGCCTCCTCTTTACGTTAAGTGCCGTGTTGCAGGTCATCCAGGGCAAGCTGTATGTTACGCAACTGATTCTGAATACGTCTTACATAATCATGCTAAGGACCAAATTTTTTTCAGTCGAATGTTCAAGGCACGTGTATGGTACTCCTTGGCCAGTTCCAGGTCGCCACGTTCACGGTGTACATCACCCAAACTTTGGTAGGAAAATGCCACAGAATTATGATCAGGTTCAAGATTCTTCAATTGGATGTCTAAAGCACGTTCGTAAAGCTCTTTGGCTTGTTGCATGTCATTCAACTCAAATTGCACATTACCCAAATGGTGGTATGAATTCGCTATATCAACATGCTCGGGTTCAAGATCTTTCAGGCGTACAGCCAAAGCTTTTTCGTGATATTCCTTGGCCTGTTGCATATCGCCTAACTGATGCTGCACTTCACCCAAGCTATGGTAAGTAGGTACGACATCGGCATGCTCTGGCCCAAGCTTTTTCAGCTTAATGTTTAAAGCATGTTCAAAGCTTTCCTTTGCCTTCTCCAGTTCACCCAATTCACGCTGTATACCACCCAATTTGGAGTAAGTGAGCGCAACATCATCATGTTCGCTTCCAAGCTCGGTCAACTGAATTTCTAGGGCATGTTCACAGTTCTCCTTGGCCTGTTGCAGATTACCCAAGATACGCTGCACATTTGCCAAGCCAAAGTAAGTTCGCGAGGCATTAACACGATCGGGTCCAAGCTTTTCTGACCAAATATTTAGAGCACTTTTGTAAGACTTTTCGGACTTCTGCAGGTCACCCAATTTACGCTGTATATTACCCAACTCATGGTAAATACGCGCGACATTAACATCCTCCTGTTCAGGCGTTTTCAACCTAATGTCCAGGGCACGTTCAAAATAATGCTGTGCATGTTGTAGGTTTCCTAGTTCGCTCTCCACGACACCCATGGTAGTGAAGGAAAATGCCAAATGAATATGATCATGACCAAGATTCTCCTTCTGGATTTCTAAAGCACGTTCGTGATACTTCATGGCCTGCTCCAGGTTACCCCGGTCGTACTGTACATTACCTAGATGGTGGTATGTATATGCCACATCAACTTGCGCGCGCCCATAATATTTCAACTGAATGTCTAGAGCGCGTTCATGTTTTTCCCTAGAATTTTGCAAGTCACCCAACTCACGCAGAATTATGCCCAGTAAGTTGTAAATATCCACAAGGAAAGGAGGTGTGGGTCCGAACTCACAATGCTCTTCCTCCTTATCTTCTTCAGCCAGTTTCAAAGCTGTTTCACAGTAGACTTTTGCGCCTGAAATGTCACTGTGATTCCTGCAAATTACTGCTAGCCTTGTAAAACATTCTGATGCATTGGAATGTTTAAAAACATCTCCTTTGATATCTTGACATTTATCTTTGCAAAGAAAGACCTTTTTAACTTCTGCAGCAAATACAGTCAGGTGTGGAATGAGATGCTCAGTGTCAGGAGTAGAGTTTCGGTCGTGCCATTTGTTTGAAAGGTAAGTGTCTATGAATTGGTTGAATGACGTTGCAGCTAATGCAACATTTTGGGGGTGTTCATCAGGCTCCTGGCTCTTGTTGAGAACAGATTTGCTTACCTCATGCACAACTCTATGCATCCTAACAAAATTTTCATTTTCTCTTTTTTCCAACATAAAAAGTGAGGAGCCTTTGATCTTAAGATCAATTTCTACTTTATCCAAAAGCAGATTCTTTTCGTTCAAAATGTAATTCTTGAGGATGTCTAGATGCAAAGGATGTGGAGAACATAGAGAAAGGAACGTAAATACGCTTTTTAAAACACTGTCATCTTTTAACGCTCTTTCAATGGCCTGCCTTGTTGCCTCAGTCATCGATTTCGTGTAGTGAGGGTTGGTTTCCATCAATTTCGTTTCAGTACAGGTTCGCATACCTCTTTCTAGCTTTTCTAAGTACTCATTCCATCCAAAGGTTCTTTGACTTTCACAAATCTCTCTGACGTACACGCCTGCACCAGCCAGTGCGAGAGGTTGGTAATCTAATGCCTCTGCAACTTTATCTTCTACTCCTTGGTGTCTAATCCCCGAAACCTTCTCTAAAAAAGAACAGGCATCTATGGGCGTCATGCCTTTGCTCACTGAGATGTGAGAGACTAAGGAGCTTTTGGGGGGGATGGAAGAAGTGTTCTGTGTTGTGATAAGCAACTGGCCTTTCATCCACGGTTGGTTTCTGGACAGAGGGAGAAAATCGTTTACTTTAGACAAACTTGTAGCATTGTCGACCACCATGAGCCAAGAACCATAAAGAGGAATTTTGGCTGCTATCAAATCCTTTAGATTGTTGATTTGTTCTTCAACCTGCATCTTTGTTGAATTAAGGGTTTGCATGATGGTGTGTTCAGGGCACTTGATTTGTCTTCCTAAAGAAGCGTACGATTCTAGGAGCGTTAATGAACTTTCAGCATTAAGAGTCATTACGAATGTGGGGGATTTGAGGCCTTTGTTAGCTGCTTCGTAGAATTTCTGAGCTACTAGACCGGCTAGTTGAGATTTACCACTTCCAGGGTTACCTGAAATATATAGGTAACTCAAATCACTCTCATTTGCTTCCCTTAGTTGTTCAAGCTCTCTTGCTATAGAATTAACGTCGCTCTCGCGAGATGCGATTTCGTGCAGGGGTTTAGGCGGAAGAATGCAGAATGAAGGAACATTTTTATGCACTTGCTCCTCCAGGATATGGTGTTGTTCTTCGAGGACTTGAAGGTGTTCTTCAAGGAATTGATGTCTTTCTTCAAGTAGCTGCCGTTCTTCTTCTGAGGTTTGTAGTTTCACGTTGGTGACATGTAGTTCTTGGTAAAGGCTCTGGACGTTTTTCAAAACATTTCGAAGTTCCTCCGTCTGAAAACTTTTCTGCTTGCGGATATTTTCAATTTCAGTGGTGGATAAACCTAGTAACAGAAATGCGATCTCGACTTTACGAACAGCGAGGTTGAATTGTAAACCTGACAGCTGACCATGTGACACGTGAGCGAACTCTTCATTGCGAACTTCTCTGAGATCATCGACATTCGAGCGAACTGCTAGATCGAGTCCTTGGCCAATAGAATCGGAGTGAAGGATTGCGAAGAAGAGTGTAGTGCAATCCCACTGTTCCCTCTTTCCGTTTTTTATCCTTTCCAGCGGACGAGCATTTCGCGTTCGGCTCCGGGGAGACTCCTTGTTGTAGAAGTCCAGTCCATTTTGAGGTGTATCTTTCCATTCTCCCAACGTTGCCTGGTAACGACTGTCCCATTCCTGTTTAAAAATGGATCGCAGCCCTTGCGGTATAATATCAGTGACTACATGACAAATTCTGAAGTAGTTGAGCTTCTTTTGAGTGTAGACTGGACAGGCCATCGTTTCTCTGTCGAAACACTGTCTTCAATTTTTTTAAACCTGTTTGGAAACGATGTGAAAGTTTTTTCAATCCTATCAGGTGTGTGAAAATGGAATTTCGTACCGTTTAAAGTTTATTGTACATGTTTAACTTAACAATGTGATCTCGGTGTTTTTAGCTTGAATCACTCTTCAAATACAAATCAATAATATTGTTCGGCTTAAAACGGCGAAGAGACATATGGAGACACATGTGCGAATTTTCACTTCGTGTAGTGAAGTTACAATATTCTGTGAACCGAATCGAAGAGATACACCGAAATTTTATTTACGTGATGTAGGAACTTGAATGAAATAAAAAGTGCGGTGCACAATATTCCCTTAAGATTACTAAGAGCATAGTAATGTTATTAAGAATTAAAAAAATAGCCATTGCACGATGAAAAATCTGAATCTTCTGCCTGCTAGGAATTGGACCTTAGCCAGCTTTGGTCTCACGGTCAAATGCTCTTTAATATTGGCCACACAGAATATGAGCTAAGTCTATATGCAACTTTATATAATAAGCTCAGTTAGGCACGCATTCTCATTGGTTCTCACTTATGATCTATTGGAGGACAGACGTATAGATGATGTCATCATTAAAACTTTTTTTAATTCTTTATTTTATAAAACAAATAGATTCCAAATTGCCGTGCGTCTGTTCAGTGATAGATCACAGAGGACGTCAAAATGTGGTAAGAACAGCAGTGACACACTCAGCTGCGCCTCGTGTGCCACTTTTCTGTTCGTACTACATTTTGATGTCATCTGTGGTCTGTTACTAAACAGACGCACGGCAACTTGGAATCTATTTGCTAAATAGAGCATGTTGACGACTCTGTTGTTCGCTTTGGAATTAAAATTTATTTTGAAAATTGAAAGTAATGCATGGGGAATTTAACGGATTCTTTATCATTAAACAAATCGAGATGCCTTGTCTGTGCTCTTTTCTGTTGTAAAGCACGCAGGATGCGGTTCGATCACTCAAGAAGTCTCCCTACACTTCTTTCGTGCTCGAACCGCTTCCTACGTGCTTTACAACAGAAATGAGCACAGACAAGGCTTCTCTATTTGTTAAGTGGTTTATATGTCCTGTAGCAAAACATTATAGCCTATGTAATCGATGGTTAAGTTGATGGTGACGTTCATGATCATCAAAGATGATTCAGATGCACTTGCGCGAATGAACGTCACCGTATATTCCTCATTCAAATATGGTATTCCAGTAATCAAGGTAATCAAACCTCCAATCTGATGATCATCTTGAACGCATCATGCATTAAGCTGCAGCGAATGATTAAACTCTTATATTGGCCATACCTTCTTATTTCAAGTCAATAAAACAATTTTGAAGTTGTCTCTATTCGTTTATTTTGCATATTAAGAATACTCAGCTTGTTTACTTTGATGACTAATGTCTTATATAACCCTTGGCAGGACTTTACAGGTCAGTATATGATTTTTCGACAAATTTAAAGAGAGGGAAAGCCATTCAGCCTACTTTCACGGCAGGGATGTTATGTGCACTTTATAAAGATGACCGTCGGAAAAGGTACCAGAATCAAGTGTTTTTGATATAAACAACTAAAAAAGTTTCGATTGTCAACTTTTGTCAACGGAAACGCAATCCATTGCTGCAATAGAAAATTGAGTCATCTGAAGGGAAGCGAAACTAGCGAGGCGAACAACTCACGCGTAACGAGAGCGAGGTGCTTAGGTTGCAAATTTGAAAGGGTCAAAATAAAATAGGGAACTGGAAACACACAAGTCAAGTACGGCTGAATATAACTTTTTTAACAAGACTTTCTCTGTTCACTTTGGAGAATGCTGATTGGAAAATGTGTTATTACGATATTCGTTGAATTATATAGAGAAGTCGTGATTACAAACGCTTGTATTGCGTAATAACAAATAGATGATGAATTAATCCACCTATTATTCTCAAAGAGTAGATCAACTGATGAAATTAACAGGATAGGTTCTTTCTTCTTTTTCCCTTTTCTTTCAATTCTGTGTTTCCTTCTATCTGGAAGTGTTTATCGTAAATCTGACGGGTGATACCAAACTCGTGGATGTGGAACATGGAACGGGAAATATATTGTGGTCTTCCGTAAAGCGCGTTAATTATAAATCGAAATTTTTTTGTTGTGAATGAGGTAGTTTGAAGTTGCACTCATGAATTGGAGCTTGGGAAACCCAATTATCTATTCTCATTTCTCTCTTCTATTCCTTTTTCGTTTCTTAATTCAACCCAGGCATTCCCGTTTTAACTCTGTTTCCGACTGCCCGTTAAAATTTCCTATTATATATTCCACGATTATCTATTCCACGTTTCCTTCGACCTTTTATATTTTCTGTTTATTTGATCTTAAAATGTATGTAAATTTGACAGCAGTTTACTATCCGATCGACGAAACGTATTCTTTCGGCTCTAACTTGATAATGCAATATAACATTATAAAAAGCTTATTCATTGTAATTCCTTGATCAATGTCTACTATACGTACGTAAGTTTTTTTTAGATATTTAAGTTTGGAAACTTGTCGTGATAAGAACAGTTGCATTTAATCTTCGCCATCGAAGCGACCGACAGATGAATCAGCATATATTTCGGGAAAAACATGTTTTTTTTTCTAAAATAGTTTAAATAGTTGTTCTGCTTTGATAACTGCATTAGTATTCATAAAATGTTAACTGTTACTGATCGCAAATTTTGTAAGAAATGTGATGGGAAACAAACCCAATTGAATATCGAGTAATACGAACGATGACGTGACGACTACAATACCAGTCCTTCAGAAAAAAATATAGTTCGTTCCTACGATGGGAATTCAGACATGACCAGATATGAATAATCTGTGCTACTTGGATGAAAGATTAAAATTTCCGAAGTAAATGAGCCGACAAATAACGAACGCTGTGTTATGATTACTTTATCAAATTAAACCAAACATTCTATTTTATAAGTGTCTTCAAAGTTCACTAAAAATTTGGCAAATTTTCTATTGTAAGGTGATGAATTAAGGATCACCACTTTCCCTTGCCTCTCCCTCAAAAACCAAGATTACGCCGCCGAAAGCAAAAATCTCGGTTGAGTTTCTCAAAATATCACGTATGCAAATATTTGTAAGGCTCACCACTCCAGGCTAGTGTGATTTCGCATCTAACTTTTTGATAAAGGAAAACAGTTATCGGGTATTCCAAATGGTCTATTTTAAGGTCATTTGTATACATCACATACATACTTTCTTCAAGGGAATTTTCAATTTTAAAGTACTCTTAACTCGCCACTGTTATGACAGCTTCGATTCCACTTGGAAAATTAAAGCTAATTGCATTCTCATACCTAAGTTAATGTGTTTCAAATATTCAGTTTCTGCTTAAAAAGACTCATAGTAACGAAACAACACATGATGAATCGCCATTCAAGAGAAAGTTGTAGTTCTGACTTCGTTTTGAATTGTTCGGCTTTAGTAACTCGAATAGTTTATTTGGATGAACATACAGCTTGATTAAGAGAGTGGAATCATCGATTTCATCGGAAATTTTAGGACAAATTCAATGACGAACGAGCCAAAGTAAGATTCGATTGTAACAGAGATAAAATGACGATTGAAAAGTCAGTCCTGATTAAGTAAATGTACATTTCCCTCGAAGGATTTCAGTCAGAAATAATTTGCGCCACTCCTTAAGATAAGAGATTACCTGTTTATAATTAAGTAAACGAGTCATCAACTAGCAAATTCCCGTCAACTGATTAAGTAAATAAACTTTACGCGAATACTGTGTTTTGTTTGTGACATCAAAATTCAAAAGGTTTTTTTTTGTGGCAACGTATCATTACTTTTTAAAGTACATTGTAAATAGAATTACCTCTTCCGGTTTCGGAAGAATGTTGACTGAAAACATCAGTTTATCATTAGCTCTTGAATAAAGAACTTTTATCCACCATTTTTAAGAGTCTATACTTACCATTTCAAATTTTACATGTTAGCCATGTTATCATCCTCATCCAAAAGAAAAGGAATTTGAGACAAACCACATCAAAGTGGACCCCAACAAAACTCGTTTGCTGTATCCCATCAATCTCTGGGGCTTTGCAACAATTTGACACAGGCAAGCAATACGTGCAAAACGGACTTTGGCTTTTAGTTTGACCTGCGAAATGAAAACCTTTTTGAGCAATTTTTCAACTTTGCGAGACAAAAAAATTGTAGTATATCAAGAAATAAACAAAAATAAAAAGATGCTGCGCTATTTGAATCAAACCCTTGTTTTTGCACCACACAAGAATACAGCACGATGTACTGTGTTTCCCATAAATTTTGAAAGGCTTTCATTTTGCAGAATAATGATTAATTATTATATTTTGCAGACACTAACATCTCAGTTTACTTAAATCTTAGTAGAGAACTAATTTTTGCTCCTTTTCAGGGTTGGAACATTCCTCGGGAAGGAAATAATAATTTCAAAATTTACTATTTATTGAGTTCTATGGCTTTGTTCAGGCACATTTCCCTGCATTCCATCATTTCTTACTGGCAATAAAATACCATAAACGGCTTATTGCCTAAGGCTTTGCATTAAACTTGCATAAATACTCTTGAGAAATGAAAGTAAAACATCCTCTTCCTCATCACTTCAAGGACGTAATTCAATATATTGCAATTGGAAAAGGCGAAATATTTTCACCTCTCTGAACAACCAGTGAAAAGCCATTCTTTAAGGCAAGTTAGCATCATTTAGGGGTAATGAGTCAACCTGATAGGAGGTTCATCAATCGAAAACTGCTCAAAAAGCAGCCCAGTTCCTATCAATTGGGGGTTCATTTTTAATCTGTATTTCACATTACCCATAATGGGTAAGTGTACCTTGTTGATTTCCTTGAGAGCAACAAAGGACTGCAATAGGTTTGGGCCAGACTGTAAATATGAAAGGGAGATTGCACCCCCTTTTGGGTTTTCTGATGGTAATTATTTTCTTCTTCTTTTCCAGTTTAAGATTTTCATTCTTGAAACAAAAGGTATTTATCTTTTAAAATCAAAAATGTTTGAAAGTGAGTTAGGAAAAGGACAAAGGAGAAAAAAAACAAGAATTCACTGTGAAACATATGATGAGTTGGAGCACTTATGTCTAGAAAGGACTCGAGCCATTCCATTGAAATAGTGTTATATTATCAGCTCACTTGTATTTTTTTTCAACAAATAACTACAAATTTGTCAATTTATGGGCTTTACAATGATCAACTTCAAAACTTTTTTTCCTAACCAGCTTTCACCTTGCTTGAAAGGGTAAGAAACTCTCAAAGAATATAACAGGGTAATTTAGTATCACTAACTGAGTTGATAACGTAAATTAGCCACCGTAAAGAGTTTGAAAGCTGACGTTTCAAGTGTTAGCCACTCATCATAGCCATTGATGAAGGGCTAACACTCAAAATGTCAGCCTCTAAACTCTTTACAGTGGCCAATTTACATTATCATCTCAATTGATAATACTAAATTACCCTGTTAAACTCTCCCACAGACACAGCACCACAGTTTTTTAAGAAAGTTACCCCTTTTTATTCACAAAAAATATGTCAAACAAAGCAAGGTGAATTTTTGTGGTGTTTATAATTTAGATTCCAAGTTCAAATTATTCCTTTACATGATAACACATGCATGTCAATTTAATTAAAGCAGTCCAAATTTTTTTACCATTCCCTAATTGTGTGTAAATTATGATATAAATAGAAAACTGCTCCCTAAGTAATGCCTTGTCATTGATTTTATGGTCACATGACAAATTCTGGTCTTTAAGAGAAAAGAAATTAACCTTTAACTGCTCTGAGCAAGACTTTTCTTTTTCTTTTCTTAAATAATAATAATCTCTCATTAGCTCTTAAAATGGATAAACATGTGGTCCATATTTCTTTTCTTGCACATATTTAGATCTGAAATCCAAGATACCATAAAAATTTTTAACAAGAGTTCACAACAGATCACATGAATCAGTTTATGTGCCACACAGGTAAATATTGAAGATCACCATCCAGATTCCCACACAGGTTTAGACATGGCTTTCCTCTGTGCAGATCGACTTGAGCCACTGGAAATCCTTGAACTTGCTACACTTGCAGAATCACCAATCATGAAACTGGACTCACTGGAAGAACGTGATAAGTGGGAGACACTTCCTGTGCTGCTTTTTGCACTGCTTGGTCGGCTTCTTGAGGCTGTTTTTGAATATTGTTTCTGTTTAATATGTTCTTTGAGTAATGAGTCCCGTGATAATGTTCTTGTTGGTTTGACTGTTTGAAGCCTTTCAAGTAATTTCTGAAAAAAATATTCATAAAATTCTCATAATTAGTTTACCAGCAAATGTGTAGCTTCTAAAAGGGAGAATTTACAGTCAGATCTTGACATTTAAAGGGTAAAAAAGAAGCAGTTTCAGTTGCAAAGATTACTAATATTTTCAAATCAACATTGATAGGTTATGAGTTAAACAAAGTCAAGTGTGGATGAATTTTACTGGCTTTGTGACAAGTAAAAATGTTATGGATAGCACACTTCTGAGGAAAATGTTGAAATTCATAATTGATATAAGACCAAAGGAGATAAAAAAAAAAAAAAAAAAAGAAGAGAAATTCACATCCTCTGATGCTACATATTCCTGTGAGGTCTTCATATTAAGGATTAACTCCCAATCAGAGGAGCACCAACCTCCCAAAATATGAAACATTTTAAGATATTTGAATTGGAAGCACCTTCCCCTCCCTAAAAAATTGTCAGAGGACAGCTATGTTCCAGTCTCTCCTCTCAAGTGGAAAGTCATGTAAACCTTGTACATGTGTGCTTATTTCAACAGAGTTTGTATATTTAGGTGGGTTAGGTGGGGGCACACAATAAGAATTAATTTTCATTCATGATTTATTAAGCAAGAAGGGTACTTATTTTTTATGTTTAGGCCAATTAGAGAGGTGGTCATTCAAGGGGGGGGGGCAATCAATTCAAAGGATTATCATAATGACAATCCACAATCTAAAGAAAAATGTCAATATATTAAACTATCATTCAATTATCATGCAGAGGCCAAGAATTATCTGGAATTTCCCCTTTTACAGAGTCTTCTCCTGGATATATTATAAACTGTATGTTGGCTGACTGAGATATTTATTCAGTATTTGGGAGAATCTTGATTATTACAGAAAATTGGGCATATATGCCCTCATAATGGAACATAAGCCAGTAAAGAGCAATATTTCGTTGATGTCCATTGAAATGAAAAGCAAGCAAATCAACCAAGGCAACCCATCTTTTGTTTTTTTATGTTTACGCTTTCAGTGAATCATTTGATGTTGCTTGTTATGCATTAAAAAATTCTGACCTCTCAAAATTATGGTTATCATAAAAACAGAGAAAGGTAGGGAAATAGCGCGCCTATTTAACATTCTACAGGTTTTAATTTAGTCAAGTAGAGTGAAATACCTCGGCGTATCTTCCTGTACATTGCGAGCGGTAAAAAATGCGTCAGCATTGCATAATTAATTAATCACGCAAAGCATAGTTTTCAAATATTAACGTTGTCAAATATTATAAGATAACTATTTGCCTAAAAGTAAGAGGAGTGTTATCGAGTAACAACGAAGCACAAACAATAAACTTACTGTGTAGATTTTTAGTCTAGTCAGAATTTCGTTTTGCTTTTTTTCTTACTTGAAGGATTTTTTCAAGACTCATAATATCAAAGAGCCCCTACAACACTTCTCGTTATACTAACCTGATTTTCCATATCTACTTTTCGTTGAAACCTGTATCTGTTGACCTCAGACGAAGTTTGTACCCGTAAGGGTTCTGAAACAAGTTTCCTTGGTTGGGTAGACTTCGGTCTTCCTCTGTTTCTTGTTATTTCTTTTAAAAGTCTCTTATTTTCTCGATCAATAGCATCTACTGTGGCATCGCTGAAAGACATGTTTTTACGATCTAGAGGCCGAGGGCGGCGAGACTCGTTGAGATGTACAGCACTTCTTGGTCTCGATCTAGACGCCGAAGACACCGAGGAATGTCTTGAAGCAGTATCGTCGAAGTCTCTGTCCTTTTGAGTAATTTGCCGATCAGTCGGACTTCCACAGGTTTCCTCTGTTTTTGATCTCTCTGGTTTTTCATTCAGTTTCTCGTTAATATCGAGAACGGCTTGAAGAAGGAGATTCAAATCTATCTGATCAGAATTAGGAAGCAAAAAATGCTCCTTTCTGAGACGGTCGTTGGTTTTATCACGACCTTCGCTCCCCGTAGAACTCCTGCGATGAGGTTCCGTGGACGCCATGTTTCTTTCCGAACCGTCTTCTTCGGAAACGATAGGTCCGGTTACCATAGTAACTGCTAACAACGAGCAGAATTGTCTTAGAGCCCAGACTTCTTCCGCGGGGTAAAATCTGAGTAAGCGGTCAAATCTATTCTTACAGCGGTTTCTGACTGAACAGCCTTCTTGTGGAAGAATTTTGTCGTGGCATGGAGGCAAAGTTGAAAGAAAATGGATGGTGGGTACTCATTTTAAATTGTTGAATATCCATTCTCCTGCTACATCTGTTTTCGTTCACAAACATGCAGCCTTACACTTAGCTTTTTGCCTTGCGCGCTTGGTTTTTTTATGCTCATTTAGGCGAGAAAATAGAGAAGTTGCGGTTTTCTCGTGTGCGCTTCACGCTCAACACATAACTAGATCTGCTGCGCAGATCGCCTTGAAAGCTGTTGTTGTTTCTTTCGATGAAACGATTATTTCGCCTTCCAGGTTTCTTTCCTCCGAAGGGATTGCAGAGTGTGAAAGGGTTTGCAACAAAGAGAAGCCATCTTACCAGGAGCTCTCAAAGGCAGCCCTTAATGTGAGTATTGGAAGCCCAAAACACGTCGAAGGAAACAAAGATGTTGGTAGAGATCTTGTCTTTGCTTTGTTACACGATTGCTCTCTAAACTGATCACCTCCTTGCTGTATTAATGTAGTCTTTTAATGGTGCTAGACGGAGTTTACTTGTCACAGAAGATTTTAGCCACTGCTCATTAAATATGAACATTTTAAAGTTTAATGCACTCATGAATCGGCTTGTGACGGGACATCCAGCTAAATATTTTGGTTTGTTTCAATTGATTTTTTGATGAAGCGTATCTCATCTTTTGCCTAGGTTGTTTTTTCACCACGCGAAACCGTGAAAATCGTGCCTGGTATCCTTGATTTTGCATTTTTCTCGAAATCGCCAATCGATCCCCATGGAAAAAAAGTGCAATGAATGAATGTTAGAATTTCTCACTTGAAATGGACGTGTGTGTAATGATTCTAAACCATCTGTGGTCGTGAATAATTTGTAAAAACTTAAACCACTGATGTATGTATTATCCTCAAATCTAGTACATCATGTATTCCACTGAATTGTTTCCATATTTGCTTGGAATATCAAGGATTATCTGTTATGTACATATGAACACATCCAATCTCATTGTACATCTCCACCTGTACATTGGATGTTATTACCTTGTGTAAAGCACAGCTGCAAAGGTATCTTGTTTGCCTATAGAGTGTCCATATTTGTGAGAGTAACCATGAAATTATTTAAGCTTGTGCTGAAAGCTGTAGGTAGTCCAGTAGATTAACTTGCCTCCAGGAATGAAAAATTTTTCTCTCCTAACTCCATGCCTGCAAAAATCTCTGACTTCACTATTTTGCCTTTCACGTTTTTTTAGTCTTATCAATGTGATCACTATTATCTAAGTTGTAAGAAATATTTTGCACACTGTACAGATAATTGATCTTAAGATTCAAGAGTGAAAAGATTCTGTGAATAAAACAATGAATCTGTCATTCTTTTCATTAATCAATCAGTTTTATCTTTCCATTGTAGCTGGACTTGAAACAATATGGCATGAAACATCTTCCTGATGACATCAACCGTGGAAAGGTGGAATCAGTAAGTTTATTTTACTGTAAATTTAATTAAAAAATAAATTTAATTGCTACTGGCAAGGATCCTGAAATCTTGGGAGCTTTAGGTCAACCCTCTGTTTGGCTTGGTCACATAACTGTTGGTTTTTGGGAGACCAAAGGCTGGGCAGGGTCAATAACATTTGGGTTCTTTTTGTGTCTCAGATTAAATTCTCCCTATCAAGTAGGGAGAAATACAGCAGGCATGGGTTTATGACTTTGACTTGTATAAGTGATCAGCATATAAATTTTCCCCTCAACTTTGATAAACTTCCAGGAAGACATTGATGAGAATTAACCCTCTGCTAATATATAAGGGAATGTGTATCAGACAGAAGGGAGAACTAGCAAATCAGATCAGATCAAATCTTAGAAGTTAAAGGGTTAAAGCTACACCAAATTCACAGGATTTCTGAGCAGTTGGTGTGAAGTTTTGGCACCTACATATCTACATCAGTAAGATTGAGTAAAATTTTGTTTGAATTTTCAACAGGTCAATGGGCCTATGGTCCTTCAAGTGCAAAAGCTACGAAATGTTTCTGCTCCAAAAGCTAACGAAGACTCAAACCATTCACCAAGATTATTGAAGGTTCAGCTGACAGATGGCCATTTGACTTGTAATGGATTAGAAATGGCATCCATTCCTAACCTCAGGTACACAAAGAGAGTTGTTGCTTATTAAATGATAATTTAAGCTTGCACATGTAATTTTATTAACCCTCAAACTCCCAAGATGTGATTGTTAAATCTCTCCTCTAGCTGCTATTTGTTTCCTTGAAAATAAGTTATGAGAATTTGGTTTTAAATCAAGATAACACCATAAACCTGATAAGTTTGAATATTCTTATCACCTGTTTGCTGGATAATGTTTAGATATAATAGGGAGAAGTTACTTGTTAATCACTCCTGGGAGTTAAAGGGTTAACATGTAATTTACTCTTACATGATGCAGTAAAACTGTGATGGGAATAGATAAGTTTATCAGCTACGGGATGTTACCTTGATTTACTATAAAATTCTCCCAGCTCATGTAGAAGGAAATGCACAGCTTCATGAAGGGAGAATTGAGGATTCAAACAGATTATGGAAGGTTTAGTGTTAAGGCTCTTGACCACTACCAGCCCTGGAACTATTCACATATTTCATACTGTAAACAATGAAATTTTTCTCACTGGTAACAGCTTTGTCAGAAAGTTTATTTATGTTTGAAAGTTTGACTTGCATCACAAAAATGATCTAGAATCTATTATCCCAGTCCCATTGTGACAGAGTGGCAGGTCCCTGTTAACCCTTAACTCCCAGAGGTGATTAACATGTAGTTTCTCCCTATAATATCCATACATTATTCACAAAAGAGTGATAAGAATAGGCAATATTATCAGGTAGAAGTCATTATCTTGATCTTACACCAAATTTCTCTAACTGATTTAGAAGGAAATGTGTAGCAGCTAGAGGAGAGAATTAACAATTAGATCTTGGGAGGTTAAGGGTTAATTAAGCAGCTATGATTTAAGATCATCCTTTTGAGTGCATGGCTGCAAACAGTTTAGTCTTGTCAAATCATGTGAGGAAAATAATTTCCTACAGCTCTTTTACCATGGCTGTTTAAGAAATTTTCTTTTCCAATGCAAAATCTTGCCTACATGAAGCAAGGAGATAATATTTTTTTTTACTTTTTGTATGCTGCTGTAGGTATGGAACATGTAATTTTATTATTTGCTAGATTGTAATCATTAGTTGGTAAAGAGCCACCTAGTTGAAACTTTTTCAATTAACCATTATCATCAAATTGAATATAATAATAATTATTATTATAATAATATTATTATTATTATACATTGATTTTCACTTGATTTGAAAATGAGATTGCGTGATGTGATCATATATTTGTCTTTTGTTCAAACAGCTTATCAATTCCTCCTGGAACCAAGGTTTACTTAACAGGCTCCATTACTGTTCAGGAGAGCTTTCTGATGCTGGATGCTAACAACACAAGGGTCTTAGGGGGAGAGGTGGAGAAACTGAAGGAAAAGTGGGAGCTAAATAAGGTTAGAACTTTCCATATGTTATTATTCAGAGGTGTCCTTTTTTGGAGTTGTTTTAAGCTTGTTTTTAATTTGAGGTTGTATGCCATTGATTGCAAGTCTACTATGAGTCGACCCTTTAACTCCCAAGATTCCATTAGTAATTCTCCTTACTGTCTACCATACAGTTCTTGTGATGTTAGTTTGGAGAATTTGGGATTGGATCGACTAATAATCCCCTAATTGATATTTTTCTTTTTTTTCATCACTTGTTTGCTTGATATTGTATTGATATTGTAAGGAGAAGTTCTGTCTTGGTCATTCATGAGAGTTAAAGGTTTAACATGATTTCACATAAGCTGTATATACTGTAGGTTTATGTTTTGGAAAAATTAAACTTTGGATGGAAAAAATAACAACATACTGATAAACGCAATGTAAAAATTTACAAAATTGGATGACTTAATCATTTGATGATTTGTTGAGGGTTGCTTCCATATAAAATGTAAAGATTCTTTGATCTCAAGTTGGAAACCTCTGGAAGTGTGATATCATGCAGTTAAAGGTGTAAGCAATCAGGAGAACAGAGAGTGTGACATTGTTGAGAATTTTATAAATATTTGAAATAACTTGGTGCTTGTGTGCAGATGTGGAAAAAAGAAACATTTCCAGAAATATCTATAAATTGCTATAATAATCCTCCTGCCACACTGTGCCTATCCAAGATTGTTTTTACTGGCTGGAAGCAAGGGAAGTAGTGTATGTTACTTGTGGGATGGGGGCATCTAGAGAATCAGGTACAAGGCCAATATTGCAAAAAAGTTGTTTGTTAAGGAAGGTTAAATTTTCTCATAGAATTGGACATATTTCTTGTGCAATGTAGCTCCTGTAAAACAGGTTTCTGAATCAGTTTTTAAGAACCTTTGTCATTTTCTCCCTTTTTAGACCTTAGCGAAGCATTCTCGCATGACTGTGAGTGGAGATGGGCCTCCTCCATTTGTTCCTTTCAGTCAAGGAACCCAACCAGGGATTGAGAACAGAGGAAGATCAGCAGAGAACACCAAAGGTTGGTTTTTAGTTACAACTCACACTGATGCTCTCCAGGACTATAGGGGGGCATAAAGATTATAGATGATTTAGCCTGAAACATTTTTGTTGAGTGCTTCAATTTATTTGTTTATTAATTAGTAATATTAATGCAGGCTGGTCCAGTTCAGCTGGGTTGAACAGGGACTTGCTAACAACATGAACAACAACAACAGCATGAACAACTTTCTCTCTGCAATCAGAGGTTTTCATTTGGTTTACTTCAAATTATGCTATATTTTTATTGACATGTGGCACTAATGGTTTTTGACACCCCTGAACACGAAACTCCAAGGTAATTGACAAAAGGTTTGAATTATCAAGATTCTCTTTTTTCGCTGTAGTAAATGGTGTGGTACAAAATAGCACAGAGAAATCAAGAAGTGTACAGAGCAAGGATGGTTCTGGTCCACCCCCAAGATCCAGAACAACAGAACATGGACAACATAACAAGCCTATCAATCAAGAACAAAGGGAAGGTACAGCAAAAAAATTTTCACACAACTCCCGCGATGAACGAGCAGAGAACAAAAGGCCAAATACTGATAAAGCAAATGAAAAACTCGCATCCGAAGGTAAAACAAGTTTAAGTAATCCCAAAGACAAAGAGACAAGATCTTTTAATTCAGAACCACACAATAATGAAAGAGCCAGGGAAGGAAATCAAGGAAATGATGACAGACAAAACAATAGAGCAGATCGCAATGAGAGGATGGACAGACCAGTTGCAAGAGGGCAGCCTCTGAGACCACAGGCAAGTTAAATGATCATTGGGAACTGTTTAAATGCTCTTAAATGTTTGTCTAGAATTATTCTACTTGTGCACCCAACATTTGACTCAGTGATATGGCTTCGTTCTAAATTATGAGAGGGTTAGAATACCCCTCTTTTGGGTGAGAATGTTAAAATGTACAGAGATTTATAATGGAAACCAATTTGGAAGCATGTGAGATTTTATTTGGTTCATTGTCAATTTTTGTTTCAAAGAAAGTAATTTTGAATCTGATAGATGACTGATTGAGTTGCTCTGATTTTATTTTAATTGATATAAATTATTAATTTTAGCTATTAAATTTTTTTTTTCCCAAGCAGGATACTAACAGAGGAGGTACAAGACCACGAGGCCGTGGAGGAAAACGAGAGCCAGCAGGTAAGAGGTTCTTTTGACCCTTTAAGTTGCACTAGTGACCAAGACAGAATTTCTCCTTACACTATCAGTACAATATCAAGCAGACAAGTAATGAGAATAAAGAAAAATATCAATCAGGAGATTATTGGTTGATCCAAATCCAAATTCTCCAAACTAACATCATAAGAATTGTATGGAAGATAGTATGGAGAATTACTGATGAAATCCTGTTATAGGGTTAATAATAACCAATAGATAGGTCTCGCCAAGTTGGATGCAACTTACAAGGTAAACAAATACCCAGAGAGATACAAACAGATATAAAAGGGAGGAAGGGAAGATGACTTGTTAATCATTTCTTTAAGGTTTTATGGGTCTTTTTATTGTCACAAATTGAAAAAAGGATCTCATCTCCTTTTCCCTTTTGGCTAAGTTGTGGATGAAGTGGCAAATAAGGGGTTGTTGAAGCTGGTATTATGAAAGCAAAATGAAGTTGATTCTTTTGACCCTTTAACTCGTAAGAGTGACTGGCATCCAATTTCTACTTAAAATATCACCATTGAATCAAACATTCAGGTCATGAGAATAAAGGAAATGGTCACCAACCAAGGAAAACCTTGATTGATAAATAAATTCTCCTGGTCAGCAGTTTAGGAAATGCTTAGAGAAGAGTATGGAGAATGTGCATTCTGATGTTAGGGTGTAAAGGGTTAATTGGTAACCTCATGTAGGGAAGTTGCTGTTTTCCAATGATGATAAATGATTTCTTTACCATTTCTTAAAAGGCAGGGGAAGGCAGGAAAGTGAAGGGACTGATGATGTAGAAGACTACAGAGCAAGACAACCCTCTGAGCCAGCATTGTGGGACTTTCTCTCAACAAAATTTCCAGCTGTTAAAGGTTTGGATTTTCACATATACCATTTGCTAGTTATTGCTACTTAATGTTAACCCGATTGATGTCTGTTAAAATTGTGAAAAAGGGCCAGATTTCTTGTCAAACTCACAAAAACATGAAACAGCTGAAATACTTAACAATTTATATAATAATTTGTTTCATAATGTGGTCACTTCTGATGTGGATTGCACATCCTTATCCAAAGTGAACACATTGTGAAACAAACCCTTTTATTTCTCTTTTGAAGTGGTATTTACCAGGATGAATAACCGCAAACTATTTAACAACATAAACCTGGAATGCATGTATATCTGGCTGAGTTCATTAAGGGTCAAATTCCAAAATTCCCTTTGCGTTGTTCATTGATGCAAGAAAACCTGTTTGCAATCTTTACAGTGTTGCAATACAGTGATATTTGTAACCTGATGTATCTCTGTAAGGGCAGTTCCCACTGCATCATGTACACTTTGAAGCTGGTGCCCAAGCCTGTCATGGTCTATGTCAGTTCTTAGCAAGACCTTTCTGTTCCACATTCACAATGTAATTATATTCAAATCATATTTAGACCTATTTTGAACGTGTTCAAACAACCAAAATACCTGGTCTCTTAAACTTAGTTTTATTTCTTTGGACAGTTTCAAATCTTTTGGCTTAGTATTCCATTTTGTTCCCACAGAAAAAATTAAATACAGACATGTTGTCTACTTTAATGGAGAGGTGTAAGTTGCAGTTGATAAACTTCTTGGAGATAGGCTGGAGTTGTTCAAAAAAATGTCAAACAACATTATTTCACCAAGCATGATGCTGATAAAAAAATTTTTGAAAAGATCACAACATTGAATATATTTGCTATTTTTTATGTTGTGCTAGCAATATTTTTGGCACCAAAGTGTGGAGGGGGGGGGTCTCTGTCACTTATGGTGTTAATTTAAATTAATAATAAAATTTAAATTAATTTTGATTAATGATTTCCCCCTGTTATGCATCACAAGCCTAAAATAAAATTGTATTCATTGCTGTGTTAACCCTTTCAACCCTTAGAGGGATTAACATCTAATTTCTCCTTACAATAATACCCCCCAAATCACTCATAAAGGTCACAAGAATAAAGGAAATGATCACCAACTAAAGAAGCCCTTGATTTTCAAACAAATTCTCCTCATCAGCATCTTAAGAAATGTATGATGAACAATATGGAGTATATGCATTCTGATATTAGGGTGTAAAGGGTTAAAACTTTTGTAGTTTTATCCAGTGACCTAATGGCTGGTGAAAGTGTCTAGTAAGGTTGCTGTGCTTTCAGAAAAAGCAGATGAATAGAAAGTGAGTCATCACAAGCACTCTGAGGGTTTTGTTTCTCCTGATATTTTATTTCAAACTCTTGCTTACAGATTCTAAGAATCAAAGGCCACAAAAATATAATGAAAGCCAGAAAACAAATGAAGTTCACCACGAAAGACCTCCTCCAAGACCACCACCCAAACAAGAAAATGATACAGAAAAGCCTAAGCAACAGAACCAAGATACAAAAGCTGAGAAAGGGGAGAATGTTCCCCCTACAAGCAAAGAGCAAACTGATGTACAACATGAATATACAACCCCTAGAGAGATTGAGAAATCAAAGCAAGAATCTTCACCCCAGAGCAGAGATGGAAGACAACAGTCCAGGCAGCAACGCGAACCTCACTACAAGCAACAGCAGAATCCTGGGCAGGTTAAAGGAGGAAAAGGTTCTAGAAGGCATGATCATGATTCTAGGCCATACAACCAAAGTTTACCACCACGACTGCAAAAGAAACAACAGCAACAACAACAGCAACGGCAACAGCAACAACAACAGCATCATCATCATCATCAACATTATCAGCAACATGGTCACAAACATGAGACAGAGGTGAATAGTGATGGTGTTGAAGCTGAGTATACAGCTGCAGGGAGCCCACCTTCTGTTGCACAGGAAGATGATGCAATTGTAAGGTTTAGTGCATCAACTATTAACCCTGAATTTGTAGAGGACCCTCCAAGTCACCATCAACAAACAGTTCAGTTTCGTGACCAGCAGGGTGGTTCATACACTGGTCAGCCATATACTGGACAAGGCAAATGGCAAAAAAACTATCGCCAAGGATCAGACCAGTTTAGACCACCAAATTTTACCCCTCCAAATGTACAACAACAACAACAGCAGCACATTGAGTTTGTTACTATGGCATTGGAGTCGCAGCGAGTACAGGCACAGTTTGTCGTCAATCAACCTCAACAGTTTGTGGAGCAGGGTGGAAGGGAACAGGCTGAGATTGGTGTACCACAGGAATACCAGTATACACAGCAGGCCCAACCCCCAGTCCAGGCATATCCTGTGTACCAGGTGCGACCAGCTCAGATGACTCATCAGCCAATGGCACCTCAGCCAGCCATGCCACAGCAGCCAGTAGCTACACAAATGCCAGTGCAACAGGTAATGGTCAATTTGTGGAGTGCCTTGATATTTTCTTGCATAAACTCTTCATACCTTGGATTCAAACTTGGCTGTTAAAGACAAAATTTTAGTAGTTATTATCACGAAGTTTATAATCTGCAATTTGTTACAAAAGAAAACAATAAAGCATTGATTGTATTGCACAAAAAAGATATCTCACTAAGCATTTTTTGATAGCAAGAATGAAGCTTGGTATGTGATTGCTAATTAAAATTAATTGGAAACTTAAACTAAAAGTTACCAGTAAGTCACCAAAATCTTTTCTTGCTGTAATGGCCAACAAACCTGTTTTGGTTTGTAGTGCTGCTGTCAAGCCTACTCTGTCATAGAAAATAACAATACTACTCATAGAGGATAAAAAAAATACTGTTCTGTTCTTCTTGATCAAAGAGTGTCAGGAATGGTTCTTTTGAATTAATGAACTCCTCGTTATTTTTTTTTTTTTTCAGGTGGGCTGGAAAAAGGGTGACCACTGTTTGGCTCTTTGGAGAGATGGACAGGTAGTGTCAGAAACTCAAGGCTTATCTTATTATTATGCCCAGGTGGCTCTGCTCATTGATGCATTTTTATAGGATGAATTAACTCCACATATATTCTGTAGCACTCATCCCAAAGTATTTGCCTCACTTCCTTATCTTAAATGGGCTATTGTGACCCTAGGGTGTGGCCAAGAGAGTAAATATTTTGAACTTCTCATCTTTTGGCAAGATAAAGTGATAATCCACAATTATAAATTGTAAATTAAAAAAAAAAAAAAGAAAACTGGCATGTTCTTATGTTGGAAACTGAATGATATGTTAATTCATTTTAATTTGATTGACATTAATTTAAGAAGTGATTTCATTTGTCTATTACATAACCAATCAAACATGTATGACATGTTTGTTTACCTTTTCAAAACTTAAAACAGATGTGTGTAAGGTGCTAGCACAGAATTCCCATACAACAAAATCAATCCTGAATGTCCTGTGGCCATGAATAATTATATACTAACAAATCACTCTATATTCTCCAGTATTACAGTGCCAAGATGGAGGAACTGACGGGTGATGGCCTCAATTGTATGGTCTCCTTCTTGGATTTCAACAATATTTGTGATTATGTACCTCTCTCGTCTTTAAGGCCTTTTCCAATAATTGCCTGGGTATGTAAAAAATTATCTGATTGATTGACCCGCAAAGAGAACTATTCCATCCTGCTAATAGATTTATCCTGTTCTATCCTGATCACCTTTATGTAAGATTATGTATTAATAATGTCAAATGAAGTTGTATTCTAATCACCTCTTGAGGTAAAAACGGTTACTACAATCTATTAATTAAAGTTAGTACTTGCTTTGTAACTTACCATTAACCTTTAACTCCCAAGATCTGATTGTTAATTCTCCCCTCTAGCTGCTACACATTTCCTTGTTAATTAGTTATGAGAAATGAATTTAAGAGATCCTCGCAGCTAAGAACACTACTGAACTAGTAGTTGAAAATAGGACCTGGAAAAAATTCAGGTCTATACGGGAGTTGAACTCATGACTTCTGTGATACCGGTGCAGCGCTCTACCAACTGAGCTAACAAGTCAACTGGGAGCTGGTCAATGTGTTGGGTCCAAATAAACCATTCAAGTGATGAATAATGATTTTAGATATATAAAATTCATATATTTGCACCGCGGTGAAGAAACGAATTTAAGAGATCCTTGCAGCTAAGAAAACTATTGAACTAGTAGTTGAAAATAGGATCTGTAAAAAATTGGGTTCAAATCCCATACAGGCCAAAAAATTTTTTTCAGTATATCTTGGTAATATTAATTGTTTCCATTACAAATCCAGTGTCAGTAATTTTGATTCCTTTTTTTCTCTTTTTCAGGGAGAGAATAGTAATACACAGCCTCCGCCTGCAGGTGCTGTTGCCACAGTGCCATATTACACACAGGGGGCACCAGTTGGCATAGTGACCAGACCCCAGGTAATGATCCCTGTGTCTGGACAGTCTCCTTTCCATGCTGGTACTCGACCTACCATTGTTCATTCTACCCAAGTCCCTGCTCAGGTACAGTGGCAGCCAGCTCAGGTTCAGTACCAAGAGGTCAGACAAGCAGCTTTCCAGCCAGTCATGCATTATGGGGCTGTGCCGCAGTCAACTACAGGGAGCCCCGCTCCAGCAGCTTATGGTGTACCCACAGCAACTGGGGTACATTTTGTCAGGGGTGTGAAGGATGCCCAAGGTCAAGGTTAGTACATGGTTTTCATTTGCTTCTTTCTTTTACTCTCTTGACCTAAATGTGTGATTCACAGACAATGATGTCAGGAAAAATTTGATGCTAGTCTCTTTTGGAGGTCAAATAGTTGAGATAACAGTGGTGAGATATCACACCTTTACTGTGTGTGGCTGGTTCAGGAAAGAAAGTGCCCTGTGTGGCAAAGAGTTCTTGATATTCATCACGTGTTCCTGAGGCTGATGTTGACTTTCTCATCATTTTCTCCAGATGTGTACAGCAACACTCCAGAGGCAGGCAGAGGAAGATCAAGTCCAAACTCAGGTGGTTATTCCAAATCAAGACGACCAAACAGAGCTACACAAAATTACTATGTACCACCCAGACAACAGAAGTTCAAGGATAAAGGGTAGTCATAGATTGAAATGTTAAAAGAAATTACTTTCAGCACTGTCTGTTTGAAGTAGATAATGTCATCCAGTGGATACATTTCCACTTAGTGAATAGCTTATCTTTACTGACTGGGAATGTATTCCTTGAATAACATTTTCCACTGTTCAAACAACTGGGCATGTAAAAATAATCTCTAATATGAAAATTTAATTAATATGTAGTAAAATATAACAACTTTTTTTTTGACATGGAAGATGTGGTTAATGTAGTTGATGTGCATACCATGTGTATTTTAAGGAATAGTCTTTGTTTTAAACAGCTATGTGAAAATTTATCTGGTAGGAAGGGGGTAATTATGAGGCACTTTAGAGCATGATTCTCTTCTCAGCCATTAAAATTAGAAAATCTTATTAGCAAAAGGAGTGAAACAAGATGTAGATTTTATTTTAACCTGTGCTTTTGGCAGTAGTGAGATTTTGTTAATTACATAAAACTACCTCTGTGCTAAAAGTGCTTAAAAATATTAACTTTATATTGCAGTGAATTGATTATTAGAAGAATTGATAGAAGTAGGCAAACCATCTAGTGAATTTTGAAATGTGATTTTGAGCTGTAGCCTTTTTCTTTAACTATAGCCTCAATCCTTGTGTTGAAATGCCACCCAAAAATTGGGTCCTTCACTTAGGCTAACTGGTAAAATTTCCCCCAAAAAAGGGGTTTACAAAGGAGTTTAAAGTTTTTTTCTGTTGTTCAATCTGCTCCATTTGGCTTTTTACCTTTATTAATCAATTCCTTACAGAACTGCCGTTCAGTTGTGTAAGAGGACTTCTTTAACCCTTGAACTCCCAAGATCTGATTGTTAATTCTCCCCTCCAGCAGCTGCACATTTCTTTTTAAATTATTTAGAAGAATTTAGTGCCAGATCAAGACAACTTCTACTTTATAACTTTGAATATTCTCATTACCTGTTTGCTGGATACTGTATGGATATTAAAGGGAGAATTTACATGTTAACAGCTTCTGGGAGTTAAAGGGTTAAAAAAAAAAAAAAGAGTAAAAAAAGGCAAGATCTTTGTTTCTCATGAAGTTTACATGTAAGTAACCTAGTATTCCAGGCTTGGGAACAGACATATCAAATGAAGGCTTTTTGCTGTGACATGGGGCTAAATTAAGAGAAAAACTAACATTTTTTATGAGATGACAAGAGAATGTTTTGGATGGCCAAGCAATGGATTGATTTCCTTGTTTGCCAACGAGAAAGAAATACCTATTTATGGGGTTTAGCAAAAGTACATTATTTTTTATTTCAAAAATTCTATACTTAAGTTTCTGCAAAATTGATAATCAAACTAGTGAACTTTGCAATTTCACACAAGTGAAGTCTCTGTTTTTCATTATGGCCTATCAATTTTCAGGGAAAAAAATGGGAGGGAGAAAATTATTTTGAAATGTATATTACTATGATTGGAAATTTTATTCGAAAGATGACTTGGGATGAAGCAAGGTCAGCATTGGTGGAAACTTGCTCAGATGTACTGTTGTGTTGGTAATGTTCTTAATTCTTGACTATTCTCCCCAACAAAGTTAACAATTTGACTTTTGTGGTTTACCAAATCACCAGGTAACTGTGCTTCTGCATATTGCTTGAGCAATAAACTTTCAGTATTGTACAAACCAGCCTTATATCCTGAGCATAGCAATGTTACTTTTTTATTATTATGGCAGGGAGTTTCTAGTTCTATCGAATGTGATGTGTTGAATGTGGTAAATTTTAGGTTTATTAGGTGTATGCCTGAACCTTAATAATCTGATCACCAAAATGTTGACCGATGTTGTTACTGGAAATGTTTGGTTGAGAGGTGTAGATAGTCTGTAGTAATGAATGTTTTTGGGAGAGCAAGTTTGTGTTGTAAGCTTGCAGTTAATGGAGCTGCCATCTTGGTGGAGAAAAATGGCATTGCAAATATTGTACCTGTTTAAGGGCCTTGGTCAGTGGAGATGAGCAATAGGTGGGTTGAGCTAAACCAAGAGCAACTTAGCCTTCTTGCATGCTCTCCAAACCTCACAAGTGCTTCATATTTTTATCAATGCACAGCTGACACAGGAACCAATAGTTTTGTAACAATTTCAACATGGTGTGTTAAATGTTTGGTGAACAGAAGTTCTCTCTGTGTAGCATATTATTTGTAGTCATAATGGTCCATGGTGGAAATATGAAGCAAGTTTGTGCGATTGAATTTTTTAACACAAATTTACAAGCTGTATTGAAATTTTGTTCCCTCATCCAGCCCTCTTTTCCTATGCAGGCCATTTTGCTCATTTACAGTGACCAAGAGAGTGTCACAGGGTACCTGAAATTTTGCAAAGAAATTGCAAGAGTTTGTGTGCTAAGAATGTTTTTGTACTGCAGGCTAAAATCCCCTCTTGAAATTTGGTTGTGGAAAGAAGTTTTTTTCCTATTATAGTACTAATAAGAAAAATTAGCTTTTCCTAGTCTTAAAATTATGTCCAGTTATTTCACTTATCAGCTTGTGGTTTACTGTAGTCCCAAATTTATCAATTAAAATAATTTTTGAGTTTTAATTTTTTCTAAATAACATATTGTAACTAAATTTGCTTCTGTGTTGTGTCAAGGCTGCTGGGTCTTGGTGTTACACAATTCATTTTCTAGTATTTATATTTATTGATGGAGAAATGGTAGGACATTTCTCTATTTGTTGCATATTATAAAATAATGTGATTGAAAAACTCAATGAAATTGGTCACCATCTTAGACACTGTTAGTAATGGAGTAACAAAGGTTATCAAGAATTTACAATGTACTGTAAAATGTGAACTGCAATTAGTAGATATTGTTCTGATCAAATCTGAAAATCTGTGATATTTTTACTGTTGTGCGCATTTTATTAAACTATAAACTAATGAAGGAAAATCTATTTGTGATTTTGATGTTATTAGGTAAATACTTTTTTTTTTCTGTACTTGCCATTTGTAAGCCACTAAACAGTGATTTTTCTTTTACTTGTAAATTTCTCAACAATAGAAGCCAATGGCTTGAATATTTGCTCAAGGTATGTAGGTGCCTGTAGTAGGTATGTTTTTATCATTTGCGCCAACTTATGTTCTATTCGTGCTTCTTAACTAACTTTATTTCAGTTATGTTGCTACTTGGCAATAAAATTGAATAAAGACAAAAACAAGAAAAGTTCATACCTGATTGAAACAATTCTCTACAACTCATGCCCAACCCAAAATTTTCTTTTCTGTTTATTCCACAGGAGTTAAAGAACATACACTTCAGGAACCAGAATTTTATCAATGATTATTAACCCTTTGACCCCTACAAGTGATTGGCATGTAATTTCTCCTTACAATATCACCCCTGAATCACACATTAAGGTAATGAGAATAAAGGAAATGATCACCAACTAAAGAAGCTCTTGATTGTTAAACAAATTCTCCTTGTCAGTATCATAGGAAATGTATAGAGAACAGTATGGAGAAATTGTATACTGATGTTGGGGTGTAAAGGGTTAACAATGAAGTTATTGTCAGAGTTATGGAACTGTTTTGAACTTCTTTCCAGAAATTCAACCTTAGAATGATACCCACATCCTCAATGATTTCTACAGTATATGTGCTTAAAGATATAGAATGGACTGTTTCTTGAAGCAAACAGCTTTTATGAGGAAAAACATAGGGTTTGGGGAACAGCTAACATCCAATCCTAACTTAAAATTGGAGGTCCTTTTGGTAAACCTGAAACTTGAAGCTTGAAGTTTACATCAACCGCAATCTTAGACAGCACTGTAATTTTTTACAATGATATTACCAATTGAGAAGTTCACCCCACAACTCTGTTCTCCAACTATCTACCCTCAGATAATCAGGAAAAACTACAGGGTAAGAGGAAAAAAATCAACAACAACAAAACAAACTGTTGTGGATAGACCATTGTTCTGATAAAACAATGGGAAGTTGAACTGTGCATTTTTGCAGCGATGTGATGAAAACATTAATATGAAAACTGTCCCATAGCCTGATAACAGACATCTTTCTTGTACTTTTTCAACTGTCATGGACAAATGTAGAATCAAACACTCGATACTGAACCTTTCTGCAGTCTTTATCAGGGAGATATGAAAATATGCAGAGTTCTAACCATGGTCTTTTATCACCCTTTGGATCTTGGTACACACATTCAATAGAGTTATTTGGATTATTTGTCATGAACAGCATATGTTCCTGGATGGTGTTTTGAAAAGATGCTTGGACTAAAAATTCTTCTGGCGGTGGAAGACCAGCAAAGAAAGTTTTTGCATCCTTATCAAAGACCAATGCATGGAGAAGGCCAGAATCATCCTCAAGAACAAATGAAAACAAATAAGAAAGAGTCATCTCCTGACCACACAAAGAGCATGAGATGACATCACTGTCGGCAGCAGAACAAACAGAACTGGAACTTTCTTGAGGTAAGTATTTACAAGACTGACAAGATCTCTGTATGAAAGACTTCACATCTGATGGTAAATACATCATTGCCTTGACTCTACAGCGAAATTTGTATGGAACAGTCTTGTATGTCTTGATCTCTTTCAAAGAACTGAAAGCAATGCTAGGGTGCTCTGTTATTGTACACGATGTCTGAAGTGCCCGGTTCATTTCATTTGTGGTCAAAGAGTTACTTTCCTTCTTTTTGTTAAAGTTCTCCATTTCTTGTTGAATTCCACTGTGGTCAGTTGTTTTGGGTCCGTCATGAACATCAACAAATCCATTCTCTATGGCTTCTGATTGTTGTTCTGTATTCTGGTGGGTCACTGAAGCTTCTGCTTCAGCTTCAGCAACCAACTTCAATGTGGAGCTTACTGAAACCATGGGATCGCTCATTGACACAATCTCCACACCACGCCCACATATTGTACCTCCGTGTACTATGAGACTAACATGAGGGCGAGACAGCACCAACTGATGAAAGAACAAATCAAACCAATTGCTTTGGTATAAATTGGCTAGTCATTCAAAACTCAACAAGACAAGCTTATGTTTTTAGTTTAGTTTTTTTAACAAACATTACATTTTTACAAAGTAACACTCAAATCTTTTGCTATTTCTTTACCCAGCTCAAAATCTAACATCTCATTCTATCTACAAATATGACGATTGACATTGCTGATCTTTGCAGTCTTTATCCCATGCTTGTGACAAGAGAAAAAAAAATTCACTCTATCTTTACCAGGCTCAAAATTTAGCATTTTTCTTATTCTATTTACCAACACAAACACTGTTAGGCTACTAATTTACCTCCTCATCTATCAAGGAATCAATAGCGAGTTTAGACCAATTTGATTGCAGAGTTGTGACAGGAAACTAGAGGATTTATTCTAACATCTGATAGCTTTGAAATAATAGCAAAACACAGTTAAGAAATAATCAGGTCTGTTACCTCAGGCTTATCTGTTGTCATATCACCATTGGCTTCCAGCTCTTTGATATGAACATTTCTGATGCAGACAAAATCGCCAGGACTGACTTTTCTGACCTCCCCCTCTACATGATTGTCATATAGAAACACCTCTACACATTTGCCAGCTGACTTGTGAATGAGCTCCTCTGATTTTAATTCTCCCTGTTCACTGAGTGGTTCCACTGAAGTTGATTGACAGGCAGGGGGTGATCCATCCCATAGAGTCAAAGCAATACCATCGCTAGCTTCAGTGTAACTTTTTGTCACAACTTGGCAGAGAAGGTTTACAAATGTCTGACTTGTGCTCAAGTCTTTCAGGTTAGTAATGACAAACTTCTTGTTTAGAGATTCCTTCTGCAATGCCCACAATCGTAATTCCTCAATTGCATCTTTTTCTTGTTCTGTCAAATTGTACGATTTTGATGATGATGCCCGTGCTTGGTGGTTATCTGTGCAATTTATGTCAAATACAAGCCTGAAAATGATGACCAAAAATAAAGGGTTAACTAGATTCACAGCTATTCTCAAAATTCTGGGACTTTGTGTGACATATGTAGCAGCCTTGATCTGAAGGCTATTTGAACTCTTCTTAGAGCAGTTGGTTAATAATACCAGGTAAAAAAAGATGTTTTTTGTCTTGTCACGAATGTGGTACACAGGAAAAATTCTGAGTCCCCATGAAAAATCAAACATCAGACCATTGGATTTCATGCTCCAATGCTCTACCACTGAGCCACAGAGACTCTATGGTGAGTGAGGCCTGTTACGAAGTTCACATATAAGACACATCCTGAATACTGCTAAGACCAAGTGTTCCTAAAATAAACTTACCAGGTTGATTCAGGTAAGAACTTTCCTTGCATCTCTCCTTTGAAATTGCCAACAGCAACGCCATGAAAACGCACAATATCTCCTACAGATCTAATCAATGGCAACCTTTCCTTTGACTTTGAAAAGAGCACCAACTTAAAACTTTCTTCAAGGGAAGCCAGAGAGGGATCGACTAAGCTTAATGAGCAGACAAAATCAGAGCCCTTGGTCTTGAAGGGGCTCTTAAAGAACTTCACCACACCAAATACATTAACAGTGGTGTTAGCACGTATATCTGCCAGCTTTGTGTATTTCACAATTTGAGGTTGTAGGACAAGCCTGCTCCTTTTGCTTGGTGGTTCACTTCCTGTCTTTTCTGCTCTGACAAACGCTGCACATTCTGATGCAAGAGGCAGAGGTCTCCGAACAATATTACTACCTGCGTTTAACATGTTATTAGAATCTCGCACAACCCATACTTTGAGAAATTTACAGCTTTTTTCGTCACCAATGATTTCAAATCTATGACCTTCCCTTGGTGAACTTTCAACCTTTGCTCCTTTTATCATAAGCACGTCTTTTTCCTTCACCGTCTTACACTTCTCTACAAATTTCCCCCTCAGAAAGACTGAGATGACATCTGGTGAGCCAGAATTAACATCTTTGATAGAAAGTTTCATCACCCAACCTGTAGATCTCTGGAAAATTGGGTATACTGTGATCAACACACCTGTGTAAAAGAAGTGTCCAGAAATGCTCTTTCAGTGCAAACATAGCATAAAGATTACAATAAGGAGGATATAAATAGTACGGATATCAAATTGCGAGTCACAATCAGCACTCACAGCTGAATCTTTACCTTTCACCATGCATGTGGAAAAATCCATATTTTGGGATACATCCTTTATTCTAATGCATCGGTAGGTGTTTTCAATTTTCTCTATTGAGCAAGCATCTTCTAGAATTTGTACAATTGTATCTTCTTTTTGCTCGCGGGAAATGTTCAAACTACCCGCCATTTTGGACAATCAGGATCTTGACAAGAATTCCTTTCGACGAAAGGCTTGAGCCATCAGTAATGGGAAGACTTGTCAGCGTACTCAAATTTAACATGGCGGATTTGATTAACTTTATTTCAAAGAGGGAAATTGACGCGAAAAAAGAAGAAACTAGGAAAGCAAGAGAGCAAATCCTCAAAAAGGTAAGCCTCCTCGGTGGTTGATCAATAAAAATGCTTGAAAAATCGAGTCAGTCACGTAGAAATGCCTTCCACAGAAAAGCATCATGTATATCTTATCGAGTGCTTCTAAAAGTGCTTTTATTTGGCGCGTTAGACAACGGTTGAAGCATAGTTAAACGTTGATCTATCTTTCGTTCAGGTAAAAGGAGACTATGAGAGAGAGCAGTGGAAAAAACAGAAGCGCATTGAGAGTGGAGAGACATCGTGGATGTTGCCATCCTTAAGCAATAGTTTGACAGTGGAGGACGACAGCCATAATGATAAGGTATTGTACGTAGTTGTTGTCTCACTAACTGTTTTGTTTTCCTTCAGAACACTCATCAGAGTTCTTTATTCTTATTAGTAAAGTCCTTAATACTTATTAATGAAGTGAGTATTTAGCTGAAAGCTGAGGGAGGCTACTTACTACTAATATTATTTTTAGGAACTACCCTCTTAATGGGATGTGTCGATAGATAGGGTCGCATTTTCATGGATAAATTGAGTACAATGGGGTTGAATTTTCAATAGAGCTATTAGAATGTGGTCACACATCTTCAGGACTTTAGAGATAAGAAAATTCTGGAATTTTGTCACCGTTGGGATTGCCAAAATTACATTAGCCAAAAAGTGACTAAGATTGATTGAGTCCATCATGAGGGCTTCAAAGAATAGACTTTAATTTGGGGTAGGGGTTCTGAGAAGCCAATGGCATATACCTAGTAAAAATTGATCAACCCCCCCCCCCCGTCCCGCTAAGTCTAAAAGGCTTCAAATTACAACTTACAACTTACCTGAAGGGTTGGAAGACTCACATGGCCACGTTAAAATTGGTTTGAGTCTTGCTTCTGATTAGCTGAGAGAATGGAGTAAGTTTTCTTGAAGAATCACAGAGCAAAGTTATTCAATGGAAACATACTCTTTAGGGTGATCAAGATAATCTACATGACTGTTCTATTTTTGAAAGGATAAATCGAAAAAAAAGAAACACAGGAAAGAGAAGAAGCAAAAAAAGGACAAAAAGGAGAAGAAGGTAAGGATCCCTCAAGCACAGGCTTGGTATTCTATATTTGGCAAAGCACAGGTTACTTAACCTTTTATATAAAGGCTGCTTTATTAAAAGTCTCATCTCCATGATATTGGGATGAAACCCATTTTATATTACAATGAGTCCTGAGAGTCAGTAGGGTAGCAGAATAGCACATGGTCAGAGTGAACTTTTATTTTCACTACTCAATGATCAGTAAATCCTTTGACCCCCAAGAGTGACTGTATTAATTTCTCTTTACAATATCACCCCTGAATCAAACATTAAGGTCATGATCACCAACTAAAGAAACTCTTGGTTTCAAACAAATACTCCTTGTCAGCATTGTAGGAGTGTATAGAGAACAGTATGGAGAATATGCATAGTGATGTTAGAGTGTAAAGAGTTAAAATATAGCATGTTCTGTTTCATTATAGCACAAGAAGCAGAAGAAAGATACTAGTAAAGAAAACATGTCCTCAGATTCGGTAAGTGTCCATCACATGTTTTCTTTTTTCTTCCCTGGTGGAGAGCTGACCATGTCACATGCTCATGTTCAATACCATTCCACTGCATCCTGCTGTAAAGAATATTCTGCTCATGTAAGGTTGTGCTCCCTCTCACCCATTTCCTTTGCCGTCACCTCTAGGAGTTACAATTAACTCCCAGAGGTGTGAACATGTAACTTTTCCCTACAATATCCATCCATTATCCAGCAATCAGGGTATGAGAATACTCAAACTTATCAGGTAGAAGTTGTGTTGATCTAACATCAATTCCCAAAACTTAATTACAAGGAATTATGTGGCAGCTAGAGGGGAGAATTAACAATTAGATCTTGGGAGTTCAAGGGCTAATGTCAAATTGATGATGGAAAAATGTTGAAATTATTCAGTGTCTGCCAGAAAAACTATTTACCTAAACCATTGACACAGGTCTGTAAATAACACACCAGCACACCATTGACAAATTAAAATGTTTTGTTCTTCATTGTCTGGTAACTGTTTATTATTTGCAGGAGTCAGGAGATGAGTGGGTGGAAAAAGAAACAACTGATTCAGTTACATTGTCAAAACCAGGTGAAGTTCAGGTAAGTACTTTAAATTTAATGTGATTATTTTGGAATTAATTCTGAGCTTAAGGACAAGTTAATTTTGACTGATTGTGGTGGGAGCTACATTGAAAAGAAAATGCCTTATTTAAATTTAGAAGTCGAAGGTTGAGTGAAGAACCCTGATACAAGAATAAATGATGCAAAACAAGAGAGAAAAATGAATAAAAAGGCTCTTGTTTGGTAAACAAATTCTCCTTCTCAGCACCTCAGGAGATGCATAGAGAACAGTATGGAGAATATGCATACTGATGTTATAGTGTGAAGGGTGAAGGAGTAACCTGTATTTTTGTTACAACAGGTAATGCAACAGCAGCGTGACAGCTGGATGCTGTGTCCACCAGTTACATCAAGCTCTCAAGACCCAGTGCATCAGGAGGAAGAAGATAATGAAAGCAAAGATGATGAGGAAACAAAAGCTCTGTCTTGCATTGATCGGGTAAGATAAAGGAACAATTTTTTATTTTCAACTTAATACTCCTATTTACATGATATAATATATGTAAAAAGGGTAGAAGGCTATTTTATGGTGGGGAATAGGTGATGTATTAAAAAGGTTTGGTGAAAATGGTAACAATGGAATTTTTTTAAAAAATGGTTTCAAACATGGTGGATTGACACTTACCTATGTTCAAGATACATTACTGTTGTAATAGTAAAAGCGAGATATTATCTTCTGAACACTGAACTTTATTACATGATAATGAGCTAACAGGGTAACATATTAAAACTTGGGTGAAAGTGAAGGTGTAACTGACCAAAAATGAAGAAAAACTGACCAAAAAACACTAACGAGGGGGATGAAAAAAGAAAAGAAAAAATGAATTAATAAGTAAAATAATTCCAAAACTAATTAGACCGCGCTTAGATCGTATTACTGCAGTCCGTAAAAACGACTGAGGCCAAACTTATTTGATTTAATTTAAACTGAAGCCATTTGGATCATGTTGACAGTTAAGAAGTAGTGACTTGATTTTATTGGCACTCATAGCCAGGACAGCATGCTAAAGAATTGAACCCATACTGGAGAGATGGAGGTACAGGCTTACCATCTGAGAAGAAGAGTTCACAGGACACCCATCACAAGGAAGGTAACAAAGCTTAGTTAACTCCTTACTAATAAAACCCTTTCACTCCCACAAGTGACAAAAAATTAAATTTTTCCTCTCAATATCAATACGTTTTCTAGCAGAAAGGCGACGAGAAGTGAAAAAATTCTTAATCAGGGGACATTATTTTCAGTCGCTTTGGTCGCAATTATAGAACATATGCACTCGCTGGATTAGAAAGGAGCAGATCTCGATCGATTAGCGTAAACCAAAACCGAAGTTGTCATAGACTGCTTTTGAGTGAGTGTTATAAAACCTAAACAAAGGTAACCACAACGGCCAATTGGAGGAGAGGAAGATACCTTTTAAGAGCCTATGAAAACGTAACGTTAAGACAACCAAACTGCCAAAAGCGCGGGAAAACGCGTGACTGGTTTGAGTTTTGCATCTGATTGGTTGATAGAGTGGAGTGAGTTTTCTGGACCAATCACACAAGACGCAAAAACAAAGCAAACTTGGATTACTTTGGACTTTCAATCAAAATGCGTTCTATCTGCTATACAGGATAGTAAAGATTATCATTAGGAGTCCATCAAACTCAAATTAAAAGCGAGCAAACTACCTCCAGCGTTGGAAAGCGCAAATTACGAGTGGCAGTTGGCTTTAGTTCAGAAGCTAAGGATGCGATGATGGGACAATCGATAGGAAGCAAAATCAGTACTATACTGGACCAAAACAAACACTCCTTTCAAAGCTTTCTCTCATATGTGATGCAATCCTAAATTAGTTGCAGTGCAAAACTCTTTTGAAGTGTCCTTTACGTAGGTGATCATAACGATACAAGAAAAGGCCTGTTATTATCCTCTCTTAGGGAATACCGGACATTCATTTAGCAGTGCTTGGTTGAAGAGAGCTTATCAAAGGGCCAAAGATGAAGCTGAGGAAGAGGGCAAGAGTTTGGCTGATATTGTCGCTAAAAGATATGGGGTTAGTCTTTTTTTTGGTCAATTTACAGGGTCTCAAGCTCAAATTTTGTCCAAGTCGCAATTTAGTGACGTCGTTTTAGTCCACAGAACAAAACTTGTGGAAAGTTGTCAGCAAAAGCCCCCTTGAGAATTCGGAGACCAGTCAATTTGTAAGCAGCTCATTTGATGTAGACCCAAATTTTGCAAATACCCCTTTTCCTGGCACTGATGGGAAATCCTTCTTTTTATCTCCTTCATAATGTTAGTCTGTACAGAAACTGGAAGCTATGATCAAGGAGGCCGAGGATAGGTATTGCTTCTTTGTTTATTTAAACCTTTTTTGTTCATCTCTTTTGTAATCATTAAAAAAAAAAAAAAAAAAATGGTTGGGCAAAGTTGTCTTCATCAGAAGGTGTACAGTATCGATTGCATGTCGTAAAACCAAACCAAAGAAACCGCAATGGCCAATCAGAACAAGAGAAAATATCACAAGTAACCACTGGGAACCCATGTCAAATGTACGACCTCCGAGCGCAGGAAAACCCACATGATCCAGTCGCGATTAGTTTTATTTCTTATTGGGATTGGTGGAGAGGATGATAAGTTATTTTCTTGACCAATCTCAGTGCGCAAAACTCCTCTTTAGAAATAGTACTAACCGTGATTGAATTTAAGACGCTAAAGAGGCAGGGTATCGATGCGACGGTTCTGATATGATTCTTTGTGAGATAACCTAGAGAAGAAAAGCTTAGAGGAGAGGAATCAAGGAAGAGGGACAGAGAGAGATACAGAGGTGATAGAGAAGGTAAAGACGATCGACATCGACATCGTGACAGAGACAAAGAATGGAGACGAAACCGGGACAGAAGTCCTATGGACAGATATTCTCAGGACAATGGAAAAACTTACAGGTCTACAAGGGAAGAAGATGAAAATAAATGGAGAAGAAGACCGGGACAAGAGGAGACAGGACGCGAGCGACCTAGAGATGATACAAACAGATTTGCACGTCCTGGCGACTTCGCCAGCGATAACAGGTACTGAGTTCTGCTGCTGTGATCTGTCACACAAATTCTGATATGAGCGCAGTGGTGACAAAATTCTGGCGAAGAGCCAAAGAGTTTCACTATAATTCCCTGGTCGTACGAGGGAAGCTGTCGCACGAACTTGTCATAAAGCTGGTACATATTGAGCAGCTTGCCGCAGAGACTAGTTGTTGCAAATTGTTCCTTAGAGTGACTGGCATCTAATTTCTCCTAAAAATCACCCTTGTGTCAAACACGAAGGTGACGAGAATAAAGAAAATGATTACTAAACAAGGAAGCTCTTGATTGTCAAACAAATTCTCCCTGTCAGCACCTCAGGAAGTCTGTAGAAAACAGTATGGAGAATATGCAAGCTGATGTTAGGATGTGAAGGGTTAAATGAGAAGTATGTTCCAGAAAATATGCAATTTCGATCTTCGTCGTTTAAAAATATAGGAAATAAAATTCACTACTTTCCCGGTGTGCTATTCTTAAGCGAAAAATTTGCCTCAAATGAGCAACTCAGTAATATGGACGAACACACAAAAGAAATGTGCGCGGTTCCCTGGAAATCGAAAAAAATTAGAAAAGATTGGCATGTTTCGAAGAGATTTCTAAGGGATAGAGAAAGGAGGTGCGAGATTTAGTTCTGACACAGAGAGAGAGAGAGAGATAAGAGGTTGCCGAATCAAAAGAATCAGTAAGAATCAAAATGTGTCCACGCTGTAAAATCTTAGGCACATTTAAAGATACTTTTTTGAAACGTTCGGCTGCTGTTTGGAATCTTAAAACGTTGCCAGAGTCATGGTTTCATCTATAATTTTTAATGGCGGAGACTAAAGTAATGTATGGTCTCTGGAGTATAAATCTCCCAGGAAAGTCGACAATGAGGTTTTGAATTGTCATTCGTTCTCAAAATTTTCACAGGTCATCCTTCGTTGGTAAGTTTAAGCGTCCTGGCTCTTCGACATCCACACCTCAGAGGTCTTCAACTTGGGACTTCGACTCGACCAAAAACACGAATAAGGAAAGACACTTCTACGACAGACCGAGCTCCAGTTCCTCGGGCGGATGGAGAAAGAAGGCAGAGATTGGAACTGAGAAGGGGTCGTCCCCACCGGAAGTAAAGCGCACCGAGGATAAGGAATCAGTTCCGGAAGTGAAACTGGAACCAGAAACAGACAGCAGCTCGAGCTCTGAGGAAGAAGTCGAAGAGAAAAAATCAGTTGTGATTCCTGCAAAGAAAATCACAGAAAAAGATTTGAATGACATTGGGGCGAAGATTGTTAAGGCGGAAATCATGGGAAACGAGGTGAGCGTTGAAAATCTCAATATTTTGCCGGCTTCAATACATGAAAGTAGTTTCTTGAAGTGTAAGCTTTTTATTAATAAAGTAGCCGACTTAAACAACTTGACAGACTGTGCAAAGGGAAACGTGTTAAATTAAGAGGTCATTTCACGCAAGGCGATCCGTTCTTGCGACACACTGTTGTTGGGTTAGCGCTGTAGTGACAATTTAGCTTCGTGTGACGTGGAGAATTTCTTTGTTTATCTTTGTTCTCGCGTCCCCAACTTACTAAAATTCAAACTGCTTTCACCTCGTGTCTGTTCGCAGCGAGAAAATGATTTGCAGCGACTTGGAAATACACACTGAGGGCTTTGTTGCATAGATCTTTTCCAGCGACTTTCAACTCAAGAAAATGCTCAATTAATGCTGTCGTTTCAAATTTGCTGACATTTTTAGCTGCTTGGTTAGTTTTGCTTTTAATAGATGGACATCTTCCGAAAATTCCGCAGGATTTAGCGACTAAGTTGAAGGCCCAGCTGGAAGAAATGAGAAAAAACAAGAAGCTTCAAGAAGCGCAAGTGGGAGAAAGCAGTACAACGGAGGAGCAGATGGTTTTATTAACACGAACCGATGCGACAGGAAACGTGTGGCCGGTGGAAATGACAGCTGAGGAAACGAGGGGAGGACGAAAGAAGCGACGAAAGGTAAAAACATTCGGGGGAACTGCTAGCTTAAAATTTTTGTTACACTTTCATTTGTTGAAACATACGGATGCCACTTTACAATTTTTCTTTATCTACCTTTCGTTGCCGTTCCTTAGTCAATAGTGTAGACGAGATATCTTCAATGAACGTGTATGAGACTTTACAATATTTTTAAGGTTTTTTGATCCCTGAGGTTGTCATGTTATGGTGTTTCGAGAATTCTACTGATTTTGAATGAGCTCCACAGCCCTTTTACTCCTAAGATCTGAATATGAGTTCTCTGTACTGTCTACCATACATTTCTTTTAACTGTAGCTCTGAGAATTCAGTGTGAAATCAAACAATATTCCTTTCTTGACATTTTCCTTTATTCCCATCACCTCTCTGTTTGAAAAAGAGGTTTCATCGCGAGGAGAAATTTCTCATTCTAGGAAGTCAAAGGTTTATAGAGTTTTTCTGTCGCCCATCGTGGAGTTGTTCACACTCGCAGTTGTTTGAGAGCTTGATTTAAAACAAAACCTGCCAACCGAAAAAGGTCTTTTGACCGAAGAGCTCTTTGGTATGTATCTATCATTGTTCTTACACAACGTAGGTAGCCACACATGGTAAGGAAGGCAAAAGAGAGAGGTACTTCGCAGATGACGACAATTATGATCTGAAGGAAATGGTGAGAAGAGAGAAAACGAACTCTGGACGAAATGATCCCATGATGGCAAAAATGTTCAAGGTAATCAAAGGCACGCAATGCGTGCATATTGTTTCGAGGCTTAAAACTCTAACAAAAGCAATTATATCTATGCAGTGCGCACAGATCACAGTGGTCCGTGCTTGCCTAGGTTAAGAATGCCGAGACGGTATAGTCGTTTGTGAGCCAAGAAGGGCAACCGATTTCACAGGTATACATACAAAATACATTTATCGCTCATATAAGTAGCCTACTATCGCTAACTATTTCCGTTTGTCACTTTTCTCCACGCGATTGAAAAGTGACAATCGGAGATTCATCTGCGTTCTTAGACTACAGCTTTAAGTTTAGAGCGCGTAGCACACGTTTTCTCAGCTCAAAAGTAGCCCACCCCTAGTAGGAAAAACATGGTATACCTGAGCATATTTTATGACGGGGAAATGAAAAAAAAAAGGCTGTAAAGAAGACGAGTAAGAAATTGTTGAGTGTATTTTTTCATCACTTTGTTATAAACTTTTTCAGAGAGCGAAATGTGGCCTTAAGTTGGCTTCATTCCATACGACGTTCTTTTCGGAAGCTGAGTTTCAGATACTAGGAATCAAGTTTAGTTGAAAGATAGTTAACACATCCCCTCGGCATAGTTGGGTTCAGAGCCTTTGATAAAAGTTGGAGGGTATATTTATACAACTGATCATAAACGAATGTCTCTCCATGCAGGCAAGCACAAAATTCTCAGACGACTTCGACATAGACGACCATTTTGTGTCATCTGCTGCCCAAGAGAGATCTGCAGCCGAAATTGAACAACGGGAGAAGCAGAGAGCTATTAAAGGTGAGTAAAGCTCTTAATTAGCACAACCCGACAGAATATACCGTCCATATTGTAGCAAAAACGTGACCCTTTCTCTTGTTCCAGAGCAAGTATTTAAGAACCCCAGATGGCGAATTTAAGTGATAAAATTCGGTTGTTTTGAAACTTAACTGGATAACAGAATACTTATTATAGTCATTTAAAAAAAAAAGGTTAAGTCTGTACTGGAGCCAAGTGGCCCTGCCAACCGGAGCTTGTCCCAGTTTCCTTCGCTTGAAACGACAAGGAGTATCACTACTCCTCCCCCTCCCCCCCCATGGGATGCCAGTCCATCACGAGGTTACCCCCCAGCAGATGACAATTCACCGGATTCTCCTGGGTGGAGAGAGGCATGGTGAGAGTAAAGTGTTTTTCCCAAAAACACAACTCAGTGACCCAGCCTGGTCTTGAACCCAGACCTCTCGACCCGCAGACCAGCGCAATGTTCATCAGCTCACCGTGTCTCCCATTTATGATGAAAATGAATTCGATGTGTTTTGCTGTTTATCATTTCATCCAGAACATAGACAGTTGGCTGCTCAACTCGCACGATGTCGCTTCTGTTTTGAGAACCCTGACATCGCCAAACATCTCATTATTGCCATAGGACTTAAGGTAGGGTGAGCTGTGTGTTATTTTAGGCTTAACCCTGTACACCCAACATCAGTATCCATATTCTCTTTACTCTTCTATATACATTTCCTTTATTACTACCAAGGAGAATTGGGTTAATAATCAGAGCTTCTTAGGTGGGTGATCGTTTTCTTTATTCTCATGATCGTAATGAATGACTCAGCAGTATTACTGTGAGGAGAAAGTAGGTGCTGGTCACTCTTAGGGTTCAAAGAGTTAAGGTAGGGTGTAATGTGCCTGTGCAGGTTAGCAGTAAGTAGCTACTGTGGGAAATGTTTTAGAATCAGAGAAAATCCTTGATATTTTATGATGGGCCAAAACAAAATGGATAACTGTGAAGGAACCGACCTGGAGTCCATCGTGCGAACTGTTAGTCCACCTCGCCTACCGCTTAAGGGATTGTTAAGAATCTTACTTCTCTTTATGTAGGCTCGATTTCCGTCGTTTTCTTGAGTCCGGTCTTTGATCCCCCTCCCCCCGTGACTTTGGGGGGGGGGGTTAGCGCTAGCTCATTTCTCGAACAGCGGTCAGTAATCGAGTCTACTCTTCATGATGTCTACAAGAAAGTGTGTATTTTTCTAGGTTTACCTGGCGCTTCCTCTGCACGAGTCTCTCACAGAAGGTCATTGTCTCATCATTCCAATGCAACACTGTTCTGCGGCTACTATGCTGGACGAAGACGTTTGGAGTGAAATTCAGGTTTGGTTTTGAAACGATCGAATTTATTGGGATATTTAGAATTTTTAAACTTTTCCGAGATGAGAATTATCGGTTTCTTTTTGGTATTCAACGCTTTTTGCTATCTCCACACAGATTTACAAAAAAGGCCTCACGAGAATGTTTGAAGAAAAGGTAAGAAAATGTTAAGCTATCCACACTGTAACTAAGCCTTGAACTCCCGAGATCTCGATATCAATTCTCCTTTCTGTCTTCTATACATTTCCTATCACTTAAACGTTAAGAATTTGATTCTAAATCAAACAATTTCCTATTGTAGATAAATTTATTTCTTCTCATCACCTTTTTGGTTCACACTGTGTTGATGCTGTAAGGAGAAATTGCTTGTCGGTCACTGTTGAGAAGGAAGGGGTCAAACCCAGATAAGGAGAATGCAACTGCTTCTAGTGATCTTTGACATTTTTCAATCAATTGGAAAGCTATCGATTTAGCCTTCTGAACGAAAGTTTTCAGGACAAAAAAATCTGCGGCAAGGGCAAAGGAAAAGTATTCTCGACTTCCGGCAGCCTGTACGTCGTGAAAACGCTGTGCCCAAACTCCCTGATTATCACTGATTACAGAAGAAATGTTTTATTCTCCTCAGTTGTGTGCCTGACTTTGAGTTGGGAGAAGTTGAATAGTCAATCTTATTTTACACAGGAGGAGGACGTGGTTTTTATAGAAACCCACAAACAGTTGCGGAAACAGCATCACATGATTATCGAATGCATTCCTCTCCCCAAAGAAGTTGGAGATATGTCTCCCGTTTATTTTAAGGTGGGACCCTAAGCGTAATGATTAAAAGAACCTGTCCTATTCTACAAAGCACTTTCGACTGCGCTTTAGAAATCATTCGCAAAATTTCTCATTTTTCAAAAATTGATCTTCAATGTTTAAAAATAACTTTAAAGTTTAAATACCAACATGGAATCGAGGAATCTAAGAGAGCAAGCGTATTTCTTTGAAGCTCGAACCGTTTTGAAACTGCAACAAGCGAAGGAAGTAGTCATGGCTCTCCATGGACATGGCTCCAATGCTATAGCAAATTGGCTAGTGGACTCCAGAAACTGGCCCACTTTTGCATGTCCAATGTTTGACCGCTGTGCCATGCTTCTCTTCGTGATTTACCTCACGGTTATGAACGCGGAGTCGCTTTGAAAACCAGCCGCTCCGGGAAGTGAGAGAGTCTTAGCACATAATTGCTGCAAATAGATTGCGTGTGTGTTAGGTTCACGTCGTTAACCTCTAATAAATCTCATTTGTTTTCCTTCAAACAGAAAGCCATATTGGAATCGGACACAGAGTGGGCACAAAACGTGAAATTGGTGGACACAAGGAAGAAAGGACTACGTGTATCAATTCCTAAGGGTCTTCCATATTTCAGCGTCGAGTTCGGACTGGATGGGGGATTTGCACATGTCATCGAGGATGAAGCGTTGTTTCCTTTATATTTCGGCAAAGAAATTATCGGGGGTATGCTCGACCTTGAGCCGCAGAGATGGAGAAATCCGCGGCGTGAGAACTTTGAGCATCATAAGAGAAAGGTGCTGCAATTTGCAGACTGGTGGAAACCTTACGACTGGACACGAAAGATAGAAAGAGATTGAAAGATGTCGCCTAAAATTATATACACGGGATCAAGTGTGCTTTCCAGAGAGACTCAGTCTCTAGTCTCAGATAAGAGACACGAGAAGCCTCGGTGGAAGGAGTCAAGATATATTCAGTCGAGTGTCTTTAGCCCAAACCCAAAGTAAACACAACAGTCAGTAAGATAGGAAAGAGTCTGAAGGAGCCGATGAGAACTCATAATGAAAACAAGTGAGTTGCCTAAAGCGTGAGAAAACGCGAGTGGATAATTTCTCTTGGTTGTAGATTTGATCTGATCGGTGAAGAGGGTGGCATGATTCACTCAGTTGGGTGAAGCAAGACCACTTAAACACACAAGTCGCTCTTCAAATGCGCCTAGTTATCAGTGCACAGTGCATAACGAGACATGAAAGCCTTGGGAAATGTGACCCTCGGACAATTGGTTTAGAATTAAACCAGGACAGAAGGATTCAATTTATTTATTGCTCGGTACATCGAGTCTATCGAAAAAAAAGAATCTGGCGAATTTTAATTATAATCAGAGTTCTCACCGCTTGAAATAGACATTTGCTAAATTAACAATGTTAATGAAACTTTGAACAGCGACAGCATTGAAATAGGCTGTTTATTTCCTTGTGATCTAATTTTTTTCTGCATAAAAGAATGTAGCATGAAGCGCAAACCTCTATCCTATTCTTTTTCCGGTGGATGAGGTCAACGCGGCCTTAGGGAACGAGAGTTCATGTGCAATTCATCATGCGCTTGTCGATTTTAAATATCTTCGGTTTTATAAAACATACAGTATTTCCCGTGACAGAAGTGAATTACTTTGTAGAGAAACAAAATGTGAAAAAAATTTTAATGCGAGATAGTTAAAAACAGCGATTCGAAACACATGAAGTTCAGCGCTTTTGAGAATTTGCTTTGACACGATCTCAAATTGCGAGACCTTACCGAATACCTGTCCCTCGACAGTTCGATTATCGCCAATAATTTCACGGAAAGCTGTGACGCTTTAAAATAACTTAAAGATAGTATCATTGTTTTTCTTTTCGGTACCTCACCAAACGGTAATTTTCCATCACATTCCATTGTATGCCGGCCCCCCACCCCCCTCGGGAACTACCCAGTCGATATTCTGTCTGGGATCTTTAATGTCACATGTCTTGCAGTGCAGACAGTTCTGGGCGTTAATTTGCAACCTCATTCCATCTCCCTCCTCCTTGGGGACATATTCATAGACCCCGGCGGGGCAAAATCTCTGCTCGGGTCCGTCGTAAATCGCCAGGTTTATATCGACGGGTACGGAGTCATTCCGTAGGGTTAAATGCGCCGGTTGATCCCCCTCGTGGTTTGTTCCGCTGAGAGCAACAGAAGACAGCAAATCAAAGGTAACTTCTCCGTCGGGTTTAGGGTACTCGATCGCTTTACATTCTTTGGCGGGTTTTAAGTGTTCCGCATCAGGTTTGTCGTTTTTCAGTGTCCATGGCTCCTTGCCGCGAAATATGTAATAGAAAATACCCGTATACAACATGGTGCCATATAGACCCAAGGGGCTGTGGAAAGAGGGTCTTATGTTGCGCACGCTCTCAAGTTCCTTCCAGATCCAGCTCTCCTTTAGCCGCGACTCGTATGAATTCACAAGCAGGCCTGACACAGAAAAGGAAAGGCGCACGATCTTAAATATGATGTGACTTTGAATGAATGCAGTGAAAAGGGGTACTACAAACCCGACAATGGGATTAAAACAGATAAAGAGTTATCAAAATTAAATTACAAATAATGACTTCACTCTTCACTCTCATGATCTCATTAGCAAAATTCCTCCATGTCCACCATACAATTCTTATCATGGTAGTTCGAAGAATTCGGTATTGGATTAGTTAATGATCCCCTAAGTCATATTTTGCTTTATTTTTGTCACTAATCTGCTTGATATTGTAAGGAGAAGTCCTACCTTAGACCCTGAGGGGAGTTAAAGCAGTTAAAGCAGAGAAGATAATAAGAAAATAACCTAACGTGACAAATTGTATGCCATGGCAGCAAATAGCGAGCGATCACCCGCAACTGTCTGCTAAAAATCAGGTTTTGACTGGCAAAAGTTTCAATACCTGATTGGACATTTTTACAGGGCATTTGAGATCCAGTTTAAAAAAACGTTTTGTCCCATGAGATAGGCTTCTTGTCAGGTCAAAACTACTCATTGACAAATGACTTTCTAATCGACAAAAACTTTTTACCGGCTTTTTTCCATACTGCAAAACGTTAATGAAATAAATTTTTAGTCAACTCTTCACCCTATGTAATATTCAATTTTTTATTACCGTTAAGACTGTCCCAATCAAATTTAACTTATTTTCAAGAAAGAGAATTCAGTACAAATACCTTGTGTATCACAGGGAAAATTTTCATCAGTTATTGCTTCAAATACACTTTCTGCTGCAAGCATGCCAGACTTCATTGCAGTATGGGTTCCCTTGATCTTTGGAACATTCATGAATCCAGGACTACAGCCGACAAGAAGACCGCCAGGAAAGGCCAGTTTGGGTATAGACTGAAAATACATACAGCGATGATTAAATAATGAAAATAGAATAAATAAGAAATCACAAGATGGGAGGTCATTGGAAAGGGCCTAAAGAGTTTGATGAAAATGTTCCAACCTGATATCCACCCTCGTTGAGTGCCCTTGCACCGTAGGCTATCCGTTTGCCTCCTTCAAATGTTGGCTTTACTGAGGGATGAAGCTTGAAACGCTAGAGTGCAACACATAATCAATTAATAGGATCACTTTGACAAGAACTGAAGGACCTTTGCTCTGGGCACAAAGCTGTAAAAGACACTAGCATGAAACTTAGAATTCCACCAGGCCATTTTTGAATTTATGCTTTCACCATGTGTGTATATGTACTTCATCAGAACTGAGCATCCAGACTCACATGTGTTCTTGGTTTGTTTCTTTAACTCCCAAGATCTCATTAGTAATTCTCCTTACTGTCTGCCAAATGATTCTCATTATGTTAGTTTGGAGAATTTAATATCAGATCAATTAGTACTCCCATAATTGGTATTTTTCTTTATTCTCATCACTTGCCTGCGTGATATTATTTAGATATGGTAAGGAGAAATTCTGTCTTGGTCACTCATAGAGTTACCTAACTCTTTACACCCTAACATCAGTATTTTATATCCTCTGTGTTATTCTCTAGACATTTCCTAAGGTGCTGACAAACATGAACAAACTGTCCTTATTTAGAGTACATGCTAAAAAGTAAAGGACAAAATTTGTATGACACAAGTTACCTGAAATTCTTTGAATGGGTACAAATAGGGATTGCTGTAATCCAATCCAACCTAACCCAGAAGAAAAGACACCATGTCATAAAAAAAACATTGAAAACAAAAAATTTACCATACTGGTGGACACAAAATGCCACCATTTGCAATTGCAAAAAGCTGAATTTCTTGTGATGTCCATTTGTCATCCACTTACCACAAAACCAGCAGCAACCAAAGGTGTTTCCTCATCAAGGTGATACAGAAATGAACCTCCATATGTGGTTTTATCCTGTTAGAGAAAAAAGTTAAAAAAATCCTCATAGGAAGTCTCTTGGAGATACTATGAGTCTTTAAGTTTTACTAAAGATCACATTAAGAGTGCATCACACAATTCATATAATTTCAATCAAAACATACCAGAGGCCAGCCAACAGTGTGCTCTACTCTTCCAGGATGGTGTTTGTCAGGAGCTACTTCCCAAAGCTACATAAAAACAGCCTTGAATTAGACACTATATAACTTCTGGCTTTGACTAAGGGCTACCACTCAAAACTTCAGCTCTTTAAACTCTTTATGATTGGCCTGTGTCCATTATCAACTCAGATGATAACATCAAATCATCTGATAATACCAAGCCCCACATAGCACCATTGTTTCTTTGAAAATTAACACCTTTTACATGAGTTCTGGGTCTATGTACTGAACTAAAATCACTACTTTGATTATTCAATGGAGGTTGATAAGGTTTATAAACCACTGGAGCAAATTTTAAGAAGCTAATATTTTTAGGAGTCACCCTTAGCCTTTCACTGGTGCAAAGAGTTGCAAGGTTAGTGATCACACTGTCAGATATCAACTTTTCACAATTCACTTTGACCTTTCATGTGCTGTTTAAAGCTTTAAGTGGATAATCAACTTGATGCTTCACTTTCTTTCTGGCAGAGCACAGCACTGATGGTTTTGATCACGCAAGAAAATAATTGTTAATACTTTAACTCCCTGAAGAGATATACACGCATCTTCTTCCTACTATATCCATACATTTGCCAGGAAAAGGATGATGAGAATGCCTAAACTTATCAGGTGAAACTTGCTAACTAGATCTAACACCAAATTCTGGTAAATAATTTACAAGGAAATGTCTAGCAGTTAAAGGGAAAAATTAGAATCAGAGCTTAAGGGTTACAATCAGCCAGAAATCCTTGTCAAAATATACAGAACTAAAAGGGATACACCCAAAAATCTTGAGAGACCAATAAAGAAATATGAAGAACACCAACTTATTACTTAAACTACAAGTCAAGAATTACCTCTTTGAGCCCAATGGCATATGTTTGTGGATCACACTTTTCACGCAGGTTGAACTTCTTGTACAAGTTCTTGGCCAGATAGCCATGACATCCCTCACCAAATATGGTCACTTTTGCATGAAGTTCCATGCCTCGCTCAAATGTTGGCTGTGAATGAATGCATATACCATCATCAATCCTCACATTAATCTCATATTCTCAAAACAGTCTTTATAGTGAATGTACGACAGAGAGTTAGGAGAATTTTCAATGAGAACTTGAGTCAGGACACTGATATCAATGACCACTCAGCCTTATCTTTCTATTTTCAACCTTGCTAATCCTCGGTTCCACTACATTAAGAATTCCCTTTTACACAGACCATTTCTATCAAACACAAGTAAGCTATTATTATGATAACATTCTTTCATGATGCGTCATGCAGATTGAAACATCTGCTTACCTTAGGAGCGCCATCTTTTTGGATACCAACATCATTTGTAGCAATTCCCTTAATGCTGCCATCATCGTGATACAGCACCTAGCAATGGGTCATGAGGACAAATTCAAAACTAAAAATAAAAACATACCATTCTGATACATGTTACTTTGACTTTCGACCCCTTAATTTCCTTAAGTGATCAACACGTAACTTCTCCCTTTAATATCCATAAGTTATCCAACAAACAGGTAATGAGAATAATCAAACTGATCAGGAAGAAGTTGTTATCCTGATTTAACACCAAATTTTTGTAACCCATTTATAAAGAAATATGTGGCAGCTAGGGGGAGAATCTTGCGAGTTAAAGATGTTAGGCCAGAAATTTTCTTCCCTACTGAGATATGACCCAATCCTACAAAAAAATTATGTTAGTAGATTCTCATTCAGTTTCAGAGTACTTGAACTAATGTCCTTTGTCTTTTTTTTGGGTGTTTAAAACTTATCATCTCATGTATCTCTAAAAATTCTGGGCGAGATTCCTACTATGAGTGACAACTCACTTCACTGGCTGCATATCCAGGGTATATTTCCACACCTAATGCTTCAGCTTGCTCACCCAGCCAACGAACAACATTTCCAAGACGTACAATGTAGTTACCATGGTTGTACATAGGCAGCCCTGATGAAATAAGGAAACAAAAATCTAGATAATCAAACATCATTGTCATCATCTCTTTTAAATCTAATGAAGCTATTCCAGGTTACAAAACACTGTTTATAGTATCGTTTTGTGAGGGGGGGAGGGGGGAAAGAGAAAAAGAGAGAGAGAGAGAGACAGAGAGAAGAGATTTCCAATGAAGGAGTCCCTATTAGGAGGTTTGCAGTGTCAAAACCATGCCCTACTGCTCAATTTGCCTTTGCTCCTTTACCAACTTTGTTTCGCTCCCTCCCTCCCTTCCATTTTATGGTAAAAATATAAAATCAACCCACAATTGTGTCATTGTTCTTTTGACAGGTGGCAACCACTGTTACTTTAAAATGCACCTGTCCTCCCATGATCTTGACAAAGTGTTTTTAAATAGCACTTGCTTAATAGTGACTCCTACTTTAGATCCAGTTACTTGTGTATGTATCTCACCTGGCAGTATGGGGACAGGAATCCTTCCAGTCTCTGTGAGAATTGCAAATTTATCCTCCTTTACCAGTGTATTGAGAGGTGCCTAGTAAAGCAGAAAGCAGTTTAATAAAAACCAAAGCAAAGAAAAAAAATCCTTATTCCTTATAATATGGTTTAATTTCAAACTTAAGCATTTTGCTATAGATGACATAAGAAGTTTGAGCAATTTGGTAAAATTATTCAAATGAAGATCTCAAAGAAAACATATTAATTTTCTTTTAACATTATCAGAACATTAGAATAAAGAAAACATATTAATTTTCTTTTAACATTATCAGAACATTAGAATAAGTCTGCTGAAATTTCTTGCTCTGATGGTAATAGTTTCTCCTTCCAACTTTATTCACATGCATTAAACAGATTTGGACAACATGACAACCAAGAGGCAAGATTTTTGTATGACCACAAAATTCACCATGTACACTGTTCTTTGATAAAAGCAAACAATGGCCAGAAAATTGATCACATTTGGACTAAAGCATTGTTTAAGAATATTATGAACTACAACAAAAATCTTTTCCACAAAGTTATCAACGAGGAGTTCTCTTCGCAAAACACTTAAAATTGTTTCATTTGGTTCACTTAGAAATGTGTGGCACCAAGAAAGAGTAATTACAGGTTAGATCAGATCCCAGCTAACTTACCCCTTTGTCTTTCCAGTCAGGAATAAGTTCATTAAGTGCTCTTGGCTCCAGGCAGGCACCAGAGAGAGTGTGTCCACCTGAAACAAGGGATTGTAATAAAAAGTGAACTTGATGAAGTGGAAAAAATTAAAGAACAAATTGTGGATTAACTGTGCTGTCCTTTCTACCAACGAGATGAGAATGGCAGCTGCACCAGAGTTTACTTACAACATGTGTCTGAAAAATGCAAATTTGCACTTGTCTCAGGAGGGGTGGATAGGGGGTGTGAATGAGGGGTGTCCCAGAATCCTGTCCGTCTCAGTAACATACGTAGGCCGATCAAAAATGAACAAAATATAAATTTATTTTTCTCACATCTCTTCATTGTGACTCAAAGGGCTGAAAAATGTTACTTTAAATGGTTGACCAACCCCATGAAGCGTACGATTTATGCTATGCTCAATTCAAACGTAGCAATGACAGAAACAAGAAAAAGAGTGCGGAAATCCTACCGATTTCGGCAGCTTTCTCGACAAGACAAACTCTAAGTTCTTTCCCTGTTTCTTCAGCCAATTGCTTTAGTCTGATTGCTGCTGATAAGCCTGCCGGTCCTCCACCAACTATAACTACATCGGCTTCGTCCGAAAATCTCTCCATGTCTACTTCTGCAAAAATATCAAATACAGTTGCGTCTGACATAGTGGGAGCACAGGACTGCGTTAATCTATGTCACAGAGTAAAGCAATAAAATCACCTGGTGAAGCAATGCTTGAAAATTAAGAAAAGTAAAACATTACCTTTCCATCTTGCATCAGTTTCCCGCGGTACGACGGTGTAATGAGTCGTTATTTTGGGTACAGCTTCACTTGAGCAAAGTCTGTTATGTAAGACTGGTCGCAAGGCTAAACGAAATAACAAGAAGACGAACACCGTAAGATCAAGCGCGGTGTGGCAAAAAACGAACGAACGACTGACTTTGTACCTCTGTGCCCACTTTTACCAAGACTCAAGACACGATTGTTCCACATGTGTGCGTTAATCAATAGTTGAGAACCAAAGCTAAGGAAAGTGTGATATGAAAGTCCATCGATGAAGATTATCAACACAGGAAACACGCAACAATCCAAAGGTCGAACTTTGCGCACGTAGAGTTGTGCGTTATACCGCTGAGTAAAGCATCTTGACCGAAGAGAAAACGAAGTTTTACGAACGTTTCACGACTGTAACACGAACCTCAACGAATAAACAAGCTCCGACAACAATATTATTTTGATTGGGAAATTGGCGACTGGAATGTTTCGAAGTGAAAGTAACAAGAGGAAACGAACGATTTGTGGCTTGATTTTCCTTCCAACTCTATGATTTAAGGAACAATTATTCCGCGCGTTGACTTATTACGCGCATTGATTTTGCGTGGCATAAGTACTTTGCTTTCAATGTGTGTTGGAACTGGAAATGTCCGCAGCTGGTTACGACCAGTCGTCATTTCTTTGTATTTTGTGGTTCTATGTGTTGCACTTCCCCTCACTGTTTGGGAATTGCACAGATTCAGAGCTGAAACTCACGTGCAAGCCTGGTTTATCGCAGGATGTTTTGTTTTTTTGACAATTCCCATCTCCCTCTGGGGAATTGTCCAGCATATGGTAAATTATACCAAACCAGAGTTACAGAGACGAATTGTAAGGTAGGTGGAAAAAGGGGGAATGTTTACCTTCAGTTTCTTTAATCAAGAATCAGCATCATACTAATATCGTATACTGTTTTGGGGAAGGTCCAGAGGTCAGTATTAAGACTTGTGACAACTGCCTTAGGTGGTTTCATAATTAAGGGATGGTGATGAACACTGAAAGGTCTCCATGGTGATCTGTCTTCGCATGATGACGACCTCCCTTTGAAAGTTTTGGAGACCTTCCATAGGAGGTGTGGTGGCTGAACTCAACTGAAATCAAGGGGTTTTAAAGGGAGCCCTTTGGATAGAGTACTACCAACAGAGTAAGACCTTTACTGATGCAAGAAATGATTTTTCAATTTGTTTGTTCACAGAATTATTTGGATGGTTCCAATTTATGCAACAGATAGTGTAAGTAAAAGTTTTAATTTGCTGTGTAACATTCATAATCTGTGTTAGAAAGTATAATAAAGAAAAAAAAGGTTTGACAGGGAACTGAATCTCAGACCTTCTTATGTCTGGGTGGATGCTCTGCCAATGAGTTCCCAGTGGCAACATCATGTCTGGGATTTTAAAAGTATAATAGTTAGTGTTCTCAATCTTTTATTTTAGTGGCTAGCTCTTCGTTTTCCAAAGGCAGCTATATACCTGGATTCCCTGCGAGAATGCTATGAAGCTTATGTGATATACAATTTTATGACATTCTTGTTGGCATACCTCAACATTGAATATGACTTTGAAGAGAGACTATCCCGCAAACCTCAAGTAAATCATTTTTTTCCATGCTGTATCTTGCCACCATGGAAGATGGGCAGGTGAGAAAAATCTTGGATTTTTCTTGTGAAACTCAAATTATTGAATGTAACTATACTTGAATCCTATAAAGTGCATTTTGTTATTAATGATTGCTGGAAAATATTTCTATTCTTATGAAAATTGGATTATTCATTTAATCAAACTCCTGTACCTAACCACATAGAACACGGAATCAAAATTGTTTCTTTGTATCATGAGACAGGTCATGATAACTTTTTTTAAATAAACTTGTAGTGATTGTTGTATTGACTGAATACTGCCAGTCTTCTTAAGGTGATAAGAAAGATTGGATATGCATCATCTTATGAACCATCATGCTTTGCTGCAATTGACTGGTAGAACTGAGCCTGTCAAAGCCTGAATTTCCTTTGGCTTATTTTTCTGCACTCTCTTCAGGTACAGTTCACCTGAAATAACAAGTCAAATTTTTCTTTTTCCAAGGACATTGATTAATAGGTGTAAACAAGGTGCCTTATCTTACACAGTTATTAGAATCCTGACAACTGCGATTGCTTTGTAAGTATCACAACTGACTTGCTATTGTGTTTGCAAAAGTGTATTTTGAGTTACATTCAAACTCACTTTTCCCTTTCATTTTTTCCTTTTTTTTGGCAGCTGTACAGAATTAGCTGACAAATACCATGAAGGAGATCTGAGCTTCAAATCTGCATGGAGTTATATTGTGGTGATAAACAACTGTTCACAAGTGGTATGCATATATTTCTGGGAAGACTCTAACTTTGCTTATTATACTTAGGCCTGGCCTTAGGCCTGGCCTTGTTTGGCAGTCAAAAATTGGTGTTTTTTTGTTTTGTTTCAGTGGGCGATGTATTGTTTGGTGTTGTTCTACAAAGCAGCTCATGATGAGCTGAAGCCTATAAAACCCTTTGGAAAATTTTTGTGTATAAAACTTGTGGTTTTTGCATCTTTCTGGTGAGTGATTTTTAACATGTTACATCATAATTAAGCGAAAAAGTAGCTTTCTCTATTTACTGGTATCCATGCAGGAGACATCAAGGTTGTAGCTAGAAATTTCTAAAGGGGGATCCCATTGTGTGACACCCAGACTACCTACCCTGTTGTCATACCAACATTCATTTTGTGTTTTACTACAGACAAAAATTTTCTCCTAGCCTCCCTCACTAAGAAAACATTTCACGAAGATAGATTTAAAATCACTGTTCCTTTAGACCTTACTATAAATTTGCATTAGAATTCTACATTTTGTGTTTTAAAATTTGTTTTCATTCTTAGGCAGGGCGTCTTAATCGCTGTTTTGGTTAAGGTATGCCTCAATACAAATTAAAATGTTCTTATTATTAATTCATGATATGGTTAGAACAGAATGCCCCTCAAAAAAAGAAGATATTGTTCCTTGCAGAATTGTCTTTGAGATGGTAACTGATCCTCAAAAAAATTTGAACTAATCTTGAGAATGTTTTGTAGGTAAACAAATGGGTTTGACATGTCTATGAGTCTAGTTTAGAATTAAATTGCAACAAAGTTTATCACAATGGCCAATCAGAGAATACTAAAAATCACAAGGAACTAATTATAAAATTGTTTTTGTAAATATTGTCTATTACACCAAAATGTGAAAGACCAAATGATGATTGATTTATGTCTCGCATCTGATTGATTGGGCAGATGGCACAAGTTTCCTATACCAATCACAGGTCAATGCATTAAACCAATTCAACACCAGAGTGAAAATTTCCCTATTGCACTCTGCTGCCTTTTTACCATCCTACCAAAAAACAGAACCTGTTTTTTCTATAGGTTGGGGTGATATCAGAGAAACACACTTGGGTCTTTTACACTGTGGAGGATGTTGCCAGCGGCATTCAGGTAAGGAAGGGTTCAATAAATGAAGTATAAGAGTTAATGAATTGCCACTTGGGGATTAGCGATAGGGCATGCGCTACATGTGCTCTTTCTTGTCATAAATAGACTGTTCCTTTGAAAATTGGAATCATATGACAAGCTGAGTTATGCACATATTTTGATTGGCTTTTTCACATGATCTATTTGAGGACATTTGCATAGACGGCATCAGTATTAACAGCATTTTTTAAAATTTTATCAGGATATTAAACCAAAGAGATTCCATGTTGCCATGGGTCTGTAACAAAATAGATCACAGAAGTTATCAAAAAGGGTTAGAACATAAGTGAAACACTTGGCTGCACCTTGTGTGCCTGTTTTTTGTTCTTTCCACATTTTGACATCACCTGTGATATATTTCTGAACAAACACACAGTAAAATTGAATCTGTGGAAGCTTAGTCTCTATGAATCTATGATTAGTCTTCCCTTAAAAAAGCTTTTGTTGAAGGACCAAATTCAACCAATTGACAAGTGTATTATGATGGTGTTCACAACATGGATTCCCTCTTATGAAACCAATCTTTGATTGTCCCTGCTACTTATCCCCTTTCTCTTGAAGAGATGGTACATCCTAATGGTACATCATAATCCTTGGCTGTGGCCCAGCTGGTTAAACCCTGACACATCAAAATAGCAAGCAGGAGTTTACAGACCAAAATCATAAGTGACTTAAAAGAACTTCAGATCAATATCAGTATCTGGGCAACTGCCCACCTACCCCTCCCCTAACCCAACATTAACCCCAACTTGTTATCAATTGACTATTGTTGAGGTTGGGGAGGGGTAGGTGGGCAGTTGCCCAGATACCGATATTGATCCAGAACTTCTGTAGCACCCAGGATACTTCTACCTGGTTAAGTCCTGCTTTGAAATCCAAAGACTGGTTCCTCTGAACATGTTATTAGCCACTACTATCAGTTCCTTCCTTTTTCTGCTTTTAGACTCCTAACATCATAAAACTAACTTATCCTAACCGAATACCCCAAATTTATTACTTGGCTAACACTGAGAATTATGCATTATCTCCTAATAATGAAAATTTTGCAGGCAGTTTGAAGACAAAAATTTTTTAACCTAATTAGGCAATCACGTAAGCTACCTTACAGATGCAAACTCCCTTTTTACTTTTGTTTTTATATAGGATTTTATAATTTGCGTTGAGATGTTTATATTTGCCATCGCACATTATTACACCTTCTCTCACAAACCGTACGTGGATCCAAATTCACCCCCTCCCCCGTGCTGTTCGTCGTTTGTCTCTATGTGGGACGTGACAGACGTTCGTGACGACCTCGTGCTGCAAGTGCAGAGCGTGGAGAGCACCGTGAGAGGTGCAGTCGACGTCGTGCGGAACAAACGTGGTCAAAACGCAACGAAGGGAAAGGGTAACAGTACCGAGGCAACGCCCTTGTTGACAAGACAGACCTCTGTGGATTCATCGTCTGATGAAGCGCCCGTCATTCCTTGAAAACTGCACGTTTCGAACGCTCGATCATGGCAATTAAAGTAACTTAATGTGTCAAGACTAACAATGCGTCTCTCAGGTCGCGTTTATACTAATTTAAACGAATTCGAAAAGGGACAAAAAAAAGCTAGATTTATTGATATTTTCTGTTTTCACTTTTAATTTTAATAATGGAATTAAATTATTGAATAATTAAGTAATGTTACCATTCATTGAATTTTGAATGAAGGGAAGAAAGCAAAACGTCACCCTTTGACTCCGAAGATCTTTCTCCGTGGTTCTTCGCACTGTCTGTTATACAATTCTTATGTTGTCAGTTCGGAGATTTTTGTGCTGGATCAACCAATAATCCCTTACTGATATTTTCGTTTATTCTCATCACTTGTCTGCTTGATATGGTATTGATATAGTAAGAAGAAATTCTGTCTTGGTCATTCCTTGGAGTTAAAGGGTCAAGTCTACGCTAGAACAGATAAGGCCGTCAACCGCAGCTACTTATAAACCAAACCAGCAATTACAGACCGAGTTTATGTAATTCCTTCAAATATACACACGTAAACACACACGTTCTTTGAAACTGAAAGTGTTACGTCACGTGAAACACTCTGTCGAGTTCCGTCTCCTATCGGCTGTGTACTCGTTATAAAAGCAAAGGTTGTATATTTAATGAGGAAGTCTCATTGCCACCTTGTTCTACGTCGTGGTATAACTTTAGGATGCTAAGTGTAAGTATTCGTACCTTCAAATAATTTCAGTCGCACGCACACATTATTTAATTACGTGATTTATTAGTTGACAGTGGGAACGTCTATGCTTTCACGCCGGCTAACACAAAATGAATACTTTTTTTTTTTTTCAAAGAGAAACTATTGTCAAGGAAGCGAGCGCTGTTGTTGCCGCTGATGTTGAACCATGAAATTTGCCAGCATCATTTTTAGCATGGCATTTTCTTTCTCAAGTTCCTCCATCTTCCTTGCGACCAAGCGATCTTTGTCTCTCTTCGCTTGCCGAGATTTTCTCGCAGACATGTTGTTGCGTGATCGATTTCTCCAGTATTTCTCATCTTTGCATTCATCCGGGACAGAGTACCTGCTTCTTTTCCATTTCTGATCAGAAACGCAATCAACAGAATCTAGGTTGTTCCTATCCTTTGGGTAAGAATGAGGAGAAAAATGACATTCGAAGGTGGCAACCTCTGTTGGAGAAGGACCGTAAGCATGTCTAGGTTGTACAGGGTTGAAAAACGTAACAGCAGCACCAACTTGACAATCCACACCCGCGTTCCTGTATGACGTCATCATATTACGCTGGTGATCCTCTGCAACATTTGTCTGTGAACCTCCTTCTGTTTGAAGAGATGAATCCAGGTTCTCAAGCCAATCAATGGCAGAGGAAGCCATATCGAGTCTGGTAAGTTCAGGTGTCAGTTGGAAATCGCAGTCGACACTAAGGGGGCTGTATAACTGAAAGTCATAGTAATCCTTGCCGTCGTCTGAGAAGACCGTTGAACAGGGTGAACTTCTACTTGATACATTTTCGGGAGATGGCAAATTTTGACAGAATCTTTCTCTGCCTGTCAGGGGGGTATAAAAGAAAAATTGAAAGATTGCGTGCGTTGAATTTTTATACATTATAGAACCCAAATTGTTAAAGGTAAACTGAAACATTTTCTACCTTTCTCGACCTTAATTCTGTACTGAACATACGAGGCCAAGGTTTCCTCAAACACCAAGCTTACTTTTTAGTCTGACCTCTTTGTACTAATCTCGTGTGCTCAAGCGGAAAATTAAAATCATCAATCTTTTTTTGAGGTTATGCTTCAGAGATACGACGCTTGAATCCCGAAATCTCCAATATCTACGTGCTACTTATTCTAAAATTCAAGAAAGACGCATTTTTAAGTCGAGTAGTTCCATGAAACTGTTATTTTTTAAAACCTGGTCCTTTCATCGTCCACATAAAATTTTTAAGTGTTACTTTAGTTTTCGTTTATCGTTGATAATTTAATCGGCATCTTCAGTTTTTCTTGAAAGTGAGGAGAATTTATGGTCTTATCATTCATGGTAGTGAGTGGGATTAAAGTCTTTGTGCATGGCGTCATTTAGAGAAGTACTTTGTGTTAAGGTATATATGGTATGGTCAGGATCTTCGAACTCGCACATTCCACACGCTTAAAACAACATAACAATTGCATGTTTTCGAAGGACAGCATTAAACCGGCTCCCGCAATAAAAAAAAATAGATGCTTTAAAATTTAGAGAGAGGTTTTAATGCTCGTTTTGTCACGAGTGTGCGACTAAAAATTCGACCCCCAAGAGGATTCCAATTTCACATCTCCGGTTTTGGCACACCTTTGCACCGCCTCGATTAAGGACCAGAGAGGTCTTTGATGGACAAGGCCATGTTACTAATCAGCCAAATACTTTTCCTTCTTTTTGCAGCTATCAAAACTTTATTTTGGCTTTCCTTTTTGGTAGATATTGTAATATATGTCGACCAGCCCTCTTGTTTCGCGGATTTGTTTTTGTTCCTGGTCAACATACCGTAAAATTATTATGAAATGAGTACATTTTAAATACCCGGTTTGCAAATCATTTACGAAGACCTTAAATATCAAGTGAAAGCTTCGAACAGGCAAATTGATGCTGACTCTAACGAAATTAGAATAAAGTACACTGCTTGCATATTGTTCGGCGTCATGGTGAGACAATATTTTAAGTTTTGATCATGAGACATTTTAATTTCAAAAAAACTCAAATCAGGGCCGCCCACACTATTCGGATTTTTGCATAAATTGGATTTATTGCAAAGCACTTCACACAAATGGGAGTTTTTAGTTTCTCGTGGACTGTTACAAAACCTAGCAAAATTAATTTGCCCACCGTAAACCGTAAATCGTGTGCACAAGGAGCTATGTCTTTGCCGATATCTTATATCTGGGATCCAAGATAATTAGCGAGGACTTTAATCTATTGTTTTACAAAAACTAGTTTTTTAAAAGTTGGGTTGTCGTACGAATTAACTTTAAATACTTGACGAAGGCTTAGGTTGTCAAAGAAAATAAATTCGGTTTTGTTCAGCCACAAAAATAAATATCATGTGGTGGAATTAGAGATTGTTTTGACCAAGGTTATTCACTCGTGATAGTTGGGAGTGCCTGCATGAATAGGATGAACTGCTCTCCGGGAAGGCATACGAAATTTCTAGCTGAGCTGTTGGATAAAGTTATCCCTCTTTTTAAACTACTATAATACAAACATTACCTGGGATGAATTTACGTGCAGCCATTTTTGAATTCTTGTAGTGGCTGCCTTAGTAAGATATCGTCCGTCGAGGCTTTGATCATCAACAAAAGCTATGACTTTTCAGCTTTTATTTGGAAGGTTCGAAGATATGCATAACTTGATGACTAAGAAAAAAAAGTTGACAATTGTAAATGGTTGAAATAAATTCAAAGAATTGGACACCTTTCTCCGGACTGATTTCCCTCGAGTATTTAAAATTCATTTATTGTTTTCATTTTGCTGAACTAGTGGTCTAGAGAACGAGACGGTGTAAACATTCAATTTGACGCCGTGGGCGTTAATATGCAGATAAGAAGAGTAACATGGAGCTAAAAGGCAAACATTTATGTTCTGACATTGAGTCATTTGTTAGAAAAACTCGATTATGTCCAGAGACGTCTGAAACTTACCGAAGATGACACGAAACTCGCCGAAGATGTCATCATCATTAACATCCTTTTGTTTAGTAGTGCAGGTGAAAAAAAATTGAATGCCAATAAGATCAACGTAGACCTATAATTTACAAAAATATTGAATCTCATATACTGATTGAACAGAGACTAATAAATAGGCACCCGTATTTATAGAATTTCTCTTCGAGTGTTCGACTCAAAATATCACGAGTGAAATGGTTATCCTGTTAGACGTATTTGCCAAATGTCTCATTCTTCTCAGGGCACCCACTTCTTTTGGATAGTTGTTTTGCTGTCCGAAAGTATTTCTAGTGTCTCGAAGGGTCAACACAAACTGGTCTCTAGTTCGGCCTCCTCTCTCACGAGTAAGGGTTTGACCGATGCGTATCGACCTTTCTTCACTCGTATCAATTCGGATTTGTTTTACGCGACAAAAATTTTTCATACGTGGCGGTCAAGGCTCTGATAGTTCGAATCTTTCCGCGCCATGGGCCTATTTCTTCAAAGTCACGGTAACATAACGGGCCCAAAAATATATTTTGAAATCGAAATTTAAAGAGTGGTGAAGCTGGCTCTGACGCTCTAACCAGTCCATTCATTTTCTTTATTTTCAAAACTTTTTAAAACCTATCTTGAAGGGAAACAGAATAGTTTTACGAGCCCGTTACGTTACCGGAACCTTCGAGAAACCAAAGTGGAGCCTAGGTTCGATCCTGTGGGGAGCGAAGTAATTCGGACGAGTGTTTAAACAGTCAGCGGAAAAAGACAGAGAGTTTCACACAGCAGGCTGACTTCGCTGAAAGAAGGACTGCTCATAGTCTGGTCAGATAGTTTACAGGTGCATAACTACTATCAGAATTTTAGCCTAAGTCCATGAATCCTTCATTTACAGATGATAAATGGCGGGAAAATTTGTGGTCGTGTCATCACTGTTATGGTGACATTAACGAAGGACAATGTAATTTCGAATGAAGTTGATTTTTCTAATATAAAATCATAATCTTTTAATCGAATAGTGATCATCCTTATCGAATGAAAATTATGTTTGTTCGCGTGACGTTGAATGTAATATCGAATGCCGGAAATTAGTTTTTTTTTTAACGAATTGGAATATTTCCAACGGCTTAAAACCCACAATTTATCAAATGCCAATATTCTTAAAGAATAACGTAAATCATTGATCTGGTGACATTTCTCACAATTCATGGAGGGAAATGAAATAGATGAAAATATCGAAATATCGAAACCGCCCAAGGTTAGAGATCATCTTTAATAGGGGCTTTCCCTGGATAAGAACAGTACTGTGAAAAAAGAGAATCGAAAATTTAGACGAGGAAGTGCGAGATGGAAAAGTTCTGTGAAATGGGAGTGTAAGAAAAAAATAATTCAACGGTTGAGCACGTAATAAATGCAGTGGTAAACGGCTTACTGAGATACTGAAAAGTGTTTATATCTTAAAAATTTGATATCGCCAATCACCGCTGAAAAACCTACCCGCATGTTACCCGCCTTTCGTATCACTCCAGTCTTCCGTCCAGTTGTTGAGGGAAAAGGAAAGCGTTTCTTGTCAGTGAAGGAACAAGATGATACATGGTTGCTTGAAGTTATGGAATTTATCTTCGCGTGTTCAACGCGATATCTCACGCGTTCGGCGCTGCGTTCACATGGGTGCTGAAAACGTACCCACTATCAGTGTAATCTGTAATCCCGGACGATGGGGGGAATCCTAGAGTCAAACGCAGTCAATTTCGAGATAACAAAAAAACATTTTTTTCATAAAAAATACAGCAGCACCGAAGAACAAAGGTAAACGCGCAACCAAAACAGAACGGCTGACTGCAATGTGCTGTTAGAGTTTATAAGAATGTCAATTTTGGAAAAAAGTTCAGCGAAATTTAACGGAAAGACCTGTGAATGTGCTTTCCTCCTTTCCTCTCCAAAGACCGCCTATTAATTTGCTACCAAAGTCTTACTAGTTTGTAAAATTTCATGGTTATCGAGACAGGACACCCAATTTTAACTGTCTAACCACAGGCTTGACAGCCTTTCTTCACGAGGACGGTCATGTGTTGTGGTTTTAAAGAACGATTTGTATTGCATAAGCCGAAACCAAAAGAGAGGCGAGTTACATAATCGTGCGTGACACGGCAGATATTAGATAAGATTGCTCCAATCTTCGGAAAATGGACTTCAACTTAATGGAAAATTTCGATGATAATTAAATTTTTGACTTTAAAACCTGATCGCTGCTAAATTGCCCGCATAGAAATTGGATCGCGGAAAGCTCAGTCACGCGCTTCGAAGTCACGACATTCCCCTAGACACGTGTATCGTCACACGTGGTTCGTTACACATAAATTTGCAATGTGACTACGTCTAAGCTGAAGAAACCGGAAACGTGAGATCCAACGTGAGTTTACCAACGTCGACCAATCAAATGTCTTGTTATGTAATACATTACATAAATGTTTGAAATTTAATTGATTCACACTCCTTTGTAATAGAAGCATGCACGTGTCTCTCGTTCGTAAATAAACTACCGGCGAAATAATTGTCACCAGTGTAGTCTTGAAGAGTCACCGAGTCATCGCGAAACTAGTTAGCGAGCGATTCAGATCTTGTGGCAGATTACCTTACGAGACGCCGTCAAAACTCATGGAGCTGCTTCAAGCACATGGAATTGAAAATTTTCACATTTCGGGTGAGAATATAAAATTTTGCTAAATATTCGTGCTATACTCTTGCGAACTGCCCGTCCACACATGGGGCGGTCAATTCAAAATAATAATTTACATCCGATACAACAGCAGTTTTCAATGGGGTACATTTTGCACTGGTATGAACGAAAATGAAACTGTCACTCGTGTTTAAAATTATTTTGGTGATGGGTTGAATGAAATATCGCCATCCGACGAGCTTGAAAAACCCTCCGGATCAAAGTCCTTTACTACATTGAGATATTCCTGGTCATTTTTTTTTAGCTGCAGTCAGGTATAACGTGGTGCGTGCAGTGTTACATCAGAGCGCGAGCCTTATTTTAAGGACAGCCCTACGTTTATGTTGTATCAAAGTGTAAATCTCTTATAGTCTTTTAACCAATGTCTGTGGCGAAAGATTTTACTTAACAAAATTAATATATTGCATCAACTTTGTCTCAACAAAGTTTTAATGGTTAACATGGCAAAAAAAACCGCGTAACTAAAAGGCAGAACACCTTTACACGGTACTCTTAAATTGTGGCATGGTAGTTAACAAAAATTTGGTAATTGTCGAAGTAGTTCTCAAGATTTCTGAAGAATTCTGACCTGAGGAAGGAAATACGCCCCTCCATCTCTTTCTCAATGAAGCAAAGTTTAACAAAACACTTTCAGGTTTACAACAATAGACCATGTTCGTTTGAAACAATTTCCAAACTCATCTGGCATTTGTTACTTAAGAGTATGGAACGTATTTCCATTTGAACCGGAGAACAGTTTTCTACAAGTTCCTTAGAAGTTTGTAATTAATTATTTCGGACAGAGGGTATAACAGTAGTGTATATCAGTGTAGAAGTGCTGCTTGTGGGCGGTTTCTTTGCGTGTTCAGTTTTGTGAAAAGTTGGGAACAACACTAGCAGTTACAGAGGACGACGCGGCTGACGCAATTCAGAATGTTCTTACATGATAATGTTTTATTGAATCTCAGTACAATACAGAGCTACTTATCACAGCCACACCTAGCTGATTCATATTTGCGCTGTTGCCTCTTCGGTGCTCATATTTCAATGTCCAAAGTTAATGTGCTCACCTACTTTTATCTTCAATTCAACAGAGAAGAACATGTCCGGGTTTGATGATGACGAAGACAGCGGTTTAAGCTCATCTCCTTCCTCTCCCGGTGTAGCGGACAATGAAAGCGATCCACAGTTGTTTGGATTTGAAAATGAATTGAGTTCGAATCTTGTGGATGCTCTCAACACGTGCCTCTTTGACGGCGAATTTCCCAGTAAACTGTATACTCACATAAAGATCAAAGAGGACGGCGACGATGAGCCCTGGCAAAGCGTTGCCTTTCCGGGTCAGCTTAGACACGATGTAGCTTCGCAATCACTCGGTAATTTATCCAGTTTATCGAGTGATTTCTTTGAGGAACCTTTCAAGTTATTGGACGATTTATTTGAGCCTTCAACTAGTGGAAAAGTCGACTATGAACGGTCAGGAAAACTGCCGTATCTCACTGAGGATAGTTTGAAGGAACCATGCCCTGATTACTCGTCGAATGATACTACTGACACTATTACGAACATTGTCGAAGAGCCAGCGATCGAAGTCGTTTGTTCTTCGGAAGATATTCGACGGAACTCACTTAAGCGCAAACTCAGAACTCGCAACAAAATCAGTGTTATCACTGATCACAACTACGTGAAACCGTTAGATGCAGCTGCTGAGGCTAACAGTGAGTTCGGTGATGATGATAAGATTACAGTGTCTGAAGATACAGAAGCGGAAGAGGAAGAAGATGATGACGACGAGGATTTTCAGCCAACTTGTTCAGCAAAGAAATCACGCCGCGCCTCTCCAAACCCTATCACGGGTAGAGACCAAAAGTACTGGGAACGAAGGAAAAGGAATAATTTGGCGGCAAAACGATCACGCGAAGCTAAACGAGCCCGCGAAATTGCGGTCGCCAAAAAGACTTCAACCCTAGAAAAAGAGAACAATACTCTGAGAAGGCAGGTTCAGAGACTGAAAGCGGCAATCTCTAAAGCTGAGAAAAAACTGCGCGCTATGGTGTAACAATGTTAGTCACTTTTAGAAGGATATATGAGTATATTTTCTCCCAATTTGCTCGTTACGTTGCGTTTTATTAAAAGGAAATTGCGTTCCATATTAGTTCAATATTCTTTCAGGATGCAAAGATTAGTTATTCTCAGCGCTATAGTTTATGTATTCATCATGAAAAATTCATTCTTAATGCGTCAAGGAACGCTTGTCATCTGTGAAACACTTGGTGTAGTATTCATGTTCAAATGTATCCTTCAATCCTGTGTAAATATATCGCGACTTTTGAACAGTATACGGGCTGGACTTTCTTTGACTCATATTCCCATTTAAGGAAAATTAAGGCTCAAAGCGCTAAAATCGTGGTTACATGCCCGATTCAATTTCACTTGGTCAGAGAAAACTCTCTCTGTAAACCAGACTACTTGGCGAGGTAGGAATGTGGCAACCTCGCTTCCAGGTGTCGTGTTAACCTCGAGATGGTGAGATTGGTTGGGTTGAGAGAGATTAAAAGTATCTGATTCGAAGCACCAGAAAGGAACTTAAATCACGCTTCTAAATTTTAGATCTCGAGCACCTCTAACTGTATCGCTGGTAGCTAAATAGCCTTATTATTAGGGACGACAATTATGTTGTGTTAACAGACGGACTTAGAGAGAGACTGAGTAACGACAGTGCGAAGATAGCGCGCATCACGGCATTCGCAAGAAGCTAGCGTAAACCAAGCATACACCATTTATACCGGCTTTTTCCTCCTATCTATTCAGAGGAGACAATCCACTTGACCTTCCTTGTCTATCGTGCACTTTCCTTGTCGCTTGGTTCTGTGAAGCAAAAGCTTGCGCAGCGCTCCTCAGTAGTAATTAATGAAGATGGAAACACCTGCGCAAGTTAGCTGGTTTGCTTTTGAGCAACTAATTAGTTTCGAAGTATATTGACGCAGTACGGAACCCCAAATTTAAACTTCTACCAGAAAGTGGCTATATTATCGCGGCAAAATGCGCAAGGAGTTCGAAGTGCGTGGACATCGGCACCGGCAAGCTTGAAGAATTTCATGCCAGGATTAATTTTACGTAACGTGGCAATTTTATAGAAGCTTCTGGTGTTCGGTCTTTTTGATAACTTTCCTAACCCAAGCACAGTTTTTAACTGACAGGCTCAAAGTAGTTCAAAAAACAAAGTCACGGGTATTCCGGCCTTAACTCTTCGGTCAAGGAGAGAATCGCAAGCAAGGGTGCCGGCCGAACACCAATGACCAGGTCATTGTAACTCACTAAACAACTATTTCGCGAGGGAAAAACAAACAAACCAACAAACAAAGAGAGCAATTTCTGGGTAGCTATTTGTGTTTCGGATTTTGAAAAAACATTTGAAAATAACACTGGGCCTTCAAAGAATAACTAATTTTGCCCTTTGTTTAAAAATCCTCTCAGTCTCTTTTCGACCAATTTAAAAGTTTGCAGGTGAGATTTGTTGCTTTCCTCTAGAAAAATCTTTTCCGCTTAGCTTCCTAGTTTACGGCAAAACAAATCAACCTTTAAACAGGCAAAAATAACTTAGATATCCAGGTTAGCCAGCGTCCACCGTTGGATGCAAAACGGATCGAGAAGGAGCCAGCCAATAAGGACTTATGGGGGAAGATGGCGGAAGAGGATAGGCCGATACGTACTCCTCCTCCATTTTCAGAAGGAAGGTAAAATTCAAGCGGGCCGACTATCCTCCACTCTTTCTATCCCTTTCTCCCTCTTAAGAACCCTTTGACCCCTAGGAGTGACCAGCGTATGATTTCTCCTAACTTACACTTGCATCACCCCTGAATGAAACATGAGAATTAAGGTATCGATCACTAACTAAAAAGCCTTTTAATGGTTAAAGAAATTCTTCTCGTTAAAATGTTCATTCTGATGTTAGGGTGTTAAGTGATCCAACTGCAAGTAAACAGCTTGGCCGAGGAAGGTCTGGGTTCAAGACAAGTACCCAGACTAGTGAATGGTTTCAGTTCGTTTACCGACAGAAATGACCAGAAATGCACTTCTCTACGTTTTGAAAACCCCTTTTTTTTAATGACTGCTGTCAATCACCTCCTCAGCTTTTCCGACAAACATCTATTGTGCCTCGTGTGACTAGTGGGAAATTACATTGGTTTTGATTCTTTACGCACAAAGATTTTTCTAGAACTTTAAATAACTCACACCTCCACAAAGTGTTTAGGCATTTGCGGTTTCTCATGCCTCAAGAAGTTTTGTTTCGTTTTTTTCATTTTGAGGTCTTGTAAGCAGCTTTTGTGATGCTATATTTGCCTCGTTTCAATTTTTATTTCGAAAGGAAGCTCAACACGAGTTTCCTTTGCGTAAAACCAGCCACTCGCGTTAAGCGTGGGACGAGTGTTAAAAATCACGTTTTTGCTTCTTCAACACGCAATACCTCGTGAACTTTATGGTGTGAGGGCAGTGGTGCATGGTGAGTGGCATGATTAGTTCTCACAGGAACTGTTCAACTTTGCATAAAATTTTGATAATTAAATCGCAATGAAAGCAAAAACAGGGGAAATTAGATCTAAAAAACAAGAGGACAGACGCTCCACGTAAAACTGTAACTTTGCATGATTTCCCAATTTGATTGAATATCACTTGGGTTTAACCAAAAAGTCGACCTATCTTTCTCTTCCGATATCCAGGCTAGCTGAGCACGTTTAGCATGTTTAGGGCGAGAAAAACAAGAATCAACCCCGGTTGCCGAGCGTTAACTGGATCTGGACGCGAGAAAACCCGTTTTTCAGAAAAATCCTGGGCGCTTTGAAGAAGCTTTGCGTAACTGTAATAGTTGGTCAACGTCGTTTGGTGTTAATTTTTTATAATGGAAACTATTCCTGTTCTCTGTGAAATTAAATCATGCAGCCGGTTACGTAACTGGTTCGCGGTATCGAGTTGTAGATGAGTATTCTTGCGTGGCCGAACTCACCAAACCAAATTTTTTTTGCGTGCGCGATTTCATTTGGAACCTATTGTTGCCACGCAATGTGCCCTCCAGGAACCACTGCTAAAGTGACCTCTTTAGCCTTTTTTTGTGGCCAAAAAAAAAAGGTAAAAAAAAAAAAAAGCAAACCGCTAATATTGCGAAACTGGATCAACCGATGTGGAAAGATCTTTGAATGACCTTAAGGTTCAAATTTTTTCCGTTTAGTCACGCATGCCACTTAGGGTCTTACGGTGGTCCGGTAAATGTGATTTTCGTAAGCCTAGCAATGTAAATTTTAAGGATTTGGAGCTCCTAAAAATATATGTTCTATCAATGCGGTTTTCTCTGCTGATTATTAATGTAAACCCCTGAAGAGACGGTTTTTTTGTGCGGGTTGCTATTTTTGTGAGAAATAATTGTGGTTGGCCCATCTTTAGGTTGCATGCTCCTGACACAAAATACAAAAACCGTATCACGGTCTTTAAATCCGCAAAAAAGAAAATACTTTTGAATGAAATATCAAAGAAACCGTTTCATAGATGTTGGTCTCTGCAGGTTCGATCACCTTCGCCTAGAACATGGAGACCAAAAAATTTTACCTCGGAAAAGTAAGACAAAACTAAATCTGCTTTTCGCAAGCGAAATCTGTGGTCAGGATTAAGAGCGATGTGAAATCCGAAAGAAAAACTTCAAACCACAATTTGGGTAAATTATAGAAATTCAGCCAAATCTTGGCCCACGAAATGTCAAAACAAGTTTGTCTGGGAGATACCAACGGCGGAAACTAGATATTTGCTTCTTTTGCCGTGAAACTACTGCACGTGAAATCACATGTACGTCTTCGCTTGTGATTGGTCTAGCCGTTACGCATGAGGAACTGGCACTAATTATCCCATGACGCGTATAGCAATGACGGAGCCAGGCAATAGAAAGAATCACTGGAGTAGGGACGATGAGCTACAATGAAAAATTCTCCATAATGTCGAATTTTTCGATGGTATCGACAATTTTTAAAAAAAGATATTAGACTATATCTACTCTGATTTTCTGACAGCTAACTGGAATATCTTTATGGCTATTTCTTCTTCTTAATGCATAGGATAAACATATCCCTACCCCCTACTGGTAGGGGATCGGAACTCCTGCTCAACCAGGTTGGCACTAAGAAGCCGTCGAGACTATCACCGTCAAGCGAGACCAGCATCGTGTGTTGTTATAACTTGTTTTTCGTTTCCAAAGATGTAGATTCAAATATATTTCGTAGCATTTCGTTTTCTTGGCAGAACATTACCAAAGCGTGAAACCTTCGAGAGCTTCAAGAGGCTGTGAAATAATTTTCTATCGGAGAAAGTCTTGTTTCATTTCGAGAGTTGTCAGTTCCGGGATAGTCGCGTTAAACAGTAGCTCAACGGGCCGTTGCTTTCGCTTATTTTTCCCTTTCTGGGAGCTGGAAAATCGATTTGAGGAGTTTGGTTGAGTTTTAATTGGACTGTAGAGGGTCCTCAGTGTATGGATATGGTTGTCAAGATTATGCAGGCCCGCTTTCCCTCTCAATTTGACCAAGAAAAGTACTCTACTCCTTTGTTTAAGAATTTACGGGAGAAGGCAAGGAAGAGAACTGCTCACGAAGCGTTTTCTAAAACTGCGGACGCCCTCGATGATCTTGAACTAGCTCCTAGGATTAAACGTGTCGTTCGGCGGCCACCGCCTGCCTTAACGATATATGTACGCAGAGAGAGCGAGAAAGCGTACAATGCTATAATGCTGGAAGAAGTAACAGTCGAAAGTTTAAAACTGGCGTTGTCTGAGAAGTACGGCACTCCGTCAGATTCAATCACGAGTTTCGCTCTTCGATGCAAAGAAGGGTAAGTTGAATTTAATCTCGTTAGAGAGTGGAGATTTCACGATCTTAGTCCTAAATCAAAAATGAAAGGCAGGAAGTGTGTACGAAGGGGAGTATCGAAGTTGTTTATTTTTAGTATACTTACGCATGCTAGATGATCGTATGTGCACGAGTTTACGATATTTTCCCCTCGTGAGCTGTCGCTAGTTTTTGCTCGAAACAGCTGACCGTGTTTAGTTTGTGTTAGAAGTCATTTTGCTTACTTTGTTGTTCAGTTCTGCAAGGTGAACTATTGAGACGTAAAAGATTTGCATTCTCTCCATATTAGTCGTAGCGAGTTTTGCGAAACAATAGATTCGATTTTCATTTATATTGCATACTTCAAGGGTTTTGAATTTATTCGAAAAATAAAGCATTGATTCTCATCCTCCCTTTCAATGTACGAGGCGCTTCTGAAGCTTATTTTGCGTGTTTGCTGTCATGATTTTTATGGCGTATCTTTCGCTTCACTCGCGTTTGCCGGCCTGGGTTAGCTCATAGTTCATGTTTCTTGGCACGTGGTAACTTGTTATTCCAGTTTCTAACCGGTTTATTTACTCCTCCATTCATTTCTTCGATCGATGAGTATTTCTTTCAAATTCTGAGTTTGGCTTTTTGAAGGTTTTTCTTTTTTGTTAGTACTTTTGGTTCGACTGATTAAATCTTGTTTACTGTTGCATTTACTCGTCAAAGCTGATTGTCGTGTTGATCCGGTTGAAAGGAATGATTCCCAGAACTCGTTACCCTTGTCATGCTATTATATTCGCTTGTGGCTTTGTTGTTGACGTTAATTGTAAATTATTTCATGAAAAAGGCTTTTATTTATCTTAATGAATCGTCGAGATTTTTATGTCAAGGGAGTGAAATCGTGACAGTGCAAGTTTTTTTTTTACTGTTGTTGTTTTTAATTCCATCAACAATAACCGACAACGAGATCTCAACGGGTTTTTTTGGAATGTTTCTTTTGAGAGTTCAAAGTTCGTTTGGTTCTGTGCATTGTTTAGGTGTTTGTGTCGTTATTTTCTAAGTGAAGGCCAACCATTTAATACAATTTCTAAATTATTGTCCCATAAATTTTCATCAAAATTTCACGCTTACTTCAGTTCTTGGTCTTCAGATTTTAACAATTAACATTAAAAGTTTGTTTACAACGTCTAACTATTTTGATTTTTCTTCTTAATGTGACAGTAGTTTTGTCTTCTTTTTTGTTGTGAACAAATTCCACATTTTGGAATACAGTAACTACGTTTTTAAAACTTCTTGAAGGTTTATACCCTCAGTATTTGCGTAGGGTAAGATTTGGAACTTTTTGGCCTTGTCTCAGCATGTTTGTACTGACTATACAATAGTTTTCAATGAACCCCTTCCCTTGCTTCCTGCCTTTTATTGCAATTAGATATAAATTGTATAATTGGAAAATGCCAAAGTGATGTCTTTTCTACTCTGACAACAACACTGTTTTTGACATGTTGTTAAAATTTTTAAAATTTACACTGTCATAATTTGGGAGATGTTAGTTTGCCCGGCAAATTGTTCTTGTTTCATGCAGTAGAAGAGTATCAGTTTGGTACAATAGTAAAAGTTATTTTTACCTAGTGCTATTCACAGCATGGCTCATGTGACATGGCCATTTGGAAAAAAATGAAAAATATATGTATTTGCTTCTGCGATATTTCAAAGGAAGGTTGTTGTGGCTTATTTGACTTTTGTTTTCTTTGTGCCATTCTGTGAATAAGATCTGGATTAAAAGGGATTAATGGAGCAAGTTGGGGCTGTTTGTGTGCATATTTGTGGTTAATTGACTTAACAGTGCTAAACCATGATTGTAATGGAATTAGTGTTGATGCTTAAATGTTTTAGTAAGCCATGTGTATAAGTCTGTTTGTCATTGTACTGTATTTTTGACATGTGTTTATTGACCGCTGGGGGTATTGGAAGGGTTGGAATGAGTAAATAGTACACATTTCAATATCCCACCATTTAATTTCTGACTTTGTGATGCAACCCGACATGTATACTTAAATGTGTCCCACAAACAAGTATCATTGCACAAAGTAGCATTGACATGGACTTCATAAATGACAAACTGGGCAAATTCAATTAGGATGATCTGTTTTGTTTCATGTCCCCATTGTTTTGAATTTCAAGGTTGCAGTCTGGCAGGTCATGCGCTAATTGGGATATTGACTTGTATAATTTATCCATGCTCAGTGGTATACTTTAATCTGGGAATATAATCCTTTTGATTGTTGCTGTTTTGATTGTAGCTAATGTTCCTCCTCAGTGCAAGGCTGACTGGTACAGTACACAGTTTGTTAGCTTTGATTTATGTTCCTTCACTGCATTTAGCATGGTTTACTCTAGTCCAAAAGTATGAAAATAAATTTCTAGTTATTAATATTTGGGCTGGGGTCACACTTACCCTGGCATCATTCCAAGCTGTGGCTCACAAACATTCTTCTTGCTGTTGATTGTATAACATAAACATATAAGCCATCTTAAACAGGTACAAATTCAATTGTTGTGGTTTTGCAAAGTCAGGCCTAATTTCTTACACAGCTTCTGTGTATTTAGTATAAATCTAAACTCCATATCAAAATTTTGTAGGGTAATAAATTGTTAAATTTAAATGAAAGACTCTGGTTTTTGAAGAAACAAAGACAAAATTATCTCTACCCTAAACTTTGCTTGTTTTGTAAAGTAGTGTACTTAGATGCAGTAAATGAACTGATAAATAAAAATAACCCAGGAAATAACCAGAAGAGAAGAGGATTGAAGGCTTTGACACACATTTGAAATTGCCAACTTTCCATCTGTAAACAATAGTTCAAGGGAGGTCTGAGGTACGAAATGTTTATGAATACTCAATTTTGGTTGAAGTGAACATGGACTTCCAAGTTATACAGGGTTTTTCCGAAAAATAAGCTGTCATATCTAATTGTAGATGAAAATACAGAAGAATTTTTTTTGATGGGTTGACTCAGTAATTTTATTTCACTTTGGAGTGCAGAAATTTAACATAAAATTATGTCATATCTAACAAAGTAAAGGATGTAGAATGATGCAGGTGGCACAGTTTGGTATTGTGGAATTTTTTGATCGATTGTTCTGAAGTGTGACCCCAGCCACTAGAAAAAATGATTGAAAAATAGTCTTTGCAGTATGGTGATTTTGCTTGGTTCTCAAATTGAGACCATCAATCCAAGCAGGCAGGTACTCTTTGAGGAGATATTTTCAAACCAGGAAAGTTATTTCCTTGCTCCCAATTCATTTTACGGCATCCTGTTTTCTTTTTGAAATTGTGATGGCCTTGGTTTCCTCAATAACTGAGAGCACTAGAGGAAAATAGACAAAGTGACACAACAGTTTGGAATCTAGTTTTACTGCGGAATTGCATGGTGAATGTAAATAGGTTTTGTACGTTAGTTTATTGTTTGAATTTTGCAGCAACTGAGTGGGCACAGTTGGTAGGGCCTCCTGGACGTCTGCAGATGGAGTTTTGCACACCTTCGAAGTTGCAGGGTAGCATAACATTTAACAGAATTTTAAAAGAACGCTAGCCATACCAAAGCAATTTTATTGTAAAAATCTCAAACCAATCTCAAAGAAATCTGTTTCTATTGTTGCTATCTAATTGTTGGTCATGAGTAGTCCAAAAGAACTTATGTTGTTAGTATCTGTTAATTTTGCTGAAGGGAGTTTTAACATTATATACAGTTTGAATGGAAAAGGAAAAAAGAAAGAACATTCAGGAACATTTTCTGATTGACTATTCCAGACATAATGTGGAAGCCAACATAAATCTGTAATTGGCTTTCAGAACTGCAGTTTTACATGAAATTCTTCCCTTTGCAAGCTTGGCAGTTGAGAAGTATACATTGATATAATGTTAAACTCCACTTAATTGCACTTTTGTGTCAAAAGTCAATGCTGCAAGGGTTCACAGTTTGTAGTGCTTCATATCCATTGAGGTAGACATGGTTACAAAAGTCTTGAAGGGACTCAAATAAGACTGAATTTGTACACTCTTGTTTGTCTGCTTTGATGATTCTGTTTGGATTTCTTGAAGAAATCTAACCTCTATAACCTTTCACTCACCAAAAAAGATCATGTTATCAAACAGAAGTCCTATTTATTTAAATTTTTGTAACAGTGTCTGTCTCAGGAGTGGTTCTTGTCAGAACTTAAGTAGCTTGGTGTGCAAGTGATAGTGTGTTGTCATTGTGATGGTTGGGGGAGAATATTGTTTCATGTTGCTTTGTGTGGGCTTTGATCAAACTGCGCTTGAATACAAGAGCAAGTGACAAATAGCATATTTACAAGCTATCTGTGATCCTACCTCCTGTCATTTTGGTTAGCCAGATACAGTTTGTTTTGTTGGCTTGGTTTAAAATTTATTTTCTTGACTATTTTGCTCTTGAAGTGACAAGTGGTGAGGTTTTAAGCAATAGTAAATTTTAGTTGCTGCTCTTTTGGTTTATCAGCAATGTGTTTGCTATAGTTTCTTGCCCTTGTATTAAGATTCAGTGGGAGATAACAGTGCATAGAATATTGTTTGTCTAATACAGCTTTTCTTATGTGACATATAATTTTCCCTCAATCTGGCTAAATAAATACAAACATTACATAATATGTGAAATTTATTTGAAACCAATCAGTTCACTGTAAAACAATATGTAAAAAATTAAAGCAGCAAAATTTCACAGGGTGAAATTTTAAATTTTGACACCCAGTCTTCTATGCACAGATGTGATGTTGCATGATTGTTTTGTACTGATGTATTCCTTCTACAGTCTCATTTTACAAATGATAGAAACATTACTCTAAACCCTTTGCTTTGTGATTATTATCTTGTAGGACTGCCTCGGAAATTGATGATAAAGCTGTGGAGGCCTTTGTCGATGAGGATGATTTTATCATATCCTTAGACTACAATGAAAAAATGGGAGTTTGCAGTGTAGTCTTGGAGACATCAAGCTGACAAATAGTGTTGGAGGTTCATGACCTGGTTTTCTACTTTGCCAAGTTGGAGGACATAATTTACAAGTTATATTGACTTTGCATATTTTGTGGAAGTTCACTGCTAGTTATGTCAACAAGGAGAAATATATATACAGTATGTTTCTTTGTGATATAAGTTGATTGTAAGAGTGGAATTTCTCTGTAACATGGTGTTCAGGAGGTTTTTCTTTTCTGGAGTAACTTATTACTATGAGGAATTTTCAATCATGCAACTCTGATAATATATCTAGCATAACTTAACCCTTTAACTCCCAAGATCTGATCATCAATTCTCCTTTCAAGCTGTTGCAAATTTCCTTGTGAATTAGTTCTAGGCTGTCATTTTGACTTGCTGCCAAATTTGTCTTCCTAATTTACAAGAAATTTAAGTTTAATAGAGAATTTCAGTTCTCATCTTTGTAGTTTAAGGGTTAGATTTGATGTACTCTCCTGATAGGGAGCAATATTTGTGGCATAGGACATGCCCATATGACAAGATTTGTAATTTTTATTTGTAGTAAAATATTTCCAGTACATTTTCTGGATAAGATTGTATATTTGTACTAAGATATACTATATCATGGGGAGAGAGTTGTTTTGTAATTTATTTCATCGCAAAAAATCAACAAAAGTTAAGTGTTACTCCAACAAAAAGAGTATTATTCTGGTCACAGTGTAAAAATTTATGTGTAAGCAATATTATTCACTTTGGATAGTTTATGTTATTTCCTTTTACAGAAAAATCAATTTTGTATTTTAATTCTTGTAGAGCAATTTCAAGAGAGAAACATGACTTCCAGACTTAGTTTTTGTCTGGTTTTCTGTTTCATTTCATGTTTTTTATTATTTTATAACAAGTTGTCAAATTTCATTCATGATTCAGTGCTGTGTAGACTTAGCTTCCATGTTTGAAGCATTTAAGAAAATTTTTGTCAAAGACTTGGTTCTAAGGTAATATTTGCCATTTTTCTGAAGGAAAGACCTCTGTTAAGTAACTAAGATGCAGACCTCTTCAGAAATCAAACTCCGAGTAGTGGCTGCACATTATTTCATGGGTGAAGGTAGAAACTGAAAGTTTTCTTTCTCAGGAATAACTTTGTCACAGTAATATCTGACCTTTCTTTAGGAATTAAAACTTTCTTTTGTTGTTTACAATCAAAATTAAGCAACTTTAAAGATGCAAGTATTTCTTTGATCAAAGCATAATAAACACAGAAAAATAGAGCAAAAAGCAGGCTCCTTTTTTCACAGCTGTGTTTTTGAAGCTGAGAATCAGTATATCCCAAACAACTTTGCTAAGTGCCAACCAATTTCCATCACCTGAAATTTAGCCATGCAGAGTTTTTATGCTATTATTCCTGTTACAGCTGTCAGGATCACTTATAATTTAATTTTCAAGTACAGGGGTGTAGCTAGCCTGAAGGCCCGGTCCTAATATTTTTCTCCACACACTACTTTAACATCATGACTCTGGCAAATGTTGAAACAAAGATGGAACTTTCATAGGGGACTAGCCTAAAACAATTCAAAAACATGGCTACACCCCAGAGGTAGATATAAGAGCTGAAGGTTTGCAACTAAATCACTGAAAAATTGTGTGGGATTATTTTTTACTTCATAATAGAAACTTGCTCGTAGTTATTATTTTTTTTTACAATTTTGATCCCTGGATGCATTTTTTTTTTCTCCAATTAAAAAAGATACTTGGTTCTTTTTTATCCTATAATTTTAGTTAACCCTTTAACTCCCATGAGTGACCAAGACAGAATTTCTCCTTACATTATCAATACAAAATCAAGAAGACAAGTGATGAGAATCAAGAAAAGTATCAATTAGGGGATTATTAGTAGATCCAATACCAAATTCTCAGAATTAACATCTGAAGAATTGTATAGCAGACAGTAAGGAGAAATACTAATGAGAACTAGGGAGTTAAAGGGTTAAGAACCAAAATTGTTCCCTTGCCTGCTAGCCAGAATAAATTTGGTTAAATGCTTAATTACTGATAAGTGAAGGGTGAAAGAGGTGATTTTCTCTAATCTCAATTCATTAAGGCAAACAAGACACTTTCCGTCTCTTGTTAGTGTTGGTTATGAGGCAGCATACTGTCTTGAAGAGAATGGGTTGTCACTATTGAACCTGGCAACAGTCAATAAACTGGTGAAATATAAAGATGAAAGACGAGTGTTGTTGTGATTCTTACTTGTTTGTTCTTTACCTTGACACACTCCAGTATGCATATTCTCCATACATTTCCCAAGGTGTTGTTGATGAGAATTTGTTGAACAATCGAAGCTTCTTGAGCTGGCAATCATTTCCTACATTCTCATGAACTTATGAATGATTCAGAAGTATTACCATGAGGAGAAATGAGATGCTGGTGACAGCCAAGGCCTAAAGGGTTAAAGGTATGTTGCACAAGGTTAACATTTCTTGATCTTTTCTATTTGGTAGCCAAATGTTAGTGATGAAATCAGGGTTGCTTTGACTTCCATTTTCTTTAGCAAAGCCTATTAACATCCCCCACATTTAAAGGTTCATATTAAAGCTGTACCCTTCTTACAAAGCTGCAATTTTAACTCAACAAATTTTGCATATTTGGCCAATTGATGCCCCTTTGCTTTTTTTCGAAAATAATTTGATAACTTGATATTGACATTGATGAGAGGTGATTGGGAATCCCCTTAACACTTCTTGTAACATCATTTCTGCTCCCTGATGAAGTAATCATCACTAATCTCCAAGGTAAACCAAAGGTCAAATTTCAGAGTCTATAAATATTCCCTTTTGGCATATCAAGAATATTTGCCCTTTTGACAACCCTCGCTTATTTCCAGAAATAAATTAGGAATTTTGGATGGTGGTTCATCCTTTAAATTTCACACATTTCTGTGGATCTTGATGTTAGTATTTATAGCAAGAGGCAAGTGAAGCCCTTAGCATTTCTTACATCATAATCACTGCTTTCTGACAAAGATAGCATCAAGAAGTCATCATTTAAATGGAAGGGCACAGTTTAGAGTCTGATCAACTGTTACTATTTTGATGATTAACAAATGCCCCAAGACTTCCAAAAATCTTATGAATTGCCATCATTTCTAGTGATTTAATATTAATTCAACCCAAGATTGCTTATCAGGGACTCAGTTTGGATACTTATTTCAGTGTGTGCTCTGCTGAGGATAGGAGTGTGTAGTTGGACAGTCCTGTTGTCAGGCAGGGGCAGTCAATAGATCACATCATTGCACCATCTTCGTACCCTTACTTCGGCATGCACATTCTCCACACTGTGCTTCATTCACCTCTCAAGGTTCCAACAAGGAGAGTTTGTTTAACAAACAAGGGCTTCTTTGTTTGGTGTTAATTTTAATCTCTAAGCCTGGGCTTAATTTTAGGGAGAAATGGCAGGTTCATTTTCTCCTAACAAAAGGTCAGTTGATGTATCTAACCTCCCTAATCAAGAGTTGTCATATTTTTTATTACTAAAGGAAAAGACTTTTCATTGCATAAATCTGTCTGTAGTCATAACCCAGACAAGCAAATTGGGTTCCAGCCTTAGAGTTATTTAAGTTTATTTGTCACTTGCATAAATTCAGGTAGATTGGATGTAACTTGATACTTCTGCCCCCATGATGTAGATGATCAGATGATAAGTGGTAATGAGATCTTTGCATTTGGTTCACCAATTATCTTTTACTAATGATAGGAAATCAAAAGCAAAGATATTCCTGGGAATAGAGGAACTTTATTTTTAAACACCATCAACTGGCATAAACTAAAATGTACTACTGCACACACTCAATCTATAAAGATAAGTTTCAGACTAATTTACAAATATGAAATAGCAATAACTCCTTTATATTGCTATTTCTACAACCCTTGTCAAACTAAGTCTTTAAGGCTTTAAGACTTCTTTGGTGGTATAAAATTTCTTCGATGTACATGGGGCGTTTAAAGAAGCTTGCTCATGAAACAAATAGTCCTGTTCAGAAGCAGGAAATTGGAATTTTGAAATTAATGATCCCTTCACCACCCAGTGGCAAGGGGCCAATTCTGTCATATCAGAAATAATTCCAACAACGCAGTAAGGCCAGTAACACCATCTAAATGTGGGTCTTGTCCTCATCTGAGGACACTTGTATGTGGTTGGGAGAATAACTATGTTGTGAAGTAGATGGGGATTGCTCTGTGATTATATTCTAAGCATTTGATTCCTATGCAATTAGCATCTAGAGCTCCTCTCTTATAAGTCCTATGGAAGCCTCACTGGTTTTTGGCTTTGAGAAAGATTCTGAATGCAACTCTGTCACTGGTTGCCTAACAATTCTAGCGTCAACTACATGTATGCTAGGTACAGACTTCCAATGAAGCCCTTACTTCCAGCTAAGAGTGGCAATGACGTATACATAATCCATACTGATGTCACGACAGCGTCAAATACTACTCACATCCCTCCCCTCAGTCTCTACGTGTTCTTTAAGCCTTAGTGAGAACCTTGAAAAGAAGCAAGTTTCTTTTCGAGTTCATCGGCCTTCATTCGCAATCTCCGCACTTCCTCTTTCAGATTGGCGTTCTCTTTCTCGAGATTCTTATACTTTTCAGTGACTTCAATTTCTTTCTGTCTACGTAAGTCTCTTGACCTCTTCGCTGCAACATTGTTTTTTATTCTACGTTCCCAATATCTTTCGTCTTTTTGAGACTGGCTGTAAAACTTCCGTTCCGCCTTTTTCGTGATCGGCAAAGGATTGTAGACGTATTTAGAATTTCGACGTCGCCGAACCGGAGTTTTTCCAGGCTGGGGGCCACTTGCCTCTTGATGATCTTGCCTTGTCCCTCCAACAGACTGGCACCATTGTACAATCGCGTTTGTTCCTTCTGGTTGAGAAGTGTTTGCTCGGAGGGTCTGAAAAACGGCTGGGTCCACTTGCAAAGGAAGTGATGACATTTTCGATAAGACCACGGAAGACAAAACGTTGTTCACACTGGCAGCCACTTTCGAAAACTCTGTGACCGCTGGAGAAACTTGTTCCACAAGACCACTAACGGTGGTAGCAGCAACTCTGGTACTAGTACTAGCTACCAGAGACAAATTTTGTGGATCCTCACATGACGCTTGGGTATTTTCCTGACAGTTCTGAGTTTGCACAGAAAGGAATTCATCCAGGTCCATATAATCTGAAGGAAAACTGCCTCTCGTGGATGTCGAAAGCGTATCGACACCCGAGTCACTCGATTCACTATCATCGCCTACAAACAAACAAGTAACATGTAGCTTAGTTCTCTTGGGTAACAACAAATGCAAATAAAATGTCGTTCCAGGGATGGCCATTGATTTTAAAGAAGAATGATATAAGGCCTTAAACGATCAGCCTTCGAACAACGAGGAGTCCAAGACAAAAAACAGCTCTTAGTTCTATCTTGCCTGCAACGATGACGTAACTGAACTCACTGAATTGACGTGATCAAGGAAGAGTTTTCTAACAGATATCTATCCATGACTTACTTTGGTTTGGGGCTGCTGGACTTGAACGACTAGACATCATGAGTTGGCGATCTTCTCAGTCGAAGTACACACTCACTGAGACTAAGCAAAAATGGTTAACTATTGCTGAAAATGTTAGGAAAGTAATGTTTATGACAAGAGTTCTGCTGTCGTGTTGCATAGATTACTCTGATTGGTTGAAAATATCGGCACGTGCAGCTGTCTTCCCTTATGTAACAAACATGGCGCCTAATGCACGTGCAAAGTCTGACGCTCTTGTTATATAACTTTCTTCACATCGCCAGGTAACCTGGCAGTGTGATAATTGCTTACTAGGAGCGAGCGAGAAATAGAGATTTTTGGGGGGGAAAATTAGAAATAAATGGTTAAGTCTCAAACTAGTTCGATTTTCATTCGAAATTTCTTGCTTGAAAATGCCTATTTAAAAACTCTATCATTGAACAGCCCACAAATTATTATGTAACAGCGCGTTTCCTTGACTCTAGTAGGCTGGGTTGAAGGACGTGTTCCGTATTGATAGTAAATAATTATCTTAACTCAAGAGTTACTTCTGGGTTTGACAAAAACCCCTTATACCCACCTGCGCCTGAAACGAAAACAGCTTGGCCAAGCACGATAAAAGAATCTGAAACACTGTTAATAAATTCTAGTGCATTTTTAGTTTACGGCAGAAATTCACTTTTTACGCAAATTTTATTCGTTAATTTTTGTGCAGCTTTGAACCAATCAAGTTTTTGACCTTGCCATGCCGTGTTTCTCAGGCTGACATCTACAGGCAGAGTCCAGAAAGTAAAATAATTTACTCACCTACAATAACGAAGTTGAACGATTCAACTTCTAATTATTTCAATGCAATCCTAGGTTTCCTAAATGACATACAGCCATCGTCTTTCACACGACCGTTCACGTTTCACGTTTCACTTGACGCACGCTTAAAGTTGTTAATTGTGAAGGATGTCGCGACGAATCAACTACCTTACACAAGAGATGAAAGATAGCCGTATAGTTAAGAATTGTTATTGATTTGATTCCATAAATTCTCTACTTAAATCGTGGAAAGCAATATTTTTTCAGTAACTTGAAAAAGAAGTTACGTAATATTAGCCAGGAGTTAACACGCATAAGAAAACGAGAGCAAGAACGGTCCCAATTACCACGGTTTTCACCGACTTTTTCCTTAAGCGTCTGCCTTGAGGTCCTTTGATATGATGACTAATTAACACCTCATCAGAAAAAAGGGAAGCTAATTAGTGAGCATATACAAGGACCTCTTGTTGCAGCGATTAGATCACCCTTGATGAGGGCACCAGACTGGAGCGTCGAAACGTTGCGTCTTCTTGGTTACATTCACGAAATCTTTAAATCAGAGGAGCATCAAACCATGTCTGATATGAAAATATGTTTACGTTGCTCAATGAGAGATATGTAAGAATTTGTCTGGGAAGAAACGGTTTCACTCTCAACCTAAGAAATACGACCTTGTTTTGAATAGAAATAAACTTACTCCGCCTCGGTTGTTCGTTTGCATCTTGTAAAGTTTTCTGGGCTGACCTTTAGGCCATTTAGCTCGGTTTTCGTCCATCTGCTGGTCTCTAGATTTATTTCATTTCGCCCATCGCGTAACGTAGACTTATTTGTATAATTACGAAGGCTCATTGTGCAGAGTGTTAAGCTCCCAGCTGGGGTGCGAGACTGTCACGATAATTTAACTTTCTTCTGTCGAAATATCTTGAAAAAGGCAAGTATTTTCAAGCTGTTTAAGATGAACTTAAACTTGGGGTTAAGTAAAACAAGACTAATAAATAAGAATTGCAACTTCGTTTGGGTAAAATGTTTAATATCCGTATTCCTAAGAATAATCTATGAGTCTAGTAATAATCCAATTAACTGTAGGCGAGCTCATGTTCAAGTCTTCCATCGTAAAGTGGTCGGGGGAAACGTGGGGTCTAGGTATACAATTTTTGCGAAATAGAATAAAACAGGAATAATTATTTTTTGAATACTATTTACAGAATGAAGCACATTTAAAAAGTAAACGAGAGGTTAATTTACTATTGTCAAGACATAAAATTCCTAATCGCTGTCCAAAGTATCTGTCAAAAACATTCACGAACCGTCACGCGTATCTGTTACGCAATTTAGTTAGTAACGCGTTTTACAGTTTGTTCTGTTTCTAAAGAACACGTGATTTCACAACTTGATTTACCGGTTATTCAGTTATAGTGTACAAGAGGCATATTTTTGTAGTCGACAAGGTCTTGATTCTTAGAATAAGGTTGGAATAAAAGAATTTAATAATCAATACAAGTATGCTTTCTTAACATCTTCGTATCTTCGTTACGTTCACTTCATCGCCGAGCACGCAAATTTCTAAAAAAGGTATGTAGGAATTATTTTTCATTCACTTGGCAGACAAGAAAGAGGAATTGTTTGTTAAAATCAATAACAGCTCATTTCCGCAGGAATCCAAGTGGATGGTGTTCTGTATTTCATCAGGATTAAAAAGCTCCATTTCCTGAGCAGAAAAAAGTATAAGTGTAAACATGTTTTCTTAACACTTTCGTTGAAAACATTTTGTCACAGCTTCACCAAGTACACATAAAGTAGGCAGAACATGAAACAATGGAAATCTCGCGGGAACGAAAAATACCGAATCCAGCTCCAAGTGCAATACCTCCCAAGTTATTATTAGACTCAAGGTATCGATCTGGCCGCCAGAGAATCGTGTTACATGCATCACGCGTGTTGCTTGCGAAGGCTGAGCATGAGACGTGCTCGTGAGAAAAATTCACGACACCTGATTAGTTAGCTCTGGATCCGCTCAGAAATCGACTTTGACAGTACCATCTATAGTCTACAATGGAAAATTTAAATTCAAAAGGAACTTACCATTTGAAAGAACCGATAGCGGCATGTTCTCCTTCTTGCTGTGAGAGAAGGCCTCCGTAGTATTAAACTTTTTCTTTCCACTAACTAGGTCCAGTTTCTCCTCAAGTTTTTTCATGGCCCTCTTTTGTTTTTCAGTTTGTTCCCTAAGCTTCGTTATTTCCTGGAAATTAGTGAAATTTCCAAACATGATTCATGTACTGGCTAAACTACAATTCAGAGTAATTCATATAATTTTGCTTAAATTCATTTACAGTTTCCCCCCAAGCCCTCACGGCCAATTCACTTTGATCGGACCAGACGACCCAAAGAAACCGATGACCACGCCTCAGAACTAGGCAAGCCTTGCTAACACCATCAGTTTGGCTATTTTTGTTCATTTGCCCCCTATTTTTGCTTCTCCGGTGTTTGTCTACCCTAGTGATGACCATGTTTCGTTCTATATCAGACTGTTACCTCGATAAAGGTGTCTTATCAAGTTAGTATAAATTTTGATGTTTGTCCAAATGGACTCGATGCCCGACAGTCAGAAATATTTACGCACTGAATACCACATGCAAACCTAATGAAAGTGTTCGATGTTTGTCAAGTAACGTAAAGCGATTGCAAACATTATTTTGGTTTTTAGCGCGCGAATTTTCTGAACTTGTGTATACCATAGAGTCACTTGTTTAGAAATGTGTTCGAAGTGTCGAGAACGTAGCGATTTTGCAGTTCACGGCAGACGCTCGGAAAATTCTTCAAAATAAAAAGCCAAAATAATTTTTGGAATTGTGTGACATTTCTGACAGTGGGGCATTCGAACACTTCGTAAAGAAACTAGTATGAGACACGGTTTGATGCTACTCTGGTTTACAGATTTAATGAATGTAAACGAAGAAGTTACAATCATAGACCCAACGTTTCGACACTCCTGTCTAGTGCCTTTATCAGGGGTGATCTAAATGCTGCAACAAGAGGTCCTTTCACTAATATGAATGATGCTATTTTCGTAAGTTATGTAAGAAATGTAAGAATTGCATAATAATACTTAAATGCGTAAATAATAATTCTTAAGCTGCTTTCTAAAATTAGAGTACAGATGTGTTTCTGGATGTCAAGTGCAAAAATAAAGGCTGTATCTAGTTTCACAGGCCGACGCATTCTACGCCATCTGGAAAATGTTCCCCTCTAACATTTAACACGACTGGCCCCTCATGTTTTTGAGAGGCAAGTCCCACCAGCGGATTGAGCAGCAAGGTGTAAACCCTCCAGGGTTTACATCTGGAATAATTTTGAAACCATTTCGAGGCTCGCAGAACGAACTGAACCGGGAAAGAGACTCTTTTTATTTTTACAAACAATGCAGTTTAATCTCCCGAAGAGAACCGAGAAAAAAAAAAACCCTACGCTTACTGATTTTTTTTCCAAATCAAAATTATAATTTCTGACATTTCATGGCTGAATCAAAGCCTGGCTGGATGAAATTTTGTGGGGAAATCAATAAAAGAGCGCCGATTCAGGTGCTGCTATATAAAATTCTTGGGTAGTTTAATAGCTATAATATTTATCAGAACAGACCCAATCAAATAAAATCAGTCAATCATACTCCCACTGCACACTGCATGACAATATTGGACGTAGCTATAGCAATTAAAGGAATAGCATAGAACATGATCATCAGCGTGAAGATCGAAAGTCCAGTGAAAAAAAACTATGCTGAAATAAGCCAACTTCAAGGAAATTTTACCAAACAATCCCGAAAACCATCGCGATCCCAAGAAGGAAAATGATACAGAGAGTATTGTAGCGACACAAGCATCCAAAATGTCTGCGATGGCCATGTTTATGATGAGGTAAACAAATGGTTATTTTTTTTGCAGTTCTTTGTATGTTTTTGCTATGTAGATGACCATTAATTTCTCAATACAGGCCGCGCACACAAGCTCTAGATAACATACAACCAGAGTTGTTTTAGTAACGAAACTTGGGTGAAGAACTCCGAAGACACTGTTGAATTTGTTTCAATCGCCGATTGATTCATATCTACAATACTCAGAAAATGAAATTCATCGAACAATTTTTTTAAACTTTCCTGTAATGTTCCCTACCAATGTCTGTTATAATTTCAAAAAATACAATGAAAAAGATAGGTCACCGTGCTTGGTTAAGAAATATGCTGGAAGCAAGGGTTTTTAAAGTATCAATTACAAAAATCCTGATCGGTAGAAAGTCTCGAGCGTATCTCTTAAACAAGCGTATGGAACAATTTGATATATAATTTGGGTAACAAGCACGAATGAACTAATGAATTCTAGTACGCAAGAGCACTACCCTCGAATTGCCAGATGTCATTGATTCTTGTGCGAGCTCTATTTCGCGGGGTTTTGTGACTGAGTGTCATGCACTCTCTCGTATGTCAGAGTACGGACAAAAATTTCCAACTGTGTTCAAATGTCTGGTCTCAAACACTGGCCAGAATCCAACAAAAATAAAACAAACAAATCAAAACAAACAAATGCCAGCAGCGATGAAAGTGGAATTTTTCACCCGAACGTCTGTCTATCGCCCATATCACTGAACTGTATTTAGGTCTGAATTTCCTGGATTCGTATGACCCGTAAAATCTTGCATAGAATGTCATTCTCCTTTCATCAGTTTCATAACTGATCAAAATTCCCATGGATTTATCTCGCTATGAGTTGTCTCTCTTACCTCAGCTCGCATCAATGCAATCGCTTCTCTCTGTCATCACTTGTAGCGAATATTTGAGTCTTACAACGATTTCTGGAAATTATTCCTTCGTTTCGTTTCTCTGCTTATACAGAAGGTTTTTTGTCCTCACGAAGCGGGCTTGATAAGAAATTCCACTTTGATATAACGTCTGCCGTCGTGACTCCACATATACATCGACAAATTAACCCGTAATTGGACGAATACTCTTCTGCAACAACTCTGACCCGACGATAAGACAGAATCGAGTTTGTAGCGATCAAATGTCTGATATACCTAAAGTTCGTTAGATTATCTGATATTTCCTTCAAAATTACCAGTCCTTCAGCAGAATCCAAGTGCTTTTTCAATAACAGAGTTGGCTTGCGAGCACGGCCATACACTTGAACACAATTCGATCACCTATCGCAATCTTTTCAACAGAACTCAGTATCATGTGACCACAAAACAGGGCAGAGATCCTCTTCGATGAAAGGACCTACTTTGTGCGATCAAAAAATTGTTCTCCAGCGTTTAAACTAATCGAGAACCATTTTCGCAAAAGTGTGTAGACAAACACCAAAGAGGCAGGAATGCAGCAAAAACGAAAGAGGATGATTAAGGATAGGAATGTTTTACAAGGATTGCAAATGACCAACTAAGGTTAAATCTTGTTAAGAACGTGAGAGGGCGAAGTAAGTTCTTTAACTTCGAGGAGGGTGGAGAGGGATTGTCGCGAGCCTCCCTAGGTCTGGCCCGTCGTCAAGAGAAGCGGTAGAATGTGATGTGCAGGGGAGGGGAAGGGAGCATTTTCGTGCCTATTGTGCTTCCTTCCAGGAAGGCCGTAGGCACTACGTTATGGTGTTGTGTAAACCTTCCCCCAAGCCCCCCACGGTTTTCAATATGGCGGACTATCGTGAGACGCTCGCAACGTGCGCTTGCATGACCAAGACAGTCAAGCATGAACTTCAAATCAAAAACTTGAATGTTGAAAATAAAACTTGAATGAATGTTGAGATAAAACTCGTATATTGAAAATTAAACTTGAATATTGAAAACAAGACTTGAATTTTGGCGGGGATTGAACGCCATAGTTCAGGGTGTCACTGAGTTTCGACTTGTTATCGATTTGAACGAAAGAGCTAAGTCGTCAAACGTTCTCGCACGTGCGTTTTACTCGGAACATATCCAACATATCTTGTAAAGAAGAACGTAAATCCCAAGGAAAAAAGGAGAAAGAAAAGAAATACAAAAACAAAAAAAATCATGTGGCCAGGGGTCGAACCTTACACCCTCTGACACGAGATTCACTTCGCTAGGTACGCAAAGCGTACGAAGAGGCGAAGTTTTGTATAAAAATTCATTTGACACAGTTGATGGTGTACCTCTTCTATTAATTTCTCGCCCAGACCCCAGCCTGTCAATTGACCGGTGTACAAACTCTGTTCTAACCAAGTTCTCCTTTAGTCACAATTTTGGCATCGACAAGAGTTGTTCACTAACCCCTCTGCATTTCACACCACATTGCTTTTTTACTGCAATACTCAACAGCTATACAAAAGTAGGCACGTGCAGCCATAGACTGTATCTTATGTTGCTTGAGAGTACTCACAGCTTTGAGACTGTTATTCTCCTCCTTAAGCTTTACAACATGATGTATCTTTTGCTTCTTGTTCTGGTGACCGAGTAACTTGGCATACTGCTGGCCTAGCTTGGCAACCTACAGCAGTAGTGAATAGAACATGCGATGAACTGCACAATGGATCCAAAGAGTGGGATAAGGCTGGTGCAGACCCCCCCCTCTACCCTATTATGGTATTTTTACCACTTGTCTGACACCAAAATTCTCGCACCAAAAGAATCGCATGTTACAATTCAATCTGAAGTGTTTGAAATTCATTAAATTGCCCTGAAATATGCCTCAGCTTATTTCGGCTACACTGTGAAAAATTTCTAAGATTTCTGGACCCCTTTTTTTAAAAATTATTTGCTCCGCCCTTGAAACAAGTACACTCATGTTGTTTCCTTCAGTGAGCACATTAGGGAATGGACGAACAGTGAGCCGTTACAACCCTCACGGGTGGGGAGGGTGAGAAAAGAAAGTGAGCAAGCCCTATTACCACAAGAGCCTCATAAGCTAACTGCCCGCTCACCGCTCTATGAAAAAATAAGTAAATGAATCAGGAATTTAAAAAAGTAAAAAATATATAATCAAAATCTCTCATTCATATATCAGTCCATATGTTAGTGGTGAGACCTGGCATAACCTGCGATAAAGTGTTCTTTATTCAGGCTCCTAAATACACCATCGTGCACCCAGAAAAAAAGAATGCCTGATCGCAGGTAAGGCTTGGCGATGCAAACATCTTTTACCTCGTCCTTTGCTTGGTTATTCTGACAGAGGAGAGCGTTTCTTTCAGCTTCGTATTCATCCAGTTGATCCTACGACAGTTAAACTAAGCGTCACTAATACCTCTTGAGAAGCGAAACAAATGTTCATTTACCGTTATAACAAAATTTTTGAATGATGACACGAATGACCTCATAGCAGTAAAAAGACAAGTCAAGCCCCTTCTTCAAACATACTTAAGCCTGTTGGTCCAAAATTACTAACAGAAATCTATCGTTACAACACTTTTCTAGGCAAAGGTCATGTTTTATTGAGTTGTTAACCTCGGGGGCCTTTCTAGATTTATCAAGGAGAGTTCGGTTGCCGTGATGTAGAGTTTTAAAGCATGACCTGACCTTGAAGGGCTCAATCTTTTGGACCAGATCTTCGTATTTAGTTCGCCATCTAGAACACGAAGAAACGAAAATAGCAGCACACAAAGTTACTGTCAAATGCTAGGTTGATAAGAAAGAAAGACACCAAAATGGGAATGATGAAAAAGAACCAGAATGATTTGGGATGTAAAAGATTCACACGGATTGCAAACGACAATTTTGAAATTTTGCTTTGAATTTTCCTAGTTGAGTAAACTGTAAACGAGGCGTGGCCTACTTCAGCTTCATCAACAGCAAGTCTTACCGTTGGTATTTCTCTAAACTAACGCCTATTTTTAAGGGTACTTACACTTCAATTTGGGCTTTTAACTCATTCAACTGATCATCGTTGCTTGTTCTACTGCAGAAAAGAAAGGATTATGTTGATCTGGTAAGCTGCAGAAATTACAAAATATAACTAAAATAATCAAAACTACGAAAAAATTCTCGAATGTGATTGGTTACCAATCTGAGCATTAGAAGTTAAACCGTTATACGCCTGCCGTGTAAGCATGCTTTGAGCACGCTGTTGTATGGACCACTGACTATTGAATTCATTTTTGCGTAGAAAAAGGTCACCTATTATGTGATAACTATGGTGTATGTAACAAGAATCATAGGTTCAGCCAATGGTTATTTTGTTTCCAAAATGTCTTCATATTTTGTATCTGAAATTGTAACAGGACTTTGCGTCGTTCACTTCCGCCTGTAATCAAAACTTGTGATTAAGAAACAGGACCCTACTATTATTAATGAACATATAATTCCAATACGAGCGGGGTAAGACATTTAGTATTACAAATATCAACCACGATTCTCTTCTATAAAAAACTGTGAAGTTTGTTTGGCGGCTGTAGATCTTACCTGCTTAGTTCCGATTTCAATCTGTTTACTTCTTCTTCTGCTGAAAAGAGTTTCCTGCAGAGGGACAATTCAAAGTAAAATGAAACAATTATGATAACGAACAACGAAGGCCGTGAGTTTCAAATTTGCACAGTAACAACTGCTCTACAACCCCATAGCTGACCATTCGCCCGACGTCAATAGAAACATCTCTAAAGGTCTATTTATACGGTATGACTTTGTCGCATGCGACAAGCTTACGACAGGCCTACGATACGAATTGTATCGTGTAAATCAAACCTACCACTCGCTTACGACTGTCGTGCACGTCACGAAAAATGTCGTAGGATTTTAAAACATGTTTTAAAACGCTGCGACAATCGTAGCCGAAATTGATAGAAAATGACGTATTTTGTGACAAATTTCTACTGAGTAGGGGAGGAAGGTGAAATTTTCTTGCGTCAAAATGGCGGAGGAAGTCGCCTCCGGAAAGTCGAAGACTGCTTCCAAAGCGAAAAATACATTCTCAGATGAGGAAACAGAGAATATGATATCACTGTGGAGCGAGGAAGAGGTTCTTTTCCTTCTCTTGCAAATTATTGAAATAATGACCGCGGCCGAAACGAGCGGAATTGCACGCGATTTTGGCATGTCGTAGGTGAAAATGTCGTGCGCGTGTAAATTGTCCTAAGTCATGTCGTAGGCCTGTCGTAAGCTTGTCGCATGCGACAAAGTCGTACCGTGTAAATAGGCCTTAAGTTAACTTTGAAACTTAGCTGAATTCAAACATGAGATGGCTTTCTCAGTTTGCAGTGTTTTAAGAACAAAAACATTGCCCTACCCTGTTACGTAGTCTAGAGACATATCAGTAGATTCTTCAGAAAGAATGATAAGATTTGTTTAAACACAAAAGGTGTCTTTCTTTCGTTATGTCATACCTTTCCATTTCCATATCCTTTTCCTTTGACTTCGTCTCCTGTTCGCCTCTGAAACTGCATTTTGAAAAAAAGCAAATAAGTACACAATAAATTCTGAAACATGGATGTGGCGATGGATGTAATTGAAGAGGTAAAAACGGCAAACGAGGACCGAGGAACGAGATACGAGAACTTGTTATTGTTTGTTGGTGCGAAACTAGTTGCAGTGTTTCGTTTAAGATCAAGCACTTCCTACACAGAAAACATCAACGTTTCCAAATAAATGAACATCTTACTTCTCAAAATTTATCTCCGCTTGTGATAACTTCTTTTGGGTCTCCACGAGTCGCCTTCAAAAGCGAAGAGAACAAGGGAAAAAGGAAAACAGTAAGCTTGAAAATTGGAATTTACACTTATTTCAAATCGACATTTTTTTTACCAAAATCTGTTCATACACACCTTCCGAATTCTTCTTTTGATTTAGCAGCTTTCTCTTCAAATGATTTTATTTGCCTGAAGTGAATAGGAAAGATGAAGATCTCTCAGCAAGCAAACCTTGAATGCCTTGAGAATGAAAGATTCAAAATGGCAGTGCGCTTCCTGAAGAAAGTTAAATTTGCAAAGTTCAAATTAACACGCCTTGGTCAGCAACCTTAACTTTTGCCGCGACTATCGCTATAAACTAGGGAAAAAAACTTGAAGAGTCCGAATGGATTCACGGATTACTTCGGCTTTAAATCAACTTACCGTGTAAAGCTCTCTTCGGATTCCTTCAATTTTTCTTCTAATTCCTTGTTCATTGACTGGTACCTTTAAATTATTTTAAAGATGATGCAGTTTGGAGAGATTAAATACTCATATGAATTCATAGACTGTTGATAAGTTTATCTTGTAGTGGTGCCATACCCACGTCGGGTGCATTAAATGTATTGTGGTTGATTATCAAAGCCTAAAAAGCAAATGTGTTATGTTCGAAAGAAATAATTCATTTGAGCGGAGAAAAAGCCCCTCCCTCTATCCTTTAACTCGTGGATAGGAAACGAACGCCAGGTATCGGTGCAGCAGAGAGCACAATAATTTTGGATCACGTGTTCCTAGAGGGAAAACAATTGTAGCCTATGCTATCACTACATTGTTCATCATAGCCTTTTCAGACAAAACTCGGCTTTTGGTCAAAACAAGAATTTATTCTTCAATCAATCATGATCACAACGGTAGACTCGGCGCAGGCCGCCGACGTCACTAAACACGATTGTCTAACAGTTGCTTCTCCTTGCACGAGAAAACAATTCATCCAAAAATTTTCCTTGGCTGTAGGCTGGCATTTTTGATTTGTTCCTACCTGTAATGGTAACGCTTGTTCAAGATTCTTACCTTTCGAGTTCATCGTTCATTTTCCTCTCTACTTCCTGCTTTTCACACCTTTCACTGGATAAAATAAAACAGTTAACCATTATAACCACTTGGTATTGAACTGAAGAATGAATCGAATAAAGGCAATCACAAGAACTAACAAACCTGTTTAACTGAGCTTTGAATGCTTTTAGTTCATCCTCTTGTTTCTTCTGATTGCTGTTGGCGATCACAAAACTATCCTTAGAAAGGATCTTATTTAAAAGAGGGTCTCAATGGGGTTAACCGTAAACCGTAAAATGGTAAAAAAATCCATTGACATATTTTCACAGTTACTCGCAAAAAAAATTAACCTTAAACTTTTTCTTTTAACAGTGACGGAAAAAATTAACCGTCAGCCTTAAAATGACCAAACTTGAAAATAAAAGTCATCTCCCCATTGAGACCCTATTAATCATCTGAAGATCAATAAAAAGTTATGTCGACTTGTGATTATTTATAAGCCAGTAGAGCTAAGGGAAGTCTACTCTTGAGCCCACTGGCAGAAACCGCGGGAACGTATCTCAGTGCGATTGGGGGTACTGCTGGGTATAATGGTGTCGGTGCATTCCCCCCCCCCTCGCCCAGGATTTCACCACGTTTCCCTGACAGTTTAATTATACCCATTTACACTCTTGTGTAGAGAGAGGCGCTAAGGAAGTAAAGTTTATTTGCAAGAACGTAGAAAACAGAACACAATAACCCAGCCTGAGCTAGAACCTAGACCTCTCGATCTGGAGTTCCACGCATTGATCACGCGCGCTGATCACACCGCGTCTGCAACAAAGAGCCACAGGGCTGATATTAGTAAATGTACAAAGACAAACCTTTCCATGAGTTGTAATTTCTGAGATAAGGTCTCCTCTCTCTTGATGAGGTTATCGATGGTGTTGTTAGCCTTGGGAAGAGAACAGGAAACGAAATCAGTCCAAGCCGATGTTAAACTCTATTCATTCGCTAACGTGACACATACGAAGGAAAGAATGGAGAAATCAGGAATTGATCAACGATGACAACTCTATGGAGGTACCTCGTCTAGTGCTTTTCTCAGACAAGCCTTAGCTAGTCCTGTTTCTTCCATATTTTTTGTCAGTTCTTCTTTGGCCACTTCCAACTCAGCCTAAAAAGACATTCAATGAGAGAAGTACAAAGTTAACAAACAAAATATAGGGACTAGCATTGAAAACTACTCGCTATCTGGAGGAAATTTCAAATTTCCTCACTGGCTCGGACCTTGGTCAACAGTCGATGACGATCGGCTAACTCAAACTCTACACATGCGTCCTTTCATTTGACCGTGTTAATTTGAAATCGTGCTTACGAACAATCATTTGTAAATGTTGTGGTTCAATTTTATCCTTGGTTCAAATTTTATTTTCCTTTGTTTCAAACTCATTATCATACACTACAATACCCAAAAACAAAAGAAAATGAAATTTGAACCAAGGATAAAATTGAACCACAACATAAACATATAAATCAGACTCTTTTATTGTTTTCCTGCGGATAAGAATTAACAAGATATTCACCGAGGTTACATCTTAAGTTTTCTTGACACAGCGGGGTAACGTAGGAGCTTACAGTAGAGATCGATAGTCTTAACCAGCGTCTTACCAGGATTTAGGGGTCATGCCAGATTGTAACTTTTCATTGAAATAGAGGGGGTATTTCCGCGCTTAGACCCTCCCCACACTAAGGTACGTTTTTGTCACCGATCAAATTCGCTCGAGGTTGTGCAAAGATCAAACCAAGCTTACCTTAGCGCGCTCGACCTCTCTTTGGCAGTTGGATAAGTTATTTCGCAAAGAGTCAGCTTCAGTCTAAATCAGCAGTAAAATTAAATGATAATAAACACATTTTTTTTAGCACGTCAGAGTGTTTAAGCCCGGTTACAAAGCTTTTTTCGGGAAATTTGCCCGAGCTCCTCTCATAAAAGACATTTCTTTTAGAGGACACGGGTAAACGCGGAAATCGAACCCGGGCCTCGGTTGTTCGAGGGGTAAAAAACGCTATCCACTGAACAAATCTTTTTTCCGGTGAATAGCGATCAATTTTTTGGATAGCGTCAGATTGGGCTCAGATTGTTACTAGCTAGATGGATGAAAAAGAACTTTTCTTTTTTGTCTGTGAATCACTGCCTCGTTGAAATAGAAGGTTGGACATTGCTGGGACTTTCCACGAGTCCAGCCAACCTTCGGAAAAAATACCACCGCTATAGATGGCAAATCTCCGCAACCCAGTCATGAGTGCCCATCTCAAGCAATTTTCAACACTGATTGGATCAGCGAAAGGAAATATATAAAGAGAGAGGACGAGGTGAGCAAACGCTCGAAAACAACCGCTTCAAAACTGGGCTATTAGGGTTTATTACGCATGCAAGACTGATCAAGAGCTTAAAGACGCCAGCTGTAGTTGCAACATTTCACATGAGCTTGCACTACTGACAATGATCCCTGACCAGGAAGCCTGCCAAGCTCATGGCGTTTAACTACAGAAGGAGATAAATGAAGTGTAAAAACTTTCCAAAGAGACTGTTTCTAACTGTTGCTTTAAGACTTTGAGGGGTAAACTGGGGTCGTCAAGGTAATATAGCATAGCTTTTTGTTAAAAAAATAATCATAACGCCACACAAGACGGTTGATAGTGTACCTTCCAACAATTCACTTGTTGACTAAGTCCATCACATTCCTCTTGAAGCTGTTCATTCTTTTGTGTGAGATAGACACAAGTCTTCAGTCGCTGATCACTTTCCTGTCGACTAAACAGCAGGCACAACTCTCATGATATTTTTTCCGGCAATGACAGAATTCCTGCTCAACATAAATCTTTTCTTGTATTTCAAATGTTTTTTACGACGCCAAATATGCACTGATGCTGTTAGTGAGTTTTCACAGGTGCTTACCAATACTTGGCTGTGTAGCCGCGCGATGCGGTTCCAGTCGAGGCCCACAAATTGACCCTCGCTCACCATAGAGTCTCCAGTAGCTCAGTGGTTAGAGCATCCGACTAGATCACGGAGGGTCGTGGGTTCAAGTCCCATCTGGGGCTCGGATTTTTTCTATTAAAAAAATTGTTTCATCTTTATATGCTCACTTTGGAGGTTGGTTGGCCGCATCTTGATATGCCTTAATGTGACAGCGTGATGCTGTTAGTGAGTTTTCACAGGTGCTTACCAATACTTGGTAGCCTGTGTTCCAGCCGCGCGATGCGGTTCCAGTCGAGGGTTAGAGCATCCGACAAATTGACCCTCGCTCACCATAGAGTCTCCAGTAGCTCAGTGGTTAGAGCATCCGACTAGATCACGGAGGGTCCAGTCGGGTTCAAGTCCCATCTGGGGCTCCGACTAGGATTTTTCTATTAAAAAAATTGTTTCATCTTTATATGCTCACTTTGGAGGTTGGTTGGCCGCATCTTGATATGCCTTAATGTGACAGCGTGATGCTGTTAGTGAGTTTTCACAGGTGCTTACCAATACTTGGCTGTGTAGCCGCGCGATGCGGTTCCAGTCGAGGCCCACAAATTGACCCTCGCTCACCATAGAGTCTCCAGTAGCTCAGTGGTTAGAGCATCCGACTAGATCACGGAGGGTCGTGGGTTCAAGTCCCATCTGGGGCTCGGATTTTTCTATTAAAAAATTGTTTCATCTTTATATGCTCACTTTGGAGGTTGGTTGGCCGCATCTTGATATGCCTTAATGTGACAGCGTGATGCTGTTAGTGAGTTTTCACAGGTGCTTACCAATACTTGGCTTTGCGGTTCCAGTCGAGGTGACCCTCGCTCACCATAGAGTCTCCAGTAGCTCAGTGGTTAGCCATCCGACTAGATCACGGAGGGTCGGGGTTCAAGTCCCATCTGGGGCTCAAGTCCCATCTGGGGTTGGTTGGCCGGATTTTTTTCTATTTTGTTTCCAGTCGAGGCCAATACTTGGCTGTGTAGCCGCGCGATGCGGTTCCAGTCGAGGCCCACAAATTGACCCTCGCTCACCATAGAGTCTCCAGTAGCTCAGTGGTTAGAGCATCCGACTAGATCACGGAGGGTCGTGGGTTCAAGTCCCATCTGGGGCTCGGATTTTTTCTATTAAAAAAATTGTTTCATCTTTATATGCTCACTTTGGAGGTTGGTTGGCCGCATCTTGATATGCCTTAATGTGACAGCGTGATGCTGTTAGTGAGTTTTCACAGGTGCTTACCAATACTTGGCTGTGTAGCCGCGCGATGCGGTTCCAGTCGAGGCCCACAAATTGACCCTCGCTCACCATAGAGTCTCCAGTAGCTCAGTGGTTAGAGCATCCGACTAGATCACGGAGGGTCGTGGGTTCAAGTCCCATCTGGGGCTCGGATTTTTTCTATTAAAAAATTGTTTCATCTTTATATGCTCACTTTGGAGGTTGGTTGGCCGCATCTTGATATGCCTTAATGTGACAGCGTGATGCTGTTAGTGAGTTTTCACAGGTGCTTACCAATACTTGGCTGTGTAGCCGCGCGATGCGGTTCCAGTCGAGGCCCACAAATTGACCCTCGCTCACCATAGAGTCTCCAGTAGCTCAGTGGTAAATATGCACTGGCCATAAAATTTTAGCACATCTGAGACACTGGATTTTGATGCTGGACAGGTTCAAGCTTACAAAAACCACTTCACTCACACAACTCCTCACTGTAAAGTGAAACAAGCCTTACCTTTTCTGAAAAGACTGTCTTGTTACTTCTAACTCAGCTAAAATCAAGTTCTTCTCTTTCTCAGCCTCAGATTGAAAGCAAGCTAAAATAAAAAATGTCAGTGCCTAATTAAGAAGTTGACTTCCTAACGTAAATTATGCAAATTAATAACATGACAGACTTGTTCACATCTTTCATTTCAATTTTTCTCCCAAACTACCAAAAACTAATCAAACTTTTAACTATATAACAGCTTACTGTAAGAATCCTCTAGATCTTGATATTTGTCGGTCAGTGATCTTACATTCTCTGTCATCATTTCCTCATACCTACAATAAATGCAAACTTCCATGATGCAAATAAACAATGGCTGTCTACTACCAAACCAGTGTCAAAGAGATAATAGGCACTTGAATATTGAATGGAGGCATTTGAAATGTGGATATTTTGCTGGTTGGGCAGAAAAGGACGGACACAAAGAGTTATCAAACAAATGAAAATATAACAGTGGTCATATCATTTATCAACCCAGGATTTGTAAAGATATTCTAGATGGACAAGTGAACAGGAAAAGAGGGAGAAAGAGACCATAAGGGAGGTGAGTGGATGCTTTCAAGGTACTGCCAGGGAAGACTTTATTAAAATGACCACAAGTGGCCTGAGGCTGAAAAAGATGGAGTACCATTCCATGGCATCTTATGGAGAAAGGACTCAGCTTTCCGAAGACACCACTGGATGGCAATGAGCCCTAAAATAAGTTGTTGATATGGTAACCTGTGAAATTCTTTTTGCAACGATTCCACTTGATCGTTGGCAATGGACAGTCTCTGCTCATAATCACTTTCACACTTCTGAAGCCTACTTTCAATTGAAATGTTCTCCACAGACAAATGCCTACAGTTTCAAAAATCAGAAATAGTAAAATAGTATAATTAGATAAGGGATCCTGTACATTTTTTGAGAGAAAAACTCACAACTTTGTTAGGACCACTATAGAGGTCACATCATTAAAAAAAAAAAAATTAAAAACTTAAATATTATTACGGTAGCTTTTATTTGCAAATTTACTGACATAAAAGAAAAACCAACCAATTTATGATTCAACCAGCTTGGACTGATTCTGTCTTTATAATGTAAGTCTATGTGAATCTTCTTGTCAAAATGTGTCACAAAGTACCTCGCCCTTTCTTCTGCAGACTGTTCTTTCTCAATTAACTCAAACACTTTAGCCTCCAAATCTCGATTTTTGTTTTCCAAATTTTCTTTTGACTCTTGTAGTTGGACAATTGTAGACTGTGCTTTGGTAAAATTCTCCTCACTCTGTCTTAAGGAATACTCCAACTTTTCACCAAGTTCTTGACTTTTCTAGAGATAGAAGACATTTGCAAATTGCATATTATCTTGTAAGTGAGTTGAGTTGCAAAGTTAACACAAAAGTAATTGCATTTATTTGATATGCATCTCCTCTATCTGAATAACTTCAATTGGAAGTATTTATCTCAGACTGTGAATCATACAAACTTTTAAAACCTGTTATTTTCAGACAGTCTGAGTTATAACAAACAGTAGCACCTAGGCACTTCACATCTGCAACACCTTCATCATAGTCATTAACAATGAATATTGGGACTGGCGTTTGTAGGTGATGCATTGTTGTTAATTGACTGCAAAACACTGAGTACAGAGGAAATGGGAACAGAGATCTCGACAAATTTACAAGCGGTGCTTATCACACTCAAGGTAGTTGATGAGTCCATGAACACTTTTAATTTCATACCTGCATTTCTTTGCTCAACATTTCTTCAAGAGGAAGAACTTTGTCCTCATTTGCTTTTATGGCAGTCTTCAATTTCTGACAGACACCCTAAGTTATGTTCAGGTAAAATTTATTAGTATGACCTCTATGAAATGGGAAAAATAATGAGAAGCTTTGACAAGGGGTCTTCTTTCCTGAATCGTAGAAGTGGTAGAAATAGCAAGCTTTTGTAAGTTAGCTGATACCCCAGTTGGATCATTGAAGGTTTGTAACTATGCATACCTCTAGTTTTTCTTCAGTTTCATCAAGTTTTGTTCTGAAATCCATGTTATCTCTTCTAAGACTAGCAACCAGTTCTAAAAATGTGGTCAATTGGAGAAGGGATGTGTAAATGTCAAGATGCGTGAAAACCTTTGCAATTCCTAAAGGAAAACCATCACTTACTGTGGAGTTGTTGATTTGCTTTTTCTACTTCATCTCTGTCCTGTGTTACCTCTGAAACTGTCTTCTCTAAAAGCAAAACCATTATCCTTGAGCCACAGACTATTACAGTTGATCAGGGATTATCTAAAGCACTTGCAAGTATTACAAACATGACATCAATTTTTAAATAAAATACTTAATATTGACTCAGCCAAATTGAGGAGTAAAGAATAAACAACATTTTGATGGCAACCAATTTCTATAAAATGAATTTAAGTGAGATACAATACTTATTTGTTAATGTTGGCAACTTTCTGGAGCGAATATGTTTTATGATGAACACTGATAAATATAATTTGGGAACAACAGAACTTTATCCTGCCATATGGTAATAACTACCTATTGCATATCACGAAATTCTCTGGAGGTTCAACGCTCTATCTTTTCCAAAACAAGGATGCTAAAAAACAAACAATTTCCAAAGAAAATATAATTTCCTGAGTACTTTCTGCTTCATATAATATGCAGTGGGACAGCAAGACAACAAGCTTTTTCAAGTCTATTCAGTAGTGTCTCCATTAACAAACCTAAGTGTGAAATTCTCTCATTGAGAACTCTGTTTCTGTCCTGTTCCAAATCCAAGTCAGCTCTTGAGCTCTGAGCTGCACAGCTCAGTTCAAATTTAAGACTGGATATAACCTATGGTTAAAACAAATCATGTTTGTCAAATTTCACCCACATATAGCACAAACCTCCAATATAAAAAACTTCATATGAAAGCATTACCCAAATATTATCAAATCATATCAGTTTAATAATAATAGTTATAACATATTGGACTGGACTGAGTTAACTGGTAGCAAAAGTAAGCAGATTTCCTTCCTTTATGTTTACTTAGGTTTTTTGGACCTGATCATACACATGATCATACACAGGATCATGATCAATACACATGGTATTCTAGTCATTTTGAACAAGCTTCACAGTGGTGAGCCAGAAAGAATGAAGACAGACATTTAAACAAACAATTAGAAGACATTCCCCCCTCAATAACTAGAGTTTTAATAATACCATTATGAACTTCATTTTTTCTTTGATTCCCTTCTTGAAATCAAACGAAAAAAAACCCTGGATTTCCACTTTCACTGATTAATTTCCAACTCACCCCATCCTTATCTCGTAGTTGCTGCTTGACTGCAGTTAGTTCCTCCTTTAATGATTCTATACTATTGTTGGTTGTTGTGATGACCTGTTTCAGAATTCAAGTAATATATAACTTTATGAGATAAACACAACATACAAATGATCCAATTGTTGCCTGTTTCACTTACTTGTAATTTCTCCAGCAGCATATCATTTTCTTGCCTTAATTCTTTGAGTTGTCTATGAAGGTCAGCAATGGAAGATTCATGGCTACCTTTTTCTTGCAAGGTAGACTAAAAAATAAACAGGAAAATACTCCAAAATCGAGTTCATTGTTCTTTCCAATTTACTTGTTGGGAAGATGTTACTTTGCTAACATGCCATTATCAGCCTGTCTATCATGAAGCTTGCTGTATAACCCTTTCACCTCAAGAGTGACTAGCATCAAATTTCTCCTTACAATGTCGCCCCTGAATCAAACATTAATAGTGGGGAGATTAAAAGAAGTGATCACTAACCTAAAGAAGCTCTTGATTATTAAACAAATTCCCCCTAGTAGCAGTTTAGGAAAGGTATACAGAACAGTATGGAGAATATACAGAATGATGTTACGGTGTTAAGGGTTAAGATATAGATTTTGATAAATTATGAGGGTGACCTAATGGTTACCAGGCTTGACTCTGTGTGGAGAGGTCTGAGTTCAAGACCTGGCTGGGTCATTGTGTTGTGTTCTAGGGCAAGACTTTACCCTCACACTGGCCTTCTCCAAAATGGAATACAGTCAAACCTCAATTATCTGGACCTTGATTATCTGAATTTTTTTAAATTATCCAGACTCACTTCTCTAGTCCTATCACTAATCAGTTACATTTGCAATCCTTAAAGCAAATGTAATGAAAGTTCTGCTGGAACTGAATTTGTTCCACTTTCCAAAGCTGTTGAATGTTATCTGGGGCTATTCTGACCAGTCCCCACAAGTTGGAGTAATTAAGGTTTGACTGTATTTAAGACAGTTGCTGACAAACCTGGCAAATGTTTTTGAGGGAGGGCAACCTCCCCAGGGCTAACAACCCATCTGGGAGGGGAAGCAACACTCCTGTTTGCTTCATGTTACAGAAATCAGGATAGGCCCTTCATGGATGGAATGGTTTGAATGCAGACATCAAATTCAACTTCTTGTACCTGAAGCTTATTTTCCAAGTGCTGAAGATCCTGCTGAGCCTGACATAGTTTGTCCTCAAGTTCTATCTTCTCTGACAAAAGTTCTGACACCTATGTGATCATGTAAACATCACCAAAAGTTACAAAACTCACATGCAGTGTAGCATTGCAGCGAAAGCTCTAAGCTGCCATGCCCTGAGGGTTCTCAGTTTCTAACTAGGCTTTTAATAAGTGAAGTGATTGAAGAACCGTAATTTGAAAAACTCACTGAAAGCCACAATGTGAGTCATTGCTTTACTTCTAGACTGTCATCCAGTGATTAAATATCCAGTACATGGTATGGATTTAGTTCTGCAATATATTACATTGTACACAACCTACCTCAGTTTCCACTGCTGCATTATTCTTAAAATGATCTTTTCCTCTGGTGTCTGGTGTAGAAGTTGATATGTTTCTCTTCTTTTTAAAGGGAAGAGGTGTGGCAAATTGCTACATTTGGAGTGAAAGTAATTTGCTTTATTGTAAATTCTGAAATCTTAAATGGATGTTGAAAACTTTCAAAAAAAGCCACAATCTATAGAGAACCTCCACTTACACTGCATTTACTGTCATTCCGACTTGATGTGCTACAAGAACTTATATCTGTGAGAGAATATCAAACAAAGAATCTACTGTTTCAACAGGACCACATGTATTTCAGTAGAAATTAACCACAAAAACACTGGAAAACAAAGACCATGTTCAGAGAAATCCATGAGCAGACATCCCTAAACATTTCCTGTAACTCAACACCTAACTCTTTAACCCTTTCACCCCCTCAAGTGACCAAGAGAGAATTTCTCCTTACAATATCAATACAATATCAAGCAGGTAGGTGATGAGAATAGAGAAGAATATAAATTATGGGATTATTTGTTGATCCAACACCAAATTCTCTAAGCTAACATCATAAGAATTGTATGGCAGATAGTATGGAGAATTACTAATTAGATCTTGGGAGTGAAAGGGTTAACTATCATGAGTGACCAATACAGAATTTCTCTTTACAATATCAACACAATATCAAGCAGATATTAGGGACGAGAATAAAGAAAAACATCAATTAGAGGATTATCAGTTGATCCAATTCCAAATTCTCTAAACTTACATAATAAGAACTGTATAGCAGACAGTAAGGAGAATTACTAATGATATCTTTGGAATGAGAGGGCTAGTAATATCAAAGATATCAGGTGCCCTAGATGCTCTTGTGTGCTTATGGACTGAAACAATTACAGTTTTTATCTAGTATTGGCTTGGTTTCGCACCATATCTGAGGTATCATTGGCTGGATTGAACAAGTATCATGGAGGGTATAGTGCAGCAGCTCGCCAAAAGAGCTGAATGGTGGCAGTACAGAGCTATTATACACCAACCACTTTGTGGTGATAAGTGAGTCAGTGATATGAGGTGTTACTTTAACTTTGTGGGGTGGAAATTCCTTTTCAACATAACTATGTAACAATTTGAATCACATAACTTTGGAAGTAAAATCACTCAGCTAAAGACATTAGCATATCTTACTCACCCAGAAAACTTTTCCCACAGGTTGCAGAAGACAAACCTGAATCTGACAGAAACAAAAAAATCAGCCTCGTGTGTGAAACCAAAAATTTAGGTATAGCAAAAATATTCATTCTCTTGGGTGGAAGGAAGCACCATAAAAGTTGATTGTCTTGGCTAAGAACAGTGATAACACTGTCATGACTGACCCAAATGTTTTTTTATCCCTGTTGCATTGCTGTGACCATGCTGTCACTGAGTCTCTATTACCCCAGTTCCATTGGATAATATACCCCTGTCAAGAGAAAACTGACATAACCAGATTTTTTTAGCTTCATTTTTTCTAATGATCAAGCTGAGATTTTACTAATCATACATCAATACTTAAAATTAGGTGTAAGAGAGATGTCTAGCTACTTTGGTTAGACAATTCCAGAATAAGGGTGAATTTGCAGTGCAAAATGAGTTCAATTGCATTTCATTTTCCCATAAAGATCCCCTTAATCTATCTACTCTCCAAAACCACCATACCCTCCCTTGGACAGTACATGACCCAAGCATTAAAGATATTCTTTTGGTAACAGACAAAATGTTGAGACTTTAATTGAAGAAGGTTTTTATTCTTAAGGTGAATAATCCCTGGATATCAGTGAAAACAGATCTTGTGTTGCACATAAATATTTCTTTGTGATGAACGCTACACTCAAGTATCAGCTTGTTTTGCTGCACATTGTACTTCCACATATAAGAATTACCTTTCAGTTCAGTAAATCTCTTTCCTTTGCCAAATCCAGCTGCTGCAGATACTTGTGTTTGACCCTTCACATCATATAATCCCACAGGAGGTGCCTGAGAAACTACAAGGAAATACTACTGTATTCAAAATTCCGAAAAAAAATGGTGTGGAAAGATGGCTGACCTTGTTCCAGCACACTAACAACTTTTGCAAGCACTAAACTTGATTTCCACTTGACAAATCCATTTCTTAACTTACGTTAGTTTCATTAATACATAGAATCTTATCAATACTAAGAATCTAACAAGGCGGGAAACAATATCAGAGTTCAGCCTCTCCAAACAGATCGTGCGAAGGCTGCCATAACACCTTAGTTACTCATATAGCAAGCAAGTACATTTTAAAGCTCATTTGTTTGTAGGGCAAGGAATCACATCATTCTATAATCCATGCCGAGGTCATAAGGGGTTAAGGAACTGTATCATTTGCTTTGTAGCACAAAGACAGAATTTTCTATTCAGAAACTATACAATATCAAGGCGGACAAGACAAGCTCAAGGCAAACCGGACAATCAGCAAAACCGAAGTACCCATTTTGCTCTACAAACTCTTTACGGAAAATAAAATTCCTCTCTACCGCTTACCTGGCTCTTGAAATCTCTTGGATTTGGAGAACATGTTTTATAACAGAGTAACTACTTTTGGATAACGGAAGAATGCTAGTTGTGCAGATGTCGTGCATATGTGCTCTTGAATGGAAATCGACACGGTGTTTCAGGTTGTTCGTTGCAGCAGTGTTTAAAAATAAACCAATCACAAGGAGAGTTTCATTAGTGGCCTCGACTTCACGTTGATTATTTTCCCGCGAGATTTTTTTGTTAAAAATTTGAACTTTATTTTACAGATGTAGTAATGAATACGAAGTATCAGAAACATTTATTTCTGTGTTTTTTAATTACTGATCTCCTGTTTGCGCTAAAAAAGGGACTAATCCACGAGAGGCGATTTCTTTAAAATAGTTTATGTTGATATAAAAACACCTTAACTATTATCATTTTTACAAGACATGAAAGGGAAGGAGCCAAGTTTCGATTTATAATAAGCCCTTTTGTGTTCAGTATCCCTGGACAGATTTAAAAAAAACGGTTTATGGAAAGTAAAAGAGAAGGTTTCAGAACTTTTTCAACGAAAGGAAACCATTCTTTATGCCGCCGAAATTCGAAATGTTGTGTTTTCTTAAGAGAGAACCAATTGTAAGGAAGAAAACTACCATGTGATTTAAACTGACCAATAAGCCCTTATTTGTGCTATTGGTTTTGATTGGTTGATCGAGGATTAGCCTACCAACCAAAATGGCGTCCTTTTAAGTTCGATGCATATTCAATGTTTACTACAAAGTTTTGTCGTTTTTCTTTTTACACATTGAAGATGTCCTAACATTTCGATAACATCTACACTGGAAATGAATATGGTCGTCACTGTAAGAGTTTCTAGAGGCTTTTAGCCAAATATTTTGAGAAACTATTGTACTCTTCCGACCTTGACCTTCCTGTCGCTATGAGTTCTACAGTACGCGATGAAGATTACATCAAATTTCTTCAAGATCAAGGTACACATGACTGTTTATTCAGATAAACGAAAATAGTATGAACGTTTAGCGTATACCAGTGAAGTTGCTTGACTAAACTTTCGTAAGACCACCTGTTGATGTTAAGATTTAATTTTTAAAGTCGCTCTGCGAAATATGGCCATGATCCGAGGTACCTCAAAGTTTTGGAAAAAAGTGATATCAACATTTTGCAGAATCGATGACAGTTTCATTTGATTATTGCTTAATGATAGAAGGTTGTCAAAAAGTGCTCATATCAGGATATACGAGGCTTGATTAAGTTTATTAGGAGCTTAATTAGTATCGAAGGGTCGATCTAATTACTATAAAAATTTAGAGCAAAATCTTGCAGCAGTGACACAGTTAGACTGCAAACAAACTTCACACTTTCTGGAAATACAGTGTAGAGCTACAAAATTACCTTAAATTGTTTACTAGGTGAACAATCCATCGAAAAAAATCTGATCGCACTGCACAAAAACAAGATGCTACACTGAACGTAAAGGTTGTTACTCTGTCAGAGATACCGCCAGTCATTAAATTATTAAATCAATGTAAAATCAAATGGTTGTTCCAATCATTATGTATATGTCATGATATAGTGTACATGCACATGGTGATGTAGAAAATAATTTTTTCATCATTCTTTTCAACTACAAATGGTAGAGTCACCTTGTGGCTGGAAGTCCCTTCATTTCACATCTGGTCCTATTTCAGCAGTATCATGCTTCTATCAGAATTCCCTCCCCCCCCCCCTCGGCATTTAGGGATTATCATTTCATGGTAGGGTTACCTATTGGCATTTCATCAATTTGCCTTGTCAATTTGCTGGTACTTGGTTAATTTCTTGAGTGACTTGTCCTCATCCTTTGAAATGTGGACCTTTAAAAATGAGAGGCTTGTAAACTCACCACTCAGCCACATACTCCTCAAGGAACCAATCCTTTGCTAAATCCATGGATCAAGTGGTTTGGACTAGTCACAGCTCGGCTTGTTCCAGGCCCTTAGTCAGTGGAGACAAGCAAAAGAGTGGGCAAGCATCAAACAGCAGTCTCTCTTGTCTGGGAAATGGCTGCTTTGCCTGAGCCCTGCTGTCATTTTTTAGCACCTGAGAACGTGACATATGCTAATTGCAACTCTAAGAATGATAATAAATAAGCGCCTGTCTACCAGGAGGTCACTTTGAAAGGTAAAGTAGGTCAACAACTCCATAACTAGACAACCAGACCCTATGGTGATGCCTTAAATCAAACAGTGCTGATTTGATGTTCATTGTTATCTTTCAGTGAGGAGACTAAATGCTGTTCTTGAGGAATATCAAAAGAAATATCTTCCTGTTCAAGAACCAGAAGTCAAGGTAAAGTTAACAAAAATTCATAATACAATAGAGTCCCAATTTCTTGAATCCTTCAAGTTGGGTTCTTGAAACTTCCAATAATTTGATTCAATGCTGATTTTTACTTCTTAGGCAAACAGTATGATATGCTGAAATTAATACCCATATTTTTGGAATCCTCTCATAATTCAAACCAATTTCCTTTGTCCCAGCCTCACTCTTCATGGGTCAGATGTTTGAGTGTGATACAACATATGCTAAAAATTATTTAATTTATTTTTCAACACTTTTGTGCAAGATATTTGATTATGATTGTATAATTATGATCATTTATTTCAATTTTTTAATTTTCCTCTTTTTTTCTCTAGGGGAAAGAGCCTCTTCCTCCATGGATCACAAATTCCAGGTTAGAAGATATTCTGGTCTTAAACATGAAAGGTTTAACTGAAATCAGCTTGTTCCTACATCCGTCCTGGAACATAATGCTTCATAACTGAGGCATAACTAAATATTTGACTTCCTAACTTAATGGAGACTTGTCTCCATGCAATTGAAACATTATTAAAATTGAAAGCAAGCTACTAAGTCAGAAGACAAGCAATAAATTACTTTAATCATTATTGTATCTCTATTTCTCAATGTTTTTCAGCTCTTACATTCAGTAAACCTAATCTGTTTTTTTTTTTATTTTCCTCATAGATGTTATTATATAATGGTAGTATGAGAAATCAAATGGATGTAATTCTGCATTATGCTTGTAATATCTACTCTCCAGTCATTTACAGCCAGTCTTTTTGGTGAAGTGTTTCTCCTCTCCCTCCCTCCCTCCCAAAAATAGTATTTTTCCCCCCCTCCATCCTACCCACTGATAATGTTCCTCTACCTCCCCTCTCACCCACAGGTAACTGCTTGATGTTTAAGGTGGTAAATTTAGAAACACAAAGACTTTCTTTAAAAGTAAATTTAAATAAAATTTCTAATTCCTCCTTAAACATGTCAAGGCTTATGTTCAATATTTTTCTGTTTGTTGCAGCATTTTATCCCCACTTCTAGTTGAGTATGATAACAACATCAAAAGTTCTCAGGAGCAGGCCATGTTCCTCAAGGTAAATCAGAAGCAGATTGAAATAATTCTTGCAGCACCAAATCCTGGTTGTAAAAGATTCAAGAAAGATTTGTAGTCATAAGACTCATTTTTGTCTTTTAACATGACAAATAAGGAAACCATAGAATTTATTAATTTGTTTGTCTCTTAAGTAGTCATGCTGTTTTGGTGGGACAAGTGAGTTTCAAAAGCTAGAAGTCGATTAAGGGTTGATAAAGAAAGATACTCTATCATGACAAATCTGGAAAGCTGACAATTTGAGTGATTTAGAGAGCTAACCTTTTTTAGCATTTGCTCTGCTCTGGCAAAGAGATAACATTTGAAATCATCATGTCAACTCTCCAAATTGTGTAAAATAGTTTTACTTTACTCTGAGTCAGTTTCAAGTTGATTACCAATGCATATTTTACAGGATTTACAAGCACTTTGTTTTAGATCTCCTAGGCATATTTCTACTGTTAATGTTGATGTTTTTTTTTTTTAATTTTAGGAAGAGTTGTCTTCATTGAAGCAAAAGACAGATCATGTTGTTCAAGAAAACACAAGGTGTGGTCTTAGCTTTGATGTTTTTTTCTTCTTTGGCTCCTGACAAACATTGTGGTTTGTTAATGTCTTAGTTGTGTTACTGTTTTTTTTTTGTTTTGTTTTGTTTGTTTTGTTTTGGTTTTTTTTAACAAGGTTACATGAGGAATTAAGAAAAAGCATTGAGGCGCAAATGGATGTTATGCGTCAAGGTGATGGTAGTGGTGTTGAGAAAGAAGTGATGGAGAACATGCGGCATCAGCTCCAGCTACTGTCTCAGGTAATTGTTTTTCCAGCAATGGTAGTATTCTATCAAGACCAAGTAATGCACAAGGTTAACTATTCTGTACATGGTCATTTTTAGGGCTTCCTGAAAGATGGGCCTTATTAGAGAGGAAGGATATCAGAGTGATGGGTCTTGTTAGAGAGAGGGGGGGGCGTATTAGAGAGGGAGGATTATAGGAGAGAGGGATTTTTTTAGTAGGGGTACATAAAAGAGGGGGACTTCTTAGAGGGGGTATTAGACAGATCAGGCTTCTTAGAGAGGGCGCTTTTTAGAGGGGAAGGCTTATTAAAAACCTACTCAGAGTTTTAATGAGGTCATTATATTTCCTCAGAGGAAGGATATCAGAGTGATGGGGCTTGTCTGAGAGGGGGGCCTATTAGAGAGGCAGGATTACTGCTAACCAAAGTTCAAATTTTGTTGGTTGTTTTACATTCAAGGAAAGAGACAGCTATGTGGACCTGTGGCAAAATGCTTGCAATGAACTGGAAAAGCTTCAGGAAATTGAACGGGTTTGTTCTGTCTTCTTCTGTCTTAGATTTTTATAAAGTTATACAAACAAATTCTCTTGTTGCTCGTTAAAAAGAGGCAAGCATGCATTTTATCTGTTGCAGGAAAAAGATGGTGAGTTGAAGGGAAGAACAAGAGCAATGACAAGCCTGCAGGTAATTTTAAGCGTAGTTCCTTATAAAGGAGTCATGTCATGTTAAGCCTAGAATTTTCAAGGGCATTATTTGAACCTTTACCATGTTATAGTCAGGCTTTCCTTGTTTATTTTTGGTGATTAGTTGTTGTTTTTGTTGTTTTTGTTGTTGTTTTCCCCTTCATTAAGGTATTGTTTTATGGTCTCCTAACCCTAACTGTAAGCAAAGTAAATTGAAGAGTTGCCCAAAGTTAGTAATTGCTAGACAGTTCTTGTCTAGACAGTCCTAGCAACATTTCCTGAATGCAGCATTATTATGTGCAAAGTGGGTTTGTCCTTTCAATTTTATGAATTGTATCCTGCACTGGGTTTGGGATTTTATTTATCAAACATCAGCTGTCGTGCAATGTTAGTGATATTACATCTAAAACAGCAATTTGCTGTTTTTAATTGTGCTTTTGCACAATTTTGTAGGTGTAAGCTTCATCATAGATCTGCTTTGGGCTTGTTTTCTTAATCATATAGAATGATCTTCACAAAGCCAGGCAATTTGCTGAGGAACTTCAGTCAATAAACAAAAAGTTAAGATTGGTGAGAGTATTTTAAGAGTTGGGGAGGGGTGAGACTAATTTAGCCTTGTTCCCAGGGCCTTGTGGACAAGTCTAGTCACATAGAAGTTAGGCTCAAATTTTGCTACCATTTCTAAAACTTAGACACAATAATTTGTTTTAGTTTATGTCACTTATTGAATCAGTCGCATTTGAAACCCTTATCGTCACAAGAAGGTTAAGTAGTGCTTCTTATTACTAAGCTAGGATTTCGACCTCCACCCTCCCTTCCCCCCACGCGGAGAACGCTACCATAAGGCTTAGTGAGATGTCATGCACTAAAACCTTGTATCAATAAAGCTAATATAACGCAGCAGACACTTTTTTTTTCTTGTTTCGTTTTAGCGTTTCAAACGCAGAACAAAATCACCTTTGTGGTTGATGTAGACGTGTCGTGTAATCGGTCAGTTGTAACACTTATGGAATACAACGGCTTTGTGTCTTGATTACTGTTTCGATTCCCGGTTGCAATTAAAGGGATCAATCTTTCCTGAATTGGAACGAGAATTTTTATTTGTCTTTCACGAATGTGCGAAAATTTGCCTTGGTACTCAAAATTTTATTTCGGCTAAACATGGTCGAAATTCTAGTCTGTATGATGTCGTAAAGTAATAACGTGCTTTCGCAAAATACTGTTGAACGATCATTTACAATGTAAAGGACCTTTTTTTCTTGTTATCTCTACTAAGAGCGTCGTAACTCTCTTTCATTATTAACTGTATTTATCCTTTAAGAACAAAACAATAAATAATTTGTGAGCGTCAAGTTTATTGTTTGATGTACGTTAATTAGTCCTTGTTTTGAAAAGTTAATACAATGGTCGTTTTTTTGTAATTTTGAATCTATTTCCCTCATACGATTATGTTGAAACCTGATGGTACGAGAACGTATTATTTGTTGTTCGTGTGGTCTTATAATTAGGGAAAGCTTTTGTATCAGCTTGCTCTAAATTGCCTAAAAATCTTCAGGCAAACAAACTGTCATTTCCACTTCAGTGAGTGAAACTGAATTTAAGAAAAATACAAGTGAGGTTGAAAAAGTCTCAACAGAGCTTATCGTCTTAAACTAAAAGCTTATTGGTGCATACGCTGTCCCGGAGTATTGTCTCTGAGTATTATTTTCATATTTTTAGGAACATGAAAAATTTCTCGGCACAGCTCAGACCCAAGATCAGGAAATAGACGAAGTTCGAAATGAGCTCAGGTTTGTTCAGCATTTCTACTTTCTCAGGTGTAAATCCAGTTGGAAGAACTTCATTCGTTGAGTTCAAACTTCAAATTTTTTTTCATGTGATGCGGAATTTTTGCGATCCACACATCGGTTGACAAGTACTGTACAACGATCTTTGAACGGACCAGTTTATTTTAAAGTCAAACTGACCACCGACTACAATGAGAGTGTGCTTACGGTTCTCACAGCTGTCTTGCACAAAACACTATTTTCCCGTAGATCACATGTACGGCCTACAGTCAAGCCACGTGCCTGAATTAATTAGAATGAGTGATGGTTTCTGTTTTAAACCTGACCAATCAGAGGGCGTAGTGAAGAAAAACCAGTGAAAGAAGTCCTTTTTCAGTCTCGAATTACTTTTGACGCTTAATTGAAAATTGTTCAAATAATAGAATTAATAATTTTGTTCTCTGTTTTCTGTGACAGGAGGTGCAAAGCTGAGCTGAAAAACTCCAGAGCGCAGAACGAAGAACTTCGCAGAACGCTGGAGATAATGGAAGGACAAATTAGAGTGAGGGTCAGTATTCTGTACCGTGTCTACTTCACTCAGAATGCAGAGTCCTTTGCTCGAAGATTTGGGCGGAGTCTGCAATGATCAAACTTGCCTTGCGTCACGCAAAACTTCCCTTCCACAGAAAATTTTCTTTCCTCGCGGAAAACCCACGCGACTGTGGGCGTCTTTTAACCATCAGAACTGAGAAGAGATGAAGATGAAACTCATCATTATAATATGGGTTCATTATACTTTAAAAAAGGTGCTGAGAATCTTCCAACCGATCCACTTTCCGTTCCCTTACGGCACTCTTTTTCAGTTTTCGCGCAGAAAATAACTTGAAAAAGTTGTCACATTGTAGATAAGTTTCCGTTTAATGCTGAAGTTTGATATGTTACCCGAGCTGTTTTCTTGCAGGATAGAGAGAGAGAGAGAGGAAATGAGGGTAACAAAGACCTTCCTGAAGTCGACACTCGAATGGAACAACTACAAACCACTCTTATTGCACTGGAGTCGAGGTGATATGTTTTTACCTTCCATGTACTCGTCTTTTTCTGTTTCTTTCTTTAATTTTGCGCCAACAGACAACGCAGTTTAAAAAGCGTGATCCTTTCAAATCAGTGCAAGTCAATAACACGACTAAACACGTCATAGTCACAACAAAACCAATCTGAACTCTTAGGCCTGAGAACCGCTGGAAACTTTTCTTCCTTTTTCTTACTCACCGTATCGTGGAAAACTTTTCGTTGAATGATGCACGAAATATGTAAGGCTAAGAATATTTTGACATTTACAACATTACCCGTTTGGGGCGCCTTTTAACATTTTTGATATTCTTGAGAATGATATTATTTCATTACTGTATCCTAAACAATAACCTGTTTGTAGGGTGTTCAAACTGATGCGCGTTTCCATTGAGTGTTTAAAAAAACAATCATGACAGAAAAATTGAAGCAAATCACAATGGCCAATCAGAATCGAGGGAAATACCACAAGAAGCCAATGAGAATTCAAAGAGAGGGCCGCGTCGAGCGCGGGAAAACACAACTGACAAGGAGTTACGATTGGCTCAAGTTTTGTATCTGATTGGTTGCAAAAATGGCCGCAGTTTTCTTGACCAATCACAGCTCTAGCAAGACAAAAGCGGTTCCTTATTGGTTCTGACACTTGTACCTCGGGTATTTCGTTTGCGTCGTGGTACTGCTCTCTCTGTATTTTACTAAAATTGCCCTTTAATGTCACCCCCTGGATGGTCGTGTTTTCAATGCCCAGTTCTTCAACAATATTTCTTCTCTTTTATATGTCTACCCTTGCTTCACTTAACGATTTTTATTTCTAGGAATGGATAATGACTCTGTAGTCTTCAATTGTTACTTTTGTAACCCTCATATTTTATTTGTAGGCTGTCTGGGACGCTTAAAGAAGTCGGACGGCTCAGATCAGAGAAAGCTGAGCTGGAAGAAAGATTGGAAGTTTTACAGAAAAGAAGGTACTTGGGGCAAGGGGGTCGGGAGAGACAGCCTGCGATTTGAAAAAAGTTAAGATCACGAAGCAAATACGCACCTTCGACGTGCTAATCATGGTGAACATGACGACTGCAAACGAACTTTATTCTGAATGCGTTGTGTTTTTCTTTGGTAGTTCTGATCAGGAACAGCGTGAGTTTGAAGCTATTGCTCACGTCAGAGACAGTGTACAGATGGTGGAAAATGCCATTCTTGAGAGAGACCAGGTATGAAATAGAAGATGACTTCGTGAAACTCTTGTATGACAAAATGCGTGTTGAAATCGAAATTTGGTTTCATCCGTTTTTATGCGAATGATAAACTGGTTGGTGAAGTATATCGACATTCGTTTAAGAATTTGTGACGGACTGCGTATATGAGACTTTTGTGTTGTTGATTACTTTCCTTAAAGATAACAATTGCACACGTAAATATTTCGCGCGCCTTTTTTTTCACTTTGCGCGTTCAAGAGATAAACTTTTTTGTTTATTCCCAGGCCCTTGTCCGAGAGCAACAGAAAACGCAAGAAGTAGGCAGGCTTCAAGAAGTCATCAATAAGATTCTCAGGGAGGCTGGGAAAAGGACAAGAGAAGAGGTAATTGTACGGAGAATTTAAACATAAAGATGACTGTCTGCCTGTTTTACTGCTTTGATGTACAATTTTCAAATTAAGAGATATGTGGAACATGGAGTGAAAAGAATGATGAAGTGAAAGGGTGAAAGATGGCGACTTAAGAGAAATAAAGAAATATTTTTAATGAATAAAAAAATGTTCCTAACTTTTTGAATTGACACGACTACTTGACTCGCTGCTGATACTAAAAATAAACTGGGAGCTCGTCACACATGATTCTATTAATGGCGTGACTCAACTTACATATCCCTGTGGGGATCCCTGGCGAAAATCTAATCTTTTTTTATTGTCCAACTTTCTTGACAAACTGAATAACGTTTTTATGTTAAACATTCGTCATTTACGATTGTGGTGGGACGAAGAAAGCTTGTGACGATTCGGACCGTAGCTGGTTTTAATTTTGCTGACGAATGCTGGACTGAGTTACAGAGGACTTGTTGTTTAGTCAAGGGATGTGCTAGATTCGTTTATGACGAGCGCACTACATACCGGGAGATGCAGCGATGTCGAAACTGCCCTGCGTTTGAAAGTGTGGTTTGATAGTTTTGAGCCTCTACTTGTGTTCTAGTTGATTCACATATTGACTGTGATTTTGTTACCAGGTGGATTCTGTTCGGAATCAGTGTAACAAAAACATCCAGAAACTAATGGAGGAGATGCATTTTCTGGAATTGGTGAGTAAATGGTGCTAAATTAAAGGAGGTCGCGTTGTCACTTTCCCTGGGAAACTTCTGTCTGCCAATAGTTCGAATCAAAATTTTATTGGCAGGCTATCCCTTGTACCCTAAAGCTGTAGCTGGAAGGGGACGGGTAGAGTGGCATGTACCCTCTATTTGTCATGAAGAAATTATAGGTTATGATTAGAGAAAAATCTCGCACCTCCCCCCCCCCTCCCCCTTAGACGCCTGTGTGGACCTCTTTTTAGGAAATCCTACAAGCACGCGCGGTTATGATTGCGTGTTGAATAGTAATTTTATGGCATCATTTTCACTAAATTTTCCCAAATTCCTTCGCTTACCGTTACTTTGAAGAAGTCAATAACACGTTTGTCTTAATATCAAATTCGGTTAATGACTGCTTGTACCAAGTTTTCAATATCAGAAAGTGGTATAGATTAGTTACTAGCGAAAATACCTCGAGGAAATTATTCCGTTTTTTACCCAGACACAATCAGAGAGCAAATGTGATCGAATAAAAAACATAACTCTGATACTTTACCTTTATTCTGATCACTAACCGTTACGATTACCGATTTGTGGCTGTGGTGAATGGGTTGTGACAGACCTCGCCGCTTGAGGGTGTAGACGAAACATCGAAAGGGAAATTACATTTTTTGTTAGGTACCGGTGGTGTACTCTGTTGCATGAGTGGTACCACCTGAAAGTCTTCTCGGACAAAATTACGTGGTTTTTACCACCAGCATCCAATAGGGCATAAAAATGGTCCCTCCCTCGCCTTGTACACTTTTTCTTCCCCTAAAAGGAAAATGACAAAGAGCTGCATTGTATGAATTCACTGAAGCGTTAAGAGTTGATTTACGGAAAATAGTTACGCGATATCACTGTCTTAGCCGACAACAAAGGGTCATTTCTCAGTCATGTAATTTCTTATCCACTTATTTTTTCCAAGTATACATCTACTGCACTTATCTTCTTAATTTCATTTTTCCTTTAAGAATTGTTGTTATCTTGTGTCCAGAATTCTAAAATATTCCCGGAAAAACTCTACTAATCTGTGCGGGCTAATATTTAAGCCGGTTAATTTGCCGATGACATCAAACATGCCACTCGCATTTGAAAGCCTTTTATTGACATTTCGCGAGGGACGCGGAAAAGTCGCTCTAGGTATGAAATAGTGAAAAACTAACTTTCTTTAGACCACTCTTTTGGCGACATGGAAACTTCTCCGGCCCGCACAAGAGACAAGAAGTGGATCTTTGAATATTATCCGGTAATTAAGCGCTTGTGTTAAAATTTAATTTCTGTTGAATTTAGGAGGATTGTAAATTCGTTACTGTTCGTTACTATTTCACGAATGTCATGTACTCCGTTGGTTTGGGTGGTCGAGCAGTTCTCTTTGGAATTTACGAGCATGCTTATTCTTTCTTTGTCATGTTATGACCAAAATTCGATTTCTATTTTGATGTGTGGACATTTTTCATCGTATTCGATTCCTTTTCTTTCCGGACGCGTTGTCAAGTTATTTGCATAATGCGTTTATAAACATTCAGTCGTCGCTTTCGATAAATCACTTCAGTTTTCTTCTTTCTCGCTATTTAGCGATACACATGAAGACTACTATTTCAATGACAGATTATGTTCTACTATAAGTACGATTCTTGACCGGGTAATTTGATGAATAAGCTATGGCTGTGATCTGACACGTGAAGTAAATACAAGATCTTTTGTATTTAAACCCGATGTGATTATTCTTCTCTGTTTTAAATGAACACCAAGAGTTAATTCCTAAGTTTAGATTTCTTAGTTTTTTAAATTTTATTTGCGTGTTGAAACGAATGTTACATATGATTATTGTGTGACATTCCTTTTGGTCTGTCGTCACGCAACCACTTGAAATAATGATTATGTCACACACTCTAATCGTTGCTTTAGTGGTATCTTTTCTAATCGAATTCCCCAAAATACAATTGCGTCGTACTGATTCTTCGCTTTTACTCCAAAGGACAGCTTATCAGCTCAAAAAAACTGACATAACCGTTTTGTATCAAACACTAAAAGTACACCAAACTAGATGATAAAATGGAAGTGCTAACCTGTTATCGTTACATTGGACATAACATTGTACTGATCTGTGCTTCTCCAGGAAGGAGCTGAGAAACAAGCTCAGTTAGAGAGATCACTAAGGGAGAAGGCCGCCGTGGAAAAAGAACTTGAAAAGGTGAGGCTTCTACAAGTTATTTCTCTCTGTTATAGTAGGAAAATGTATTTCAAGGCACTTAATTCTAATATTTGCCTTGAATAGCAGACCACTTTTGAGTTATCGTCTACCAGGGTTGGCAAAACCCTTACAGTTAACCCTTTAACTTCCAGAAGTGATAAACACGTAACTTCTCCCCACAATATCCATACGTTATCCAGCTAAAAGGTAATGAGAATACTCAGACTTATCGGGTTGAAGTTGTCATCTAGATCTAACACCAAATTCTCGTAGCTAACATACCAGGCAATGTGTAGCAGCTAGAGGGGAGAATTAACAATAAGATCTTGAGAGTTAAGGGTTAAGAGTAAACTGGATGTAAAAGGTGGGAAATATTCACTTGAACTTCGAACCACGAACTCTGAAATCGCGGGCTCAATTCTTCAATATAATCCGTGAAGGCAGACAAGGATTCCCTAACTCTGCGGAGTTTTCTCTTTTTTTTTTTTTTTTTTTTTACCTTTGTAAGAGGTAAAACTATCCATGGGTAGATGAAAGGGAAAAAAAAGCACGTAAAGGAGGCTGGAGAGGGAAAAGAGGAAAGCGAGACCTATTGCTCGTTCCATCGTTACTAGAGGAAACATTGGAAACGAATTTACCATCGCTCTTTCTCGCGTACTTCTCATTTTCTTTTCTGTTTAAAATGATTTGCTTACCAGTGTGAATTTCTCTATGGGGGATATGCAGCAGGTAAAGTTGAGATTCCATTTTTATGACCCCATCAGCTGACCGAAGCCTTAAGATTCTCTTTGCTCAACTTTCACAGTTGCAAATGTTATGAAACCTTTTTTTTCCCGCAGCTCTACCAAGAAGGTCCGTCTGAGATTGCGCGGGCTGGGATGACTTTTGAAGAGCTACAGAAACGAACTGGATTGGCCGAGAGAACCCGGGACGAGGCTTTACGGAGAGTAGATAGCCTTAATTCCACGCTCAGAAAGATAGAAACAAAGTAAATAAGCAGATTATGCATGGCATCGTTTGATTGACTGTTTCTTTGTTTGTTTATTTGTTCCTTGTGATAAATCAGGCGGACGGGAATTCGATATCAGTTAACACTAAGCAGAGTTTTAATGTATAGCCGTCAGGTGATTTGACAGGTCTCTGGTCCTAGTTGTTCAAAGGGTGAACACCGCTATTCACTGGATAAATCTCTATCCGCTGGATAACGCAGCACGTTTAGATAATACTCACCCGCTGGATAACGCAGCACGTTTAGATAACACTCATCCGCTGGATAACGCAGCACGTTTAGATAACACTCACCCGTTGGATATCCATTTATCCATCCTTTGAATTACCACTCTCAGGAAGACGATATTTATTCCTTCATCATTTCAATTTCCATCTTTTTCTAGTGGTGAATCTTTAAGTGCTCTACTTTCGGCCATTTTGAGTATGTTTTACTTTACTACGTACAACCTACTTTTTTATGCTTTTGCCTCTAGACACGAACAAGAAAAATCTCAGGGTGTCTCTGAAATTGGCGAACTTAAAAGGAGAATGAAACAACTAGAAGAAGAAAATGAAGAGATTTCTGACAACAGACTTCAACTGATAGGTAAAGAATCATTTTTCTGCTGTTGCGGCCATATTTAATCAATTATCTTTGCGCATGTCCCTTCCAACTCCTCCTCCCTCCCTCCCTCCCTCTCTCACCCCCCTATCACCCCCCTCCCCAAGCGTAGTGGATTATGTTGCCGACTTAATTACGATTACTAATGAATTGATCTTCGAAAATATTTTGAAGAGTATAAAAATTAATTTTACGAAGTCATGTTTTCACGATTGAAGAACATTTTACTGTAAACTTCATTCCCTTACTCTCTCAGATGAAATAGACAAGCAGAAACGGGAACTTCTCCAAGCCAAACAAGCGAAAGAGACCGCCGAACATCAGTGCACTTTGGAGGTATTTTTTTTAAAAAGTGTTTGTTGCCTTCTCGTAACCTAATTCAGGATCTATGTATTTTCAATATCTATGTAAAGATGTCTTTTATAGTAAGGCACAATTATCTCTTGAATAGTTTCCGCCATTCCTGTATTTTGTCCACGGATCTATTCTTTTCTCTTTGGGTATCGTCGAGAACGCGAACGAAATGGGAGTCTTGGGTTTTAAAGAACGCAAGCCCCATGTGGTGGGGAAAGAACATCAACGAACATTAATTTTTTTTTTCACCTGTTTCACAGTCTCTCCCTTACTTCGCTCTTTTTTGCCTGACTTTAAAAAATAAATAAATAAATAAAGAATGGACGGACTTCCACCTTTGTGATGTTTCCACATTGCTCTAGTCGACCAATCAAAATCCATGGGTGATTCTAAATGGGAGCAGAACTGTGTCAAAGGGGTTCCCAGTCGAAAAAAGATCGTTCAATTTTCTTTCTCGTTAAAACTAATTAAGTTAAAGTTTTCCGTTTTCTTTTATTGTTCTTAATCTTTTGGCTGCGGATAATTTCTCTGCGCTGTATCTTTAAAACAGAAGTCCTTATCTTTTTTCAGGTTTCATCGCTCAATCAACGACTTGAGCAACGGGAAAGAGAGTTTGAATCACGACTTCGAAACGTGGAGGAGATGAACAGACAGTCGGTGAATGAACTCAGAGAAATGTTGAATGGACAACAGAAACTTGGAGCACAGTACGTGTTACCGTGTTCAGTCAAAAAGCTTTTAAAAATGATTAAGCTCTAGCGTGCTTCTAAAATAAAACTCTTCTCGACGAGGATGGGATTCGAACCCACGCGTGCAGAGCACATTGGATTAGCAGTCCAACGCCTTAACCACTCGGCCACCTCGTCTGTTGACTGAGATATGACTTTCGTGATGCGTGCAAATCACTTTTTGTTCTTGGCAGGAGAATTTAGTTCTTAATCAAGAATGTCCCTTACATCGCCATGGCTATTAACCTTACGTTGTTGTGAAGGTGTTAGATGTATAATAAAAGTCGATCTCTTTGGTCTGTCAGGTGGAAAGAGGAATCTAGAGCAGTAACGCAGAAATTTGAGCAAACAGTGAATGAGTTGAGGTGAGTTTTTATTTTCCTTACATGCCTAGTCTTTGGAGAGGAACAAAAATAATGATAAGAATTTACAACCATTGCCCTTCTGTTGTCCATAATCTACGGCGCTTCTTCGAAGACGAAGTTTCGGTTTCCACAGCAACTTATACTTCTTTAAAATAATTTTTGTTCGGTTTAAAACTTACGCCACATTGAAAACTATACAAAATATGGCCTAGAAATTGGCTGAGGAAAAGATTAGAGTTATTATAGATTTTTTATTCATCTTAGTAGCTTTGCAAACAGTTATAATCCCTTCAATTTTGATTCACAGTGGGATAGAATCCCAGAAATTTTTGCCCTAATGTACAATTTTACACCTAAAACTCCGGGTTGAATTAGCGCTAACGCCTCTCAAACAACAGTCTCTAGCAGAACAACTTTCATGGAAGTTGCATTAGAAAAAGAAAATGGAGAAAAGCGAAAAACAGTCTTAAACACTCTGAATCGCCTCTCAGCAAAAGGTGTTCACTTCATTTTTTTACCTTCTCTCTACTAGACAAGAGATTAACAAGCAGAAACGAAGGAATGATGAACTGAATGGCCAGTTGAACGAGGAGAGGCAGGCGAGAGAGGAGGTACTACTCGACAAT